TCGCCGACGTCGGCTGGAATGGTACGAGGTTCGTGCTGTTTTCCAAGTCTTTTGCTGAGGGGAAGATGCGGCGGCAAACATGATTGCTCTGCCGGCACCCAGGTGGCATCCCAGCAAAGACCAATGGATGAGTGAGGCCGAGCGACGAGGTGCGGTATCTGTCTCGGATTCTGGTGGACCACTCGGCGTGGCTCCCTTCCTTTCGACCTTGTCACTTCTCCGCCAACAAACTGGCCACGCCTTGCGATGTCAAGAATTTTGGAACCGAACGGCAAGTTGAGAAGGGGGTCAAAGCACGTCAGAACTGGTCCAGGGGGTGTTGTGCGGCATCTCATGCACACTCGCGGATGACAGAAGCGGGTTTCCGTTCGCCGCTCGGGTACATGGGCCATACACTGCGGGCCCCCGGGCTTCGAGGATTGACTCCGAAGAACCTGCGTCCCGGTACGCAGGTTCGGGGGCGGCACGGCTGGAATTGAAGCCGGCGAGAAGGACTGGGGCGTGTTTGTCCCACCGAAAGAAGGGGGATGGGCGTTGGCGCATGGGGCCACGAATGGGAAACGCGGCAGAAGTCGATCGGAAGGGGATGGCAACTCTCGCTCGCGTCCTCGTTCCCCCCATGGGGACGACCTGGCCGTTGTTCCATTTGGCGTTCCACGCAGCTGTTACGCGGGCCGACTGGGAAACAGCTGCGTCAGCCCGCGGCATGTCATGGCGTCCAGGAAGCAGCGGTGCGCGGGGAAAGGACCGAGGAGGGGTATTATGTACAGTGGTGTTGGTTGTGGGATGCAAGGCGAGAGAGGTCGCAGCAGCCTGCCGAGAAATGACGGCGTTCCATGCGGCCCCTCGCAGCCGGGCCAAAATCCACATATCGAATGCCCGGCGACGACAACGACGGCTTCCGGAAACCCATGGTTCATGCTTCTTGGGGAGAATTTGGGGGCCCTACCTGGGATATATGGCCCCACTTCCTGACCGGTCTCTTTTAGCGCTGCATCTTTCCTGCAGTGGTCGATATGTCGGTGAGGCATCGAAGGTTGGAAGGATGGCTCGATGATGCGTTGTCGTGGCATTGCATTGCCCAGCGCCCGGGAACGGGATTTCGAGACGAGATTTTTTTCTCCCGCTCCTCACTTGCTCGGTTCCTTTTTATGGAGGCGGGACGGGATTCGCCAGCGGGAGGCGGGCCTTGATGACGCGAACCGAGCGGTGTTGATGGAGCTCCGCGCTTGTGGATGGGAAGGGTGAGTGTCCTCTCGGGGATTCGCCAAGGCGAGATCGGCTGCTGTTCCCGGCGTTGGAGCTGGCCCGTAACGGATGAGGTACGAGTCCTGACCCGAAATAGGAAGACGCCGGAGCAGGACTCTCCCATCCCTGGCTGGCTGCCGAATCTGGCCGCAGGAGAACACTGCGCTCGACCTCGGCCCCTTGGCCGAACGCTTTTCTCGACAGTCGGATTCGCCCATTCACACCCGCCCGCAGGTGACACCGTCTCGCCGCCAACCGTGGAAACTCTGGTATGGATTTGATTTGCGTTTCCGGTAATCTGTGCCCTTTTAGTCGTCGGATAGCCAACCCACACATGTCAACTTAAATGGAAAATCGTCCTTCATCGCATTCCCCCAATTCTCCCGTCGCCCCGGCCGGCCGGCAGATTAAATTGAAACGGCAGCCCTCAGAACTTCCAAGTTGGGACCGCCCGTTGGGTCTTGCTGACTTTGCGCTTGCAAATTTTGCAGTGGCCGGGTCCGTTTGAAGCAGGGTCTCGACGGCTGCTCCTTCCCTAGATGGCTCTGCCGCGGCAGTCGACAACAGCAGCCTTTTAAACGGAAAGACCCTTCTTTCGAGGTTCCTTCCTGGGGAGCCCGGCGTGGTCAAGCCACTTTTGAACGGCTTTGGAAGGACCGACCCCCCACTTTTGTTTGATGTTCCAACTTGCCCGGCACCCAACCTAGACCACCCTATTTTCGTGACTATCGACCTACGAATGTCTTTCTTCGACTTCAGGGCTCTTCGTCCTCGGATGGTTTATCCCCCGCTAACTTCCTTCCCCAATACCGTCGGACAGGTCCAAAGAGCGATGACAACAGAGCCCCTCCTCCGCGCTTACCTCGGATTGTCCGACACCCTCGAAGTAATATTCTACCCGCACCCCCTGCCCCATGGAAACTCACCCCGATCTGGTGGTTGTGCGACTTCTGTGTTTGGCTAGCGAGCCGGTGCGGTTAATTTTCCCGCTCCACTGGGAGCCCAGGCGCTGGTCGGCCCCGGAGCGCGCCTTCTTGACACTGCAGGCGGGGGTGCAGAGACGAGTTACGTGAAGTCTCTCAAGTACCTAACTACTTAGTTATCCGCGGCCGGTGCCCAAAGTCGCCAGCCCTAGCTCCAGGGTTACCCGTCAGCTTGAGAGGAAAGATACGTGTTCACCCAAGTACCTCACTCGAAATCTCACGCCTTGTGTGCGGATACCCCAGTTATCTGCAAACCCTATGTGGTGTACATGCGACGGACGCCAAGGGCTGTCAAGTGATGAACGGAAAACCGCTCGCGGAAGCAAGACATCGAATCAATACCAATCAGTGTCCCGGCGGACACTGGCAGGTGCGAAAGATGCCGGTCCAGCGCCGTGCCGGAAGGCGCTAGCGCAGCTCCCTCTCTGACCACTCCCGCGACTCCGGGCTGAGAGAGGCCCTTTGAGACCCCGGACGTGCACCAAGATCCACCATGCACATGCGGCTGCGCAGTCGAGGGTCGTGGATCTCTGCACTGCATGCATCCATCAATGCAGCTTGGTTTGCAATCACTTTTCTCAACCGCAAGGCGGTGAAGAAACAGCCTGCAAAGAGATGGACCGGGGCTGCTGAGAACAAACCGTTCGGCTGGCCGGACTCGGCTGGCTGGGGTTGTTTGGCCCTCGAGGGAGAGGAACACTAGCGCCTTGCGATGGAGTCGATCAGGCCCAGCGTCAGCAAGTAGCTCCGTCAGCCCCTTGCTTTGCGCCGCTCATTGCTCGGCCGGCGAGCCACGGTCCATTGCGCCGGGTCGGGCTTTTCAACAAGTCAAGCTGAAGGGGAAACCAAGGCTGCCCGGGCAATCAGCGTCAACACCGTCACCGGATGTGAAAACGGAAGTAAAGGGAGGAGGGAGTGAGAGTGTGGGAAAAATTGGCGTTGCGCTCACAGCGCATCGATGGCAGCCCAAGCTCATCTGATCAGATGAAATAATTCCAGACTTGCGTGTCTATCAACCCGCCGGTCCACGTCTCAAGATCCTCGCCCTCCTCCAGCGCCCGGCCCGGTTCCCGAACCTCGCCGTCTCAAAGCATCGTTTGATGCAAGCAGAGCAGCGGTCGGGCTTTGCTCATTTTTTTCTAGGCGAGAAGGCCATGTGAGCTTCTCGGGCTTGCCGAACACCGTCCATTGGTGTGCGCCTCTGGGGCTCTTCCTTCTTGTATGTCGTCGTTTGACCAAGAAGCGTGTTTTGGTGGCCAAGGAGCGTCTCAAGAGGCAACTTGATGAAAGAGAAGAAAAACAGCCGAACGGTTCAGGTGAGGCCGATGTCACTGTTCGCGTCAGCCACATGACGCAAAGGCGGAACTGTGTCTTCTCGATCTCAGTCGTTTGTATGGAGGGACGTCAGCACTGTGTTGTTGCAAAGGTGTTTAGTGTACACCCGTCGACTCCAAGAATACCGGGTATTCGTTCCAGAAAAGAAATACGGAGGAATCCACGGTCGTGACTGCGGGCTGCCCTGTACCAGACTCGGGTCACCCACCAAGCTCGTTTGGGAAGCCGCAGGCCTGGAACCCCCCACCCGCCAGCGCCCACCCCTCCCGAGAGCGGGACTGTAAAGGCTTTGTTTGTGATTGGCGAGAACTCTTGCGACGATTCAGGGTACCCCTGCATCCCCGTGGAGCTGCAGCCCCAGGGTCGCGATTCGCCGAACACGCCCAGAACAGTGACGCTGGGCAGTCCCGTGTCTGCTTTTTACCGACTGCACACCTGCACACCTCTCACAGCACACAAACCAGGTACCTCTCAAATGGTACATACCGACCGACGGCGATTCGACTAATACCCTAGAACTCCCCGTCCGCCGGTCGTCCTCTCTGACGTTTGACTTCCCTTCAACCAGCACAGCAAGCAACAAGCGAATTTCGTCCTAACCACGCTCGTTTTATTTTGTGTATTTTCTTTGCGCTTGCCGTTTTGCGAAGTATCGCTGGTCGCGCTCCGGTACCTCTTGTCTCGCGGTCCCGCCCATCGAGACGAGAGCGTCCCTCTTCTTTTCTTCAACAGTCCTTTTCTCGTTGAAGAGTATCGAAGACGAGCAAGCCCACGGATACCCTCGGTCGATCGATCTGAGAAGCGTGCACATCCCATCCAGGTCAGTCAATCATCTGCCCACACTGCCCAGCTATAGCCATGTCCGTGATCTCGGCTTCAAAGGACCCGCCTTAGTGGCAAAAGCCACTCCCGACTTCGTCAGCTGCACATCGCCTCCCCCACCACGACGCCGCCCGACCGGGCCATTCTCGCCATGCTCTCGTAAATCAGCCGCTGACTTTCGAAACAACTATGGCAGCCCCTCTCTTTGCCGCCACAAGCCCGCCAGGGCCATGAGCCGTGGGCCCTGTTTCGCCTCATATTAAGACAACACGACTTCCGTCCCAAGACCTGGGAAATCCCGTCTCGAGTCGCGTATGTATGTCCATCCACCGCTTCCTCTCTGCCGCTCCCCAAGCACTATCCCCGCTGCTACCACGGCGGACACCTCTAGACCCGACCCGTTTGTTCAAGTCCCCGCCTCTGACGGGCGACAAAAACAGCATGTTGTGTTGTTGCCTGCAATAACACTTGGCCGTTTCTTCCTATCTCCATAATCTTGCCTCCCTCTTCTTTCGGTCCTTGTCCCTCTTCTTTTGGTCACCCACCTCGCCTGTCCTCCCGACTCGGCTCGCTTCTCCCTTCTAACCATCGATCCATTCTTGCAGGTCCAGAATGGAGTCGGCATCCGACAATGGCGGCTCGGAGCAGAGCTCCAGCTCTGCCCAGTCGGTCCTACAGATGGCCCAGGTGCTTTACCCCGTGGTTCTGCTTCTAACCTTCATCATCTCGGCCGGTATTCACACCATTGTTACCTCCAAAACCGAGGAAGAGTTAGCCACGCCCACCGTCACGGGTCCCGGTGGGAAACCGCTGCCAATCACCAAGAGGAGACGAAGACACCAAGCCTCGCAAATAGACGACGACGCCAACACCAGAGGCTTTGCTTGGTCCGTCTTTTTGTACCTGACGGCCGCGATTATTGTGTCATTTGTCGCCAATGGCGCGGCTGCCGCTGTCCATGCCATGAAATCGAGCAGAGATGCGGGTTTCACTCATGTATGGTGGTGCGGCGAGCAAAGAATTGTGTGTTTTTCCCCTCACCCCTCTTGGTCTCTTTTTCTACCCTCCCGCTTGGCCGCTTAGCCTCAGACTAGTGCTTGAACTAACAAACGAACCAGGTCTACATCGTTGGTTCGGCGTTTCTCTATCTTTATGTTCTCATCACCCTCCTCGAATGGCGTGAAAGCCCGACCCTTGTCCATGGTATCTTCTGGGTCCTTGGCTTGGCTGGCGAAACCATCATCCTCCTCGCTTCCGCCGTTACAATTTCCGACGGCGGTTACCTTACGTATTTGGCCGATTCCAACTCCGACTCCGATCTTGAGTTTTGGGACATTCTCGACCTAGGCATTGCAGGAATCCGCGTTTGCATCCTCATCATTTTGGTCAGCTTGTACGGCGCCATCGCACGGAAACGGCTGGAAGAACGCCGCTTTCTCGACGAAGAGGCCCAGCGGTCGGATTCCGATGAGGGCAGCCCCCTGCTGGGCGCGAACAGTGACGACGAAGGCCGAGTCAACGGACACGCGAGGCGAAATATCCAATACGGAAGCACGACAAGAGATCCCCGACGAGACTCGAACATCAGGCCGAACGAACAGGGCACGCCGCAACAGGACAACGAGGCCGCCTTCTACCGATCCGACAAAATTCCCCACAAGACATGGTTCGAATACTGTCGGGGGTATTCGGTTTTCTTCCCGTACCTCTGGCCCAGCAGATCGAGCAGGCTCAAGGGCGTCGTTGTGCTCTGCTTCGTCATCGTCATCCTACAGCGCGTGGTCAACATCCTGGTTCCTGCCCAGCTTGGTGTTGTTACCGACATATTCGAGAAACGGAACATCGACAAGGTCTGGTTTGAGCTTGGGCTCTTAATATTGTACAAGCTTCTCCAGGGCCCCTCGGGCCTGTTGGGATCGATTCGGTCGATTCTCTGGGTGCCTGTTTCGCAGCATACCTACCGCGCCTTGACGACAGCTGCCTTCGAGCATGTTCATTCCCTCTCGTTGGATTTCCACCTAGGAAAACGCACCGGCGAGGTTCTTTCGGCACTCAACAAGGGCGCTTCGATCAACCAGTTTCTTGAGCAAGTCACCTTCCAGGTAGTACCGATGCTTGTGGATCTTTTGGTGGCCATTGTTTACTTCTATATTCGCTTCGGTTCGCTCTACGCCCTCTTTGTCTCGATCATCACGTTCTACTACCTCTACCTGACCATTCGCATGGGCGCTACTCGGGCTGATCAGCGTCGCGAGATGGTCAATGCGGACCGTGAGGAGGAGGCTGTTAAGAACGACTCTATCATGTCGTACGAGACGGTCAAGTACTTCAATGCCGAAAGGAGGGAGTTTGATCGTTACGGCAACGCTATCAAGAAGTTCCAGGACGCAGAGGCCAAGGTCACATACGGTATCAACCATATGAACATGTGCCAGTCGGTCGTGTTCATGTGTGGTTTACTGGTTGCGCTACTCACTTGTGGCTACCAGGTGTCGCGTGGCGATAGGACCGTGGGCGACTTCGTGCTACTCGTCACCTACCTCAACCAGCTACAGGGGCCGCTCAACTTTTTTGGGACCTTCTATCGTACAGTGCAGTCAGCTATGATCTCCGGTGAGAGACTACTCGAACTCTTCAAGATCCAGCCTACCGTCGTGGACAAGCCCGGTGTTGAGGCCCTCAAAGAGTGCAACGGCCATATCAAGTGGAACGAGGTTGGGTTCTCGTACGACAAGCGCAGGACAGCCCTTCAAAATCTCTCGTTCGAGTGCAAGCCAGGCACCACGACCGCTTTTGTTGGAGAGTCCGGCGGCGGCAAGTCGACTGTGTTCCGCCTGATGTTTCGGTACTACAACTGTCGCGAGGGAAGTATCGAAATCGATGGCCACGACGTTAAGGATGTGACGATCGACTCGGTGCGCGGCTTCATCGGCGTCGTTCCACAAGACACCATTCTCTTCAATGAGTCGTTGATGTACAACCTGAAATACGCCAACCCCAGTGCGACCGACGAAGAGGTATTCGATGCCTGCCGCGCAGCCGCCATTCACGACCGTATCATGAGTTTCCCAGACGGTTACTCGACGAAGGTGGGAGAACGAGGCCTGCGGCTGAGCGGTGGCGAGAAGCAGCGGGTGGCAATTGCTCGCACCATTCTCAAAAAGCCGAAGATCATCATGCTTGACGAAGCAACGTCGGCGCTCGACGGGGAGACCGAACAAAAGATTCAGTCGAAACTGATTAGCGGCAAGTTCGGTGAGGATCGCACGCTGATGATTATTGCGTGAGTAGCCGCCATTCCTCGCTCGATTGTTCCCGAGTCATCTAACCGTGTTTTTCTGTTTGTTCTAGCCACCGGCTCTCGACGATCACCCACGCCGATCAAATCATTGTCCTTCATGCGGGCACCATGGTGGAGAAAGGCACCCACCAAGAGCTTCTAGCCCTCAATGGCCGCTACACGGCTATGTGGGAGAAGCACTGCCGCGCCGAGCGAGCGGCTGAGCATGCTCGCGACGCCACTAGGAAGGCGAAGAAGTTATTGAGCCAAGCAAACCTCGGCAACGACGGCTACAACAGTATGCTCTCGTCGGCGATTCTTCCCACGGCCCCCCACAGCCCCGTTACGACCGCCGACGAAGCTCGTGACACCGATTCGGTTTCCTCCCACACCAGCGACAGCACCTCGAGCGGGTCCGAAAGCACCCTTCAAGACGATGCGCCGGAGAACGGCGAAGGGGGGCCTAACAAGCCAGCCGAAAGCGCACGGCCACCACTTTACTCATACCCGTCCGAGTCCTCCGCTGGGCGTTCGACCGATGCGTCAATCTCTCCTTGAATGATACCAAATTCTGGCTTGGGCAGTTGAGCTAGAGGCAGCACCGGACGTCGACTTTTATTGTCCTTCACACACAACATCAACATCTACCGAGCGACAGAAACCTCATGACGCCTTTTATTCCGGCGAAAAATCCCGCACGAGGTACACGAGACCTCCACTTTAATACCCAGGAGACATCGGGCGCACAACGACGACGGATGATCGACGTGATCAGCCGCAGCTCCACGAATCATGACTTCTACATTCGCAGTCTCTCGACCCAAAACGGGGCCTCCGGGGAAGACTGCCGACTAAACGAAAAACTTAATACCTCTTGAGCTGATTTGCTCTACTCGGACTTCTGTGTGTTGTTTACATAACTTTTTTTCCTCTTTCTGGTGTTAAGGTGTTTATTTTATTTTATTTCATTTCCCACAAGACCGAGTAGGATAGGCGATGGAAAACGAACACATCATTGCTTTGTTCTTGGTGTTTTTGCCCTGTGGGGGGCGGCTCGCTGCACTGGTTTTGCCTGCTCACAGGCGCCGTAATGAATGAGAAATGACCATGATTCCCAAAGCATGGGCGGCGTTGTTCTTCTATCATCTATTTTATGTTCTGTTTTATTTCATTTAACTTCGTTGTTTGCCCTTTTTAGCCCCGGGCCGGTCTGTGGGTTTGATCTGATGGCTTGTTATCGACCTTTTTATTTACACCGGCTTGTTGGGGGGAATGAGGGTGTGTTAATGGGAAAGGAAGGGAAAGGGAAAGAAAGGCAAGGTTCGGACGGCATGGTAAGGGAAAGGGGTAAATGGTGGCAAGGCGCGGGCGATGGGAATGGGACATGGGAAATGGAGCATTAGGGACTTAGGGACAGGAGAAGGCAGGCAGAATGACCGGTCATAGGGTTGTCTAGTTACTGATTTGGTGTGCGATACCATGGTTTGTGGCCTCAGGCGTGTGTTATTCGTCATGCATCAGATTCCTTTAATTACCGGCCGGCGTAGTGGGAGCGAGGGAGAGGTATAGACAATGATATCCTTGATAAAGTGAAGGTTTTCCTAGATTTTCAGTGGGATTGGTTTCTAGCAATGTCATGATACCTGTTCCTTGCTCTGAAATGAGTTGGTAAAAGTTAGCTTGGGAGGACCACTCCGCTTGCCGGCAAACTAGGACATTCAAGACTGATGTCCAATTCGGCTAACACAGAATATAACATGTGCGAGAGTTGGTTCTTTCATCCCGGCATGTTTGATACACCGGCCATTGTGATATTTTCTTGGGTTTACCTCAGTCTACCTGTTCCAACGGACAAGGTGTTATCAATGACGAGGTTAAATAAGGCAAGAACAAACTCTCGACCTCTCAGCATCACGGCTTTATTTTCCCTGTACATCCAAGTCAAATGTTTGCGCTCCTACACCGAGACGGTCAATCACCGTACCTGGGCTTCTACGTCTTACAGCATCCATTCATCTCGTTATTCCCCCATCTAGCTCCTAGGTCGCCCTAAAATACCACGAGTAGAGGCCGGGTCAGTAAAAACATCGAATTGACCTCGCCAGCCGGTCATAAATAGCTCAGTATGTGTACAGTACACGACGGTGTGTCGAACCGCCACGCCACACCCACATCGCCTTGGAACAACATGCAACGCCTTGTACACCTTTACCCCAGGACCCATCACACCTGTCTCCATTCTCCAGGCACTTTCCCAAAACGGCCAGCCGATAGAGAAACAAAGGCCAGTTCGACCAAAGTAAGGATTGAAATGTCAAATGCAGTGCCAAAAAAACAAATATGCGTAGAAAAGCGAAATATGTTTTTCTTTCGCCATCATTTGGTTCTTTCTCTTTTTATCTACTTGTGTGCTGTTATCATTATCATCCCCTCATATCCCCCTTGAACTTGTCCAAAAATGGTCATTATAGAATGCGTGTGGTCTTCTCGAACCATTACAACGTGGTAGTGTGTGGTTGTGTTGTACAAAGGAAGCAAAGTCCAACATAAAATAAAGCCAAACAAAAATCAGCTTTACCTGCTCCTCTTCGTCGTGGCGCCATTGGCGGTCGCCGTCCCGTTGGCGACAGCAGACGCGTAGGCCCCCTTCTCCTTGGCCACCCCGTTGGTGATCGCATGCCCATTACCGTTAGCAATGGCGGCAGTAGTCGCGCTGCTGCTATCGGTCGTGATCTCCTCGAGCTCTGACTCGTCGACATCGCTGCGGTCATCCTTGGCGACATTGTGGACGGCGAAGCGGTAGGCGATACGCAGGATGAAGAAGAGCCAGAAGAGGTTGAGGGCCTGCAGGGAGCTGAGAAGGCCGAGGGTGATGACGAAGGAGAGGGTGCATTTATACTGCTGGGTCTCCCAGTTCAGCTCGTAGGGGCCGACCGTCTTGAACTCGGTGAAGAGGCTGATGAGGATGCGCAGGTTGAGGTAGTGGCGCAGGTAGACCCAGGCGCACATGAAGGTGAAGTAGTAGGGGCCGGTTAGCCAGTGGTCCAGGTAGTTGAGGGTTTTGGAGGTCTGGGGAGTTAGTTGGTTAGCGGGAGGTACGGAACATTTAGGGAAGGTTCTTGAAGAAAGGAGGAGAGACATACGGCCAGGAAGAAGTCAGAGATGTCGTGGGTAATGTAAACAGCCAGGCCCATGTAGGTAAAATGGAAACGGTAGCTGAGCCCGATGAGAGCCAGGCTGACAATGTGGTGACCGACGAGCTCCTTGAAGTCTTTGCGGGGCTTCTCCATTCCCAGGAGCAGCACAATGGCTTGCTGGGCCCAGTAGGCCGCCTGGAAGAGATAGTAGAACTTGAAGAGGGCGTCGTGGGTCTTGTGGGGGAAAGCCTCGTACATGGCGCGCGTGTTGAAGTACCACACGGGCGTGCGGCTCATGACGTACATGCCCGTGGGACCCAGCAAGCCAAAGTAGAGGGCCGTATACATCTGTTCCATGTAGCGGGCCTGCTTGCCGCGCGATCGGAGGCCTGCACGACGGGCCATGGGGCGCAGGACCTCTTGCATGATGAACTCGCGGGTAAAAGAGAGGACGACGGTGTAGAAGGCGACGAAAGCGATGTCCCAGCGGCCCTTGCCATACTGCTGGTATTCATCGGCGTCCGTGAGTGGCAGCTTGTACGAGAGGAAGATGAAGTGGTGGATCGGGTTCGACTCGGTCGGGTTGATGGCATAGAGAGCGAGGAAGACGAAGATGATGACTAGAGGTAACACCCAGGTGTGCTTGACAATGATGCTCTTTGCGCGGTGCAGGGCAGAGCGGGCTTTCCTGCGCTTGGAGAAGCGCTTCGATGGGGTCGCGGGACTCAATGCTGGTTCCTGTTGCCGTCAACATCATGTTCCTTCATTGTCCGTTGTCCTCCGTTTTTCGTCCTTTTCTCCCCTTCCTTCCCCCTTTTCCTTGCCAAGAGCTACGGATCGTACCTTTGAAGAGCCGCTTAGGTGGGCAATGCCTGTGGCGAGCGAGGGCGCTCCTGTGTCACCCAGGCGCAATTCACTTCCCAGGATGCTCGACTTTCTGCGCCGGCGGGGCGCGCTGGTATCCGTGGCTGTTGACTGAGACTGGAACTGGCGATCGGCTGCCGCGCTGAGCGGCGGAAAAGGTTCGGAGCCGCCCGCCATTTTTTGTTATGTTCTGCCAATTGTTCTCAGTCCTCCTTGTATTATCCTGCCGGGCTTCGTTCTCGTTGTGGTTATAAATAATCGGTGAGCTCGGATCGGAGGCGCGTGAGACCGCGTGACCTTGACAGTCGGGGCAGGCGAGCACACAGCAAGACTGCAAAATCTCCGAGATGCTCGATTCGCGATTGAAGGCGTCTTTAGGGTCCAGCGACACCACCAACCCAGCCTGCACAAAAGTAATTGGGTTGTTTCGTCACAACGTTACAACATACAATGAAGATAATGAAAATCGTGGGAAAGGGGAAAGTAGCGGAGGAAGGGAAAAACAACCACAGCGAGTTGTAAGTGACGAATGGAGTCGAGCACAGGAGGCAGCGTGCATAATACCCAATCCTCGACGCGCGGGAAGCCGATTGGCGTTGAGATCGCTCCACATTTGCCGGATGCTGAATTTCTTTTCTGCTGGACCCCGGCGCTTTTTTTCCTCTCCCCTTTGCAGCCAAAGCGGTGCTTTGGAAGTCCGATAACCCCTGACTGTTACCGATTTGGCTCCACCAAACTGCATCGGGTAATCATGACCAGCAGGGGTATGACAGCACACATTGTTTCGCTGCAATACATAGTAGTATGCTTGGAGGCATGACAACTTTGACAACTTACCTCAGTTACGTTACTAGCCTCTTCATCCTTGACACGAAAACCGTACAGATCGGCAGTTATGCTCATGGCTCTTGTCAACGTTAATAATTAATAGAAAAATAATTTCCATTTGCAATCCTCATGCGCGGGCGCAAGAGATGCAAGACATAGAAGGGCAACTCTTATCATCTTCCTCCAAGGCACCTCCCCCAAAAGGGAGGTAAATATCGGCCTTGATACCACCCTGTTTCATTATGGGGATGCGGGATAGGTGCTAATCCACGTTAAGTTCTGTGGACAAAAACGGAATATGCTTTGATTCCTTACTCTTTCCTCCGCTCTTAACCCCCGGTCTTCGAGGTCCCACGGCTTCAGTGACAGCAAGACTTGTATTGTACACTATGTGGCCTCGCGGTTCTTTTTTGGCTTTTGACCAATTCTCTTTTGGCAGCAACACCCGTTGGATCAGCTGCTGCACGGGGAATACTCTTTATCATAATTGTGGAAGACGCACGAGGATTGCCACCATCTTTTCACTGGGGAAATATTGAGTTTGAGTCACATCCGTTCATATCCCATTCATGGACAATATCGACTGTCATAGGATGAAGACAAACGAGTTACGTAGTCAGCTAACCGGCTCCCATGCCAACCATGCCAGCCATCAAAAAACCCTATTCATCACATGGTATCCATATCCTCAATCAAGACATATCCCCAAGAACCGTCCCACAACCTCTTATAACTCCGAGAAACGAAGAAAGCCAAGAAAAACACCATCAAAGGGACGGTAGAAGCGAACTGTGCGCCATGTAGTCCCGTGACCCGACCGTCACAAATCCCCGTCCTAATTTTGTTATTCCGACACTCCCATTTCCCCTTTCTACGCTTCCCATTCCCAGGAGATCCGACGGGGTAATGATACCCAACGAGTGAGGAGGAAAATGTTGGAACGACCAATTTGTTTGGATGCCCGCTCCCGCGCATCGCTTCGCTTGTAAATGCTCATCAAAACAAACGCCTCCCAAAAAATCAAGATATACAGGATAAAAAGAGACCGCGGAATCAAGGCAATGGCGAAGTACCCGCTGATCCATCTGGGCTGGGCGCCGCTTGAACAGGACGAGGGTGTGGGCGATGTGGTTCCAGGGCCGTGGCCTCTTCCCTTCCGCCTCGTCGTGTCCCTTCCCCGCCTTGCTCGCTCTGATGACCAGCCTCTTCCTCTTCCAGCAACTGTGCGAGCGCGGCCCCGCGGCGTGGTGGTGCGGGTATCACCGTCACCGGCAAGCTGTCGGTGTCCAGCGTAGTGCGGAACCGATCCCGTAAACGGTCGGCTTGAGTAACGGCGAAATCCTCAAAGCGGCTGCGGAAGTCCCATCTGTTGCTGCCAGTTGCGCCTGCATTCCCGTTCCTGTTTCCGCTCCCACTACCAGCTCCGTGGTTACCGTCCTGTCGTGGCCATGGTGGCGGTTGTCCCGTCGCGGGGGTTGGCGTGCTCTCCTCGGCGGCTGCATGTTCAATATCGGGATTTGGCGGCCGGTGGAAAGGAAGTCGCTGGGTCATGGAGCGCCATCGGTTAGACGACGGCATAGGTTTTGGAGGAGGCACCGGGGTGGTCGAATTTGATGGAGCAGGCGCCTCACCGGCCGCACTCTGGGCCCCAGGTACAGACGCATCGTTCGAAGCAGTGCTATCCCTTCGGGACACTGGCGTGTCACTTCGCGGAGGGGGTGGGGTGCGTGATGTTGTTTCCGTCAGGGTGTGGTATCTGACGGCGTAAACAGTGCTCGCTGCACTGGAGGTGTCGGCGCGGCTGATGGGCGTGGCGGCCGCTGGTGGTCGCGCCGGCCATAATGGGGGTTGTAGGAACCGTATCCTATCATGGTTGGTTGGTTGTGTATTGTTGGTGTCGGCTGGTCGCACGGCAGGCCGTTTGGCCTTTGAGCGAGATCTATATCTCGATGCTATCGCTGCCACTGCCGGCCATCTATTGTTAGTGGTCGCCCCGCCTGCCGCCTGGCCTTCATCTGACCCGCTTCGTCCTGTGTCAAAGCTCGAAACCTTATCCTCATCCTCAAACTCTGTCTTCCTCTTTAGCCCGTTACTTGAACGAGCGATGTCCAACATCTCGTCTCCGTCAAACACTTCCCTGCCGAGAATCCCATCCTTCTTTTCTTCTCTTTCCAAAGCTTCTATTCTTTCCACCCATTCCCATACAATGACGCTGGCGGCTGCTGCTCCTACCCACCGGACGTACTCGCCCCATCCGGTGAACTCGGGCTGAACAAGATCCAAAATGAAAAAGACAACCGGGATCAGGATTGCCAACAGTGATAGGACCGCTACTAGTAGCATATTTTGCATTTGCGGGTGCCAAAAGGAGTAGCGCTTCTTCAGAAGCGCGTAGTATATCACCCACGCGGCATAGAGAACGCCGAGCGAGAGCGCAAAAAGATAACTGAGCGCGGGAACGGGATGCTTGAAGGAACCGGGCCGCGCCGGGCCTTGCTCAAACATGAAGCTGTTGAGCGACTGGAAAATGACGTCGAGGGTGATGAGTGCGAAGGCGGTCCATTTAATAACAACCTTTTCCCGTTGGCGTGGGAAGAGGCGGATGAGAGTTTGGGCTTGGGCAAGCCAAAGGAATGTGTTGGATATAATGCGAATGATTTTGAGTTCATTACCTCCCAGTACCTCTAATTGCAGTTTCTTCGCGTTTGGGAAGCCAGTGGAGTATTGGGCTTCGGCGGCTTGGAACGTGGCTGCACTAGCGATGGTCAAGGAGACAGCGACTGTGGTGGCGGCAACCTTCTGTAACCAAGGACGTCCACCGATGGTCGGGCCAGTTCCCCCGTTTGTAAACCCCCGTCCACCGAGGACGACAACCCCGCCGTCGAGAAACGAGCGTGGGGTGACGAAGAGCATGATGACTAGCGTGTAAGCCACAACAGTAGTGGTAGCCAAGGCATAGCACTGCGGGAACGTCGAGGCGTAGAAGGCGTCCTGGATATCCGAGTAAATCCATCCATCCCCAGAATCCTCGGAGTCGTCTGCGGCGTTGTCGATGGTGACGGATCCTCCCCCGCCGTTCGCGATGATGGCGGGGGGCGTGACCGGGGTGCAGACCGGTTTGAAAGCCGCGGCGGCGGTGAGGGTGACAATGTCGCCATTGGGCATGGAAAGGATGCCTCCCACGGGGAGGCTCAGTCCATTGCAGCTCCGGTCCACCACGGGCGTCGGGGTCGGCAGCACCGTGGTGGCCGTCAGGCCGGCAAAGAGCTGTCGCGGCTGCATGAATGCGCGGAATCAACGACGGGCCTCCGCCTATGTTTCAGCTACGCGCGCAATTGCCATGGAAAGATCGAGGGAGCTACTGTCGAGGTTGACGTTGTTTTGGCGAATGACGAGGCACGAGCCGGCGGGTGTCGTCGCGTTAGGATACCTCAGCAGTCTCGAGCGACCGCGCGGCGGCTGTTTTCCCTGGAAACGGTCGAAGGGCTTTCCCAATCAATCCTCACGGTGTATCGTCGCGGCCGAGAGGTCATGAATTCCAGGCCGGTGAGTCCGGAAGGCCAAGAGGAATGTTTTGAGGTCGTCGTAATGTTTGGCGTGGGGAACGATGGTTCGAGGCCTGGGCGCCCAGAACTTCCTCGTGGCCACGAGCAGAAACGGGTCTTGGTGCCCGTTCTGTCAGGGAATGAATGGGAGTGTCGTCGCGTTTGGGAAAATCGGCCGGCCAAGTCCTTGTGGGTACGAGGGGGTTGTTAGTACGTGCGTGTTTCGCCAGTGCAGGGCGCCTTGTGCTGCGTTTTTCTGGCCGATTCGCGTTCGTTCCGTTGGCCGGTCTCGAAAGTGTTTTGAAGTCAAGTCCACAGCCGGGGAATGGGGGAGGATGAACCCTTCAGCAAATTCCCAGGGGAGACGGGGGGCGGAAGAGCATCAGCGAATACACAGTGCGTCAGCGGGAAGATACTGCCCGAGTGTCCCCTTTTCGGGAACCGGGTGAGTGGGGCGACCTAGTGCTCCCTGCTGCTTCTCATGTCACAAACAGGAGACTCAGACACTCAGAGTCAATAGGTCCACCGAACGAGGAGTTTTGCGAGCGAGCATTTGTCGGTGACCGGTGATTTCTCTCAAATCAAGTCGAGCAACTCCTTTCAAAAATGCCGATCCCCATAGGTCCAACTTGGGCGACTGATGATGCGTTTTCTCTTAACGCGGGATTTAACCAGATAACTGACGGCTGGCTCCGATGCATAAAAGGGTCGACTAAGACATGCCGGCTCCTGCAGGGCAAGAAATGAAAAAGATGGGGATTTAATTAGCGCTTATCGACCTGTGAGCTTTTCCCCGCGGGGGGGAATCAAGCAGCCACCTGCAAATGCTGCAAGCACCGGCACATCAATCAACCCCGAAGCCGCACTGTGTGGCCAGACTTGCCCAGCGCTCTCGAGGAATTGGACCCACTCTGCAGCACCATCCTGTCGAGGAAGGCGGGCTGCGCCTCATTCTCTGATGGACAAGTGAGGGGTCTCTCGCACACAATTTCAACATCCTGCAGGTCTTCTTCAAGACCTGCCATCTCACCAGCAATTCGTCAGACCCTGTTGCCGTGATTTGTGCCCGCGTGTGCGCAGTTGCGCCTGCTTTGCTTTGCCGTCTTTCGGAAGTTCGAGCGCATTTCAAGTGCTGCTGTTGCCTTCTGAAACATTCCCAGACATACCCGATCGTCACAGGCCCTCCCGCATTGAGAAGAGGGATAAAATGGGGACTTCAAAACCAATCCTCATAATGCGGGTTGTCGGCCCTGGGGCACCAAGTGGGCCGCGATGTTGGTGTCGACGCCGAACCCACCTTTTCTTGCGTCAGGCTCGAGAGGTTATCGTAGTCCTTCGGAAGCTGCATCCCATCAGACGATCATTCCAAGTTATAGTGTACGTTAACGTTACTGTGTTGTTCTGCGTGCATAATGTAGAACTCGCCGAACATGCCCACTGTTCGGATCGGCCACTTTCTCCACCATTCCGGCAAGCGAGGGAGGGGATGGACTGCTCGGGCTCGACATCTCCGGTCGAGGTAATATTTAGCGATCCTTGGGCGCGAATTGTTAGCCCATTTGATACGGTCTTGGGTCCACGACATCATTGCGAACAACAGCTGAGGTCAACGACAGACAATGCCATTCAGTTTAAACTTTGTTTGACAGGCAGGAAACACGTCGCCAAGCGGGGAGTTCTGCTGGCACCCGAACTTGGCAAGGCTTGTATTTTGTGGGGTAGGGCCTTGGCGACGTCCCGGCAGGACGTTCCCTTTCGAAGGTCCGGCAAAGCGCCTGCGAGTTGAAAGTACGTCGTGTCGAAGAATCGAGAAAGAAGGAAGAAGCCAAGGTTGGGAAGAAAATCACATACAGGGTCAACCTTCGTGGTCTGGGTTATCTGTTACCCAACGAGTTTTAAAAGCGGGTTTCCGTCTCTTCTCGCGATACCTACACGAGGTCAAGAGACAGCGCTGTTTGTTTCCGAAAGACAGAGTCACGTCCGACAGTCTCCGCCCGTGCTGTGCGGCAGAACAGAAACGGAGCACCACTCCAAGCGCCCTTACCCACGTTATTTCATACCCCTTCGACAAGAGCGTCGAACCGTCGAAATAGACCAGACCGTCGCGACGCAGGTTTTTGACGGTAAGTTTCCAAGTCTACCAAAACCAGCCTTGCCAACTCGCTTAATGTACACTAGAACGAGAAGCTCTTTTTCTGCCCCCCTAACCTTGCAGTTACTATGTACTATGGAAGGTGTTAGAGGGCGACGCCCACGGCTTGCCGCCTCAGGATGCCGCCCAGTCCACTGCTGCGCATCACTCGGGTTGATCCCCAAGCAGGAGGCGCAGATTGGATAGCTAGTTACTGGAAGTTTCTGTCTTGTCTGCACGTGATTCGTTCTGCGCAACCGTGATTCTTGACTCGAGCATGTTTGAAAAACGCTGCTAACTTGTTGAGGGGCAAGCCATCTCCTCAACCCCACCTTACCCCTCGTGGATTAGCACGTGATGGGGATGCGGGGCCTTCGATGGAAGATTGCATTTCAGGTTGTGGTCAAACCCATTTGTTTCAGGTTCATTCGTCTCTTGGCGTTCCCTTTTGGGTTACCTGGCTCCTGGCATGGCATGTGCATTGCGATTTCCTTTTTAACTTTCCGGCCCCTCCAAGCTGTAAACAGCCTACAGTAAAACTCATTCATAAAATCAGAATTATTGAACCTCTTTGGGCAATACATTGTCGGGCACTAAGGAGGATAAAGTGGGCGTGTGTTGTTTGCTTGAATTCTCAGCTCAAAAGCTCATCGTGGTGGATCCTCCAAAGGCGCGAGGCTCGGCCAGGACACCGAAACAACCTGTTGACGCCAAGCCATCAGCGCTCCAAGGGCTAAATAAAAAAGAGTGGGGCAGCTTGATCCAGCTCGGTCGCCCTCCAGCCGCAGCTGCGCTTTGCGAACATTCAGGGGTTCTGCTCAAGGTCATTTTCCAGACCCCAACAAGCGCAATCGGCAATTGTGCCACGGCTGAGCGAAAATTCTAGCGGCCCAACGTCCATTGCAAAAACACTCGCTGATCACCGGGAAACATATTTTTGAAGAATCATTTGCGGGGCTCTTTTCATGCTGGAGTCCACGATCCAGCAAGCTCCGGCGCCATGACGAGGCCACACATTATTCGCGCTGGTACGCTGGGCACCCCCCTACCTGCCCCCTCCCTTCATCTCGCCTGCCCCTGGCGGTGCGCGCCGCCTTGAACGGGGTTCCCTGTGGCTAGGTTTACCGGACCACGCCGCCTGGGCTTTCCTCCCAAGGTCCCACGCGCTCTCCCTGCCTCACCTGCATGCCCCAGTCCGTGCCGCACTAGGCTTTGCTTTCCGTGAAACCCGTTGCTCTGACACCTTCCACGCTCTCTCTCCTCGCTAGACACCATTGACCTCCAAACCCACGAAGCGCCGTCTGCGCAACGACACCACAGACCGGCCCCCGACGACGGAACCCTCGCCCCACACCAAGCCGAGACTCTTCGCGAGGTCGCCGTCGAAGCCGCCGAAGAAAACCTCCGCAGCCCCGGTGTCGCGTGGAACCCCGAGCCCGACGACATCCAAGACCTCGTGATTTCCCTCGACCCGGCCATTGGTGGCCCGCGAAACGGAGCGGGGGATACAATGCGCTCTGGCACCCAGCAGGATGCGCTGGCTGTTGCCCAGAACGGCGGGCATGCCGGCCAAGAGGTGGACGATGGCGACATCGAGGGGGACGCCGATGTTGATCTGGACGACGACATGATGGACAAGATCTCGAGTTCTCCTTCAATTGAGGATGGTGGGTCACCGCGTGCTCTTTCGGGTTTTCTCCCCACCACAATTCTTCCACCACCAACAGCTTCTCCAAGTATCAGCGACCCGAGGTCTTCTTCACCATACCTTGAGAGTCCCGAATACCTGCCATTGGAAGAGGCAAATCGCGAATTGCGCCAGCGCGCAGAAGTAGCACAGTCCCCCCTTGTTATTAGCCCAAGTTGTCATCATTATCATGACGGTGAGTTCGAGGCTGTGGCCACTGCCGACGATGATGCGGACGACGACGAAGACGACGACAACGACCTGGCGAACAAAACTAGCAGTCTCTTCGATTGCTTCGACTTTGGCGACAATCTATTTTTGCGGGATGCACGACAAGACAACGGCGCTGAGACGAGCTGGCAACTACCACCAGAACACGCAGAATATGAGATGGGCGATGGTTTTGATATCCAGGAACACGAATTCGACGACCTCACGGTACCGTACGATCCCGACGAACTATACGATAATGACGACGACTACTACAATAATGTTAATGTTGATGATGATGATGATGACTATTTTCTTGACTTGCATACTTCCAGACATGTCGACTCCGGCTGGGGTGGCGAATGCTTACAACACACAGAGGACATCGATTTCGATTTCGTCTATGCTCTCCACACGTTTGTGGCGACTGTCGAGGGGCAGGCCAATGCGACTAAGGGTGACACTATGGTTCTTCTCGATGATAGCAACAGCTACTGGTGGCTGGTACGGGTTGTCAAGGATAGCAGCATTGGTGAGTGCGCCTGATACTATCCTATCCTAGGTACAGCCGCTGATCGTACTTCACCTTTTTACCAGGCTACCTACCGGCGGAGCACATCGAGACACCAACAGAAAGACTTGCTCGGTTGAACAAGCACCGGAACATTGATGTAAGCTAGGCATTTATTAAGTGTGATGAGGGATAGGCTGACACAGTATAGTTGTCCGCGTCTATGCTCGGGGATCAGCCGGACAAGGCGAAAAACGGCATCAGGTCCGCTATGAAGAGGAGGAAAGCCAAGAATGTTCAATTTGCCGCGCCGACTTATGTGGACTACTCGGACTTTGATTATTCGACGGAAGAAGAGGACGCCGAGATATCTGTCTTTGCACAACGACAGCAGCAAGGACAACAAACCCAACAATCGCAGCAGTCTGCTAGCGATACAAACATGGACGACGAGGCCGCCCGGGTCGAACCGTTGAAGCCGAAGTCACAAGCAAAGGCCGAGTCTAAGCGACAGGAGGCTAATAGCGACGCGGACTTGTTAACTGCCGACAGGGGCTTGTTAGGCGCCGATGATGCTGCCGATGGCAAGGCGGAAGGGCCGAAGAAGTCGAGCGACGGTACTGTTCGGGACTCATTCTTCAAGGATGATACCGTCGAGACCAAGAAGATCACGCTGACACCAAACCTGCTGCGTGATGATACTGCACCGCGCACCTCGGGCGAGTCTAAGGAAATGAAGCAGCGGCCGAGCTTGGACAAGCTCGAAAAGGACAACGTTTTTACCAAGGACGACAAGAAGAAGAGCAAGAAAGAGAAAGAAAAGGACAAGAAGCCTGGTGGCTTGCGGGGCTTCTTCTCTCGGAAAGACAAGAAGTCGAAGGGAGAGGAGGACGACGACTCGTTTGGGAAGCGGTCGATGGACGCAGACGCTCCGGAAAAGGACGATGACGAGGAGGCGCAACCATCACCGGAGAAGTTGGGGCCACAACGAACACCAAGCAAGCTGCAAAAGCAGCCCAGGGGCGACCCGTCCCCGACGAGGAAATCAAAGGAAAATGGCGGGGAAGCCAAATCATTTTGGTCGGATGGGAGGGTCAACAACGTCGCAAACGTCCCGCCGACATCGATGCGCCTCGTCGAAGCCAGTCCGAAAGGGTCCCCGCAAACAAGCCCACGAGAACAACAAATCGAGCAGGAAACGCCTGTCAAAGCCAAACCCACAAAGCCCGTCAAGGCCAAGGCCGCAAAATCGCGGGTCGAACTCGACGACTTCGACAGCGACGAGGAAATTATCCAGGCCCCAACACGGGACGACCCGGCTTCGGAAGAAGCCACCCAGCAGCAGCCGCAGCCCTTCCAGAACAACATCAACGAAGCTACAGCGGAAATCCAGCCTGCGCTAGCACCACCCCCATCAAGGCCCGCCCCCGCTGCGCCTACCGAGACGGTGTCGCCGCGCACGGTCACCGAATCACCGGTCCAGGAGTCCCCCATCAGCAGCAGCAACCCGCCGCAGCTGATGGCAGACCACTCAAGCCAGGAAGAGGACCGGGCCTCACCAGTATCCACACCCTCGCCGGAGCCGGTCGAACACGAGGACGCCGACACGTCCGGTCATAAAACGGCAACCACGCCGTCCACGGCTCGGTCCGAATCCTGGGACGACGCCAATCTACGGGCCTTCTTCGACTCGGGCTCTGATATTCGCGACTTGTTGATGGTGGTGTACGATAAAAATAATGTGGACGATGTCGGACCTGATCATCCTGCAGCAGGGTCGTTATTCAGGGAGCAAAATGCCAAATTGGCGGAAATTACGACGGTAAGCATTCCAAACGACGTTGCGGAGAAAGTGCTGCGTGTGTGCAACGTGCTAACGAAATATGTCACAGCGCCTTGATGATATGCTTGGGGATTGGCTGGCTCGTAAGCAGAGACTGCGCGGTTCTGTCTGAGAAAGACAGTGAGAAAACAACGAGACATGCGCCAACGAATGCTTCTTTTTTTTCTGGTGACGCTGCCACGTTGACGAACGCCGGTATTATCTTTTATCCACATACCTCGCGATGGGCAGTACTAGCCTACCTACTCGACTGAGAGTAATTGATGGGCGGCTCCTTACGCATCACGATCTGACACCTGCCCCTTCTCTACTCCCCTCTTCTTCTTCCCCTCTCCATCCTTGAATCTACACTTCTTGGTCCCCGGTGGATTCCCGGAATTGAACGAAATCGGGGCGTTCATGTTATTTTCGTTTTCCGTGGTGGTGCTGCGATTTCTGCAACAACACATCATCTACTCTCTCCGTTTTAGGACGTTGTTGAGGAATGGTGTTGATTCTTTTTGGGTGCGCGAAATTTGGTTAACTCGTGCCATCCTCATTACCAGTGGGGGATGTTTTCATTCTTCTTGAACCTTTTCTTCATGTGCTTTTCTCCCCTCGGTTTTTTTTTTCTTATGATATGACGATACCCATATAACCGGAATTATATTTTTGTCGTTCTTCGTCTTGACACCTGATACGCTCGCTGTGCACGGAATGAATTTTGAAATGCTGCTTGAGTCTGTATGTTGTGTGGATGTTGTTGTGAGCGACTGGCCAGCTTTGGCCCCTAATTATTTCGAGCTTTCACATGTGCATTCCCATGGTCAACAAAAAATGGCCGCGGTAACTTTGATGACATGCAGACGGTGCTTGGCATTCAACAGGGGTCGGTGGCCGGAGGGGCCTCGGCGCCGGGCCTCTGCCGATTCCCCCAAAATGGGGGAAAATGTCAGTTTGCGATGGGGACGGGATTGTCCCGAGCCCCGGGAAACGGGGTTAGCTACACCCGAAGACGGGTGGTTTGTTGAGGGTCCGGTATGTCGGCTGTTAGAAAGAGGGGGTTTAAACCGTTGGGCGACTTGCATAAAGACAAGAGGTCTCAGGGCCGGGCTGATGAGACTTTCCGACGGAGTCGTGGCCCGTCTTACATACATAGTACTCTTTGATCGCGGCCCGGAGCTGTTGATTTTGAGTGGAGATGCCGTACCTAGCTGAATGGACCAGGGATGTTTTGTGTAGGTAGTGTACCTAGGTAGGCAGCTGTAAATAAATAGGGGCTTTCCTTAAAGATCTGCGCGGTCGAGTCGTACAGAGTAACCTAACTTTTTTGAGGACGTTTCAACTTAACTACCGAGTTCACCTTGAGGATTTTATTTCATCTGGCTTCTCTTTAACGGTTTCCTTTCAGTTTGAGTGTCATTACGAAAATCGACAGGGGAAGAGGAAAGCAGAATTAAACACGATGGATTCGCTCATTGATTTCGCGTCGACCAACTGGTCGTATTACACGGTAGGTTTTTTTACCGAGTCTTTGACGGCTTCCATGACAACAACCTTCACTCAATAACTGTCAGATTGAGGCTAATCAAGAGGCTGGACATGAGTTAGATCCCCGTGGCGTTCAGCCTGTGCATGGCTCCGCACCTGTACTCGATTAAGCTGGCAGGCAAGAACCACGATCTAGCGTAGTGAGTCTCGTCTGGTCTCGTCTTGACATCTGGGAATCCGTACTTATGGCCTCTATTTAGCCCTCGCAAGACAGAGGAACATTGCGCTAAGGACACCACCATTGACAAGCAGGTATGTTTTCTACCTCATATGTTTACGGCCATCTCCTATCAATCTCAACAGCCACGTCTTCCTTCTTTAAAACTTACACTAATGAGAAAAAGATTGTCCGCCGCATCTCCCGCGCCAAAGCAGCCTCCACCAACGGCTTCGAAACCCTCGGCCTGTATGCCGCAGCCGTCGTCGCGGCCAACGTCGCGCGGGTACCCAATGCCCGCCTGAACAAGCTGACGGTGCTGTACCTGCTGTCCCGCGCGTTGTATGTGTATACCTATGTGGTGCTGCAGGATAATGCGCGGGCGGCGCTGCTGAGGGTGGGCGTGTGGTTTGGAGGGATCGGGTTGATAATGGCGTTGTTTACGGCGGCTGGGAAGGCGGTTAATGCGGTGGGTGCTGTGTAGGGCGGGTGGGGGGATGAAGGGGTGTGTATGTGGTTTTAGTGTGCCGTATTTGTGTATGGGTTTATATACATCATGCTGTACTAGATAGACAAGCCGTCTTGTCTTAGGTTATCCGTTGCTTTCTAGCACCGTCTAACCCGAATTTCCTCCCTAACCAGACCTCCTCCTTCTGGATTTCACACTTATGCCACTATAACATAAAACCGCGTTAGTTTCACTGCCTCATCCAACTACTAACAGTCAAAGGAACATGAACGTACCCGGCCCGCCAACCTCGGTGGTGATCTCGCCGTCCTCGATGTAGACACCCGAGAAGTAAAAGTCCTCGTTGGCATCCGCATACCCATCACGCGGCAGCTCAAGCACGCCCAAGTGCCAATCAGCACCGTTGGACGACGTCGAGGCCGACACGGGGGCTACGACCTGCTCAAGCGGCGCATTACCCTCAGAGTGCCAGAAACCGACCGTGTTGGCTGAGAAGTCGATCTCGTAGGCGACGTTGTGCCAGACGCCGGCAACCCACTCGGTCTTCCAGTGGCTCTGCTGGCTGACCATCCACTGCAGGTTGGGGTTCTCGGTGCCCGACTCGCCGCTGATCCAGCCGTATTTCAGCTCGGTGAAGTGGCTCTCGAAGAAGTTGATCTGGTGCTCGCGGTTGACGCTCGGGGCGTTGGTGTCCTCGCGCTTGACGCTGAAGTGGTAGAACACCTTGCCCTGGTTGATGGCCGCGGTCGTCTGCGGGATCAGCTCGGTGCGCCGCATGTTCTGGCCGTTCCAGAAGGCGGTGCTGTCGAGGGTGAACTTGGCTCCCTGCGCCGACACCGCGTCGTCGGGGTTCTTGAAGTCGGGCGACAGGTTGATGTACTTGTCCACTGTGCCGGAGCCGTGGATGTAGTACTGGTACGGCCCGACCTGGTTGCCCCACGACCAGTCGTTGAGGTCGGCCGAGCTGCTCAGGTCGTTGAATCGGCCGTCCCAGATGACCGCGCCGTTGGCGGATGCCACGAGGGCCGCGAGGATGCCGGACTTCATGGTGGTGGCGAGAAGGGCAAGAAGAGGATGAAGTTGTGGGAGAGGATGGATCTGCACTCCTTCACCAAAAAGAGAACAGAGAGAGGAACGGTCCCTTGTATTTATATATTTATTTCCCCATGTCTACATCCCGCCATCGTGACGACCCGCCCCAAGTGCGACACCAAGCGACTGAATGACGAGCCAAGGCAAGGCAACGCAATCCCTCCGGTCTCTCAATCCGAACAAACAGCAATATCGGACACCCGCGCACTCCTCTAACCCACCCGGTAATTCGTCCCGCGAGAGGCGGACCTCCTCTCTTCGCACGTCAACCAGGGAACCACCACCAAACAGTGCACACTTCCGTAACGAACCCTACGGACATGAGCCTCCGGTAAACATCGTGGGCGAAACGCGAACGGGGGGGGAAATAGCGTTAACGTTAAAGTGGGTGGCCAGCATGATTTTTGTCTTTGCGACTTCATTTATAACCATGTCTGTGATCGACACTGGTTTAGCCTGTATCAGTCTGAATGGAGAACCTTCTTCCTCCGCGACTCCAAAACGTCTCTCCACAACGCAAGCGGGACCGGGACGTAAATAAATGGGTTCTCCCCCTTCCCGGGTATAATCCATTAATCCCCCTTATTTCTGTGTTACAGACCGCGACACAGTGCGTACTTCTGTGGTGCTGCGAGCTGCACATAATCAACGAAAATATCTGAGTTCCGCGAATGGTTACGAAGAACGGTGATCTGTTTATTTTTGGAGAGGGGAAAAGAAGAACTCAGCAAGGAGCCGGAAGATCGCGTGTTCTCTTTCCGGGTTACCAAGCTGTTCGCTCCGTCTCGGCCCCTGGTTGTGGTCGTATTGAGCGCCGATCTCGAAGTGTTCTCTGCAGACTGCAGGATTGCGCGACTGCTTGCTCCTCACAGAACACCATTGTGCCTCAAGCTGTCGTGCTGTTGAGTTATGCAACGTCGGGTATGACGCCGCGTCTATGAGAAGAGTGAAGCAATATAAATGGAAGAAGGGTGGAATATAAGTTGTGCGTGATGGTGTCATCCATCGACGTCAAATAGGTACCTTGGTGAAGTGAGATACGGTCAGTTACAATAGCAAGAGTGAGATATGCCCAGTCGAGGAATACTAGTTATTTTCTAGAGGGATGGAGTTCTGTTGGGTCCATCTAAAACCAAGGAGTCAAACAACAAAGCGGTTCACGTTTATAGCTCACTTTACGCCCTTTGAAATTTACATTACTGTCGAACCTATATACGTGTATGGTAGTTCAAGGACACAAGATACCATTAGTTCCCTCCCCAGTATCCTAGAGAAACAACGCAGCAAAGAACACCCCGTGAATGTCGATTATAACCAACTCCAAGAAACAAACTAGATACGGCCCAACTCAGCATATACCTCACCCAAGCCATCAGTATCACCATCAACGTCAATATTCCGCCCCTCCAAAACTCTGATTCCGCACCAGCGCCGCCCTCTCCAAACTCGCCCGCGGCAGCCCCTCAGTCGAGCGCCTCCTACTATGGCTGGTACTCGGCCGGCTGTCGGCCACACTCCCAGCACCATCAACATCTTGATCACCACTAACACGATCATAACCATGACCGTGACCATGACCATGCCCACCCTCAGCCGCACTCAACACATCCACCCCACTCTCATCCGCACCCCCAGGCTCGTCACGGATCCGATGGATGAAAAACGCCGAGATGAACACCGTGATCCCACCAAGCGCAAGAACAACAGCGATGCTATGATCACCGGGGACGCCGCGGGGTTTCTGAAAGAAGCGGAAGATGATACTGCTGGTGACGGTGGCAATGATTTGTGGTGCGGCGATGGCCATGTTGTGGATGCCGAGGATGACGCCAGCTTGGTCGGCTGCTTCGGCTTCGGCTTCTTGTTCGTTTTCGTCCGAGTTGGAGTCGGAAGCGTAGGCGATCTCACCGCCACTGCGGGTGGTAGCTGGTAGGCTGTGGTGGTGGGCGTATCGCGCACGGCGGAGTTCATCGCGACGCGAGATCTCGGCGCTGATGATGGCCCAGGGCGCCCAGAGGGTTAAAGCCCAGGTGATGCCGACAAGGCCGATTAGGACAGTCGCGGCGGCCACGGTGCGCACGAATACAGTGCAGAGCATACTGCCTGTAAACAGTAGCTGGGAAAGCATCCAGGCACGGCGGAGGGTAAAGCCTGGGATAACGAGGTAGTCGAGCCAAGACTTGCTCTCCTCGTTGTTGTAGTCTTTCAAGAGTCCAGGGGCCTCGCCGGGCGCGCTGGCTGCTCCGCTGGGGTGGGCCTCGTAGGTTGGGGCGATCAAGAAAGGGAGGAACACGTTGGTGAGGAGCCCCATGACGGCAAAGATGAGCAGGGCAAAGGTACCCTCTCGAGTAGCATCCTCGTACAGCTTGTCCAGCTCCTTGGGAGTCATGTTCGGGTTCGCTTCCAGGTACGGTTCAGCGTAGATCTCGCCGATATACTCCGATGTATAGAAGAGCATGGGGAAGAAGCCGATCCAGGCGCAGAATTGCACCTGGCAGACCTTCATTGTCTGCGGTGGGAGGCGCCTCACGGAGGTGAAGATCTTGCGGAAGAACGCCGTGGCTCCAGGTTTATTTTTGGATGGAGGGGGCTCGAGCCGCGGGTCTCTCTCGTGAATAAAGGCGCAGCTCAAAATGATGGTCAGAGCTAGAGCGATGCTGGCAATAACACAGAGGTCCTTGAACTGAGTATCGCCCAAGAACCAGAGGACCGCTGGCAGATCTAGGTAACCGGCCAGGTAGCCCGCGATGTTGCCGATACCGATGAAGCGACTGGCCATGGCATTGGCGCTCTCTAGGGGGATGTTAGCGGCTTGTCAGAGACGCTTTTAGACTATAGAAGAAATATGGCTCACCTTGCTGATGGGCGGGTGCGCAGTCTACAATAAACGCGCGGATAGCCGCCTGGACTGTCGAATCATCAGTGACCTTGTTCGAGGCAACTCATAAACCCCTACCCAGCCCATCCTTACCTGTGTTGATGGCAAAATCAAGCACATAAACCCACAGCACAGCGACCACAATAATCGAGTACTTGACTCCATCCGAAGCCGGGTCCGCCCCAAACAACCCCAAAAACCCACCCACCAGCTCCTTAGTCCACGCCAGGAACATGAGCGAGATGATCGTAGCAACCGACCCGCCTACCATGAACGGCTTCCGCTTGCCCCAGCGCAAACGGCAGTTATCGCTCAGCATGCCGACGTAGGGCTGCACCAGGGTGCCCGACAGCGGGCCGGCGATCCAGACCAGCGCCATGAGCGACTTGCTGATGCCTAGCGACAGCAGATAGGGCGAGCCGTTGGACATCTCGACCGACCAGGCGATCTGCAGGCCGCCGATGCCGATGGTCAGCAAGATTAGATACCATATGCTTTTCGTCTGCTGGTGCTCGTCGCTGCCGCCGCCCGGCCGCGATGTAGCCCTGGGCGGGCGTCCATCAATTAGGCCATCGTCTTCACCCGAGCCGGAGCTCGGGGAGAGGAGAGGGGATTGCTCGCTCAAGTCCTCATGGCCGTGTCGATCGTGTTCCTGTCCATCTCCGGGCCTGTTCGTCGAAACCGCAGCTGGCACGTGCTTGGAATCGTTGTCCGCCGCGGCGTCGGAGGTTCGGTGGTGTTCGTTGTCGTCTCTGTTGTTATCATTCGTGGGGCTTGCCCGGTTCGGAGAATCTGCTAACGACGACGTCATGCGAGCTGGGGGAGGAGCGAGAGGGACAGGCAGCCGTCGAAGTGCGATTCGGTCTGGGTCATCTAGCGTCGTCGTCGTGGGCGGTTGTTCGCTCGTGCGCGACGACGAGCTGGCTATTGTGTTTGGTGTTGATTGTGGGCTGAAGTTGTATTCAAGTGAAACGGCGGGGACCGGAGGGCCTATCCGGGGAGGAGGTGTGTCGGTGGTGCGTTCGGAGATGGGACTGGGGATGGAATGTTTGGGAGAACTACTCCGGTAGTTGGAGAGGTCGTGATATAAGATCGGATGGCCGAGCCGAAGCTCCGTGCCGCTGTTAACGAAGAGCGGGTATCAGGCGGTCAACTCAGAGGCTGCCACGAGACTATTGTCGTCCACATCGAGCGATTCGGGAAGGCTGCATGAAGGTATGAGACAGCCGTTCACACTAGCCGCCTTGAAGCAAATGCAGAGATGGACGGTCCCGGTCTTCGAGGTTGTGCTGACCACGGCGAATGACGATGTGGGCGCGAGACGTCAGGCGGGCACAAGGGCCTGGAACATGGCGCTGCAGGGACCGAATGGGGAAACGGGCACTGGCGGGAGGCTGGAAAATGCCCGTTACAGGGGGGTGCTGGGGAGCTCGGCTGGAGACAGGCCCACTTCTCCAGGTTTCCTGCGTCGAGATTATACGCACTGTATCCTGAAGTCGATGAAAGGAAAAGAACACAAGGTCGAAGTGCGATTTATTCATGAAATCAGAGGGGAACGTACTCAGGAAGTCCATGATACAAGTAATATGTGTTGATATAGTTCAAAATCCAAGCGGCATTTCGTCCGCTTCCCTCGGATGGTCTTACAACACGGTGGGACTTTTTCCTCGAGTTGACGCAAGCCCAGTGCTTGCTTAGGATCATAGTACTGTCAAGACACCGGCTGACGACAAGTCCCTCCAATTGTGTCTCGTCTTCCTGCATCAGAAGCTTTCAGTTCCTCTCATGCTAACAACCTCCTCCCCAACTTTTCGCGTTCCTTGGGGGCTCGACGGTGGAGGGGGTTCTACACGTAATACGGGGATCCGCCCTAGTAAACAAAAATATCAATGAGGCGTGAGGTGACGCCTCGCCCCTGCAACCGGGCCGTTTGCGTGTGCGGCGCTAGAAGTTCGAGGAAGTTTCAGAACCCATGGATATCGAAACGCTGCTATCTAGTGCGGCGCAACGCACACACCTGGTACTCCCGTCCAAGAAGTCAATCATTGCTGTTTGTTGAAAGAGTGCCGCGGCAGTGTCTCCTGAGTGGGAGCCTGCGCGCCGCGTCGATTGGCGGATCCCGGTGGACTGTGGGTTTTTGGGGAAGCACTCGGGGCCCTGGAGAGGGGACCTTCCACTGTGGGACGAAGCCAAGCCAAGCACGCCAAGGGAAAGTTGGCGATTTCGTCTCATCCTCCGTCTCCAACCTTCCATTTTACATGTGCCGGAAGTTTCCTCTACGCGCTCTCTCTTGTTGCGCCATGTCCCATCGTCTGTGTTGAGGACTACTTTTTTCTCTCGTTCGTGCCTCTGGTTTCCCGCTGTTTTTGTGAACCGACGGCATCCCCCGCGACGCCTTCGAACGACGAGTTAGCGAACGGATGAACAAATCGACGACACATTAGTAATTTACGCCGCGAGATCGTCAACTCCCTCGACTCAACCACCCTCGCGGGCGCACGCGACCTACGTGTGCGGGCTACGCCCACATCTCCCCCGCCATGATAGCAGAAACCATCGCCAGCACCCTCGTGGGGCTCGCCAGTACGCCGTGACTACCCCTCCACGCTCCTAGCGCATAGCTTGCAGACACTCCTTCCAGTCTACCACAAACGCTGACAGTATGTCGCAGAGAGGGATGAAGAAGACCCCGCCGGTATGACCTGACGCCCGCTGAGCCTGAACGAGCCCTCCCCCCGAGCACGAGAAGACAAGACATGGGAAATAAGACATACGAAGAGGACGAAGTAACGGCTACTAACACGCCCGCAGGCGATGACCCCCCCAAGGAGGAGAAGGATGCGTCGTGGGCCATATTCATCCTGATTATGCTGCTCATCGTGGCCTTCTGCACCAGTTACACCATGCAGCAGCGCAAGATCACCGCGATCCACGAAACCGTCGTCTCCATCTTTGGCGGCATGACCGTTGGCCTGATCCTGCGCGTTTCCGGCTTCGACTCGATCCGCGACCTGGTCAACTTCAACTACCAGTACTTTTTCAACCTGCTGCTCCCCCCCATCATTCTCTCGTCCGGCTATGAACTCCACCAGGCCAACTTCTTCCGCAACATCGGCACCATTCTGACGTTCGCATTTGCCGGTACCTTCATCTCGGCCGTCGTGATTGGCGTGCTGCTGTTCCTTTACACCTCCATCTCGCTCGAGGGCCTCGATGTGTCGTGGATCGACGCCATCTCCGTCGGGGCCACGCTGTCCGCCACCGACCCCGTGACCATCCTCGCCATCTTCAACACCTTCAAGGTCGATCCGAAGCTGTACACCATCATCTTTGGCGAGTCTATCCTGAACGACGCCGTTGCCATCGTCATCTTCGAGTCCGCCCAGAGCGCCGGCAAACAGGGGGGCGGCATCGGTATCTGGAGCGCCCTCCATGGGATTTGGTACTTTTTGTCCCAGTTCTTTGGCAGCTTGGCTATCGGTGCGCTGATCGGCGTCCTTACCGCGCTGGGGTTGAAATACACTTACGTCAGGCGGTATCCCCATATCGAAAGTTCCCTGGTGGTCTTGATCGCATATGCAACATACTTCTTCGCCCAAGCCATCGGCATGTCCGGTATGTGCTTTCTTCTTACTTTCTCTCGATTCTTTGTAAAATGATCATGTAACTAACCCCCCCTCTTAGGCATTGTCGCTCTCCTCTTCTGCGGGATCACGCTCAAGCACTACGCCTACTTTAACATGTCCCGCCGCACCCAACTCACCACCAAGTACTTTTTCCAAGTCACAGCCCAGCTGTCGGAAAACTTCATCTTCATCTACCTCGGCCTCGCTATGTTTACGGAGAAGAACCTCGTCTACCAGCCCCTGCTCATCATTGTCACCGTTCTCGCTGTCTGTGTCGCCCGCTGGCTTGCCGTCTTCCCCCTTTCCAAGGCCATCAACTGGTTTATCCGCTACCGTGCTCGTCGCCAGGGCCGCGAGGTGGCCGACGAGCTGCCCTACAGCTACCAAGCTATGCTCTTCTGGGCCGGCCTTCGCGGTGCCGTCGGTGTCGCCTTGTCCGCATCTTTCACCGCCAAGGAAACTCAGGCCCTTCAAGCCACGGTGCTAGTCGTCGTCGTGCTGACCGTCATCATCTTCGGCGGGACCACGGCCCGCATGCTCGAGATCCTAGGCATCCGCACCGGCGTGACCGAAGAAATCGACTCGGACGACGAGTTCGACATCGAAGCCGTCGGCGGCGGCCTCTACAAACGCTCCGACACCGGCATCGGATTCAACCACCGCGCCCGCAATCGAGGTTCTGCCCTCCCTCTCAACACCGTCGGTGGCGGCGACTCCAGCAACCGTGCCAGCAACGGCAGCGGCTGGGCCTCCGGCTCCCGATCCCCCAACACGGCCCCGCTCTCCCGTCAAGGCAGCCACAGTCGCAGCCGCGCCAAGAGCCAGAAAGGCCTCGGCAGCCTCAACAACGAGTACGAGCGTTCCGAGCTCCTCGGCACCAACACTGCCGCTTCCTCTCCCGGCATCGGCCGCAGCGGTGGTGGCCGCAGCGACACCGACTCCGACTTCGGCAGCGACATCGACATCTCCGATCTACCCCCTCCCGCGCCCGCGCCCATCTCCCGCGCTCGTTCACCCATGCTCAAACCCGCGAGTGCCGCGGGGTCTTCGCAGCACGACAATAGCGCTGCGAGCCCTGCTGCTGGTAGTGGCGGTGAAGGCGCGAGTGGAAGTGGGAGTGGGACACAAACGGACTCGTCACATCAACAACCGTTGACGGCGACGGCGGCGATCCGGCAGTTGTTTAGCACTGAGGACCCGACGGCGTTGTTTAGACAGCTGGATGAGGATTATATCAAGCCGCATTTGTTGCTGGATGGGGGGAATGGGAGAGGAGGAGGAGCGGGAGGAGGAGGGGGGCATTAAGCGTGTCATTTAAGGGCTGCTCTCTTTTGGAGGGGCCCGGTTCCTTTCTTGTTTAGACTTTTCTCTCTCTTCCTCTCTCTGTCTTCTAGCTTTATTCAGCTGGGTTTTATCTTAACCGTACCGTTTCATGCTGCTGAAATCGACGGTGGTAGTGAAGTGTGGTGCTGGTATTTTTCCGTGATAGTGAGAGCGTGATAGATGGTTTGGACTCTGCTATCTACCCCCCCATTCTCCTTTTTCCCTTACAGGTATGTTATACCATGCTAGCTATGTATCATGGCCGGGGGGGAGGGTGGCCGGAGGGAGGGGTATGAATGAAAGGGATGAAAGGGACGGAAAAGGATGCATGGTACGAAGAGGTGAAACGACGGAAGAATTCCTTTCCTATTTGCTTGGCGGGAGGCGGTGGATTGCGCAAAAACGGCGTTTTACCGGGTTGGGGGTTGGGGGCTGGGGTGTAAGCCATTGATTGATAGGTAACGTAACGTAACACGCCGCTATGCAGTAGTAATGGATTGTGTGCGATATACTATTTATGTACTAAAGGTACATACCTGAGAAAGTAGGTAGATGCTGTAGTGGACTCGAATTATGGATATGTATGTGTTGGCTCGGCCGTTCTACTGTGTCTAGAAACCCGACATTGGGGGAATTAAATACAACGTCCAACATGGTCAGCGTCTAAGATGCATTCCGTGAACTGCTACCGCGCGCAACCTAACTCCTATGAGCTCAAGTAATCAGAGCCGAAATCAAGGTTGGAGACTCGGCAACCAAAGGTAAAACACAAGAGAATCCAGAATTCGAATTCGGCTATACCATACTTATATGCCCACGCCCCTCATCCCATGCTTTTAGTCTCCACGACAAAAGGGTATAAGTGTATCGCTAACTAAGCCAGCAAAGGAACAAGGCCTCCCTCCCCACCTGGCCCCGATTTGACGTTGTGAACCATCGACCAACCTTGAAGCACCAGGCTTCAAGGCAGAGGAATACCCATATCAACCCCATTACATCCACTCTCAACGTAATAATCCATTGGTACAGCCCACCTATCCCAAACATTATTTAGACCGCCCCTCACCAACAACCTCGTCCACCTTCCTCGGCTTCTCCCCATCCTCCATCATAAACCCAAAACTCGGCTCCCGAGGCGGGTTATGTATCCCCGGAATCCCCAGTCCATTCCCCTGCAATCCCCTCTGTGCCCCTTCTACTACTGGTGATGCCCCCTCAGCGGCTATGCCCTCCTCGTTTTGCTGTTGCCGTTGCTGTACCCTCCGAATGCGCCCCGTCTGCTGGTTCACCCACGACGAGACACTGCGGAATCGTGCGGGCAGGTCCTCACTGCTAGTGGTGTAGATCGATTCTCGGTCCCCGTTACCGGTGATGCGGGGGGCGCTGCCGGCCGAACTGTTTTGGCGGAAGGGTCCTCGGAGAAGGCTAGCTCGGGTTTGGGCTTGGGCCTGTGATTTTGGCTGGGTCATCCAAGAGAAGCGGGCGGTGTACTGCGTCTGGGGGCTGTTTGTCGCCGAACTTGGGTCGGCCGTTGGCGCAGGAGGTGAGATGACTGCATCTGTTACGATAATATCGCCGTCGCCGAAGCCGGAAGAGAGTTCACTTGTGGCGTTGCTCGCCTGGCGATGCAGTGGGTCCGCGTTGTCTGAATTGCCGAACTGTGGACCAAGAAAAGGCTGAGTGTAGTACGATGCCGGGGAGGCTTTAGAATAGAGAGGGCTCGCGGTATTATCAGTCATGACAGTGGCGCCAAACTGAGCTGCGTTGGTGGAACTGAAAGACCCCTGAGCCTGGTGTGAGTAGACCGCCGGTAGGTCTGTCATGACCGTGATTTGAGGGCGGGTGACAAGCGTCTGTGTATCTTCGGGGTTGGGCCGCTGTTGGTAGGTAACTCCAGAATGAGCAGAGCCGCGCCCCGAAGATATCATGAGCTCGGGAGCAGCCAGAGGCCATGGTTGTATGGGCGGTTGCTGCCCTTGCGTTTGGTCCCGTTCATCGAAGTCTCCCAACGGCAACAGAGTATTTCGCCCTAAAGGAGCCTTCTCGTGGTGCATCGACTGCTGGCTGGCCCTTGGGTCTCCTAATGGTTGCCACCCCCGTTCTCCCAAAAAGGAGAACTTGGACATGTCCTTGGGGTCATCGGGATGGCGGGCTTTTCGAGACCGTTTCAGCATCCTCCAGACTATCCAAGAAATGAAGGAGATCAGAATGAAGCCACCTGAAGCTATTAGTAACATGAATTATACGCTGCAAGTTCTCCCGAGGTCATACCTATCGAGCCGATAGCAACGAGAATGTGTTGAATCATTGGGTCCATCCCAGTTTGCGCCACCTCGAGAGTCTGGTTATCGGGTGGAATATTACCCATTGGTCCTCCGGTCGATGGATTACTGGGTAACGGTGCTAGACTGGGACCCTGTGTAGCCGAGGAGGCAGCCGCAGATCCGAGGTCCTTGTCCCCAAAGTTGGGGTCATCCACCTTACCAGCTGCACTGCTCGGCTGTATTATTGGTGTTGAGGTTGCGGCAGCTGAGTCAATCTACGTTCTGAGTTAGAGACGCTGATGGGACGGAGGAAATGGTGTCATACCTCAGAGGTTGGAGTAGCGGATTGTAGTAGAATTACCCCTTGGTTAACCGCTTCTGGTGCCGAGGTTACCACCCCCGAGGAGATGGCTTCGGTAGGTGTAGTCGTTGTTGTGGGGGTTTCTTGTATCGTGTCGTCTGGCGACGTTGTCTCGGCAGATGTAGTGGCAGACGTCGAGCTGGTATCGCCGCCCCCGTTGTCGTTGTTTCCACCACGCCCGAAACCACCTCCGCCATTCCCCCCTCCTCCATCTCCATTGCCAAACCTATTACCAAAGCCTCCTCTATTTCCGCCAAAACGGTTGCGCCCGGCGCTAAAATCACCCCCTTTACCATCGTTATTATTACCGCCTCCAAAGCGGCCGCCGTTTCCAAAGTTGTTATTCTTATTATCGTTCCCGTTGCCGTTACCACCGCCAAAACGATTACCATTGCCAAAGCCACCTCCACGAAAGAACCCTCCTCCCCCTCCACCTCCACCTCCACCTCCGCCATCACCCCCACCCCCGTTGTTGCCACTGCCGCCCCCGTTGCGACCAAACCCAAAGCGGTTATTGTCTGTGTTGTCGGTACTCCCATTACCAGCCCTTTTCCTCTCCCGTCGGCGGCGATCCGTCGTTCTCAACGTGTTTTTCACGTCGGCTGTCCACCTTTGCGTCATTGCCCCTGAAGGGTCGTCGAGGGGTGCCATGCCGTCACGTCCTGGGCGAAATCATCTTCGCCCCCTTCCGAGCGTACTAGTCCAACGAGTTGGCCCGGAAGTAGCGTGAACTTCAAGCTGGGCTTCACGCTCGAATCAACGTAAGATCGCTTGAATGTCGTTAGGCCTTCCGTCTTAGTTCGGATCAGTTGTAGGTACAAGAAATTAACCTAGAAACGGTATTACAAAACTGGTGGTCAACGATGAGGGCAACGAAGGTTAGAGTTCAAGAGAAAGCAAGAAAAACGCTAAGCTTTGGGAAGCCCGCCCCCAGATGTGCATAGGAGAAGAAAGCAGGGCCAAGATCGAAAAGAAAAAGATTCGACATGGGATAAGCTTCAGCTTGCTTGGGGTTCCCCACGTTGATGGCTGATGCCGTGGAGTAACGCATAAAAGACGGGACCGAGCTGCCGATGCTAGTGCGTGCATCAGGAGATCGAATCAAGAGCGGCTGTTTTGGATGACAGAGCTGCATTGAGGTAACGGTCGGGGGCAAAAGCAAGGGTTCGAGCTTCAACCACTCCTCCGAGCCCAGATCTCTGGTACGGGGAGGCTTCAACCGCCTCGGATCTAGTGTCAAGTCTCCCACTGCCGGGGATCATGACAGTCAGGGGAGGTTAATTTGTAGATGCGACTGGTGAACAAATTTGCAACGCCGATAATATGTTCTCATGTAAGTCCACATGCTGCCGGAGTACACTTTTTTCGAATACAAAAGATGGAGAGCGGAAACATCAAGTCTGAAGTTGATGCAGCTCGTTGACCGGAGCCCTCGCAACCTCACCACATGTTGGGCTCTCTTGGCCACCGTTGTGACACCGCACAAGCCCTCAGTCTTCAAACGCAACCCCGACGCAGCAATTAGCCGCTTGGCATCGCTGCAAGGGCGGGAAGGCGGATGTCAAATTGTCAACGACGAGTTCCGACGAGCAGGGGATGTCCAGCGTCTCAGTCAGGGGTAGGACGTTTCAGCCGGGGACAACCTTGGGGCATGCGGCTTTGTCCGCTTCGACGACGAGGCAGGCGGAGGTGCTGCTCTCTGGAGGAAGACTCAAATGAGACCAGACCTCAGAATGCGTTTTTCCTTCGATGTCGCGATGTGATCGGAGTCTCGTGGGCTCAATCCGTTTCGGGACCGATACCTGAGTCGACGCCGAGAAAAGTGATTACATCCGGACCTTACGTCGTGAAGCGCGATAAGCCATTTTAACCTTTGCCGCCAGTTAGACAACAACTGTGACAAAATAAGGGGGAGGAAAGTCGCGGCTCCTAGTTACTCTGAGGCACGAGACCAAAAGATCTGGAGATCTGGTGGTAGATGTGGGACGGGACGAGACGGGCGGATGGATTTTTGTGAGAGATGAGGTCTTCGCAGCTTGTTAAGGTCATTGAGGATTATCCGTACCAAGAAGTCGAATATCGCGCTTGATAGTATGGCAATATGGTAGGTGGCCGCCGAGGGGTACCTGCCATTTTTACGTTGCCAGTGCCCCAGTCGTTCCATTCTATGTATTTCGCTGATGAAGCAGGAGCGAATGTGTGACTTACCGTTGCATTACCTACATCAAATTCAACGGAAGGTGAGACCACAGCCGTTGAGCTACGTATGTACCTACAGATGTTTAGGCGCCCCCTTTGTCGGGCAGGTGTAACGGGAAGGATCTGGAAGGGACCTACCTACCGACCTACCTAGGTAAGGTACCTAGGTACCTCACCTTACTGACCTTTGGTCAGTGCCAGAGGTACACTACCTAGTTGCGTGACCGAGATAGATACCCGATAGGTCTCGCGGGTGTGTGTCTGGAGTTTCGGGTAGTTCGGGATCACGGGGAGGCGTCGGAGTGTCTCGGCGTCTCCAAGCCGACGGAGTGCCCCACGTTTTTGAGGGTTGATACTTCGTACCAAGAATGTCAACACTATCGAGGGTTACCGTGCTTGGTTGTGGTGGTTTGACCACAAGGTGCCCGTATACTCTGGGTAGCCATGAATTGGTCGATATGGATCGGCCAAGCATGATGAACCTCGCACACAATTTCTGATACATATCCCATTATTTCGATTTCTAGTTTACCATTCACTATCACCCAGCTTTTTGACATTGAGTCAAGCTGCGACTTTGTCTATTCCTGTTTATAACTCGGATTTTGAGTTTGATAGTTACATATTTCATCCTCCTAACCCTGCACATGTAGTTCCGGTTCTTAAGAGCCACACATAATTTTTAATCTCCGAGACTCGCCAAATGGAATTTTCGCCTCAGGTCTGCTGCAGGTAAACGTCAAAAAATATCTCCACCAACACAACATTGAAAAACCCAGTGTTTGGCGCGGTTAATTTACCGCTGGGTTTGACATGTAAGCTAAGCCGGAATTTGACAAGGTTAAAACACAGTCAGCCAAACCCCTGAGATCGGGCACAGGCCCGGACTGTTTTATCGACTCGCCGCTCCATTTCTTCAGGAGAGACCTCGACTCAGAACTTGGAAATATTTTGTCGTCATCCAGCCTGGGCCCTGTAGCGGAGACTTCGGCGGACACCGGCGGGGTGCCGTGGGGGTGACGGACGCATGTGAGTGGCCCCTCAGGAGCCGCGCTAGCAGAGTGCGCGAATAGGATAAAAGTCGCAACAGCGGGATAAAAAAAAAAAGGGAGTGGGCGTGAACAGGCTCGAGACAGGCCCAGGAAGCTCCCGGCGTCCCACCCAGCCTTATCTTAGTCACCGAATATCGGATTTCCATCGCTCATCCCACCCACGCCGTGAAATCCTCGAAACTTTTCAGCTTGGTCGGTTCCCTCCGACTCTGACCAAGAATTATTTCTTGATATTGTCTACCAGCCCCCTCTTACCGCCCTTCTCCCCTCTCCCTTCTCCCTTCGTTCGCCCTTGGCCGTGAACCCCGCCAGATCCCTAACCCCACCACTCGCGCCTGTCAGATTAAGCCATGGCGACGACATCAAGAGCTCTGACCAAGCTCGCGGTGCCCTCAACGGGCGCCGTGCTGCTGCAACAATCCTCGTTCCACGCCGCCGGCGTCCCCCGATTGTTCCTCCAGGCCTCACGCAGGTCAATTGGCGCGCGCCCGGCCTTTGGCAGCAGCAACACCCAAAATCTTCTTTCCCGGCAGTTCCGACGCAACGCCTCTAGCGATGCTGCTGCTCTGGCGCCGGCGCCGAAGAAGCGTCGCTTTCGAAAGCTGCGCTGGACCTGGCGTCTCGGATATCTCTCGGCCCTTGCCGGCATTGGGTACATTGGCTACGGCGTCTGGCTGGACCGGCACCCGGAGCCGCAGCTTGAGGCTGACTCGACTAAGAAGACCCTCGTGATCCTCGGTAAGTTCGGGTTTCCTTGTCATCACATGTGCCCCAACTGCATGGTGGGCGTATCTGGAGCATTTTTGGGGTGGGGAGGAGTGTGGGTTGGCCGGATCGATCAAGTGTGATATTTTTGGGGGCATGATCCTCGCTGACACGTGCTTTTTTGTTTCCACGCTAGGAACCGGCTGGGGTTCGGTCTCGTTGCTGAAGCGTCTCGACACGGAAAACTACAACGTCATCGTTATCTCGCCGCGCAACTACTTCCTGTTCACCCCGCTCCTCCCGTCATGCACCACTGGTACCATCGAGCACCGCTCCATTATGGAGCCGATTCGCACCATCCTCCGTCAGAAGAAGGCGAGCGTGCGCTTCTACGAGGCCGAGGCTAGTTCCATCGACCCGGACCGCAAGGTGGTGCGTCTGATTGACACCTCGGAGATCCGCGGCGACATTACCGAGACTGAGGTGCCCTATGACATGCTGGTGGTCGGTGTGGGTGCGGAGAACGCAACCTTTGGCATCCCCGGCGTACGTGAGCACTCGTGCTTCCTGAAGGAGATTGGGGATGCCCAGCGGATTCGCAAGAGGATCATGGACTGCGTCGAGACGGCTGCCTTCAAGGACCAGTCCGCCCAGGAGATTGATCGGTTGATGCACATGGTTGTAGTCGGTGGTGGCCCGACCGGCGTCGAGTTCGCCGGTGAGCTGCAAGACTTCTTCGAGGAGGACATCAAGAAGCTGGTGCCCGAGATCAGCGACCGCTTCCGCGTGACGCTGATTGAAGCTCTCCCTAACGTGCTACCCATGTTCTCCAAGCAGCTGATCGAGTACACCGAGAGCACCTTCAAGGAGGAGAAGATCAACATTCACACCAAGACCATGGTCAAGAAGGTGACAGACAAGACGGTCGAGGCCGAGGTGACCGGCCCGGACGGCAAGAAGGAGAAGGTGGTCTTCCCGTACGGCCTGCTGGTGTGGGCGACGGGTAACGCCGTGCGTGGCGTGGTCAAGGACCTGATGGCACGCATCCCCGCGCAGGCCAACTCGCGACGCGGTCTGGCCGTGAACGAGTACCTCGTTGTCCAAGGCACGCGCGACATCTGGGCGGTTGGCGATTGCGCGGTGGCCGGGTACGCGCCCACGGCCCAGGTGGCCACTCAGGAGGGTACGTTCCTAGCCCGCTTGTTCAACAACATGGCCAAGACGGAGCACCTCGAAAGCAAGATCAGCGAGCTCAGCTCGACGCTGAACCTGCAGCCGGGCAACTCGGCGGCCATCTCGCACGAGATTGAGGCCCACGAGCGCCAGCTCCGTCGCATCAAGGACGTTAAGCCCTTCCACTACAGCCATCAGGGTAGCCTGGCGTATATCGGTAGCGAGAAGGCCGTGGCCGATGTCACCTGGTTCAACGGCAACGTCGCTGCGGCTGGCAGCCTGACCTTCCTCTTCTGGCGCAGTGCGTACCTCAGCATGTGCTTCAGCACCCGCAACCGTCTGCTGGTCATCAATGACTGGCTCAAGTCCAAGGTCTTTGGCCGTGACCTGTCGCGGGAGTAAGCGGAGGTGATATTGAAACAGCTATAAAAAACCTTCCATTTCGGGAGCGACACTCTTCAGCATTTGGCGGGCGAGCAGACCCTCCTTTCTTCCTTTTCTGTATCTTCTCATCTTCTATTTTCCTTAATGTGACGGGTTTTAGGAGTCCGGTTGAAAATAATTATTAGACCACGGGCTAGACTGGGTTTAGCCGGATAGATGAAGGCAATGATAGGGTATTATTTGTATAATTGATATACCTGGACAATGGAGAGCTATGAACGGATTTCATCTTACGAGTTGTTTTTCTGTTTCAGGTGATGTTCATGTTGTGTTAGTGAGGCGGTCCTTGACGTGGGGGCATAATGTTATCGAGATAGCTTAGTATTGCATGGTATATTATTATTTTGAATACCTTCTTCCCTCAATTCTGCCGTTGTATCGATCCCCTTTTTCATCCCTTTACCGGAGAGCCCTCGGGGGAACTACGTTGGTCATTGTGCGAGAGGGTTGGGGTTGGATTAGCAAGAGTATTGAGGCATCCACTTGTGAGCTCACTCCTCGACCTCGACCAAACGAACCTCATCGTTTCCAAATCAACACAAAATGCACGAAATTATCACACTCCAGCTGGGGCAGCAGGCCAACTACCTTGGGACACATTTCTGGAATACTCAGGTAAAAATAACCTTTGCTGCCACCGCCTTGTCCCCCACTTCCCCCTCCTTACAAATCGCAGATTTATGATATCACATGACATTATTTCATTGACTGACCGAACTCACACAGGAATCGTATTTCACATATTCTCCAGAGCAACCAGAGTCACCCATCGACCATGACATTCATTTCAGGCCCGGTCTCGCTCCCGATGGCACCGAGACCTTTATGCCTCGCACCGTAATTTACGACCTCAAAGGCGCCTTTGGCACACTGCGCAAGATCAACGCTCTCTACGACGTCAACGACGAGGCCACACCTCCTCATGCTCTCTGGTATTCTACTTAACTCTTCTACTGAGGATTTGTTTTCTTCAAGTATCACCACATGAGATAAACCAACAGAAACTAACCCTTCCCTATAGGCAAGGCCCCCAAGCACCGGCCACCACAACCCTCACCACAGCCAACGTCCCAATCCCCTTATCCCCCTACCTCGCCGCCCTCAACGCCGGCCAGCCCACTACCCGCCCAACCCCATCCCAAGTCCGTTTCTTCTCCGACTACGCCCGCGTCTTCTACCACCCGCGTTCCATCGTCCAGCTGCACGAACACTCCCACACCCAGCAACAACAAGCCGCTTCCCCCTCTTCGGGCACGATAGGCAGTTTCGACCACCACGCGGCGGGTGAGTCGTTATTCCGTGACCTGGATAGGGAACATGACTTGTTGGATCGGGATCTGAGGCTGTTTGCGGAGGAGGCGGATTGTATGCAGGGGGTGCAGGTTTTCGCTGGGTGGGAGGATGGATGGGGAGGGTTTGCGGCGAGGTATGTGGAAAGATTGAGGGATGAGTATGGGAAGGTGGGGATTTGGGTTTGGGGGTTGGAGGAGGGTGCTGTTGCGGGGGTGAGGAGGGTGAGTTTTTCTCTTATCTCTGTTTTTCACCTCCCCCCTTATTTTTCTGAACAGAAGAAAAGGGGGCTATGAACCTCCGAATATCTTACTCATCAACACACACACCACCAGGAAAAACGTCTCCTCAAACTCACCAACAAAGCCCGCGCCCTCACAGAACTCTACAAACAAGCCTCCATCGTCATCCCCCTCGCCGTGCCCACCTGTCTCCGCCACAACGTTCGTCTCGACCTTTCCATGCCCTGGCACACCTCGGCCCTGCTCGCGGCCGCCATGGAAAGCGCCACGCTCCCATCTCGCCTCAAAGACCCGCTCAAGCGCGAGTCCCTCGGTGGTATGGCGGACGTGCTTAATGTCATGGGCAAGCAGAGCGTGGCGGGACTGCAGATGAGTTTTGGCAAGCCCAATGATGGCGACAACAACGGAGGGCAAGGGAAGGGAAGTAGGAAATTGTCAGAGGAAGATCTGGCCGAGGGTGTGCAGTTGGATATGCGGTTTACGCCGTCTGATCGGTTGGATCCGTACGCGAGGTCGATGAATGGATTCAGCGGGCCGAGGGTGTTTAGCCAGCTGGTAATGTCGAGGGGGTATGATGAGAATGATGAGGAAGACAAGGAGGGTGTGGAGAGAGACGCTGCGGGACGGCGGATCCGGAGGAGTGCGTATGAGCCCGTGACGAAGAGGTACGTGGGAATCCTGAATCTTTTTGTTTGTTTACACTACTTGAAGGTCTAACAATCAACAGCTACACATCCTCCCTTCGTTTCCCCATCCTCGACAGTTTCCCGCTCATCTTCCAAGACACAACAACGACAACCACTTCCGACGACGAACCAAACCCGCTCACCGACCCCATCAACATCACCACCGCTCTATCTACCGACTCGTCCGTCTCTGGCAAGCTCAAGCAGCTGCGCGCGACCGTGATCCGCTCCATCGGCCTTGAGGACCGTGAAACGCTCGGAAATGATTTGTTAGAGATGGCAGACGAGTACCACGAGGGATGGTCGAGTGGGAGTGATGAGGGGGAGGATGATTGATGGGTGAATGGACGTTCTACTTTGTGAATATCATGGGAACAAAACATTTAGCACTAAGATGAGGGGGACAAAGGAACTACATAGTAGTAGCAAATCTTGACGAGGCAGCTGGTGCCTCAAACCTAGCGTCTATTAGTCTAGGAAGAAAAAAGCTTCTAAGATAGTTACACATCTCATAAGAGAGACAGACACCATTGTGTGCCCAAGAACGCCAAGCAAGCAAGCCGCCGTCGATGCGATTCCCTCCTCTTCTCCTATCCCTTCCCCATGTCGAAAAACTGCCGTCCTGCCAAACGTCCGTCCAGATCTACCTCTCTCCCATCAAACTATCACCTCACCTTCCCAAAAACTAGCAAAACCTAGCAAATACCCCTCATCAACCAACCCCGCGGCTTCTAACCCACCGCGGCCGCAGCCTTGGAAGAGGGTTGCTGTGGGCGCTGCTGCTGCTGCGACTGCTGCTGTTTCTGTTGGGCCGAAGCCGCCGTCGGCCTCGGGAGTGGCGGTTTGTTCCCCGCAGCCGGAGTCGGTCTTTTGGCGGGTGGTAGGGATTGCCTGTTGCCCGGCTCTTCCGACGCGAGACGCTTGAGGCTCTTCTTAACGGGCTTAGGCTTGGTCTCGCCGGGTTCAAAGACGTCGTCGGGCAGAGCGGTGTTCTTGATGTGCTGGATGGACAAGAACATCTTGCCTTCCTTGTACAACTCGTTGGAGGTACACATGGCCTTCCAGTCGTTGACTTCGCGCGAGAGGTCGAGCGACCGGGCGCCCTCGACTAACTGTAGCCCGATGTAGTGGTTAGTGGTGTACATTTCCATCTCTTCGGGCTCGGGCTTCTTCATCTCGGGGATGTCATGGAGCTTGATGTCGTCCTTGTCGTCGTGGCTGCTACCGTTGAGGTCGGCAGGTTCGTCTTTGATGTTGGGTTTGCTTTCGGGTGTGGTCGCGGGTGGTGGTGCCGTTTCTGAAAGGTCCTGCTTCATCGGCACGCCATTCTCTGTCTTCACTTGGGGGTTCTGTTCTTCCTTGGCCGGCATGCCATTGGCTGCCGTCTTGCTTTCTTGCTTGGGTTCCGCCTTCACAGGGTTCTCAGCATCAGCGGGTGGTTTGTATACGTGAGCAAGGCTGCCTGTAAACACCACATCCTCGACTTGCGCATTGTTCTTGCATCGGTGCTCTCGTTCGTAACCCTTGTTAAAGGGCCGGGCTAAAGCAATGGAAGGGTGCATCTCGAGCTTGTTCACCAACAGTCGTACCCTCGACTCAACAAACCCGGACCAGACATTCTGCGCTTCCTTGGTCCTGCTGGACGCGATAACTGTGAGATAGTACCTGAAGCCTGAAGTGAAAAAGGTGTGCTTCGTGAAGAGGTCTTTCCACTGCCGCTTTCCCAGCATGATGTCCTCTGTTACCTGCACCCCTGCCCCGAGCTCTTCCTTGATAACTGCCATGGATGACTTGCCAATGTTGTGTGTGGCACACATGGATGGGTAGGACGGCGTGATGATGGGCATCTTGTGGTGTCGGTCACTGGGATAAATCTACTCTGTGGTGAGACATCAGCGTCGACCGGGACCGGGTTCGCTACTCACCTTCGGATTCCACACCGCGACCCTAGTGACCGGGCACCCATACTCAATCTCCTGGAGGAGGACGGGAAGCGGCCATGGCCACTTGCACATGATATGGAAGAATTTGTTGACAACCACCGCGCTTGTGGCTTTGGGGTACAACTGGCAGACGCGGGCCACGAGCATCGCCCAGGCCACACCACCGGGATAACCCATGATGTTCGCGTAGATGGCCTTCCGTTGCGCCCAGAGTTTGATCGCTCGGAGAGCGAGTTTGAATGTGGCTGGTTCGGGGACGAGATTCAAGATGTCATCTGTGACTCGAGTTCCGTTCAACGATCGCACCTCGTTCTCGCTCAACCCGCGGAGCAGGTTGTTGTCGGCTAAGCTCCAATTCTTGTCGTCGGGCAACTGTTTGAGGGATTGGATCGAGCAGAAAATAAGATCGATGCTGATGCCGGAGAACTCAAACTTGATGATGGGCACAAACGCCTCGGGGACGGGTGTCAAATCGGTGATGGCGCCAGGCGGGGCCATCTCGACGAGGACCTGGGGGAAGATCTCGAAATACTCTTTGACGGTGACATATTTCGGCGCGACGACGAGCGTATCCATATCGGAACCGGGACCGTAGACACCGAGACGGTAGCTGCCGTAGGTGAACACCCTTCCAATGGCATCTCGAATCAAGATGGTGTTCTTGGGCTCCTTCTTCTCTGCCGCCTTCTGCACAAACACATTCGTAATCTTCTCGAGGTGACGCAGAACTTCCCTTCTCTTTTCGGTCTCGGCAGGGCTCTCGAAAGTACCCTGGGCGCGCAGCTCCTGGTGCAGCGCGTTGTTCAGTCGTTTCTCCTGCTCTGTCGGTAAAGCCGTGGAGATAGGTGGCGTGACGCCATAGATTCGTTCGGACATGGTGAAGGAAAATAATTAAAATTGATGGCGGATTGCCGTTTTCACGAGCTGTGACCGTGATGTCAAAAAGTTAGGTGAGAAAAGGAAACGAGGCGATTCGTCTGCGGGCTCGAAGGTCGCGAACTGGAGATCGCGAAAATCGCCTTGAAAAGAAAAAGGTGGGAAAATGAGCGGACCGGAGAATTCGGAAAGTAAAGGGAGAGGGAAAGAATATCACACTATTGGAATAGAAAGAATCGCGCCGCCGCGATTTCAAGACGTGGTTTAGCGATTGCGACGGCGACGACGACGAGAGGAAAGTGTTGCAAGATAAATCGGCAGACCGAAGATGGGCTGGCGTTTGGCAGGCTGAAATGTTCGACAGGGGTGGATAGCGCGTTTCTCTGATGGCAGTGCACGTTCTGGCGCCCCATCCTCCCCCCTGCATGGCGTTTGTGGCACATACAGCGCCTGTAACTACAGGGTACGTACGCTTGTACGGTACGATACGCGCTAGGTCCCAGTTTCGGCACCGAGGTACCGTACCTAGCTCAACGAACTATAGACCTATCTTGACGAAAGCAGATACATCTGAAAAAAGACGCTTCCAGGATCTAGCAAGATGCTCTTTGGTCTTTTCCGGCTTGCATCTACATAGTACGCCAATATGCTGCCTACCTAATCAACGAGTGAACCTCATGATACTGTCCCGTACATTGACCATTGACACGCAGCGCCCCACAGCCACATGCAGTCACTTCTCCACCACAGCACTCCCCCGCCCCCACCTCACGCGCTCACCAACACCTACCTATTTCATGTGACAGCGTTTGAGCCTTCACCAACTCCTGGGGCCAGAGGCACAGAGCTGAAACTTTAGAGCAGCAGATTTACTCTCCCCACTTAGACCTCTAGCGCCTCGATGGGGACAAACAATGAAAAAGACATTGCTGCTTTGTTTCATCCACGGTTTCAAGGTGCGACATTCTAACAACATCACCAACATTCAGGACGGCCGTGACAGGCAGCTGACAGACATCGCTAGGGTGATGAGACCACCTTTGGCAAAAACTATGCCTTCGTCGAGCACTTTCGCAGGCTCGTCGCAGGCGCTCTGCCCAAGCTGAACGTCCGGGCCACCGTCTACCCGACATTCGAAACCCGTGGCGACTTGGGCGAATGTGTCACTCGATTCAATGACTGGTACGTAATCCCTACTTTGTATTTCCAGTATCGACATCTAACATCCACAGGCTCCTCAACAAGGTCATCGACCTCGAAGTAGCCGCCGGCACCCCTTCCCCCACCATCGAGCCATCCGTCCGCGTCGTGCTCGTCGGCCATTCCATGGGCGGCATCGTCGCCGCGGAGACGGCCATCAGGATCTCTTCAGAGAAGCCCGTCCACAACTCAGTCGACGAGGACAGCCCCGCCAAGGCGGCCACCGCCATGCCACCAGCCCCCAACGCGCTCATGTTCCCCTACATCCAGGGCGTGCTCGCCTTCGACACACCCTTCCTAGGAATCTCCCCCGGTGTCGTCGCCCACGGCGCCGAGTCTCACTACGCCACCGCGTCGGCGGCCATCGCCCAACTCAGCGGCCTTACTAGTTTATGGGGTGCTGGGACGAAGGCGGCTAACCCGAATGACAACGCCAAGGCCAAACCTGCGGGCGCATTGCCACCCGCCTCGGATCAAAGCCGAGACAAGCCAAAGGACGACAAAGCGGGAACAGCCTCGACAACCAGCAGCGGCTGGGGTCGATGGGGCACGATCGCAATGGCTGCCGGTGCTGTAGGCGCGGTAGCCGCAGGCGGAGCAGCGGCTTACCTCAACCGCGAGCAGATTTCACAGGGCCTTGGGTGGGCGACATCACACCTGGAGTTCGTGGGGTGCCTGGCGCGCAAGGAGGAGCTCAAGAGGCGGGTTGCCTACATGCTTCGGCTCCAGAAGGAGGTCGGCGTTGGGTTCGGGAACCTGTACACGCGGTTGGGGAAAGCGGCCGGGTCGAAGCAGGTCAGTATGGCGGGCACGGTGCTGGGCAGCGACAGGACGTTTTGCGTGGTGCCACAGCGCGATCGGGCAGGGGACTGGCGGCAGGCGGTGAACGACCAGGCGACAGATGAAATCGGGGCGCACATCTGTGAGTATTCTGCCTCAACGGTGGGACGAGTAGGAGTGTGTTAGGCCTGTCGTGCTAATCGTGTTGCAGCTATGTTCCAACCGAAGGATAACCCGGGGTTTGAGAGGTTGGCCAATGAGGCCCGGGATATGGTTGCGGGCTGGCTCCGTAATGACTGGTACGAGAGCAGCGCAGGAGAGGCCGTTCGACCATGATGATGAAACACGATCTGGGTGGGCCACGTAGATTTAGTCATGGCCGTTAAACATTACATACTAATGGCCCTCGTGGCGTCTTCTTACGTGTCTTATGTACACTTGGCCTCCTCCTAATGGACCGACAACCTGGGAATTCGTTCATTCATCCCCCTTCGCACGGACGGGCTACTGTGTCTTCTTCTGGGCTGGCTTGCCGGCACCAAGGTACCTTCTCCGCTGCTTCAACATGTGGCTGTAGAGAATAACCGAACCTAATCCAGCCGGTCAGCAACACATCCGCCTCAATACGCCGCCATTCTCCAACGAAGAAATTCAGTGGAGCACTCACCAGGGGCGTAAGTCAACAACACGGCGATCAGCGCAAAGGGGTACCACGACGCCAGATCCTCGGCGGGGCCCAGCAACGCCTGCAGGGTCATGGCAACCTCGCTGCTGATACCAACCGGATACAGCACCAGAAAGGCGCTGTAACGCAGCCAGTTCAACCAGCCGGGCACGCTATCAAATTGCTTGAGCGCAAAGAAATTGTACCGGATCACCTCCGTCAGACTCCAGGCGAGCAGCATCGACGAGTAAAAGACGCTGGTGTTGAGCTGCGGGAACGGCCAGCAGACAGCCCACATCAGGAAGAGGCGGCTGGCGACTTGCATCGCGGTAGTGAAGACGGGAGCGGGAACGACACCTGGGTACACGGATACAGGTGGTCAGTTTTGATCCTCAAAAGTGCCTGTCTTGACTCAGGACTGGGGAGAGAACGGGAAAGGAGATGTAGTTCCAACGCACCAGTCAGAGCATGCAGCACCTCCATGAACGCAAACGTCTGAGTGATACGCGCAAAATTGTCAACCGACAACGGCACAAACGGCGTGCCCTTCCATCCAGCGACGATCGCAACGCGCCCCAGAACGGTCGCCCAGGCCACGGCCGAGGCGGCGTTGTAGAGCACGAGGTAGGCCTTTTTGAGGCCGAACCCGGTCGATTGCGCCATCTTGTCGGTTCGGCGATTGGTATTGAATTTCTCCCGGCTTTTGTCTGCTGCTAGAATGTGGTGTGGTGGGGGGATGTGATCTGCCGTCGGGATGTAGTTGTGGTTTTTCGGACGAAAATTGTTGACTTGGGACGAAGTTTTGTTGACCCCTGTGTTCCTCGGTCGGCTGGGGATCGTGCCTGCCGCAGTGGACCAGCCGCTAAAACCCGCCCCGGGCCTCGGGTTCAGGGCCTTGCTGCCCCACCTAGATGCCTACCTGATCCAGGGGCCCGTGAGAGCTGGGCTGTTTCCTTCTAGTGTACAAACAACAACAATGAACTACTCCGTGTTGACACCGAGACCTTTGAGCAATGCTCAAAGTATAATTACAAATACGTGTATTCGAGTGATATTATTCTTGTATTCTTTATTTCCAGTGTATTTTATCCCTTTCTATCACGCCCACACACCACAACGTTTCAAACCCCGAAACCTCCTCGAAGCAAACAAGGAGCCGGCTCCCAACAATGGGTATCAAAAAGGGTATATCAAGTTCCTCCAACACACTTGCGCCACCGCGCAGCGACGGCTAGGAAAGAAAGAAACGAAGGACAACGTAAAGGCCACAGCCACAGGAGCAACTAACAAGTAGACAAACTCCTACTTCTTCGTCACAGCCTTCCACAAATCTCCCAAGCCCTTCCCGCCAAACAAGAATTCCGAAGAGTGCCGGCCGCAGTAGCTGTTGGCATTGACATGGTCGCGCTTAGTCGCCGAAAAAGTGGACATGTTTGCACTGCCAATGCCACTGCTGCCACTGCCGCTGCTGGTGTTGGTGTTCGCGCCCCAAAGCAGCGGAGATTCCGTTGAGGTTGTCGATGTGGGAGAGTCGAAAAGACCACTAGTGCCGCTACCGGTAGTGCTGGTGCTTCCGCTGCTGCCCGTTCGGGAGTAGGTGTGCGTGTGGACAGTCTGCAAGATGGTTAGTATTGACTCTGATGTTTGACCACGACCCAAGTCTTCCTGGTGAAGACCATACAAGTAGGGCTAGTGTAAGGTAAGAAGGAGAGACATACCATGTTGTAAGACCGTTGACGGCGGCTCACTTCAAAAAATAATGGCGAGGTCCGTTGGACAGGAGCCGTCCCAGCCCTGGCGGGCCCAATCTGGCGCTACGAGGAGGAGTTGACGGGGTGGACAGCCTTTGGTGAGGGTCTTCCCACCGGTTGGCTATGGTGTTGGCGTTGGTGGTTGGTATGGCAGAGCTCTATGTACAGCAAGCAGCCTTGGGTCGACGGCCTTACTGTCCCAGCGTTCCGGTTCAGTGTGGTGGTTGGCTGCAACGGGTTTGCACTGCCACCCCCAGAATGTGCTGAGTGGTGCTGGGTGTGTGTCTCGCGTGTGCGTGCGACCTGGTGGAAGCTGCAGAGAAGACTGCTGCAGTGTGTGCCTGGTGCTATGCTGGAGTGGACAAACACGATCTGATCAAGTTCAGGCCGAAGATCTATTCACTCTTTACTCTTTCTCGTCCTGAAGATAAAGGATGGGGAGAGAGAAGATGAGGGGTTTTGGTGCCAGAGGAGCGAGGCTCTCGTATTAAGAACCAACAGGCAACCAGGACTCTCGCGCTCCAGACAAGTCCTACCACACAACAAAGAAACGGGACCTACATGTACACTAACTACGGCCCACCACATGAGAACCCGACGTGCGAACCTACGACCTCCCACAGCCCAAGGTACCTTGACTCCTCGCCTTGAACCTAGCTGACCTCTCCCCTGCCGACGCCCGCCCCCACCGTGACATAACCGGCCAAGACCACGAAACAGCCAAGAGAGCAACAAAGGAGTCACGCGTGCCACCAAATGGCCGCCTTATCCGCGGAAATCTCGTTTCCTCCCGCGATTCGCCCGATCTGGGCAACATTCCTGGCCAGACTTTGCTCCAACTCGCCAGAGCAGTGCTCTTGTGCTCCATTTTTGCGGCTCTTGTCCGGGCTCATTCACCAGTGCATCGCCAACATTCTGGGGTTTCGCTCCCGGTTCAACGGCTTGCCAAGTAAACCCCAACGAATGACCCCATCTTGGGATCTTGGAATGATACCTTCGCCCGCTCGCTTTTATCGCGACCTCCGAGCCGCGATGACAATAGGCTCGGCGGCTCGGCGGCTCGGCGGACTCTCACCGTGGATGTGCTGCGCCTTCTGAAGAAGGACATTCATCTGTTTGTTGGCGGATAGTAACTAGGTGTCCCCCCCCCAAGGGTTCTCGTCCATTGAGCCATTACCTCCAAGTCCAACCCCCATGATCCACGGCGGCGGATACCGTTACGAAACTCGCGCTCCCCTCATAGGGCTGGCTGCATGGGTCTTTTTCCGTGGGGCCAACCGATGAATCGCGGAACGGCGTCGCCGGCTTACACAGTATGTATTGAATTTATGTATCAGTGAGTGTTACCATGGGGCCAGAAGCGATGCACTCCAAGTTTCTCCAACAAGAGGCGCGGCAAATGAACGGATACAGGCCTATCAGTGTCCGCGGACTTAATTGTGGGGAGACTCGGGAGACAACAAATGGCTCGCAACCCAGCAAACGAGGCGTCCACGATCGCTGCCCGACCCGAAAGGATGACTCGTCACCGCAACGCACTTGATCTGCACGACACCCGGTGGTGTTACATTGGGGGCACCCGGGCAGCTCCGGGTCCGGGTTCGTCCGGGTCGGATACGGGGGAGGCGGAGCCGGAACTTCATGGGTCTCCGCGCATTCCTCATTTCTGGGGATAACGTGGAGAGGGAAAACACTTAAGAGAAGCATCACACACCGCCAAAAATAAGGGATGGATGTTTTCAGCTTTGTGCTGAGCGCTTTTTTATCTAATCCTTGTCGAAGCGGACTGCCGGGTTCTTCTGAATCAAATTGAGGTCGACACCGTGACCAAGAAGTTCGCGGATGTTGGAAATGCCGTACTTGATCATTGTTGGTCGCTCCAACCCCAATCCGAAGCCAAAGACCCTCATGTCCTTGGGTAAACCCATGGCCTAGGCGAGTTGTTAGCATCGTGATCTATGATTGAAGTCGTATCCCCTTTACACCTACCTCCAACATTTCCGGCCGGAAGATGCCTGAGTTGCCAATTTCGACTAGCTTGTTAAGCCCCTTGTGATGCGAGAAAATCTCCATACTTGGCTCTGTGTAGGGGTTATACCTGTGGTAGACTGTTAGAGAGATGTGGACTACGTCTTGGTTGCTACCCAGCTGGGACTACTCACGCTGGCTTGTACCGAAGACCTGTTACACCCATGGCGGCGAAGAACATGTCCATGAACTCCATCAGGCCACCAAGCGTCAACCCGTAGTCGGCGATGACACCCTCAACTTGATGGAATTCGCAGAGATGTGTTGCGTCCAGTGTCTCGTTTCTAGCAGGGGTTTAGTTTCGAAGTGACAATTTCCTTAGAGATGTGGAACTTGTTACCTGAAGACTCGGTCGATAGAGAAGTACCGAGCTGGAGGGACGCGGCCATCAACCTTCTTCTGGCCAGCTAATTTGTGCAACATCGCCGCTGAGACGGAGGTGGTGTGTGTACGGAGGACAAGCCTGGGAAAGGTTAGCTGGCTGATGTGATGCGGGTCAGGGTTATTGTTGACTTATTGTTGACTTACCTGAGAGATTCATCCTCCGACCAGGGGTACCTGTACCCAATAGAGTCATACTTCCCGTTTTCGTGAATTTCCTGTACATTCTTGAAGTAGGTCTCGTAATCATTCTTGTCCTCCGCAGATGTTGGCCCAGGCCTACCAGCCTTCACGGGGTCTGATACGTAGAAAGTATCTTGCAGGTCGCGAGCCGGGTGTTGCTAGAAACCAGTCATTAGTACCCATATGACACCAAAGGTTAACGTGCAAGCATACCTGTGGCACGAACAATGTGTCGAAGTTCTATAATTATTGGAGTCAGCAGGGTTGTCTGAGGCCGAACAGAATGGAAGACCTACCCAGAAGCCAGATTCGACAAACTGGTTTGTGGGCATTTCTGAGAAGCCCATCTCGAAGAAGATTTGCCTACAGCAGTGTTAGCCTTATTCATTGTTCGGGCAACGACTTCCCAAGTGCAACGTACCTGAGCTCTTGCCGGACCTTGCCTAGGGGGTGTAGGGCGCCAGCATGTTGGTCCGCACCCAATGCCTTGAAGTTATACGGCTTGAAAGTTGCCGTCTTCCATGCGCCGGACGCCAACATCTCGGCTGTGAGATCTGTCTCCTCCTTGACAAGCTCGAGTGCGAACTTGGGCCCCTTCTCTATCCTGAAGGAGATGACTTTTTGTGTCCTCAGCAACTTGCGCTTCTTCAAGTCGGCAACAATCTTGGCATCATGCGTGTGTTTCTCCTGGATCACCTTGAGCTGGTCCCGCGTCACATCATTGATCGACTCGACCTGCAAAAGTTCAAGGTTAGTGGAAAGCTATAAATTGCCACGAGATCCCAGGGCGTAATGAACTCACCAATGCAACAAGTTTGGCACCGTCCTTCTTAATCCACTTCTCCTTGAAAGCCTTGCCCTGACCAAGCTTGGTGACCGTCTTGTCGCCAATCTTGCCCTCAAGGTCTTGAATCGAGAGGCCGTCCAGGGCTTGGCGCACAGCCTCAAAGACGCGAGCCTCGTGGCTCCCATGGCTGACAATGACTTCCGCCTCAGGTTCTAGAAAGACGTCCTCGCGCTCAACTTGCTCGTAGATGACCATGGACCGAGATGCCAACCGGTCAAGCGCAGCCTTGATCGACTCGAAGGGAACATCGGGGAAGGATTCGGTGGAGGAGATTGGGTCGGACTTGGAAAGCGCCTGGAGGACTTCCGAGGTGAAGTCCCCCGTCGAACTGCTAGTTGTCGGAGCCATTGCTACCTCTGGTGTTGCTGCGCTGCTGACCCCAATGCGTCTACGACTCTTTGAGAAATGTTGACTCAGACGCCAGGATGGCGGGGCACTGGTGTTGAACCCAGGACCCACCTACCGGAAGCAACAATTTTAGGCGGGGTTGAGATGGAACTCGGTACATGCATATCTTTCGCGATATTTGAATGACACCGTCCATCATATCTGTGATCAAGGTTTCTCGATGGCATACATACCTATACTAACGGCCTTCTCAAATTGGGACTGTCGTTTCGATTCAAACTTTTTAGGGGTTCTGAATTGGAGACTCGGGTCGGTTTACGAAAACTGTTTTTCGAAGCTGACTGCCGCTGGGTGTTGATGTAGCTACATCCAAATAGACAAACCCAAGTTTTCAACAATGGGGTTTCAACCATGGAAAATGCCGTCAGGCCATGCATTGCGGACGAAGTTCTCGTTCCTCTCGAGATAGCCTCTTTCTACTTGGATATGTCCCCCGCCTCACTCTCGCCCTTCGAAGACCTAGATGGGGAGCGGGTACATGACCCGATCCGGGAGTGACCCCGATTCTCCTTTTTTCTCGTCCATGTCATGTTAGTCTGCAAAACGTGGGAATTTTCTCAGCATTGAGCCATCATGTTCATTATGTTTATTTTACAAGATCTGAAAACCTGGTTATTTTGGTAACCCGTATCACGATACCCTACAAAACATCGCGACGGACCGGGTTCTTTGATGCTTCCTCTCAATCAACATTGCATTACCCTTGCTTCTTTCCTGGATGTCTGGAGGTTGGCGATCTCTGGATGTCCCTGTAACACGGGGAGCTGATATAAGCTTGAATCACGCTGAACTGATCGGATACAGTACTTAAGATGAGTTAGTGATACTTATCTGGGAGGGATTGGTATCTTAGGTCGCCAATCACTCCACACTGAGGGTCGAGGGTGGCTGGTTGAATTATGCTCACCTAGCTTTTGGGTCTGCATGCTGCATAGGGAACAGGGTGAGTTGAGATATAAAGGGTGATGGAATCAAGATGGGAGCGTGGACTCTATCTATCGCCTACTGCCACGAGATAGCGGTAGGAGCCCAATACTTAGAGACTCAGTGATGGTGGGAAAACCGCGAATGGGCTCCCAGCCTCTCCGGGCCGGAAGCCCGTGTATTAAAAAGCTGTAAGTCGTTTATCCATGTACCGAAGCATTATTACCTGCCTCTCCTCATGCAGCTTGCGGCGACGCAAAATATGTCGTCCGGAAGCCGGAGGCGGCTTGCCCCCCCAAACGCCGTGAGGCCGGCCACCTTACCCCATTACCCAAGGGCGGCCGGGATGATATAAGAGCTGTATACCGTCATGTACAAAATCAACCCTGCCCTGCGCCTTAAACCCGGGAGAACCATCTAATCTTGAGCAACGGTTTGCTGGGTCTTGTTAGATGTTGATCCAAGCGTTTTGGGTCGTGTCGATCTGTAAACTTACCGACAGCCAGTCCATCCCCTCCTTGATACCCGAACCCTCCACCGCACTGCAAGCCATGATGCTCCAATTTCTGTCCCGTAATTCCCCGAGACGGAGCGCTTGCGAAATGTCGGCAGCGCCCTTTGCCCCCGGTTGGTCTTGCTTGTTGGCGAACACCAGTAGGGCGGCATCCTTCAACTCGTCCTCGTTCAGCATCGCCGCGAGTTCGTCAGCGGCTGTCTGGAGACGCTCGATATCGGTCGAGTCGACGACGAAAATGACAGCCGCCGTGTTGGCATAGTAACACCTCCAGTAGGGCCGGATACTTGTTTGGCCGCCCAGATCCCAAACGTTGAAGTTGAGCTTCCCGTATGTCACGGACTCGACGTTGAATCCGATCGTGGGTATCGTCGTTACCACTTCGCCGATCTATAGTTTGTGTTTGTAAGCTACTCCGAGTTCGTTGAACGAGAACCTAGTGTCAATAGGAATATACCTTCAGTCTGTAGAGTAGTGTTGTCTTGCCGGCATTGTCCTGCGCAGCGCGGTCATTAGTATGCGGACCATTCGGATCCGAATAAGGGGCGGGCAATGCGAACCAGGCCGAGAATCAAAATCCGGATCTCCTTCTTAGCCCAGACCCAGCTGGATAGCCATGACACAGTTTGACCCATTATGTGATTGTGGGTTGGCGAGGTTGATACTCGGGTCGTCGAGATAAAGGAGTGTGAGGGAGAGTTGGACTGGACTGGAAAATAAGGCGTGGAGGGACTGTGTCGCGAACTCGGGGCGATCCGCAACGCGGGAGGCGGCAAGGCGGCAACGGGGAGCACCTAGTTGGTCCTGTGGAGGGCGCAAAAGACTAACAAGATATCGAAAGCAAAGCTAAGCCGAAAACTCCGTTCATTAAATAGATGTTACCCGTCGAGGCTCTCTGTTTCTTGAAAATCCGGAGAAAATTTCTGGTTTCGAAGTTCATGCAACTTTTTGATTTCGCTGATCATGGGAGGCCGCCTTTCGATGGTCCAGGCTACCGGCACCCTGTCTCCCTGTCTTGGAAATCAAGGGTGCACGCGTTCGATCGGCACCCGATTGGCAGGTTTGCCATTGCCCCTGCTTCGCGGTCAGCCACATGGGAATGAGGTGACAGCCACAGGAGACTGAGACCCACGTGATCCAGCCACATTTTGATCCCCCGGCCCTAGCTTGCGGAAATTCTGAAGCCCACACCAATTATTCGAATCCATCCCAGTCCAGGAACATCACGACATCAACCAGCGACTCGGAAACTTCGACAACATCGTCAAAATGCCGGTACGTAGCGAATATTCCAGCCGATTGTTGAGAATGTTGTTCTCGCGAACTCGAATTTTGGCGCGCGCGAGAAATGCCTTTTAAAATCATGGGAGGAGGGGTCTTCGGGCTCAACAGCAAGATGGCAAGGCTAACGAAATTGACCTCCAACAGAGCCACAAGACGTTCCGTACCAAGCAGAAGCTGGCCAAGGCCCAGAAGCAGAACCGGCCCATTCCCCAATGGATCCGTCTCCGCACCGGCAACACCATTAGGTACGATTTCCCGACCGCGACGAGTTGTCAAGAGCCCGTAACGCCCACGCAGGGTTGAAGCGATATCCACGGACAGCCGTTCCATGTACAAAGTAGCAAACCCGGTCGCTAACGCGTTTCTTCCACAGGTACAACGCCAAGCGGAGGCATTGGCGCAAGACCCGTCTCGGCCTCTAAACGGGCTCGCTTACTCCTTTCCTTTATTCGCCCTCTACTGAACCAACTCCGACGACCGACGGCCACAACTTTCATGTTCTCCTTAGCGATGCCGACGCAATCCTATCCCTCAACGACGCCTCGCCGAGGGTCTATCTGTTTGCGTGCCAATCTTTGATCATCGCCACTGTGAGGAGTTGAAGGTTCCAATCAGTCCCGACATGAAGGATCGCCCGGCGACGGCTCTGGCAACCAACGAGTAGAACTTGGACGGGAAGGGAAGGGCGCAGGCTGGTGGGGAAGGTTGGGTCGCGGCATTATGGACTAAGGGGTTTGGCCGGTTGGGATTCTCATTTTGAGCTTGGCTGGGGAAGAAATGGGGGATTCCTCGTTTCACTTGTTTTACGGGGTATGCCATGGCATTTTAGGTTCTAGGGGCGAAAAGGGAAATGAGAGGACAGCATTTCGTGCTTTTGCACATGAAGAACCGTTTCTTCGGCCCGTCAAGGGCACCGCTATGTCGGCTCTCCTGTTGCTCATCATGATCTCGTAGATTTGAAGTTGCTCGATCGAACGGCCGGTAACACTGTGCTGCCGTCGCGTGGAAATGGTAGCCTCTCTCAACTCAACTCGAGTGAAGGAGGGCCACGGCCGGATGATGACCCGACTTTTCTAGGGTCAAGTTGACAAAACGTCGAACTGCTGAGACGCGCCCCATTTTTGAATGGCCCCTCAACCGTCGTCCCGACTGTTGTGTGCGGAAGATGGCGGGCGTCGCTTTGATTTTTACATTACGATCATCTCGATTTGTGGAACAGCCGTGTGAAGCGATGAGGTGGACAACTCTATACGGCGTTCGTTTGTTAGGGTTGGCGTCTAGATGACCGACACATAGAACCTCAGCAGGAACTTCCCGGTCACCGACATACCGAAACACAGGGGACGCAGTGACTCAGAACTTGAATGTTTGCGGCAACATTTGATTTCACTTCTGCGAGAGGAGAGCCTGCACTGTGAGGCGGCCGGTGAGCTTCCCTATTCTTTATCTCAAAAACAAACTCAAGGAACCTGAAATGAAAAACACCGTTATGGATGCTCGATACGGGACCTAGTTCCTCAATTAACTGTATGAGCGGATACCCATCAATGTGCAATCCCGTTCTCCACGAACCCTCTTCCCACCACCCAGGTTTAGTTGAGCCCAGCACCTGAGACGTTGGGCCTTCCTAAGCCCTCCTATTTTTTCCTTTAACGGTCTTCCGCCCACTCGTTCTCACGGCGAATTTGCTCCTCCTCCTCGCGCGTGAAGTCGTTCGTGATGTTGAAGGTCTTGCGGATCTCCTCTGGCGACTTGCCCTTGATCATGTTCGCGACGGTCTTGCAGCCGACATCGAGGAGGGCCTTGATATCAAGGTAGTTGGCGGCCTGTGGATGAATGTCAGTATTTTTGAGCCTGTCTTGTTTCGGTTGACGGTAGGCGGGCGTACGAGGATGATTTCAAAGAGCATTTCCTGGTCAACCTGCATAAACTTCTGATCCCACTCGTCGATATCAGTAGTCTTTTTGCGGTTATCGTTCTCGTCGTCTGCCGTCTGTGCGGCATCGTTCCGGTGGTGCTCGCACCACTCTATGACCTTGCGCAGTACCGGATCGTTGACGTTGGGAATCGGAATGGCACCACCGATGATCGCTTCATCGCCCAAATCGTCGATCAAGTTCTTGATGAGCATGGAGCGCTCGGCGACCGCGCGATCTGTGACGGCCGGCCATGGTTAGGGTCAGTGTGGAGAGCGGCGTCTGTGAGCAACGTACCAACTTCAACGTTTGTTCCCTCGTTGCTGGTCAAGGTGACCTTCTGTGTAGATTTGTCGGCCGACATTTTGTATCTGTGTGTTTTGGAAAATAAAGAACCGTGTTGATTGTTTGCGGGGACTTCTGGAGTTGGCGGTTGGGGGAGAAGAATGCCGAATTTCCTACAGTTGGAGAGTTGGTGGTTGGCGTTGGTGATTCAGTGCACGGGGAAATGCAAAGGCCAAGCACAAGGAAGGCGGGGCACGGTATTAATAGGGCGGTTGGCACGCACCTTCTGGGACCCGGTTTGGAAGGGAGACAATTGGGATGATGGAATGTTTGCACTGCCTGCTGTGTGCTTTCATCAATCCGTCAGGTTCTCCTGAAAGAGAACAGTCGGTTGCAGCATCCCAGCTAGGCATGGAAGGCTTTAGCTGGCGGCTGGCAGCTGCTGCCTCACAAGTGGGGAATATTCGAACAACATCACTGACCGCGGGGGAAGTTTGAGTGCCGTTATCCAGTTTGCGGGTGGGGTTGTTGCCTGAGCCCAGGCGTTCCCAGGCCATTGGGTGGGAAGCTTACCCGATTTATTACAAGTTAACGTCAACAAGCAGTTCGGTATGCCTGTAATAACGTGACGTGGCTTATCAGGTATGTACCGCGCAATGCGGTTTCACAGACGCGCCATCCATCTCACACAACACACACCATACGGACAGAATCGAGTTCTTCGTTGTTGCGCATCTCAAGCTTAAATGTGGCGATCGCGGCATCAAGAGATTCTGCCGCGGGCAACCTTGGGACCCCTCCTCGTTAACCTGACCCCTTGGTCTTCTGGAACATTGCAGAGCTTGGGCCAAGGAAGCCAACACCCATGCCAGGGACCTAACGTTACCTTGGTCGATTTACGCTTGGACTCGGCGTGCTTTGTCAGAAGCGGCGCGGCGTGTTGCTCTCGCGCAGATGAGTTAATGCGAAAACTATAACTAACGATAGCAGCTGATGGTCTTTGGTGTATCGATGGATCCATCGGAAGGAAAAAGGAGTTCGCAGATGACCAGAAGCGGATCTTTAAAAACTAAGTTAGCGTCGGCGTGATCGTTCTTTGTCTTGCTCTGCCGGCAGCGGATCGCCCCAAGTGGGATCTGGAGAAGGCGGAAATGCAAGGTGTCAAGCTCACCAAGCAAGACCCCACCCCCTGTTCGCGAACAGGGGTGCCGAACATCGAACCGTGGAACAAACCACGTCGTCCACTGGCTGCTCTCGAATCACGTTCCCCAAGATTTGGGCCGGCCTTTGGAGATTATCTCCCGGGAATTATTCCGACCTTGCTTTTTGACCCGCATAACCCCCCGCCGGCTTTCTCTAATCATGCTCTTCCCTCCTTGACGACACTACTTGAAAAACTCATCTTCGACTTTTACCTGTTTGCTGTCCTTGGTGATGCCCCCGCGCCGACAAGCGACTGAGCCGCGCCCTGCTCTCCCTTCAGATCGGATGCTTCGGATTTGCGACAGTACCGCTCCCCCGACGGCGCGACAGCCGGTAAAATAATATGTTCCGGAGAACCTACCTTTTCCTGGTCCTAGTCCGGCTATGGTTTGCATTGTCGCCGAGCTATCTTCACCCAGATGAGAACTTTCAAGGCCCCGAAGTGATTGCTGGTAAGTGCCTAAGTGTGGTTACCTGTTTTGGTGTTGTACAGCACGCCGCGCAGCTATCTGGCCGTTTCCGGAACCCCGGATCCGGCAATAGTGAGGATCAAATTTTTGACCTCGTGACTTATCGTGTCCCATTACATGCTTGTGCATGGGGTGGAAAATTATTGAGTGAACAAGACTAACTGATTTCGTGGAATACAGGGGAAATCTTTGGCTACCCGGTCCGACGCACTTGGGAGTTTACGAGCGACAACCCAATCCGAAGCGTGTTCCCATTATGGCCTGTCTATGGGCTCCCTATGCTTCTACTGCGGTGGCTGTGGATAGGAAATGGGAATGACGGGGTGGTACCGCCGATCGCGGTCTTCTGGACGCTGCGGGTGCTGATGTTCATCGTGGGCTTTGTGTTAGAAGATTGGGCGATCCACGAGCTTATACAGTCAAAGCGGCAGCGGCATCTGGCCGCACTCCTCGTTGCGTCTTCCTACGTCACTTGGACATTCCAAACACACACCTTTTCGAATTCGATAGAAACACTGGTGGTAGCGTGGAGCTTGGTTCTGATTGAGCGCATTGTCGCCAGTCCGGTAAGCGCATCGCGCAGAGAGCGGCACGCAGGGCTGCCGACTGACGAGCCACAGCAGCGCGGTTCGGTTCTAGCTTCGACGGTCCTTGGAATTGTTGTCGTTTTTGGCGTCTTCAACAGGATTACATTCCCTGCCTTTTTGCTGATACCCGGGCTCCGGCTCTTACCTTATTACCTGAAGAAGTAAGCCATTTCCCGATGCATTCAAACGATAATAGTTGACCGCTAACGCTCCACAGCCCTTTGGCGCTTACCGCGATTGTGACAGCAGGAATCTGCACAACCGCGCTTGCGATTACCCTCGATACGGCGTTCTACACCCACCACTCGATCTCTTGGGCGGACCTCCTCCGAAACCCGGTTCTAACACCGATCAACAACTTCCTTTACAACATCTCGCCAGCAAACCTAGCGAAACATGGACTGCACCCGTGGTATCAACACCTGTTGGTAAACCTGCCGCAGCTTCTTGGGCCAGCAGTGTTTCTGCTGTTCCTACGACCCAGGCGTTCGTTACGCCTATACTCAGCCCTTTCGGGAATCGTTGTGCTTTCGCTATCTCAGCACCAAGAAGCTCGATTTCTCCTCCCAACCGTGCCCCTGATTCTGTCCTCTGTGCGTCTCCCAAGAAACGACAAAATCTTGCGGGCCTGGGCAGTATCCTGGGTTATTTTCAATGTCATCTTTGGCACATTGATGGGAATCTATCACCAAGGCGGGATCATCCCTGCCCAGGTGTTCATGAGCAAACAGCCCGACGCTACCCAGGCTGTCTGGTGGAAAACATACATGCCGCCAATATGGCTTCTGAACGGGAAGAATGAAGTCCTACGCACACGGGACGTGATGGGCATGAAAGGGGAGACGCTCTTAGACGAGCTGGCGCAGCTGGCGACGTGCGACACGCCAGCGGATCGGAGGAGCATGGAGTATTTGAAGGAGAAGAACGGGACCTACCTGGTGGCGCCGCTATCGGCGGCGTGGTTAGACCCGTACCTACAGAATAAAGGGCTTGATGGTTTGCGGTTTCGCGAGGTTTGGCAGTACAGACAGCACTTGAATCTCGATGATTTAGACTTTGGGGAGGATGGCGTTTGGAATACATTTTCTCGAGTTATTGGGCGACGGGGTCTGGGGATCTGGAGGGTAACAAAGAGCTGCCCTGGGGTAAAGGGGAGGTAGCATCTAATCTGGGCGGTATTTTGATAGTAGCGCAATCCTGCTTGTTGTAATGGAGCAGCTTCTGGAAGTTGAGTCGTGAACCCTGATGGCCTGCGCTCGGGCCGCAGCGCCAAGGATGCTTGGTTGTAGCCCCCAAGCTCGGCAGCCAGCATCTGGAAGCCCCACCTTGCACCAAAATTCGGCTGCTTGAAGCTTGTTTGGAGCTTTCATCCCACTTCCTACCCCTCTAATTGACCGCACCGTGCACGCGACCTCTGGGTAGCCTCAACCACGCGGCAGACTCTCAACATGGGTGGGCTAAACCTCGAGGTGTTCAAGGTATTTGACCCCATTCGACTCTCAGCCGTGCTCATGCCCCCACTACTGCACTATACTGACCCTCCTCATCCCCTACAAAGTTCGGCATGTACGTCATGTTCCCCATCGGCATCATGTTCTACTTCGGCACCAACCTCGACTCCCGATTCGCCGTGCCCGATTTCTGGCCCAAGCCTGAGCAGGCGAACAAGGTGCCGCTGGAGCGCGACGAGATCCAGGCGGAATTGGAGCGCTTGAGAACGAGGCGGTTGTTTCTGAGGGAGCAGCGGCTGGCGGCGGAGGCCAAGGCTGGGGGGAGTAATGGAGGGGGACAAGCGGGACAAGGGAGGCCGGAAGAGTAAGGGGGACGGGGCTTTGGGTGAGGGGTGGGATAGAAGATTTGGGTGGATTAAGGGCGGGTTGGGGTGTATGATCATGGGCAGGATACAAAAACTCGGCGTTTAAAGGGATATTGGTTCGTCTGTTTTTGTTATAGTGTCTGGGGCCGTGGCAGGACGGCTGGGTGTACGACGACTGTGTAGTACTACAACTATGATACATCTGTGACCGATCTATGTGTAATGTCGTTTTGGCATATGTCAAGAAAATGCCCCTATCCCCTCCTAGGTATCCAACTTCTCCTCGATCTTGGCCCATTGCTCGTCGCTCATCGTACCCCTCGTCACGTTCGAATACACACCCTGTACGTCTGGATACTCTTTCAATGCATCCAACAGTTCCGTCAGGTTGATCAACTCTTGGGAATCATCGATACTCGCCTTGGTGTCCTCGTTCGCCGTCCAGATGATATCCGAACTCAGAATCTTGAGCCCGAACTTCGGCCCAACCGCCTTACACACCTGCATCGTCCCAGATGGCTGGGTCCACACAACAATGTTGCCTTCGGCGTCATTCTCCAGATCCTCGGCCCCGGCCTCGATCGCATCGTCCATGATCTGGTCCACGTCGAGCCCGCTCTCACCCGTCTCAAATACCACGCGCCCACGGCGCGAGAAGAAGAATTTGGACGAGCCAGTGGACCCCTTGGCTTTCTTGACGAGGTGGTTGAGCTCCTGCAGCGCGCGTAGCTTGCTCTCAGTTTCAATGTCGACGATTATCGCAATCGAGGGCGGCATCACGGCTTCAAGAGTAATCGATTCGAGGGAGACACCCGTTGAGGAACGGCCCTGGCCTCGTGCAATGGCGCTTTCGATTTTATCCCGGGGCATGCTCGCTTTCTTGGCGTTGTTAATGGCGGCCGCGAGCTGCGGGTTGTGATTGGGGTCTCCGCCATAGACTGTCGGGTTTGTGATGTGAGTCTGGTCTGTTCTCTTCCCTTTCCTTTATTTCGTTACCCGGGGCGGGGCGGCGTACGTTTGGAGTAGATGGTGATGATCTTGGCCAAGATAGTTCGGGTATTGTTCTTTTTCAGGTCGTTGGCCGCCTTGTCATGGCGAATCTTGCTCCATTTGTTGTGCCCGGCTTGAGGAACGGGCGTGGTAGCAAATGGTCGCAGACATTGTGTGCAGACCGAGGATGGTTTGGCTGGCCGGGCCAACGAGGCGAGAGGTCGAAAGAAGGACGCCATTGGGTCCAGGGAAGGTAGAAACAAGATGAGGGTGGTGTTTAAGTTGAGGACGACATTGGGGGCTACGCTGACCAAGGCTCGTCAGGCGGGCAGTCCTCCCTGGACAGACTCGCAAGGCAATGTATGATCTGGCGCGGGAGTCGGAAAGCTTGTGGACCTCGAAATTGAATTTAGCGCTGCCTGCCGGCAACCGCAGCGGGACGACAGGGGGTGCGGATCCGGATCGGGGCCCCTCGTTCGGCGGTCATTGGCCGAGCCCCACTGACACTGAGCTCCACCACAACGCCATTGTGGACGGAGCACAGCACACGGGCCAGAGGAGGCGGAACAAGGTTCCTTCTCTTTTGAGAACTTGCATACCTACCTAATTTCCTATTTCCTTTTGTAAAAAAAAAGATCACAAATTTATTGACGGCCCTGGACGAGACTCGGAAACATCGGTACTCACCGCCATCCCCCGACCGAAACCTCGCCTCCGATGGCCTCAACAGCAGGCACGGACGAGCCCAGCACCATCGTCAATGGAGACGTCCCGCGCACATCCTCCGTCTCGGCAGCTGCCGCAGCAGCGGCAGCAGCGAGCTCGAACCCCGAATTCGACGTGGCCAAGCTGCAGGGGCTTCCAACTGAGCAACAGGAGCTGCTTCTCCTGAACTTTGTCTCCGCCTTGGGCAAACATGTCCTCGCACTCCCGCCCGACGATTGCACCGCGCAGCAGTTCTACCTCAAAAAGGAGGTCTTTAAGATCCTCAACCTCGCGACCCCGCCGCCCACGAGGGTCGTGCGCAACACGCTCGGGAAATGTCTGGCACATATATTTGGCAAAGGGGATCGGAAGTTGCTGTTTGAAACAGTCAACGAGCTGTCCGGAATCATATCTGGTGGGAAGTCGAAGACCGAAGCTGAGATACGGACGAAGCATGCCGCTGTTACATGTCTGGGCGAGGTCTATGCGGCCGCGGGGGACAGCGCGATTAATTTGCACCAGCTCGCCTGTACGGCCCTATTGAAGCTACTCAAGTCCTCTTCGAGCAATGCCGGGCTTCGGGCAGCGGTGTTCACGGCGTTTGGGAGGATCGCAACAATGCTTGGGGGCAGTCTGGATGAGAGCCTCGCAAGGGATATTTGGAAACAGGGCCGGAATTATGCCACCAGCGACAAAGGGTCGCTCGTCATCATCTCGGCGTGTCGTTGTCTGCGGGCGCTGTTGCAGTTTACGCCTTATTTTCAGACCTCGAGTGATTTTGACAGCCTCCGGTCGTCTATGTTCAAGACGTTCGATTCGTCTTCGCCCAATGTACGTTCTGCGGCCGCCGACTGTCTTTCAGAAGCCCTGGTTCGCGGCTACTCCGAGTCCGCTATTGGCGAGGCGCCGCTGGTGCTCGTGAAACGAACAAAATCCAAGGCTATCAAACGTCAGTCCACACAAGTTGGCGCGCTCCAAGACGAGGATGACCTCCCTGCGCGCCCGGAAAGCCCGGCCCCTGGCAAGAAATCCCAGGATCTCGCCCTTTCGCTAGTTGATATGCTCAAAATGCTGTCTACGCAATACGTCCGCATGTCAACCTCGAATAAATCAAGGGCAGCGCTCGCTGTTTGCTACGGGAGCTTGTTTAAGAAACTGGGAGAGAAGACGATCGAGAACAACTACACCCAGATTGTGGAGCACCTGACGGTCGAGATTCTTGGCCACAACAACGTCAACAACAACCGATACCGTTTGTTGATATCACGACGCATGGTAGAGATCACCGTGCAGGACATTATTGGGAAGAAAATCCTTGGCGAATCGGGCCAGACTAGCGCCGCCAAAGCGCTGCTCAACGATGTCATCAAGAACTACCCGCAAGCGCTGAAAGAAAAGCCCGAGCCGACGAAACAAACGCTTACCGTGGCGCTGGGCGCTCTGGCATCGCTCGTGAACAGCTTGGGGTCGGCGGCGAACAGCTTTTCAGAAGCGTGCCGCGATGGTCTGATTCAGGTTCTACAACATCCCAGCTACACCGTCCAAGTGTACGCTTCGTCGTGTCTTAAGACCTTCCTGCTAGCCTGCCCTCAACAGCTATTACCGTGTCTCTCGGTGTGTATGAACAGCCTGAGCCGGGAGCTCGGACTGTTGGGGACTGGGCGAGGCTCTCCCCGTCGGTGTCTCGGCTTTGCACACGGCCTTGCTGCCGGGCTCAGCGCGAGCCCGCAGCGGCCGCTGTATGGATCAGTTGACATTAACAGCCGCGTACTCACCATGTCTACGAACCTCCTCAAGTCCAGCGGGAGCTCTGAGTTGCGTGTGGCGAGTACTCAGATTCAGGTCGCCTGGACCTTGATCGGGGGGCTCATGTCACTAGGCCCCAACTTTGTCAAGATCCATCTTTCTCAGCTCCTTCTTTTGTGGAAGAACGCCTTGCCCAAGGTCTTGTCCAAGGACAGCTCGATCCACAGAAACTACCTCAACGCATCTTTCTTGACGCATGTCCGAGAGTGTGCGCTCGGCTCGATCCTTGCGTTCCTCGAGTTTAATAGCCGTCTCCTGACAGTTGACGTCTCGAAACGAATCGCCACCATGTTGCAGAGTACCACGACTTTCCTCAAGACGCTCCCTTCCAAGAAGACGGCCGAAGACATCAGCGAACGGCTCACGCCATCGCTCCAACTGCAGGACCTGGAGACTATGGTACAGCGGAGGGTTCTCCAGTGCTATACCAAGCTGGTGAACATTAGCCCAGCCGGCGGTACCGAGGCGCTGCTTCAGTCTAACCTCTTGATTCTGGCCATCTCTCTCTTCGCGGACCCGGACAATTACACACCCACTTCACTTAGTGCATCAATCGCCAACACGGCCTCAACATTTGAGTCGGTCTGGGATATTGGCGACAATTCCGGGTTTGGTGTAAACGGTCTTGTCCGTGGCTTCAACGTTAGACCTTTACCAGGACAACATGAGAGCTCGGTAGAGCGCACTCCGTCTGGCAGAGAAGGGCTGGAGGAAGAGATCGAAAAGCTCCTACTCTCACCCATCTGCGGCACGCTGGAGCACGACGCTTCGATCCTTTACATTGGGAGTGCGGATGGGCCGAGTCTTCCTGATCCCGCGGCGACCGAAGTGGTCAACATGGCCATTCAGCTCTTTGCTTTTGTGTTCCCTCTCACGCCCGCCAAGGTCCAAGAAAGTGTGCTCGAGCAAGTCACAACATTTGTTGCTGCCGGCTCCGTACAGCGAGACCCGGGCCGGAAAGCCGCTGTTAATGTCAATGTGGCTACTGCTCTGCTCTCGATCTTGCGGGTAGCTGTCAAGGAGACCAAGGCACCCGCGGGAGATGTGACCAACGAGGCCGTGGAGAAGCTTATCCAAGAGCTGCTTCGCGATTTTGTCTTGGACCGCGACCAATACGTTCGGAGCATCGCCTACGAAGCGGTGGCTCGGCTATGTGGCACCTGTGGGAACGCTTTTACCAACCAGGAGATTAAGCATCTCGTCGACACCATCGTTGTCAACCGGGAACCGAGCGCACGAGCAGGCTGCGCGATGGCCCTCGGGACCATCCAGGCTAAGATCGGCAGTATGGCAGCCGGGTACCACCTCAAGACGATCTTAAACATTCTTCTGTCCCTGTGCAATGACCCGCACCCGACCGTTCACTACTGGGCCCTGGAGGCGGTCGCCCGAGTTGCGGATGCCTCCGGGCTGGGGTTTGCCAACTACGTCTCTGCTACCTTGGGCATGCTGGCCAACCTCTACTTTTCGGAAACCCACAGCCCCGAGGTCGCACTGCCAGCGTCGATGAACCTCGAGGTGGAATCGTCCACGTCCGCAGCCATCGCGCATTGCGTGGACTCACTCATTAATGTGCTTGGTCCCGACTTGCAGGACTCGACCAAGTCCCGGGAGTTAATCCTCACCCTTGTCGGCTTCTTCCAACAGGAAGAGGACCTCGAGGTGCAACGAGCCAGCCTAGTATGCCTCGAGCACCTCTCCCTCTATGCGCCGGGTAACATGAATTTTGGCGAGTATGTCCGGACGCTGCAGGGCTATCTTGCGTCCGAATCGACTGTTCTTCGAGACGTGGTCGTGGACGGGCTGCACAACCTGATGAAGCGGAACCCGTACGACGTGATCGAGGCCGCGGACACGGGGTTCGAGGACCAGCTGTGGTTGGTGCTGGATGCCGACCCGAGCCACGACGGCATGCACAACACGCTGCGCAACTGGATGCGACATACGTGTCTGGCTAACACGGCCGCGTGGTTGGCGCGGTTCCAGCACGTGCTCAAGATGACTCGGCCCAAGGAAGCAGTGCGACAGACGGCGAGTACGAAGAAATCTGGAGCGGGACTGGATTTGCAGGACGAGGAGGTTGCTGGGTTTGCATCGGCTGAGGGGGCGACCAAGGATGATAAGGATGTGCTGACGGGCTCGGATGTTGAGCCGTTGCGGTGGCAGGTCACAACGTTTGCGATGGATTGTCTCAATGACATTTTTATTCTCGTAGCCAAGGATATCGCCACGAATGGGGAGTCGGCGGCTCAGGTTGCGCTCCAGGCCAAGATTGCTGATGTCGTGCGCATGGCCTTCTCGGCGTCCACGTCTGGTGTTGTCGAGCAAAGGATCTGGGGTCTCAAGATCATCGGCGCAGTGTTGAAAATGTTTGGCAAGTCGCCGGACCCAGACTTTGAAGAGGCCATGCTGCTGGAGCAGTACCAGGCCCAGATCAGCTCGGCACTCACCCCGGCGTTCGCGGCCGACTCGTCCCCGGAGCTGGCCGCCGAGGCAGTTAATGTCTGCGCGGGCTTCATCGCAACGGGCATCGTCACGGACGTCGACCGTATGGGCCGGATCCTCAAGACGCTGGTCAGCTCGCTGGAGAACTTCCAGACGGAGGATGAGAACGCCGGGATTGGCGACCTCAAGGGCCTCAGCTCGAACGCGCGCGTCATGGTCAAGATGGCCGTGTTTGGCGCGTGGGCGGAGCTGCAGGTGGCCAGTTCGGAACAAAAGTACCTGCTCGAGGTGCTCAAGCCGCATATTGGCACGCTAACGCCGCTGTGGCTCGAGTCGCTGCGTGAGTTTGCCAGGCTGCGCTTCGAGCCGGACATCTCCATGACTCTGGGCCCCCCTTCGTTGTCGGGCAGCCTGGATACCGTGTACGCCGCGCTGAACCGGGAGACGCAGCTCAAGTTCTACCAGGATTCGTGGCTGAAGTTGGTCGATGCGATTGCTAGCTTGATCGGGCAGGACAGCGAGTTTGTGTTTGATGCGCTCGATGGGAAGGAGGTCACTGGGCCGATTCGTACTAACGTCAACGGCACGGATGCTTCTGCTTCTACTGCTGTTACCAAGGGCCTGGATATCAACTACCGCGACGAACCCGTGGCCTTCTTCTTTGTGCTGTTTGGCATAGCGTTTGAGGCGCTGGCGACTAAGCCTGGGCAAAGTGAGTCCCTGGCCACACAGGAGCAGACGCTGGCGATCCTGAGCGCCCTCAAAAAGATACTCCACCCGAGCGTGTCCGGCCAGGCGATCTACCGCGAGGCCATCTTCTCCGAGACGATGGACCTGCTCGACCGGCTGGTCCTTACCGAGGGGCTTGACGTCCAGGGGGTCATTGTAGAGATCGCCCGGGGCTTGTGCCTTGCCCACCCAGCCGCCCGCAAACAAGATGATGCCGACAACGGGGAGTTGTCGGAGGACATTGAACAGCTGTTCGAGCTAACCCGCATCATTGTCCTAGTACTCTCGGGCCTCCTCCCAGGCCTGAGTGACAGCCCGCAGCAGCCGATGCGTCATCAGATGACGGAGGAAGCGATTCTGCTGATCAAGACAGCGCTCAACGCGCTGGTGGATGCCGCTGAGGTGTTCCCGGCGATCATCAAGACCGATCTGTACGCGTGTATCATCCACATCTTCGCCACAATCCTGGCCACACCGGCGTGTCAGGACGTGATAGTGCCGCAGTCGCTACCGACACTCAAGCGGTTCATCAAGAGCGTGTCCCAGTCACGGCATCTGTCGGCTTCTGAAGATGGAAGCGCGGCGTCCCAGACGGAGATTCAGCTCCTCGGGTGTCTGCGCCGGTTCCTGTCGATTTATGTCCATGCGCAAAAGCGTGAAGCGCCGACGTCCCTGACGTGTGTCAAGAACTGTTTGTTGGCACTCACGGTGCTGTTCACGGCGGGTGAGAACCACCTGCCGGCAAGCGAGCCGTTGGTGGAGAGGTTTTTGGACGAAGTGCTGGATTGTTTGACGGATCGAATGGTATGTTTCCTTTAGTCCACCCCCCCTCTTGGACAGATCAAGATAATAAGTGGTCCGACTAACCCTAACCCTTCCGACAAACAGACCGCCAAAATGGCCGCCTCCTGCCTACGCACTCTCCTCATCGCACCCTCAACCTCCTCCTCCTCTTCCCCCACCGCCGCCGACAATTCCCTCGCCCGCCACCTCCTCCCCCGTCTCCTCGCCTTCCTCACCAACACCGACCCAGAAGACCCCGAATTCGCCCGCGCCCTCGTCGCACACGCCCTCTGCGCCTACGTCGCTACCCTATCGCAGACGCCCCGGGCCTCGGTCGCCATTGCCCTGGTCCTGCCAGCGTTGCTGTCCCGTGCGCTGAGCGAAGGGGAAGGGGTGTATGCGGAGACCAGTGTGCGGTTGTTGGAGCTGGCGTCGGCGGATCAGGGGGCGTTTAGGGGGGTTGTGGGGGGGTTGGGGGATGGGCAGAGGGGGTTTTTGGAGGAGGTTATTCGGAGTGGGAGGGCGGCAGGGGGGATTCAGGGTGCGGGAGCTGGGGATGAGGATGAGGGGAGTAAGGAGCCGAGTATTGCGTTGAAGATGAATTTTGGGGGGTAGTGGTTGTAACAGGGTAGCAAGAGAGAAAGGGGTTTGGTTTAGAAGGTATGGTGAAAGTAAAATCGGCGCTGAGCCGTGGGATATATATTTCTCTTTCTAACGTAAACCGTTCCGTTTTGGTATCTCCTTTTCTTCTATGTGACTTGTACCCGAACCATTTTTGAACTAACCCAACGCTGTGCATATGCCATGCAATATCATGCCATGCGTACGTGCTCGAGAACATACTAGAAAGTGTTGAAACTTTGTAACTATCCCTCCTCTTCTCATCCATTTACTTATCAAACGAACACTAGGCGAAACCGCCGTTCACGGAAGCCAGGTCATGGACCAAGTGCCTGCCTAACTCGCAGCCAAAATCTCAGCCGCATCCGGCCCCGGCGACTGATCCGACCGTCCATCATGCTTCTTCATCTCCTCAGCCTCACGGGCACGGCGGTCGGCCTCGAGGGCCTCTTGCGTGCGACGGTGGCCGACATAGGTCGCATACCGCAGCGTGCCGAGCGTGAGCACGGCCATGAAGATGATGCCGAGCACGGAGCGGCGGATGAGAACCCAGCGTAGGGCCTCGATGTCGGATTTGGCGTCGCTGTTGAGGGTTACGGAGATTTTGTAGTTGATTTGTTGGATCTGGGGGGTGTTAGTCAAGGGACGTGTTTTGTATTTTATATGCTTGGATGGAAAAAAGGGAGGTGGAAGGGTAAGTGAAAAGGGAAAAGGCAAAAGAGAGAAACGCACCCGGCTCTCGACAGTCTTATGCTCCTCCCGCACCGCCATACCCCGGTCATTAAACATCCCCCTCACGCTATCCGTCAGCGTCAGCAGCTCTTGGTTCAGCCGCTGCGTGAGGATGTCCACCTCGTGCTGCAGCAGGGTGCGCTGCTGCCGCAGCTGCTCGTCTGCCACGCGCCGGTTGTTGCGCACCTCGGCACTGAGCTCGCTGCACGCCGCGCGGAAGAGGTAGGTCTCGTTCTCGACGTTGGCTTTGGATACTAGTCCCGCCTGGGCCACGTCGAGGTTGGAGGCGAGCAAGGTACGGATGGCTTTCATGGAGAGGATGGCTTGCGGGAGGGTGTAGCCGCCTGCGGTGAGGTGTTTGACGAGCGTGTAAGAGTCGAAGTGGTGGATGTACTGGGTGGGGACGAGGTGTGGGGGCTTAGTGGCGGAGGTTGAGGGTGACGGATCGGTGGTTGCGCCGTTGGGTGGGTTGGTGCTGGTGTTAGGGATGCTGCTGGAAGCCGCATCGCTGGTGCCCTCAGCGCTGGTGGAGTCTGGGGGGGGTCCCATGTGCAAGATCTCATCCATAGGACTGCCACGCTTGGCCTGGGTTACTGGGTCGATGTCGCTCGGCGGGGGCAACTCGATGGTTGACGGGAGGTCGGGTTGAGGGGTCTGAGCGGTTTGTTGAGTTGCTTCGCCAGAGGGAGGAGGGGCAGCATCTGGTTTCGATGGTGGTGTCTCGGCGGCGGCGGCCTTCGTTTTCACGCTCTCGGCTTGTTGTGTCACTTCCTCCTTTCCTTTTCCCTTCGGCTTTCCCTTCGCCCTCGTCTTCAATGGCTCGTTCGGTTTCCCTTTCGGCTCCGACTTCTCCTCCACAGTGCGCCTCTCCTTCTGCTCTGGCTTCCCCTCTTCAGCCGCCTCCTTCGCTTGCTGCTTCTCAGACTCCAACGTCATGGGTTCTATCCCTTTGCCCGCCCTCTTTGCAAACGGGGCATGCCTACCCACCGAAGGGGTCGTGAAGTGTGCCACATGTTGACATGATGGCGGCCGTGCTGAGGGCGCGTTACCGTTACGGCGACGGGAAGAGCGCACGGCGTGGGAAGCAGCAGGTTCTGACCAACGACCCCCCGCGCGGAAAAGGTGCGGGTACAAAAAAGTGAGCCGATTCGCAGCTGCTGGAGCTGTCATGGCGGTCGATTTTCTTTTGTTTTGCCTCCCCGGTTAGATATTGATTTCGTAGCTAATTCAAGAGGCGTGAGACGGAGTAGGGCGGGGAGAGTTGTTAGGTCTCACGCCGTGGTTGCGGGGTGCCGAGCTAGTCGAGGTGGTGTTGAGGTTTAACCCGAGCCTAAAAGCGTGAGAATTGGGCGAATGGGTGCATGATGCATCCGAGCAAGCATGCCGGCTCGGCCCAAGCATGCGGGTCTAGCCGACGTACCCCTGCGCAAGTGAGTCAATGGATGGTATGCACGTATAGGGGTGTTTACTTTAGACGAATCTGCCCTATAAGTACATGCATCGAATTTGCTGGCTGACAGATTGTGACAGTTCTCTCAAACCATGATCCTTGGCAAGCTTTAATTCCTTGACAGAATGCCAGCAGTGTTCTTTTCACCTGTCTCATTCCAATTCGGCCCCTACGATACATCCCGACCAGAAACGTGGTTGACATGAGCAGCGTCGGGGCATGGCAGGATGCAAGATCGCGGGTAACTGCATCTTTATGTAACAGCCAATGCCCAATGGAAGCACGGCGCCAGGCCACACTGGCGAAGCAATGACGACTGTTGGCCATCCCTGTCAGCGCCTGTTTCGCCTGTTTCGCCGAGCCTGGCACAGTGACATCCAGCTTCCTGGAAGCTCCCCAGTGTCCAGGCCCAGCCAAGCCAGCTCAGGGCTTCCCCAACAGGGACCCCGTGGTTCTCTATTGCGTGCGCAGTTGGGCTCCCGTCTGTTTGGTCATTTTTGTATTTTCCTTTGCTCGTGTCTCGTTTGGCTCATCTTCATGCCCAAGAACCACGTGGACATTTTGAATCGGTACCTCTCACGCGATTGGTACCCGGCCGGTTCCCGCGAATTGATTTCCGTTGTCTCGGCGCGCGCCCTGCCGTCGCACCCACTAAAGACCTAGACTGGCGTCAAGTCGACAGCTGGAAATCCCAGGCCTGGAACTGGTAGCAAACCTGATTCATCATCACCAACACCTTTGGTTTATTCTTTCTTTCTTTGTCGAGCACCATCTGTCTCTGTCAACCCGACAAAGCCCAATCCTCGCCCGACACGACGGTCCTCTCATCTCGCCAGCTAGCTATTTTTGGACCGGGTCGGCGGATCGTAGTTATCGCACGGAACGAACGGGGGGTGGTTTGCTTGATAAACGAGGTACCTCCGAACCTTTCAGCGCACCTCACTCCGGGGTTTGTCTCACCTGAGCAGAGAGAGAGGTATGTGACCAAGACGGGAGCTTGCTCGTCCTTATCTCCCCTGTCAGACCGCCTGAGGAGCTGCGATCGATTTACTGTCGTTTCTGTCCATTCCCTTTTCGTCCTTACTATAACTCCTCCCAACTTGACTTTACCTATTGTTTGCACTCCATCAATTCTCATCGCGAACTTCGACCATGGCGGTAGACGACTCATTCATCCCAGACCAGGGCTTGTCAACACCACCCGAGGACGACCCGTCGGCCGTGTGGCCTCCTTTCCACATGGCCTCCCTAAAATACGGTACGTCATTGTTTTCTCATTGATTTTTGATTTTTTTTATTGGAAGAAAAAAAACAATATAAAATATGAACAAAAGCGGACCCCAATATTAACATGTCCCAGATGCCAAATCTACGGACCCTCCTCTCATCGAGAGGAACTCCTCCATAAAATCTTACACCACTTCGCGGGCAACCTATCCCAAACTCCGCGTCTTTCACCGACGACATCAACACGCCGACAATCTCCCCACTTCCCCAGCACCCGTCCCATTACTAGTGTTTGTCCACGGCCTGGGCGGGTCAGTCGCGCAGTTCAGCCCCCTGCTCACCAGCCTGACCCCGATCGCCTCCTGTCTAGCGGTCGACCTACCAGGATGCGGTGTCTCCGAGTTTACGCCCCGGGCGTGGGACGCCTACTCGACCGATGCGATGGTTGAGCTGCTCGAGACGGTGATCGAGGACCACCGCGAAGCCGACGCCGGTCAGGGCGTGGTCCTGATCGGCCATAGCATGGGCTCGTCTCTCGCTGCTCTACTCGCGAACGCCCGCCAGCCCAAGACAAGCTTGCATGAACATGTCCTCGGTGTGGTCGGCATCTGTCCTACCGCGGGACAGTTCACCCGCGAACGGGTACGCCTGCTGCGTGCAGCACTGTGGATTCCCGGGTTCATCTTTAACTTATGGCGGGCTTGGGACAAGCGTGGGGGGTTGGAGAGCCCCAGTGTGCATCGGTTTGTTGGTTCGGACGCCGATGCTGAATCGAAGAGGCTGCAGTACATGTTTAACTACCAGAGCAAGACGCCTGTCTGGCGGCGGATGGCGTGGGGTGCGCTACCTGTCTACACAAAGGGGGAGGTCTCGAACGGGATCGCCTCGCTGGATGTCTGGGCCGGGTTGGATCTACCGGTGTTTCTGGTCGGGGGGACGGATGATCAGGTCGTACCCCCAGGTGAGGTTGACAAGATTGTAGCAGCTCTTTCGGAGAGCAAGTCGGCGTCCACATCTAGCGTGGAGCAACACCACCTACAACAACAACAGCAGCAGCAGCAGCAGCAGCAGCAAACGCAGCAGAAACAACCACAACAACAACAACCACCCTCCCCTTCGTCAGACGGAACGATAACACCACCACCACTTCCATCTCTACCCCAACACCCCAAAAAGGTGGTAGTCAGCACCAAACTCCCCAGCCCCGCCGGCCACGGCCTACTCTACGCACCCGCCACTGTACCCGTTCTAGCCGGGCTCATCTCCGACTTCCTCTCCACCCACGTCACCGGACGCCTCTCACTCGGGTGGCAGCTCCAGTTCCTCTGCCGCGACGGCAAATGGGACGTCAAGAACCTCGAAAAGTGGCGCAACGTCGCTCCCGTATCCGGCCCCATCGGCTGCAGCCACGGCAACGGCCAAGCCAACGGCCACGGCCAGGGCGACAGCGGCATCTTCCGCGCCATCAAAACCCTCCGCGAAGTAGACGAGCAACACTGCCCACGCGTCTTCGTCGAGCGCTGGGGCAACACCATCAAAGACGTCATCGACATCTCGCACGACAACCCAGTCTACAACCCGCGCAACCTCGAGCAAGGCGGGATCCGCTACCACAAATACGGCACCCTGTCCAAGGTCCCGCCCAACGACGGGGAGATCACGGGGTTCATTGAGTTGGTGGATAAGATCCGGGCGGAGCAGAAGGACAAGGCCCAGGCTCAGGGGTGGGCGGATGGGAGCTATGCGATTGGTGTGCATTGTCATTATGGGTTTAATCGGACGGGGTTCTTAATTGCCTGTTATTTGGTCGAGCGGTGCGGGTTCACTGCAAAGGAGGCCATTGAGGCGTTTGCGAGGGCAAGGCCGAATGGGATTCGTCATGAGCACTTTCGGGATCGGCTGTATGTGCGGTACTCGGGGGTGAAGAGTGAGACGTAGGGCGGGGGGGACTAAGTGGTAGTGGGGATGTGTATGTTCGATAGGTGTTGGGTCTCTTCTTCTTCCTTCCCTTCGCTTGTTGTCATTTCAAGCCAGCGCTTTTTTTACCTCTTCTCCTCTTCCCGTTCTTTAGTTCTGGGTCCTTTTCTATGTCGGTCTTGGACTAGGGTCCTTTCTATATCGGTATCGGATTAGAAGTTCAGGGGTCATCTTGGGCTAGTTCGGTTCTCAAGGGATATATGAATGGGATTAGAGGTTGGTCGCAAGAGGTTTGGTCTGCTTGGGTTTTGGGTTGGGTTGGTTTGGGTTAGGTCATGACAATACATCGTAACTTTCCCAATACCTGACCTGACTTTACATTCTTGCATTTCAAAATTTATACCCTCACCACAACATTTCATCTTCGTCATCAAACCTACTATTACACCACTTCCTTACCCATCCCTCCCTTTACTCATCACATCTCAACTCTCCAACTCCCCCCTAGCCGCCAACCCCACGGCCCCAGAATCCGCCCACACTTCATACCTTTCCACTCTATCCTCATCATCAAATCGTAGAATATACACAAACGTCTCGTACCACAATTGCCCGTTTGCCTTCCACGTAAACCACGCCTTACCGCGCACCACCACTTTCCGATGTTCAGTGTCGACGATGTACTCGACGAAGCGCATGTTGGAGAAGTGGAGCAGGGACGAGATATGGGAAAAGTAAGATTCTAGGCCGGAGGCGCCGTGGAAAGGGGTATTGAGGAAGGGAATGAATGATGAGGTTGTTGTGGAAGGAGGAGGGGGCGTTCCGTGCTCGAGGATGAAGATGGAGTCTTGGTTGCGGGTGAAGTGAGTGTTGAGGAGTTCGGAGGGGGGTGTCAGGTCGCGGAAGGCTTCGCAGAAGATTGTTGCTGCGTGGAGGAGGGAGGGGTAGGGGTCTTGGGGTGTTGCCATTTTGATGGGATTTTATGTAGACCTTTTTAGGTAATCTGGATAGAAAATGAAAGTTGAATACTGTCTCGATTATTTCGGTGATGGTGGTCTTGATAGACCGAGTGCATCATCCGACACTTACAAACGACCAAGTCTCCACCTCGAGACGACCCCCTGTTCCCGACGTCATGCGCTGAAGGGGTCACATCCGCGGCGCTACAAGTGGGCCCGACAGCCCTGCATCTGCCTGCCTGCCCCGGGCCGGCGGTGCCCGCGAGCGTCTGATTCGGCTGAACTGCTCAGCAGGTCAGGCACTCAGCCAGCCCCCCGAACTTAAACTGAACGTCACCCCCGAGAACCCCAAACCGCAGCGAGCTCGGCCCTCGTTTCAGAGTCACCGGCCTCCGTCTGCCCGTCTTCGACTCAACATCTACCTGCCTTTCCGATTCATTTGTCTCTGCATCGCGTTGATTTCCGCATTGCAGTAGAGATAGTGTCAACATGGTATGTTCATTTCATTGGTTTTATGATTATTGTCAGTTTAATTCCCGATGATTCCCGCTAACAACCCCCAGTCTTCCCAGTCCGAGCGGACACCGCTCCTCACGGACCGTCCGCCCAACGCCGACGACGGCGAACGTGACGATGCCGCCGCGCAACAAACACCCGCTTCGGGCCCCACCGCCCGCCGTGGCACCCGCGAGGTGATCCTCTTCGTGTGGGCCCTGCTCGCCACCGCCGGCGTCGTCGTCCTCGCGGTCGTCCTGCAACACCACAACAGCACCTCGAACCCTCACCCCGTGCCATCGAGCCCCCCTCCGCCCCCGATTGCTCCGAGCGATCCCTCCACCGGTGGCCCGTACGTTCCGTTCTCGTCGGAATCCACCACCTTCGACGACTCCGAAGAGAACAAGAACAAGAAAAAGAAGAAGCGCAACCTCATCTTCATGGTCTCCGACGGCATGGGCCCCGCTTCCCTCTCCCTAACCCGCTCCTTCCGCCAACACACCTCCTCCCTCCCCATCGACGACGTTCTCACACTCGACCGACACTTCTGGGGCACCTCCCGCACGCGGTCCAGCTCCTCCCTCGTGACCGACTCCGCCGCAGGCGCAACCGCCTTCTCGTGCGGCCGCAAGAGCTACAACGGCGCGATCAGCATGTTGGAGGGCCACCGCCCTTGTGGCACCGTGCTGGAGGCTGCGAAGCGCGCGGGGTATGCGACCGGGTTGGTGGTGACTACCGATGTGACAGATGCTACGCCGGCGTGTTTTGCGGCGCATGTGGATGTGCGCGCGCAGATGGATGAGATTGCGCTGCAGGAGGTTGGGGCGGGTCCGTTGGGGCGGAGCGTGGATTTGATTTTGGGCGGGGGGCGGTGTCATTTTTTGAGTAATGCCACGGCGGGCAGTTGTCGTGCGGACGATGTGGATGTAGTAGGGTTGGCGGAGAGTAAGTACGGGTGGGCGTATAAGGGTGACCGGGCTGGGTTTGATGAGCTGCGTGGGGGCGCGAATGTTAGTTTACCGCTGCTGGGTTTGTTTGCGCACGCCGACGTGCCGTTTGAGATTGACCGACGCAATATGGCGGATGTATATCCGAGTTTGAGCGAGATGGCGGCGACTGCGCTGCGGGCGCTCGCGGACGCGACCAAGGACAGCGAGGAAGGGTTCTTCTTGATGATTGAGGGCAGCCGGATCGACCATGCGGGCCATTTCAATGATCCGGCTGCGCAGGTGCGCGAGGTGCTGGAGTATGATAAGACGTTCCAGCTGGTGTTGGACTTTTTGGACGAGTCGGATACCGAGGGTGTGCTCGCGGCTACCAGTGACCACGAGACTGGCGGTCTATCTATCGCGTGGCGTAAGTCTTTCCCCTAAACTCCCCAATCGGAGATCATGGAGAGAGAAAGGGCACAACAGAGAGAGACTATACTGACCCCCATCCAGAAGCCCCCGGCGAACTCCCCGTCTACGGCTGGCACCCCTCTGTCCTAACCGCAGCCAACGCCTCGACCGAATACTGCTCGTTCCTCCTCAAGCAGCACATCGCGGCCAACGCGGACGAGACCGACGAAGAACTGATCGCCTGGATCAACAACGAGCTGCTCGTCACCCGCCTCGGCATCTCAAACGCGCTTGAGACCGAGCTTAGCGCGCTCGCCACCAACCCGGCTGCTGCGACGACGACCCTCTCACGCATGGTGAGTGCGCGCGCGCGGATCGGGTGGAGTACGCACGGCCATAGTGCCGTGGATGTGAATATTTATAGCTCCGGTGGTAAGGCGGCTGAGGCGATCCATGGGAATGTGGAGAATACGGATGTGGGGAAGTTTTTGGCAAGTTACTTGGCTGTAGATGTTGAGGCGATCACGAAGGAGTTGGAGGAGAAGTTGGTGGTAAACAGCGTGGATGTGACAAAGGGGGATGCTGAGGAGGTGGCTGAAGAGGGGATGGGAGCTAGGCATACTGTGGAGTGGGCGTTGGATGCTGGGCTGTGAGTGGGATTGTAAAGGGATAGAGGGGGAAATTGAGCATACATATGTTGTTGTAGGGCTAGGACTATGTGTTAGCATGCGGGTATAAGCAGGATTGGGTTTTTAGTTTGACTTGTCTTTCGTTTATGGATACCTTTGCATCTCCAGCGAGCTTCATAATGGGATATTTAATCTCGACTTGATGGTAGTGTAGTGAGATTAATGAGAGAGTGGCGTCGCACCATGAGAGATACCTGGGCTCAGGACATCAAACGTAATCGGACAGTGTGCTCGTGTGAAGGGAGCCATACGTCGTCACTTACAGGACGGTTACCCGATACATTATACCCACTAGCCACTTTCACACCGGGATAAGCAGAGAACTAATGGTAAGCAAACAAGATTTGCAAATAAACCTGTCAGGCTCTCCGAGTTTCATAACACCAATCTTCATTGCTAACCTAACTCTCTCCCAGTACATCTAAATTCAAGTCCCACAACAACCTCCTATTGCAACCCCAACTTATATCTTACTCCTACAAGATCCCCCCTCCCATTTCCCACTCACTACATCCTACCCCTCTCTCTCCTCCGCACTCTTCCCAGCGACCAATTGCCCGTCCGCCCCAACAACCCCCTGGTTCTGCCTCACGAACCGCGGCGGGCCAGACAAGAACCGGCTGCCGTCGGTACGACGACTGTTACTAGTGACGTTTCTGGGCCCGCTGGCACTGCCCGGGCTGTCGGAAGTGCCCGGGCGGCTGTTGGTGCTGGTGCTGCTGGTGCTGCTGGTCGGGATGGGGGTGTTGCTGCGGGTGCTGGTGGCGCTGGTGGTGCGAGCGGTGCCCTGGGGACTGGTGTTGTGGCCGGGAGCGACGCTGAAGCTGGCTTTTCTGGGGGTGGTGGGGGCTATGGGGGTGGGTATCTTGCTGTTGTCACTGTTGTCGGTGTTGGTGATGTTGTCGAAGGTGGTGGTGCGCTTGAGGTCATTGGTTCTGGAACTGCCACTGGTGGTGTTACCGCCGCTGATGTTGCGGTTGTTGCTGTGGCTGCCTGAAGCTGAGGTTTTGGTGTGCTGAGAAGAGGACATGGGTGTTATTTTCGAGGTTGTAGTTATGTTAGGTTTGTTTTGAGGTGTGTTGCAGTCAGGGGTGGATGGTTTTGCGTATGTATCTGCTGTTATAAGGGTAGGAATGCGTCTGGACGGACTCAGCCAAGGTAACGGATATGGTCTGCATATATACTCAACTTCATCTTCCTCGTCATCTTCGTTGTCTTCAAGTTCTCTATCCTTCCGAACGTGACCCGTAGGGTCAACGGTCTACCTCTAGCAGCGGCCAGCCCAGGCATGTTAGGGACACAAAAAGAAACGACCCGAGACCGCTTGATCGATGGCCTTCACCTCCCCTTCGACGAGATGTGGCCTCACAGCGCGACGCATGAACGCAACAAGCCAGGCAAAGAGACCTCATACTTGCCTGGTTTGCCCTTGCCTACACTCCGCGACAAGTGAAGCCAGCTCTCTGAAACCCAACTCAGTCTTGACCTTCCTGGACACCGGCCAGTAGCCAGCCCAGCCTCGTAGTGGCCGGGACACAGTACAGTACGTTACCTCTGAGAAGATAAAGCGCGAGAGAAAGACAGATATCAGAAGAAGGGGAAGGAAAACTCGAGAAACACCAGGCCCCGCGCTGAAACCAGAAACCAGATACAACCAACCGGTCCAACTCGGCCTGTCTCAACAACTGCCATACTGTGGCCGCCCCCCCAACATTAGAAACAAGACATGAAGGGAGAATCAACACGGTCAAGGCTCAAATCAAAACACGTGGGGGCTAGACTACCACCCAACGCGACCGAGCTGTCAACCAACGACCGCCAGAGACGACCCTGAGCATGCGAGGCAGGGGCAAAGCATCTCGAGCAACACACAGCCTTGCCGGGGTCGTACGTTGGTTGGGAGGTCACAGTGGGAAATTCGATGTTGGTCTGTAATTTGCTTTAGTTTTTCTTGACTGTTTCTTGGGATTCTTAACTCTAGCTGCATCTAAGAAATCATAAGCCCATCGCCCGTTCTGTGCTGTGCCGTGATGAAGAGCCACAAACACCATCTGCCATGTCTTGTCCAACTCTCTAGAGTCTTCGTATTTGATACTTAGTCCCAAAAAGTCATACACACCGCGAGGTCTGTAAACATGTATGCTTCTAAAACTCCAACAACCTCTTCGCTTTAGATCAAGCCACAACGCTAAGATCCACCCAAACCCTCTCAAAACATACCCCCATCCATATCATCATCATATTCCCCTCATAAATAAATCCCCAATCATCCACCTCCAACTCAACACCTATCCCTGAGTCGTCCCCGCCGGTCCCTTACCACTGCTTCCAGCAGCGCCACCGCCACTAGTCCCATTTTTGTGTCCGCCAGCGCTACCGCCGGCAATACCTCCATCACCCAAAGTCGCATTCATCCGTTCCAGCGAAGGGGGGGTATACCGCGGTGGGGGTCTGGTGCGGCGACTGTTGGAGGAAGTGGTCACACCACTGGAGCTGCTCGCAGTGCTGTTACTGCTGGTGAAGGATGCGTGGTTCATGGTAGTTGGGCGTGGGGTTTGATATCTTGTTGTGTTTCTTCTGGTTTGTTTTCTTCTTGCTCGTTTGAGTTGTTTGGTTGGCGTAGTGAAGTAGTTTGGTGGTAATGTTGTAAGTGATGGATGAGAAAGGACGAGAGAGTTGTAAGAAGAGGAGACACAAAGGCCGACTTCAAATATATCGCTTCTCTCTCTTTCTTAGATAGCAACAGCCGGCCGCCTCAGTCCAGCCCAGGCCAGTTCAGTTCAACACCCAGAGGCCGCTCCCTTTTCTCTTCTTTTCTCTCGTCTTCTCTTTTTGTCTCCCAGCACAAGCCTGACCCAAGTTAGGTTGATACTCAAACAAAGACCGACCCCCCTTCTCTCGCCAAAACCCAACGGGGCGGCCTCAGGACTTTTGCTGCTGGCCTCGAGAACAATGCCCTGAACTCGACACTGACATGGTGGTGTGCTTGTGAATGGTCGTTGGTCTTTGTATAAACCAACAACAACAACAACAAAAACAACAAAAGCAACCCGGAATGAAGTCTTTGCCGCCCAGCGGGACAAGAAGGGCTGATCGATCAAGTCTTGCTGAAAGAGAAAGGATGCCGTTCGTCGTCGTATGTAGTTCCGCGTCCTTTCCCTCTTATTCGTATGTATCCCTCTTTGTACTTCCCCGTCTTCGTTTTCTTTCCCACCAAGAAAGAAAGAAAGGGAAAAAAAGATCCCCGATTAAATTGTTGAGAGAAACAGAACCCCAGGGGCGACAAGCCAGCCTTAAACCATCCGCTGGCTCGTCAAGGCAAGAAAAAAAGAGGTACTTTCATTGGCTTTGAGTACACCAATCGAAGAGTCGAGTTGAGTTGGCAAGGGTCCCGCTTAGGTGAGGCACTCAGTTCGCCCCAATTGTAGTTGAAAGATGACGCGGTTCAAATGCTCCGGCGGGTATGGGATTGCTGTCCGTATTTATTGGTCCGTCGGTTCCGCGCAGTTGCGAATGATTATGACGAGGCGAATAAAGACAGAAAAGAAGGCTGTAGGAGGGAGAAGAGAGAGAGAGGGAGGGGAGGGCTACTTGGGTTGCTGTGCTGTGAGTGGGGGGGAAACGTAACATCAACAGAAGCGGCGCGAGCCAACCGCTAGCTGCAAGGCTGCCTGTCACTTCAGCAACACCACCAACATTGGAACGATTGGCCCCTCGATACGACGGCTGCTGAGGCTGCCCCTGCCACCACGCCTGCGCTGCTGCGCGGCTCATTCACGCCTGCTTGGGTCGGTTGCCTCAGCGGCAAAAAACTTGGCTGCAAATGCTTTGTTTAGGTGATTGGGCTCGTGAGCCGCAGCAGTTGAGTGCTGTAGTTATGTACTGTATGTACAACATTCTTCTCACAAACTTGACGGCCAAAAAGCCGGTATTACCCAGGTTCCTAGCCGCAAACAAATAATCCGTACAAAAACGCCCAGTATGCGTAGTACCCACCAATGTTGAGTATCCCTTCCTGCCTTTTTATTCATTCATCATCGCTTTCAGTCGGTCCCCTAGATGATGGCGTGGATCTCATGGCCAGACCGTCCCAATCTCTTCAATCCGAAACATCCAAACCGTCCGACCCGAAATGGATAGGGTGCGTTTCCGGGCGGTAGGATATTTTGAACTGGCCCTTGAACCGGCTCCACAATATCGATGTTACCGCGGCTTTGTCCTCCTTCGTCATGCGGAGGGTAGGGGCTTGGTTCGAGATCCATACCTGCAGGCCCTCGTGTGCGCCGCCCGGATCCGCCGCGAACCCGCTCAACATCTCCAAGAGCGGGCCGGCGTTGATGACAGAGGGACCAAAGATGTTGAGCGATCTGAGCCGCCTGAGTTTCGACAGCGACCCTAGGTAGGCGTCGTTAATGCACTCTCCGTTCAGGACAATCTCCTCCAAGTGCGGCAGCGAGCCACAGATCTGGTCCACTTCCTCGAGAGTGAAAAGCTCGTTGGTGTCCAGCTCTCGGAGTTTACGGCAAGTTGAAATGGCATTGGCCATCAAAGTACGTCGCCCATCGTCAGCTTCGAGAACATCTTCGTCCCGGATCTCGATGGTGAGACGCCGAAGGTTTGTCTGGCCAGTCAGGGACGCACTCAAGTCTGGACCGACATCGAAGCACTTAAGGACAAGTGTCATGGGCCGGATATTAGCACCTTCGAGAATCTGCGCACACAGAGTGTGCCCTGACGGAACAGCCATCAGCTCAATATACCACAACGCGGTGCATTTCTGCAGCCACCGCACGACGTCTTGGAAGACTGGGTTTCCAGCTTCGGCCCAACGATATTGCTTAGTATTCATTGCGCCTTCAAGCCGGAAAATCTCCAGCTTGCGACAGTCTTGGAGCTCATACAGCCGCTCGAAGGCAGCGCGTTCCAGACTGTACAGCGCCAGTACCTTTAGGGTGTCAGAGTGGCCGTTGAGCGCCTGGAAGGTCCTGAATCCGATGTGGTTCAAGCTCAGAACTGCGAATGATTCTACAGGCTGCGTTAGCCCGTTCCGACTCGGTCCATATAAACCGCCGCTATGAAGAATGCGTCTTACCGAGAGATTGCGGTTTCAGATTCGAAAAGAACCCAGCAGTGGTCGCATCAACATGAATACCGGAAGAAAAGAAGAAGCATTGCCTAGACAGTACCGGTTAGCATTGGGTTGCGGGTATCCATATGTCAAGCGAGGACCTCGACGCCTCAGGGTTAGGGTCGACTTACACGTGCTTGAAAGCAGGGCAGTGCTTTCTGATAGCACGAGAAATATCGGCATTGAGGGTTGCCCCATCGCGAACAGACAGTGTAGTCAAGTTCGAAAGACCGGATACCCACCCGGGCAAGAGTGTCTGGGGCAGATTCTGCCCCTCGAGCACGGCCAGCGCCGTCTCCTTGTTCTCCCGGGCCGCCGAGGCTCGGATATAACTGGTGACCATGTGAGCAACCTCGACAACAATCTTGTCAGCGTCAAGAAATTTTTCGCTTATAGTATACACCTCAAGCTTCTCAAGCGGTGGACGGAAGAAAGACGCTTTCAGCGCGGGGTTATCGCGCGAGAGGTCCTCAAGCTGTGAGTGAAGGCCGCCGAGCAGGAGTGCCTTGATCCAACAACAGTAGGGAAACATCGTCGTGCCGAGACTCGATATGATGATGGAGCGCCAGAGGCATATAGAAGTCTCGACATTGAGGATGTGCGCGTTGATAGCGGGCGACATGTCGTGTATGGCGTACAGCTCGGGCAGCGCGAGTCGGGCCATGCCTTTACTCAAGCGGGCGAGGAGGAAGAGTGAGCCAAAATCGCGTCGTGCCGCAACCTCTAGAGAAACGAGCCACCAGATCTCCTGCGGGAAGACTGGACCGGATTGGCTACCCATCATGAAGGGCCTCGCCGTTGTCCGTGGTTAACGCCTAAAGAGAAGTTTGAAAACGTAGGTGAAATTGAGTGTTCAATGCCCCAGAAACGCGCCTCGAAATGTTGAGGCGAGCCTCTCGCGCACCGAAAAAAAGGGATAAAAAAAGGGAAGTAGAAAAGAGTAACGCTACCAAAATGGTCAATTGGGTATGCAGTCAATAAACCAACTCGGACCCCGACCAAGATACCATAACCATAATAATGGATGGTCGGGGGGTTGTTTGGTTTTTGACTCCGGAGTTCGGTGGTTGGTGGGGTGGATGGCGGGGGACCTAAACTTTGAACTCCCAGGTCTATGGAAGATTATGTATGCACATACATACCAATTCCTGACCCACTGTAAGGCAGTCCAGCCCGGCGCGTTTTAGTGGTCGTTCCTTCCTGTACCTGCATTCCGGGGTGGCACAGCACTGTAATAAGAGCACCGAAGCTCCACTGTGGCCATCAGGCACCGCTCACAAACAACGTTTTCAGGCACCTCATCGTCATCTCTCATCTTGGAAGGCACGACTCTGACACACCTCACGACCCTGCACTGGGTTTCCTTGTGTTCAGATATTACGAACCACCAGTAATTTTCTATTGTTTACCGGGCCAACCGCTCGAAGGGAACGCCCAGCATGGTGGTCCTCAACTTCACCCTGAGTGAGGAAGGCGTCGCCGTGCTTCATGATGCCCTCGCATGCATGTTCAAATTTAGTGACGATGTCTGCTTAGAGGCAAGAAAAGATAAAGTATAGAGAAACTGACCCTGAAGTCGATTTAATGGCACGCAATTGGCTAATCGAGCCGTTCTCGCCTAGTTGACACTCACGACTCTCAACATATCCAAATCGGCATACGTCTGTTTCTCTTTTGCCGCCAATAGGTTTTTCTCTCGGTACAGCTTCGAAGGGACTCCCCAGTATCGCGAGCGTTTTTTCTGTCAGCTATACATACGGGTAAGGGCCGCGGTCTTTGTAGTACAAGATGTCTAGTTAATGCCAGCCGTAGTCTCTCCTCACTATCTTTAGAGCAAGGCAGGGTAGTGGGGACTTATCGCGCGAGAGGGACGCGTCAATCGATTCCTGTGATGTGGCAATCGATGATGGAGTCGGCAAGAAGAGCCGTCTAGTAGCCAGGGTTTCTTTCAGAAACGGTAACTTCCCATCTGAATATCGCTTTGACTTGCTGGTTGCTCACATCCATAGGCATCACGGCTTCCCACTCCCTACCGTACGAAGTACAACCGCCGATTCACGCCAAGTTCAACAAGGCTGAGGCAACTAACCACTGGGTAATTTCGTCCCGGACATTACGACAACTAATGGATCATTTTGGCCCGGGGATCGAGCTCCTCGATATCAACACAGACGAGGAGGCGCGGGTTGTGAATTTCACCTGTTTCACCGAGAAGGTGCAGAAACGTGGTGCTCTCAACAACGAAGGTAGCGTTATTCTACTGTCTTGCTGTCTGGCGGGGGTTTTGTGTTGACAAGTACTGTACCAGCCGTTCTCAAAAAGCCTCTCCACACTAACATTGCGGTCGAGATGGACGAGTTTGACAACGTCGAGGTTCAAGACAAGCTCCACATCATCATCAGCGTCAAGGACTTCCGCGGCATTTTGCAGCATGCTCAGATGACCAGTGGCGCGCTCACGAGTAGCTACTCGAACCCGGGACGCCCCATGAAGCTGTCCTATGGAACCGACGGCGTCCTGTGCGAGTTTATCCTCATGACCGTTGGCGAGAAGGACGCCCTAACACAGAAACACAAGAATCCCAGGGGGGGTGTTGCAAAGGTTACCCCGGCGCCACAGCTCGATGCAGCATCACATCGCGGAAGTTCTGTTACTGGTGGCAACCAACCGGAACCACCCGCGTTGCGGCCTCCCCAACACAAAACGCCTATCCGAACCCGTCACCCAGCTTTCGAAATGCGCCCATCCCCCGTACCGCCCCCAGCCACGACTCGGTCCGACTCGTTATTTGTCGACCAAGATGAAAATGATGAGCAATGGGAGCCGGTAAACCCAGACGAAGAGGAGGAAGAGGATACCGGAAGGCTCGAGTGGAATGCCACCGATGAACCGGTATTGTTCCCGCACTACCTGTACCTAATACGTTCGCTGACCGGAGGTAGAATCCGTCGACACTTCGGATTGGGAGTTACGTATCCAAACCAGCTGAAACTGAAGAAGCGCCCCCTGAACGCCTTGCTTCGGGCCTTGAGCCTACCCAACGACTCTCCGAGGTATGTGGTGTGACCCTGGACCTCCTAGATCTGAGCTTGCGCTTACTGTTGCAGGTCCGCCGTTTCGGCCTTTTTTCTCCTTGACTCGACGAGTAGGCGCTGGTGTGACTCTGCCGGTTTGTATTTCATAGCTTGGCGTTGGTGGTTTGACGAGTCGTTGCCTGTAAGGACAGGCCCGCATGGAAGAATTACGTTTGCTTCTCAGCCGCAATCCAGCTCGTTGCACAACCCGCCCCTATCATTGCAATTCCCTTGCCTTCCTCCCTCGCGGCTATCTTGTTCCTTTCCCCCTTTTCGCCCTCAACCTTCCGGATCTCCCCACAATTCCCATGCTCCCCCCATCCCCAGACCACAACATCCCCCTTTTCCGTCAACGCCAACGCATGTTCGCTCCCTACGGCAATCCTCTCTACCCTCCCTAACCGTTCCCGGTCTTCCTCGCCCCCCAATTGCCCATGATCATCCCGTCCCCAAGCCACCAACCCCCCATCCCTCGTCAAAACCACCACCCCCCCCCACCCAGCGCCCACATCCTTCCACCCCTTCACCATCTCTCGACTCGGCGCACCTGACCGAACACCCCATTTATCCGACCCCAACACCACCATCTCCCCCGCCTCAGGCCCACCCAAAAGCACGGTAAACTCCCGTCCACAAACCGCCTTAACCACGGGAAACGGGATCCCTTCGATCCGTCGGGGCGAAAACACTGCCGCGACGGAGGGCTCACCGAGTTGTCCCTTACGCCCGTTGCCCCAACCCCAGACCTCACCGGTGTTGAGCACGGCAACGGTGTGGACCATACAGGACGCGAGGGAGGTGAGGTGGGTGTCGGGAGGGGGGAAGTTGGGGATGGGTGTTGGTTCGTGGACGGTGGTGGGCCTTGGGCCGAGGCCGAGTTCGCCTTTGAGACTTGTGCCGAGGGCGTAGAGGGTTGTTTTTTGGGTTGTGGTTGTTGGGGTCGTAGTGGTGGTAGTGGCGAAGATGGTGGCTGTCCAGGTAGCGGTTACGTGTGTGACTTTGGAGTTTGCTAGGATTGATGGGGGGAGATTGACTGGGCGGAATTGGGGTGCTTGTTTGACGTCCTGGTTGTCGACGCTCGAAACGGGCCCGCAGGCACCTTCTGTGTTATCACCGCTCCATAGGAGGTCTCCTGAATCGAATAAGAGCATGGTGTGGTTTCCTCCGGCTGCTATGTGAAGGAGTTTTGGTGGTGGGGTGTTGGTAGACGTGAGGGACGGTGGGAGAAGAACGGTTTCTGGGCTGGAAACATCCTCTTTGTGGCCGATTCCCAGCTGGCCGGAACCATTAGAACCTAATGCCTGAAGGTGAAGCATGATGGGGATTTAAGTATGAATTTATTCTGTGGGTGTAGGCGAGAAAGGGATATAAGTGAGAAATTGAGGGACTGAGCGAAGACTATGCTCTGGAGGTGCTAGACGCACTGTACTACACTGTGACATCACACTGTGAATTCCCAGGCGCGCCTCGCGACTGGGGTGGGTCCAGAAGCTAAGCGGCCCCACCAAGATTTTTTTCTGACGCTTAAATTCTCGTTCGTGACTCGAAATTTTTCCTTCTTCACTTCTAAGATCCATATCATTGTCACCACACTTCCCCCCTCCTGAGCAAAACATCCAAGTCCGACCTGGAAACGGAAGGACTTTGTTTGCATCGCAGTTTGACGATGTGATTTTTGGCTACGGGCCAAAACTGCTCTTGAATTCAACACACCAACCAGAGAGGGAAGCAGGAAACATGGCTTCTTCTTCCACGGCGACCACCTTTCCGGGTGCCGAGGACTTTGTCATCGGGCTCATCGGCATGGGCGACATGGGCAAGATGTACGCCCGGCATTTGAGTAAAGCCGGTTGGAGGTAATCTTGACGCGTTCTTTTATTGCCGTGCGATTAGGCTGCGTTGCCTCGCGGTAGTTGCGCACTAACCTGGTAGCTTTTGAAGCTAGCTGTTGTTGTTGGCCTTGGTAAGCTTCTTTTTTCTTTACGTCAACCGCCTCGATCCCCACCACCATAACACCCGTCGTATGATGACTTGAGTGCATTTGGCTAGAGTATCGCTCGTGACATGGCCGGTCAGCCATTCTGGCCCCGGTTCACCGCTGCGGGCTTTCCATGATGAAAATTCTCAGCTACCTTACTATTTTTCGTCTGAAGACATACACCCCCCTTGATACGCGCACACGATAGCACAGCATCTACTGTGTTGGGATATGCTTGCTGACTGGGGACTACAGATCTTGTTTTATGGTGCTTGCTGTGGAGACCAAGCAAAGACAGCGAAGAGGGGGCTAACCCATGACGGGCTTCAGGATCATGGCTTGCGATAAGGAAGAGAAGTACGATGAGTTGGTCGCAGAGTTTGGTGATAATGTATGGCAGGCCATCCGAATCTGTTTTCTTTCTCATCTCGCCGCTGCCGAAGTCAGTGCTGAGATCTTATTTCGTGTTCATAGAAGAAAGTCCAAATCCTTCGCAACGGTCACCTTGTATCCCGTGCCAGCGACTACATCATCTATAGCGTTGAAGCGGCGGCCATCGGCCGTGTCGTCGCCGAGTATGGCCCCTGTGTGTAACCTCCATGATGCCTGCGCTGTCCTATCTGCTTTGCTACATTATTATCACGATCAACTCCGCTCACCACGTCCATGTACCTTAGCAACCCGGCTCGGCGCCATCGTCGGCGGCCAAACCTCATGCAAGGACCCCGAGATCAAGGCGTTCGAGGCCCATCTTCCCCCCGACGTCGACATCGTATCCTGCCACTCGCTTCACGGCCCCAACGTCGACCCGCACGACCAGCCGCTAGTGCTCATCAAGCACCGCGCCTCAGACGCCTCCTTCGCCAAAGTCGAGACCGTCCTGCGCTGCCTCGGCTCCAAGAGCGTTTACCTTACCGCCCGCCAACACGACCGCATCACAGCCGACACCCAAGCTGTCACCCATGCGGCCTTCCTATCCATGGGCAAAGCCTGGCACGCCAACCAACAGTTCCCCTGGGAAGAAGGCACACGGTACGTCGGCGGGATCGAAAACGTCAAGATCAACCTGATGCTACGCATCTACGCACAGAAATGGCACGTCTACGCGGGGCTCGCCATCCTCAACCCGGAAGCGCACAAGCAGATTAACCAGTTCGCGCGGTCCACCACAGAGCTGTTCTACCTCATGCTCGAGGGCCGCGCCGACGAGCTCCGCGAGCGCGTGTACGCCGCCAAGGAGAAGGTCTTCGGCCGCGAGGACAGCCCTAAGTGGGCAGACCGACCGTTGCTGCCGCACGGCGTCGTCGACCGGTTCACGCTGAACGCTCAGCCGCATACGTCCCCGGCTATGCCCAACAACCACCTCTCGCTGCTTGCCATGGTTGACTGCTGGAGCGCGTTGGGCATCGTGCCCTACGACCACATGATCTGTTCGACCCCACTGTTCCGGCTCTGGCTGGGTGTGACCGAGCACTTGTTCCGCACGCCCGGGTTGCTGGACGAGAGTCTGCGCGTGGGTATCGAGGACAAGTCGTTTCGGCGTGACGACCTGCAGTTTACGATTGCGGCGTCGGGCTGGGCGGAGTGTGTGGCGCTGCGTCAGTTTGAGACCTGGCGAGAGCGGTTTGCGGTTACCCAACGGTTCTTCGAGCCGCGGTTTAAGGGGGCCGTCGAGATGGGGCAGGCGATGATTAAGGCGGTATTGGAGAGCGACTAAATGGGAGGTATCCCTATAGTACCAATAAACCTTGAACACTAAAAGCAAGCATGATTGGTGACACACCAAGGGTGAAATCAGGACCGTATTGACCTGGCGCGTTTTTGTGAATATCAGAGGCACACACAGCCAAACAAACCTTAAGGGCGACAAGACAAACCCCAAGTTTGAAACCTCATAGCTCAGAGGGTTCTCGTCACATCCATCGCCCCCAACACCCTCAACGCCAACAGGGTCAAAAGCCCAAATGCAAAGAATAAAGATATATTAGCAGCGATAAACAGATAGCTGCAGAGTCCCAAGAATCCCCAAAATGCTAATGGTTCATGAGAAAACAGAACGCCCAAATCTTGCCCATAGTACCTTGTAATTGAATTGCTGCCCGGCGTCCGGGATTTGGTGGTTTTTTTCTAACACTGCTCTTTTTTTTGTACGCCAAATCGCCGAACTGAACGAAATCCCATTCCTATTAAACCAAAGGAAGCAGAAATGAAGCATTGCGAAAATCAAGCGCCATTGGTGTTGATCTTCGCCATCCGCTTGGACATGCTGTTGTCAAGTTGTTAGCACGTGTCCTGAGAACACATATATTACCCATCGTCGGGCCCGGGGGGGGGGTTGTTCAAACTTACAAGTCGTAAAACGCAAATTGGCTTGGCGAGCTGCCACACTCATACACGAACCGGCTGGCCAGGTAGCTGCCAAAGATGGCCCGCAGATAGGAGTCCGGCACGCGCTCAATGATGGTGTTGAGGCCAATCTTGTCAATCAGCAGGTTGGGCAGGGCGTCAGCCAGCACAGAACGACGGAGGTTCTCAGTCTCCCACAAGTCCGAGTGCTGTAGCTGCTCATCGAGCGTGGTGATGGCAGTCGACAGCTTGTCGGACAGGATCGAGCGGGCGATGCCTGTCTGCTCGTGCTCCCGCCAGATGGCCTCGAACTCAAGACGCGCGTTCTCCTGGATCTTCTCTTGCACCGACTTGACGTAGGCCTGGTAGAAGGCCGGCGCATTACCCCGAGCGTCGTGGCACATGTTTTCCACGAAGCCCGCATCGTCGAAGCTGAGCGACGCAAGGACCTCGAGCGAGGAGCTCGTGACACCACCCTTGTTGGCACTGGCGTCCTTGTAGACAACGCAGCCGGCCTCCTCGAGACGGAGCTTCGCGTCTTGCGTAATAAAGAGGTTGGCGCCCTCGACGATGTACGGGATGGTCGACTTGCCGTCCCTGATGATCTTGTTCACCGAGACCAGATCGATCGACTCGGGGCGTCCGCCGCACGGCACGAACATGTCGGTGAGGCCACCATCCCGAAGATGGAAGGTGTTGCGGAAGGCTGTGCCATTGTTGACTACCTCGCCGGTGGGGAGAGTGAGGTTCATGTCGTCGCACAGCACCCGATATCCGTCCTTCGACAGCTTAGACAAGTCAAAGTGGACGATCATCTGGCGCTTCTTGGCAAGACGGCGCAATTCGTCCTTGTCGATGCCGTTGGGGTCAACCAAGACGCCTGACCCATCCACGATCGACGTGTATTTCTCATTGCTGAGAAGGATCTCATTGCTGCCAAGGTCGCCGTCGGGACCACCAGTTTGCATCTTCTTGACAGTGGAAGGGTCAAGTTCAAGTTTACGGTAGATGCCCTTGACATACTCCCGCACCGAAAGGGTGGTCATACCGTATGCGTCGTGGGGGATACCGCCCAGCTTGGGCGACTTGCCAGTGAAGAAAGACTTCCACCAAGGAGCACCACGGTTGCGGGCATGGACGGTCGCCCAATCGACAAGGTCGGCCGTGTTCTCGTCCGGCCCCATGAAGACGATCTCTTGTTTGCCGTAGAGATCGACGATCGGGTTCTTGATGCCTGGCGTCTCGGCCTTGAGCAACAAGTCCAGAATGCTGTCGATGTACTTCTCGAACGCTTCGCGGGCCTTGTCTTGCTGCTTAGGATCAAGCAAGATTACGCCCTTGGAGCCGCCTTCGGGAATATCCTTGTTCTTGCGTTGCTGCGTGCTGGCAAGAGCATAGTTCTCATCGAACAGGTTGCGGGCATTGATCGAGTAAGCCTCCTTGCTACGCGACTTGACAATGCGGATACCGCCCCGCGCGACCTCCTTAAACCGCAGGTGGAAACCGCGGGACTCGGATGTGATGACAAGGAACATGCCATACAATGGTGTCGGGTACTCGATCGGGGGGAGAAACGAGGGGTTAAGCCGGAAGCTCAAGGCAACCTTGGTCGGGGTGAAGTAGTTCGTCTTCAGAACGGCGTTGTTGAAGACGCGGAAGGAGGTCATGACCATCTCCTCATGCTCGTTGGAAACGTCTCTCGTGATCTTGTCCTTAAGCTTAGCGTCGGAGAGGACCTCGGTGGCCGGGGTGGGAGCGATGGACTGGCGGTTGAATTCTGGCCCAACTTTCATGTGGACGCTCGCGAACGAAGCGTACAGGGCGCGGATGAGCTGAGGGTGGGAGAGGATAATCTCCAGAATGTAATCGGGCGTGAAGGTCTCGGTGCGCAGACGCTTCTTCATTCTCGACAGGATCTCGGCATGGCTGTTGTTGTTGGGATCCAAGGTAGCCACGAGCGACGCGTACTCAGAACCCAGGCGGTTCAGGAAGTGCTGCACAAACACCCACACGCAGTGCGCATACGAGGTCTCCTGTAAGCTGAGCTCACCGGAGGCAAACAGGGAGTGCAGTTTGGTCTGGGGCATGCAGTACAGGAGCGAGACCTCCTGGGTGATCTGGTGGATCGACTCCTCGAGGGGCGGGTACTTGGAGTCGACATTGGGCGCGGGGCGCAAGTAGATGCTCATGACGGTGATGCCGTTGGAGAACTGCTCGACATACTTCCGGGAGCTAGTAACGCCGTAGTAGTGGTACAGGTCGCTAAGAGCGCTGAACAGCCCACGCGCCGTCCTCGAGCGGAAGGCGACAACCAAGCGCTTCTCCTGGGAGTCCTCAATGTCGAAGACCTCGATCACCGGGCCAGTCCTACTGACAGATGCTTCGATAATCTCCTGGTAAATCTGCTTGGTGTTCTTGGTCGCCTTGGCAAGGAACATGCGGTCGCTGATAACTTCCAGGCGAGTCTCCTTGGGGTCCGCGTTCGGCTCAACGAACTGGCACTGGTAGACGAAGTAGCAACGCAGAGTCGCCTTGAAGTCCGAATGCCCCATACTACTGGGGGACCGGAAGGTCTCGACGCGGAAGCGTTTTAGTGTGTTGTCGTTGTCATCCAAGTACTTGGACTCGAGACGATGCTCGTATTGTGGGCCGTTGATACTGGTCTTGCCGGGCTCGCTGGTGTCGATGTAGATGGCATGATCCGAGGCTTCCATGTCCAGACGGATCTCTTCCCGCTTGTCCTCCCGCGAAAACGCGGCGATCTTGGCGGCGTACAGGGACGTGATGTGCTTAGCAATGACTTCGGGATTCTCGGCTTGGAAGTAAACGTCGTCGATACCGAGCTCGTTGTAGAACCACTCAACCTGAGCGTCCACTAGCGACCCAGGGATCCATCCGGAGGTCGAGATGAACTCCTTGACTGTCCGTAGTGTCAGTAACTGCGCTTGCAAACATCCTCGTTGATGGCTCGGGATATCAAAAGCATCGCATACCTCGCTGCATCTGCTCTTTCTTGCCCGTGAACTCAGGCGCAACATAGCCAACGGTGGCCGAGCGCAGGACTCTGTGGCCGTTGCCATTGACCTTGGAAAGGGACCCATAGCTGACATGGGTAGGCTGGGGAGAGGGATGCCTGCCAGGCTCTTCGCCCTTGACCTTCTCAACGAGGCGGTTCGCAACGCCCGTGATCGGTGAATTTGTCATGGTCTCGTCCGACGAAGTGAACGGATCCACGTAATCTGGGAAGCTAGACATTGGGAAGTCAGTCGTGATGGTCAAGCCGGAAACGCGGCGACGGCCACCGCCAACGGGGGTTGACGGTGACAGAGGGAGAGCCACAGAAGTCATATCGACCGTGGGGTGGTATGGCCCGTTGACGGGGAACAAAGGGACAACGGCAGGGGTTGTGAGCTGTGACTAAGCCAGGATACGTGTCGAGTGGAAGGAGAAAGGAGCGTGTGAGAGGCGCGAGGGGGAGGCCAGCTTTGTAGAGGCAGAGCGAGCAGGAGCCAGAGCAGGAACACGAGCGGGAGCCATGATGTCGGTGTCAGTGAGCGCAAGCCTCTGGCTTGATGTCAACCATGCGCCGTTGGCCGTTATCAAGACCCTTTTTTTCTGGGGCTGATCGAGGCGAGCAGGTCTGACGCGAGGAAGGACAGGGTCAACCAAGCCGGAGACCAGCCCTCGCGCCCGCTCTCGTATCAAATCGACAAACCGCCATTTCCAGAATCGGAGATTCCAGGAGCCACGAATGCCGTGGTACGGGGCAGGTGTGAGCCGAAGAAGTGACACGGCAAGTCGGCGTGAGCATCAACCCAGGTGAGATTTGCCCGCCGAATAGGCGCGAGGTAGGGCGGTGATGTAAAGCGATCCGGTACTCGTTTTAGTGATACGATAGGTGGTTGACTCCCGATTCTGGCTCACCGCTCCCAATTCGTGTCTGGCTGTGCTCGTTTCCGGCCCTCGGCTGCGGCGCTTCGCAAGATAAGGGAGATAAGAGGGCGGCTGATGCAGTCTTACGGCTCCCACTATCTCAAATATCTCGCTTCTCAAATTCAAAGGCAAGTGTTATACAACGCGGAAACGGAACCTCGTCAAACGTACCTTCTCTGAAACCGGCCTGAGGGAATTTCTGCACCGATACCGGGTGGTAACTTGCTCAAAGCAAATTTCCCGGTTGTTGTCTGCAAGTTGCCGAGATCAATTGCGTGGTTGCTATCGCCAACCCGTTAGTTACTGGCCAAATTGAAACAGGCACGGAAGGGGCGTTGGAATGTGGCCCTGCCCGGCCGGAGGGCGGTGTAATTAACGCGATAAGGGAGAAGGGGAAGGGACGGTTCAATCCCTTTGCCAAAGAAATCCAGCCAAATGGGATGAACCTGGAAGGGAAAGTCCGGCTTGTAAAACTCACAGGTGTAAAAAGCGGTATTTCCAACCTCAAAGCCCACAACTTGGGATTGAGAGCAGGACTTCTTGTGAAAACTCACAAAAAGGGTATCTGTAAGTCTTTCCATGTTAGCCCGCTGCTGTAGCTGAAAGGTTGCAAGCCAAACGCAAATAATGGAATCAATGATAAGCAATGACACCTCCAACCCGGAAACATCCCCAAGTTGTTTGCCAATCAAAAACCAATTGACCTCTCGCAACCCCGGCCTTGGCTTTTGCGAGGCCCAGAGACCGTCATCCCCAACGGCTGTGCAGATCGCCGCCCGATCCTCGATCGTTGGGTGGTCAGACCACGAACACAACTCCGCGTAACAGCCTCACCCAAAGAATGGGGCCGCTGATAAGGTATGCCGGCCGCCTCACCGCGCAGGAGCTGATATTCCAGGGGAAAAGACAGCAAAGGCAAGCACCACCACTGCCATTGCAAGGGAGCCCGGGGTTTAAGGTCCCACTCGGGGGACTGCCGCGGGTCTGTCCTCGAAGGGATGGGAGAGGAAGGAACGAGATTGGTACCTACTTCTTTCTTGTCTGTAAGAAATTGATGTTGTCCGGAGAGATAAGAGACTCGGACAACGGTATGTTTGCCGGGCCCGATAAGGTGTTCTAGAAATAGGCACAACAAACAGTTGGCCGTGTGTGTGTGTGTGTGCACGAGTGCCGGAGTCAAATCACGATGTGATTGATATTGACCCAAGGTGTTTGCGGGATGGAGAATGGGATGGGATACCAGCAACTAGGAGAATCCGGCATCTTAAGGGACGGGAACGCCACTGATTTATATGCCGGAGAAAAGGCCGTCATCGTTTCTTTCTCATCTTGGGCGACGACAACGAGACCGAGAAAAAAGTCTCCCCAGGAATGGATTGACACTGTACAGTCCCAGTCAGACTCCACCAGCATGGCGACTCCCAAAGGGAAGGAGTTGCCTGCAGAAACAGGTGTTGTGATGACATTTTGGCGACGCTCTGACAAACGGGAACCCATGGACTAGACCTGATCGGGCAACTACCAGCCGCTGCTGATTGGGTCACAAGGCCGGTACCTGAATGATTTTCCCCGAAAAAGGTACGTACCGCTGCCACTGCCACCACGATCGGTTGCCTCGGGGGCGGCTATTCAAGGTTCTGGGGGAAAAAACTGGAGTGGGTGTGGACCATTTTCTCGTAAGTTCTACGCTCCGGACGGGGTGAAAAGGGATAATGGTTCATTTTTCAGCGTTTTGAGGCAATTGTTCTGGGCTCGAGATGGCGAGATGAGCAAAGCGAGAATTTGAATTTTCCCGTTTCGTACCAATAGCAAGACTGAAGGCGATGGCAGTTCTTGATGCCAAGCATCAACCGTACGAATCCATACCTTGGCCTCCGTTTCTCTCTCTGGCACCACTCCAGCTCGCAACTTGGCGTGCTCGCAGGTTTGTACTGTACATCGGTAGGTCCAACGCATGCATGCATGGACTCGCTACCTTGCACTGTGTCTCTAAGAACAGACGACGAGAATACTCCACGTTCTGGAAACGTTAGAGGGGGTTTAGCGTTTATTGATCTTCTGCAATTGGTATTCGTTTGACTCGAAGAATCACCACGTTGCCCATCCCCGGATTGTGAGCGGCCATCTGTCAACGGATTTCCACAAAAGCGCACCCTTGGTCCACCGTACTACTTACAGATGAACCCGTGTAAGTCACGGCCTCGCCATAGCTATTGCAAGGTGGCTAGGACAACAACAAGTGTTCCGCCTCAAGCGTCTAGCAACGGCATTTGACTGTCTATTCAAAGCCGTTTGACACGTTATTAGTGCCGTCTCGCACCAGTTAGATCCTTCAAGCTCTTGATTCCCAATCTCGTTCCTCTCGCACGACACGAGGGCTGAATGACGAGCTTGGATCGTTGCGCCGTGCGACCCAACAAGTGTACCTAACGGGCGAGTGTGCCTTCTCCCTTTACCGCCTGTTCGTCTGACAGACGGGCTAGGGAAGATCCCAATCCAATGATGGTGGCATCATGCCCAGCCTGTTTGTTCTAACTTCTCACTGGCGCAAGCGCGCGGTCAGGAAAACATTCACCATAAACGAGACCCTCTTTTTCCCCAACGATCGCAAGTTAAACCCCGGACCGTTGCCAACCAGGACGCGGCCCCTTAGGCTTGCTCGGCGATGGCGATGGGTCCCGTGACTGGAGAAGTCGCAAAATCCACAGGCCCCTGAACGGCCAGGCGAGCGTCTGGGCCTGAGTTCGACGGCTGTGGCTGGTCAGGTGCCCCGCCATCTCTCGTTTCCACTTGCTCGCCGGCAGACCGAACCCCAGACCGTGCGTCCGATCAAGTAAAATGGGGGTAATGGAAATCCTATTTGGCACCGATTCATATCCGGTGGCCGGTTCCTGGCGTCACACGGGACCGGGCCGCGTTACGAATCCAGGAAACCATTTGCTCGAGAGTCGGAAGGCGGTGGGAAAAGTTTACTGTGGAGGTGGGGCTTGGGGACTTGGAGACTTGGGGCGGAGCTAGGGGCTCAGGGGGTAAGAAAAAAATTCAGCGTTCCATGCGGATGAGGGGCGATGAGGGACGGCCTAATACGTCACTGAGACCAGCTACTGCGAATGCTGAGGGGCTGGATCCCTCCATCAATTGACCGCCCATCGCTGTTTTTACTACAACTTCCTAGAAGTACAGTACATAGACTCAAGCTAACAACTAAAGAGGCAATACCGGACTCGAAAGTAACCGAGTCCTGGATCATTGGATGCTCGGAGTACCGGGCCTCGAGGGTGGATGCGGTGAAACAAAGAAACGCCAAGTAGCCTCGGAGAAAAAAGCTCGTTGTCCTCGTGCGGACGGCCAACTCGAGGCGCCTCAAAAGAAGTTGTTGACAGAGTCACGGGGTCATGGAGAAATTGGTATTGGCGCTCAGCGCTGGCCGCTGCGAGTGTTCATCCCTGCCAAGAAAATCCAGACCATCGTCACTTCACTATGAGGGCTCCACGCCTGGGGCTGCGTTTTTGCTTTGCCATGGGCCAGCTTTCGGTGCCCAGAACTGGGGAAATCGCAAGCCTAGTTGGTTCACCTGGATCTTCTGCAGAGGGCAGCCGCCCCTGCCGAAAGGGTCCCAAAAATAAAACAAACAAGTTGAGTCACAAACTTGCATGTTTTACCCTTATTTTTGCGAGTTCTGCTGACCAGACAGCAGCTTCTCAGGGGTACCCGAGTTTTGCAGCGGCGATTCGAGTCTGCTGACTGTCTTTTCCTTGCCTTCCAATATCAGGGAAGATCAGAATGCCCGTGCTTTTGTCCAAAAGACCTTCCCTCTCGCTCCGTCCCCGCCGTTTCTCAGCAATTAGAACCCGAACTATTAACCGAAGCCGATCCCGTTTACACATAGATACACTAGGCCGCAGGACGCATAGTCATACTCATGTGTGTGCTTGCACGAAAAATGCAACCTTCCCGGCGAGGGGACTGCAGACACTACCTGGGATCGGGACAGGGACGGCAGTCTTCCGTGTACCGTACCACCAGCCGGCCGGTACCTCAAGACCCATGACAGGACGCTTCGGCAAGAGGCTGCCCCGTAGCGATATCCCCAACATAGTCGAGGCTAATGCAGGTTGACCCCAGATTTGCATTCTGATCATGAAACGGAAACGACTGGGTTTGCTCCATGCTACCGATCGCGTTACTGTCCTGGAAGTTACACAAGCAATATGGACAGAGTTTTCTCTTTGATTGCCTCATCGACCGACGAACCGGCAGTTTTGTGATCGAGCACAGTGTGAGCCCGAGTTTCATTAGGGCGACGATGCTTGTCAACTTTCATGCGCGTGGAGCCCGGAGCTCCTCCTGGGGGGAAGCTGTTGGCCTCTCTAGCCCGAGATCGAGAGGAAATCCCCAGAGCTCCCGTCCATCTACAGGTCGAGAACGGTACTGTACAACGGTCGAAAAGACCTCTTCCCAATTCCATACTCTCCACCAATCAGCCAGTAGAAGGGAGGCCCGGGCCAAGGAGATCGAACATTCGACTGTTCTGTGGGGCCCTCCGCTGGTTGCCGCTCCCGCTCTTGGCAGGCGGCACAACGCGGTAAAGCCGAATGATGTGCTCTGGCGGGGTCGGCAACCCCTCCAATCGCCGGAAACGTGGCAGCCCGCGGAAACCAGCCGGTGTCCGTGAATTGGGACGTCGATTATGGGGGGGCCGTGCTGTGGTGCTATGAAGGATTGTTTTGTGCCGTTTGTTTGGAGTTGTCGAGTCTCAGGTGCAGCTTACCTAACAATGCATTTGGCGTGTGGTCTCGAGTCCGTTGGCCAATCTTGAAACACTTCACAGGTGTTAATCTGTAAAGTTTTTGTCCAGCTTGAGTACAATCAACTACAGGTAAACTAAAACCAATTCTGTCAACTTGGCAACCCATGAACTCCATTGCCTGTTTTTTTCACAGCTTACCCCACAAATAGCTGATTGACTCCTTTCCCACCAAGAAACGGTGACTCTCAAAAAAGGAAAAAGAAGTATTATTTACCAAGCAGCGGCGAGTTGTAAAAATGAGTGTTCAAGGCATCAGTGTAACCATTGCAAATGCCAGAGAAAAGGCCCGGGCTCTAGACAAGGATGACTCCCTTGCGTTCACACGCGGCGAGTTCAACATCCCCACGAGGAGCCAGATTGCCAGTACCCAGTTGCTCGACACAGGTATAATCTACACTTTGTGATGAGGAAACTCATTCCAGTTGCAGACAAAGAAGGCTAACAAGACTCACAGCCACCACGGAATCGAAGGATGAAGGGGCTACTGAGGATAAGTCCATCTATCTTTGCGGAAATTCCCTCGGGCTCCAGCCCAAGCGGACTCAGACCCGTATCCAGCAGTACCTCTCAACCTGGGCCACGCAGGGTGTTCAGGGGCATTTTAAGCTTCTCGATGAGTCGCCGTTGCCGACATGGCTAGACGCGGACGATCGGGCCGCGCAGCTCATTGCCCCGATCGTGGGAGCTTCTGAGCATGAGGTGGCAGTCATGCAAACGTTGACGGCGAATCTTCATTTGTTGATGTCTGCGTTTTACAAGCCGGATATCAACGGGAGGCATAAGATCATCCTCGAGACGAAGGCGTTCCCCAGTGATCATGTTAGTCCTCACACAAGCTCTCCGATCTTAGCTTGAACCAGAAGACCACGGGAAGCGGGGAAAGAGAAAAAAAGGCTAACAAAGAGTATAGTTCGCTGTCGAAACCCAACTTCGGCACCACGGTCTAGACCCCGCCACGTCTATGGTCACATTGACTTCCCCTTCCTCTCCCGAAGACAACGTCCTCACGACCGCCGAGATCCTAGCCGCCATCGACCACCACGCCTCTACCACTGCCCTCCTCCTCCTCCCCGGCATCCAATACTACACCGGCCAACTCCTCGACATCCCCACCATCACCGCCCACGCCCGCACTCACGACATTTTTGTCATCTGGGACCTCGCCCATGCCGCAGGGAATGTGCCCCTGCAGCTCCACGACTGGAACGTCGACGCCGCGGCCTGGTGCAGCTACAAGTACCTCAACTCGGGTCCCGGGTGTATCGGCGGGGTGTTTGTGCACGAGCGCAACAGCGGGGTCGGCCGGCTGATCACGGACGAGAAGCCCGAAGAAGGGTATATCAACCGGCTGGCTGGGTGGTGGGGCAATGACAAGCGGACGCGGTTTGTAATGGCGACCAAGTTCCATCCTGTGCGTGGCGCGGCCGGGTTCCAGCTGAGCAATCCGAGCATTCTGGACATTACCAGCTTGACGGCGTCGCTGGAGGTGTTTGCCGCTGCTGGCGGCGTGGGCAAACTGCGGGAGAAATCCCTGCGGCTCACGGCCTTCCTTGAAGAGCTCCTCGAGACGGGAATTGGGAAGGACGAAAGGACGCAGTTCCGGGTTATCACGCCGCGGGACTCGGCCCAACGTGGCGCACAACTAAGCCTTATGTTGAAGCCGGGTTTGTTGGAACCAGTGATGCGGGAGCTAGAGAAGCGGGCGGTGATTGTGGACGAGCGGAGACCGGATGTGATTCGGGTAGCGCCAGCGCCGTTGTATAATACGTTTGAGGACGTTGTCGACTTTGTGGCGGCGTTTGGGGAAGCGCTAGCGATTGCGAAGGCGGAGATCAGTGAATGAGGGACGCCGAATTTACCATGGCGTAATTTAGGTTATGAGAGGCAGCATAGAGAACTGTGAATATAACAATCTGTCAACTACAAATTCCTTAAATAGTTTGCACATGAATGAACCACATATCAGGTCTATTGTATTGTGACAACAATGAATGCATAAAGGTAAACTCATCCATCTACTACGTTTGGGATATAACAAAGTTTTATATCGACCGTATTAGAAATGGAATTGCTATCGGCCTTTTCAAGGAGTTAGTTGGGAGTGAGTGCAGGAGCGAAGCCAATAGAAGATGTGTAAACTATGGGAGAAAAGGTGTGAAGTATCAACAAAACTCTAGCACCGGTATGAAAATACTCCTGAAACTGGCGGCGCTGCGTAGGTGAAATAGGGGTGTTTTCTTGATTGATCATCTCGAACTGGTTTCGTCACAGTTAGGGCCTCGGGGCCTTTTAAGTTGTAGTTTGTCGGCTCATATGTTCCTTGATTGAACCCCATAATACACACATTCTCCATGAAGCGCCAGAAGCCATAAACTCTTATGCCCAACAGACCGAGGCCCGGTGGCGGCTGCCAGTATTTTTTCCCGTGACGAAGGAGGCCGCAATTGTATTCACTAGCGCTGGTGGGTGCTAGGCAATCGCAGACAAATAGCAGACCTTTCCCGGAGACCGCCCGAGATGCTCCAAAACACAGAAAAAGATTTGTCCCATGCTCCTCGCTTAGACCTCCGTCGTGACCTTCGCCTTCGGGTTGGTGACCTTGACGCCTAATTGCTTCGCCCGCGCGATGATATCGACCCGCTTCCTCGACGAAACGTTGTGGGCGATCCTAAATTGGAAATGTTAGCCTGGTTCGTCATTCTCGCTAGCGAAGAGTCGTCGTGGCACTCGTTTGCTCCGGGTTTGATATGTGGGTAACGTACTCTGCGGCGTAGGTCTTGTTGTGCATAAGGAGGAGCTCGACGTCCTTGACGTTGCTGACACGGAAGGCCTTGTGGCCCGAGGGGGTCAGGTGGCGGGTCTTCTTGTTGGAGCCATAGCCGATCTAGAGTAAAAAAACATGAGCAGGTTAGCCACAACCCCCATCTCGCGCCGAAGGCAGTTCTGCGGTGAGAGCACGCCCTCCCCATCGAGCCGCTCGTTTGCCCGGGTGTCCTCCCCCTTTCTTCCTCGTCCATTTCCTGCGTTCCCAGCCAGATACCCCCCAAAAAGAGATTGATGCCACATACCGAGGGCATAGCAAGGTTACCACGGAACCGTCTCCGGACGCGGTTGTCAATACCCTTGGGCTTGCGCCATGCTGAGTCGACACGCAGGAAGCGGTCACTCTGGTGGCGCATAAACGCCTTAGTGCCTGCAAACAGACAAGCATGTTAACATTTCCGTGTTCCATCCCACAATCGAAGAATGTTTATCCCGTCCGCTCCCAAATTCGAATTCGGTGTTTCAATCCAGCGCTGGATGTGTCGATGGGAACACCGGGATCAATCGGTAGAGGGCAGAAGGATTTCGAGGAATATCGACGTACGCTTCTTCACGATCGGAATGTGCTTCTTGGCGGCAACCATCTGGACGACGTTGTTAGAATCGAATTGTAAATGACGAGTTAAGGGGTTGCGACGGTAATTTTGGGGAGTGGACGTACCTTGACGGTGTTGTTGTCGGGTGATGGTCGAATTTGGCGTCGTCACGATCCGGACCTACCTTGGGAAAAATTCCAGAATTTGGTTGAGCTGGTGGGCTTAGGGTTGTGCGAAAATTGTTAAGGATATGGTCTGTGCGTCTGTGCAGGCGAGCCACAGGTGGAGTCTGAAGGCTTGGCGGGCAGGGATGAGCCGCAGCGTTTGATTTATCGTTATCGATAAGGATGGTCGTTAATCTGGAGGGGCAGTGTGCAAGGGCAGAGAAGAAGTTGAGTTGGAAGCAGTGGATGGGATGGAAGCAAGTCGGCGGAGATGCATCGCTGGCGGGTTAGGTATGGTGGGAGTTCAATGGCCCTACTGAGCTAGGCGGGAAACCATTTCACAGAAATCATGGCATGTTACGAAACGATTCGGTATCTCTGGAGAAGCGGGGTGTTCTAAAAGGGAGGGGTGGTGTTGCTCTACGGTGGAATTCTGAATTCAGCAGCATGTCCGTGAAGTGAAGGTTCCAAGGTTAAGATCTGTTTAGCAATGCATTTGGAGATGGCTTGTATGTCGTCTATAACCCCCGTCTATCAACTGAGTTCCGAAGTAGAACTCGATATTTCCCAGTAAAGCCTCGTCAGTCGTAAGATGCTTATTGAGTGGCACATTGTGGGCCGCCTTCTTCTTCCTCTTCGTCCTCCCACTCTCCGCCGTACCGTGGATCACCTTGGTGAGCCCCCATCTATAGATTTTGTGAGTTTCCTAAACTGTACAGCGGGGTCAATACGGGGTTGTGTATGTGCTCAGCTTACCTCTTCGATGTCAGCGTTCGCTTCGTATTGTACCTCGTCGATTTCTTCCGCCTCGATGGGCTCCACGGGAGGCGGTAGCAGCTTCTGAAGGGAGTCGTATTCGGCATTGCTGGACAGCCAGCCGTCCTCAGGAAAGTCGACCTTGACGATGAGGTAAAGGTCTCCCTTAGCATCTCCCCTCTTGTGCGGCATACCCTCGCCCGGAACCTTGAGCGCGTCACCGGGGCGGAGAATCTTGCCCCGGGGGTGATCTATGTGAATACCCCTTCCGTCGAGGTGCTTGAGCACCACACGCGAGAAGCCAGACAAGGCCTCAGCTAGTGTGACGTGCAGGTCCGCGGAGAGGTCGTGGCCGATACGGGTGAAATTATCGTGAGGCTCCTCGGCCAAGTGGAAGATCAGGTCGCCGGGGATCATGTCGGGCATCTGATCAGCCTCGCCTTCCAACACAATGCGCTCGCCCTGCATGGAACCGCGGGGGATGTAAAGCTCCAACGCCTTGGTCTCCTTGATGGTGCGTTTCCCCTTGCACTTCTTGCAGCGGTCCTTCTCCTTGTAGTACATACCCGAGCCCTGGCAATGGTCGCAAGGGATGACCTCCTTCCGAACGAGCCCAGGCCCAACCTGGCGGAAGGCCTCTTGACGCCCGGCGCCGTGGCAGCGGTCGCACGTATTCGACTTCACCTTATCCTTCGCGCCGCTCCCCTTGCATTGGCCGCAGACCACCTGCTTCTCAGCAGCGAACTTGACCGTTTTGCCCTTGTACAGCTCCTCCAGCGTGACCTTGTAAGCTTGTTCCTCGTCCGGACTCCGCCTCGGGCGACGGGGCCCGCTACCCGGCATACCACCCGGCATACCGCCCATGTTCATGCCAAACATTTGGGATAGGATGTCGTTGAGGTCGACATCGGGGCCACCCGGTCCGCCTCGCGACGGGTCGAAGGCGGCCATGCCGTGTGTGTCGTACAAGTGGCGCTTTTCATCATCGCGGAGGATTTCGTATGCTTGCGTGATGGCCTTGAACTTTGCCTCGGACTCGGCGCGGATTTCCTCGGGGACTTTGTCGGGGTGGTGTTGCAGCGCAAGCTACGCGGATGTGTCAGTACCCATGCGCCTGTCGCAGACAGGGGTGTCAGCCGTGGTTGGACTAACCTTGCGGTAAGCCTTCTTGATGTCGTTGGGGCTGGCGGAGTTGTCGACGCCGAGGAGGGCTAGATCGCGCACTTGTTAGAAAGAGATAAAACCGAGCGCAGACCCAACGAGGAGTTGGGGAACTGGGCGCGACGAATCGTCGTCGGGAAGCCCCGAGCGTCCCGTGGCAGCGGGGCGTACCGTAGAGATCCAGGTCGTCTTCCAGACCGCTGTCCATTTTGTTCGGTGTATGAATTTCTCCTCAGTGAAATGGCGAATGCTAGTAAACACGCTAAGGGGTATCAAAATAGTAGAAGATGCAGCGGGGGTGTTGTCGAAGCCAGAATCACTAGCAAAATCGGTTGGCGTTGGTGGACTAGCAAGTAGGCAGAGAGGGAAAGCGTTGGCTGCTGGCGGCGGAAATTTTAAGAGCCTGCACTCCGAACCGCCCCACGTTGCGAGTTGCTGTGAGCAGCTTCATCAAACCCACGCCGCTCAAGACCCTTGCAAACAGGAAGCTTGGAGGGACCTAGCGAGGAAAACTTCCCTTTGAAAAAGCTTCAGTTGCTGAGATCATGGACATCGGTTTACATCTGAACTCCTTAGGCCTCCTTTTTGTTTGATATACTCCGATTGGACTATGGATAGAGCAGTCTTGAAGCCGTCCCGTTGTGCTGGTATTTCTTTTGGCAGATGCCCAAACTTGGAGATGTCTACCATCTTTCCTGCACCTCCACCTGCCCCCACTTCAAAATGCTCTCGATATAGATTCGGATCCTTTGCCTCTCGTTACGCAGTACGTAGGGTAAGACGACCTAAGCGGACTTGTTTCCGAAGGAATTCTTAACTTTGAGATGGTTTCAAGCAGAACTAACGGTCTTATCGAGGGACCCCACTCGCTTTCCTATCTCGGTTCAACCCCACCCAAGAAGGAAAGACCCTGCCTTTCCTACACCACCACAGAGTGTAGCCCAGCCACTAACAAGCTTAGACCCCTGTCAAAATTTACAGGTTCTTTTTGAGGATTGGCATATGGAAAGTGTGGCTCAACTTAAACGATTCAACATCTCGCTCTCAACGACGCAACATATAGCCAGCAGACGGGCGGACACCTTAGCTTAGTGCCCACCGCTAGCTCGGCAAGAATGGAAAAGTGTCGTCTGCTGGGAAGAGGCAGAGCCCTCCTTTCCTCGCGACGACAACTCCCATCGGCGCCATATTTCCGAAGGGACCATCCCCCATCTCACTGTCAAGGTCAACGCCGCGCAAATTCGAGCCAGGAGCATTTTTATGACACAAAACCGCCGTTAAATCCGGATGGCAGGCGATGCCGCACCCGTTTTGCGCCTTCGCCAACAGGGTATCTGCATCTGGGATCTCTGCGTACTGCTCTCTATAACTACCTTTTGGCTAAGTCCACAGGGGGTCAGTTTGTCCTGCGTCTTGAGGACACCGATCAGGTGCGGCTGGGCGCTTCATCTTTGATGAAGTCTATTTCCCCCTCACTCCCCAACATTTTCCCCCTTTTGTCATCCAGTGTCAAGCACTCACAGCTTCGTTCGTAGACCCGCATAGTGTCGGACGCGGAGTCCAGATTGTATGAGGACCTAAAATGGGCGGGTCTGTCATGGGATGAAGGTGAGAACTATTTAGCTCTCGGTCGAAATAATAGGACTCGTAAAAGGGCGTGACACTAACCCACCTGGTAGGCCCTGACACACTTGGGAGGGGGCCGTACGGGCCGTACCGACAGGTAAGCAGTCTGTTCGACTTCGGAGACCGATCCCCATCGGCCAACTAGTAGGATGAGTTTCTAACTGCCTTCAGTCCCATCGATTGCCACTTTATAATATGCGTGCTTCCCAGCTTGTACGTGAGGGAAAAGCCTACCGATGTTTCTGCTCGCCTGAAGCTTTGGAAGAACATAAACGGATAGCCCATGCGGCCGGGCAGCCTACGTTGTACCCTGGCACCTGCTCTCATATCCCGCTCGAGGAGTCTGACGACCGGGCTCACAACGGACAACCCTTTGCTATCAGATTCCGGAGCGCCGAGGAGCCCGTCTCATTAAAAGACGCCGTCTACAAGCACTTCCGGAAGGCCGATCCCGAAGATGACTTTGTTATCATGAAGCGGGACGGGTTCCCAACGTACCATTTCGCCAACGTTGTTGATGATCATGAGATGTATATCACCCACGTCATTCGGGGAGCGGTATGTGTAGTCGTTTCTTCGATTCTGCCTGCAAAATTGGGTATGGGGCTCAGCTAACCGGTTTTCTCCACTTGTTTGTTTCCCCTGAAAAAGGAGTGGCTTGTTTCTACACCTAAACATGTTGAATTATACAACGCTTTCGGCTGGCGCCCGCCGGTATTCGCCCATCTTCCCCTCCTTGTCGATTCTAACCGCCAAAAATTGAGCAAGCGCGACAACTCGGCCAGCATGGAGTACTATCAGAAGGGCCACATTCTTCCGGCCGCCCTCCTCAACTTTGCCGCCTTGCTCGGTTGGTCCTCGCCCGGGCAGTCCGACGTCATGGTCATGCACGAGATGGTCAAGAAGGTAAGATGCACGCCGTTTGGTACAATTTTCCGTTCTAGCCTGACAGCAAAACAACCTAGTTTACACTCAAGTTCACAAAAGGCGACATCATCGTGTCACTCTCCAAACTCCCTTTCCTCCAGGACAAACATCTCCACCTACTCACCACTAAACGACCTCTATATGGAGTCGACAAAGCCGTGATTCACAACGACATCCTTTCCCCCATAAAGGACATCATCTCCACCCTCGACAAGGCCAAAACTGCGGCCAAGAAAGCCGCAGACTCAACTACAGACACATCCATCCCGTTGCAAGCACAGGCACAGTCACAGACACAGCCTTCACAAGACACCAACGAAACGGACAGAGCCCCTTACCGCCACCATTCTTCCGAAACCAGCGACCTCGGCAACCTCATAAAAAATCCCCGATTCCTAGAAAAAGCCTACCTCCACAACCTCGGCCGTTTCCTCACTAGCATCAAACTCGACCTCACCAACCCCGCGGCCCGCTTCCCCCCGCTCGTGCGCAAAGCACGCTACCTCTTCTGGGACGTCCCCTCCACCACGCTCGAGCAGCTCCTCCGCAACGACGCCCTCGCCCCGGGCATCCCGCTCTCCGACATCCAAGCCCTACCCCGCGCGCTAGCCATCCTAAACGACAAGATCGAAGCCGTAAACCCGCTCCAGTGGTCCGAGCTCAACCTGGCCGAGCTGCTGAAGGGACTCAAGACGGATGAGAGGTACCTGAGGTGTTTTGCCGCTGCCGGGGAAGATAATAGGAAGTCGTTGAATTACCTGCCGCTGAGGTGGGCGTTGAGTGGGATGGAGAAGGGGTTGCCGGTGTCGCTTACGATGGAGATTTTGGGACGGAAGGAGACGTTGAAGCGGGTGAAACTGGCGAGGAAGGTTGCGGAGATGGTGGCGGCTGAGGTTGGGAGCACAGGGCTGGGAAGTTCGGAGAAGGTGGGAGAGGAGGCTACTAGTGGAGGAGCCTGGTGACCTAGCTATGTGCTTCCTGAAAATGACTGAGAAATGGGGAGCTGTAAGTTGAATGTAAATTACGTTCCAATGTGGACATGGACAATTCCGGGGATAAATAAAACATGTGTACGATATTTGGCACAATCACAAAAACTAAAAGATCGAACAAATCAAAAGAATAACAACCGAGTTCTGCGTACGCCGTAGCACCTCATGCGCCATCTAATGTAATCAAATAACTCGCCATCATCAATTCATATCCCATATTTGTGTAGCCCGCCAACCAAGGCCAGTCCACGTCTTTTTCTTCTCCCCCTACCAGCGACCCCCCTTACGCACTCCCGTCGCTAAATATCCTCGTCTTCACATCCGCCGCCACCAGTCCAGCCCGCTCCCTCGCAGCAATCGAGTCAATATCCTGCACAATCTTGCTCACCGCCGCATCGCTGGCCGCAACCACACCACCGCTACCCGCTCCGTCTCGCCCGCGTCCGAGAGAAAGAATGGACGAGCCACCGCCCCCGCTGCCACCGCCACTACTGGCGCTTCCTTCTCCATCCGGCCCGGAAGAGCTGTTATCCCCCGCAGCTCCAGAACCTCCTCCACTCCCACTTCCGACAGCACCACTTCCACTCGCACCGGGACCACCGAGACTACTACCAACACCCGCCAGACCAGGACCACCTCTACCAAACGGACCCCCCGCCAAGGCCGAAGCATTCCTGCTAGCCCTAGCAATAGCACCAGCCACATCATGCACGCGCGACGCAGCATCGGCCATCTGGCTCCGGGCAAAGCTGCGGTTGGTCAGCAGCGGGTTCTGAGACAGCGTCTGCACCCAGTATTTATCCCACAGACGGTCCAACAGGCGCCCATCCAGGGTGCTGCGGAAGTGCTCGACGGCGAGCGGGTAGTACTTGCTAGCGTGGGCGCCGTAGTCTCCGGCTTTCGTTAGCGGGACGGCGGTTTGGTTCGGGTCGTGGGCGGGTGCAGCGGAAGATTGCGAGGCTGCTGATGTGCCGCCAGCAGGCGCGATGTATCCGTCCGGGTACGTCCGAAACGCGCCGATATCGACCTTGTTGGCAGACACGGTACGGTCCGGGTCGATGACGACGGCGACCATGGGGCCTTGCAGCTGCTGCAGTTGCTGGGTGGCGACGTCGATGCCCGACAGCCAGCAGCCGTAACCCGGGTGGGAGTGGTACCAGCCAATGACATTTTCCTGGCGGGATTCGTCGCGGCACTGGGCGAGGTATTCGACGAGGTACTCGTCGGCTTCACCCTGGGCGTTGACGCGGGTCTCGGTACCCTCGACAGGGAGGCGGAAGGCGTCGGTGACGACGAGGGCGGGGCCGTCGACGTAGCCTTGCATGATGCCCATGACTTCGAAGGCGCCGCCGGAGCGGGCGTGGATGACCATTTTGATGAGGGCCACGGGGGAGATGCGGACGGTTTTGAAGTAGTGTGGGTCGGTTGTCCATGGTCGGGCTTTGCTGGCTTCGGCTTGGGAGGTGGCGGAGTAGTTGAAGAGGGCGTCGCGCTGGCGGTCGACCAGCTTGTCGGTTAGTGGGAGCTCTAATTACATGGTAGCGTCGTGAGTTAGCCTGTGTTTCTTTGGTGTTTGATTTTTCGGCGGAAACATTATGCATTATCGGAAATAGAGAAATGAAGTAAATTAAGGTAAAGACTCACCCATTTTGCTTGCTGTCCGGAACGTGGTTGAACGGTTGCAATACCCAAACTTGGAGTCGGCGTTGTGCAAGCAGTTATTTGGCGAATGTTGCCTGCGGGTGATGGAGGGGCTGCAGAGCTCCGATAAGATAAGCCGTCAAGGTATCCGACGAGCATAGCACGCAGCAACCACCCACACGAGCTCCTTCCTCCTGCAATAAAAAAGAAGTCACAGATTTCCGGGAATACGGCCTAAGAACATCGCTCCGGTATGATAATTACTGAATTCGCGTATATTTCAGCGGTATCACTGCTCAACTGGCCATACTCGGCTTGCTCCTGCTTGCTCTGCCTGATTCTCCCCCCCCTCCTCACACCGAACAAATACATAAATCAACTAACACAAAAGGAAGAAGGAAAAAAAGCCAAACCAAAAGACCTCCCATGTGCTCCAACCAATGCATCTGTTGCCGCCTGGCTTATCCTATCCTCTAATACACCCAGTCCTTTCCTTTCCATCCAGCCGGCCTTTCTAGGTAGGTAAAGTGAAGCCCATTACCAAGAGACAAAAAGTACAAACAGGGTACAGTACTCCAAGTGTCGGGAAGTAATTACCCAATGACACCGCGAAGGAAAATAAAAACAACTCTCTTCTCCATTGCCGCTTGCTCATCTCACCCACGAGCAATAGACAACACGGATGGCATGACATGATATGGTAATATCCAACCAACATCACACTCATGCCTCACATCCGCCGACTCATCCTCCTAACCAACCCATTGCCGTTTCCATTCCCATCCTCCTTATTATCGCCATCCCCATCTTCACTGTCTCCCATATTATTATCCCCGCCACTCGCGACAGGAGCCACGACAGTATTCTCCCGTTCCTTCAACCGGTTCGCCAGCGCCTGGATCCTGTCTCGCAATCCACCACCTCCACTATTATTACCCCCGCCATTACCAGTCCCACTCCCTCCAGTCCGCCGTCTGTCCGGACTACTCTGCTGCTGCTGCTGCTGCTGCTGCTCCCTCTCATCCGTCTCAGATATAGCCACATGCCCAGCCGTAGCATTCGTCTTTGTCCTTCGCAACCCACCCACCGACCCGGAGCCGGAGCCGGAGCCGGAGCCACCAGTAACAGTGGAACTCGTCACACCACTGCTACTACTCGGCCTTCCTCCGTGGTTGTTACTGCTGCTGCTGCTGCTACCACCGCCGAAGGTCCGAGACCAACCGCTTGATGAGGGCCGGAGGAGACTGCTGAAGGTGGATTTGCTGCCACTGCCACTACTGGCGTTGCTGTTGCTGGTAGTGCTGGTATTGGTGGTGCTGTTGTTGTTTTCTAGAGGGATGGAGGAGGATGGGGTGGGTGGCGCCATGAGGAAACTTGGTACGGGCCCGGTGGGTTGGTGGTTTGTTTGGACTGTTACATGGGTATTTTGGTCTTGTCCTTTCCCCCCATTCACACCATGATGCTGATGATGGTTGTGACGGTCATTCCCATGGTTCCCAGCGGCGTAATTGTTCAAACTCGAGATATGCGAGCGCATCGAGGACGCAACACTGGAACTGCGACTGGCCGACGGCGACGGGATAGGAATAGACGTCTGCGACCTCCGGATGGATCTCGGCGGCGACCGCGAAAAGTCCACAGGCGAAACCCCATACAATGACGACGAGTCATCCCCGCTGTTATCCCTCGACTCCGACGCCGTCAAGTTCATCGAGTTTGCCGTCGTGGCTGTGGTGGGCGGGGTGGCGAGCAAGACCGAACTGGTGGCCAGCTCGCGCAGTTTGGATTGTTGCGCGGTGTTGGGCCGGTGGCGGGAGAACTTGTTGCCGATGATGGCGCCGGTGTGGCTGATGAGGGCCTTGATGACGCGGCTTTTGAGGGCGAGGGCGAGGTCGAGGTTGGACCAGGTCTTGTTGCGGTATTCGATGGTTGGCAGGCGGAAGACGAAGTCGTGCACGTCTTCAAAGTTGCGGTCGCCTTTGCCTTTGTAGCTTAGGCATAGGACCACGGACGGCATCTTGATGTAGGCGAAGGTCATGTAGTTGGAGGCGCGGTCCATCATCTTGGTTAGGTCGTCCGACTGGGTCTTGGATTTGTCTTTCGCCCTGTCTTTGTCCTTCTCCCTATCCCGATCCTTGTCGCTATCGTTGGACCGGTGTCGCAGCGTGAAGCGCGAGCGGCTCTTGGTGGTGGACGAGGCGGCAATGGACGCGGTATCGCTGTGAATCGAGGCAGCGTCGCGCGACGTAGACAGAGCCGACAGACCCGTGGTGGTCCGACCGAAACCACCCGGACGCGGCGTGTTGATGCGTAGCGAATCGTGCGACCGCTTCTTGTTGATCGACCGTGAAGGGCCGGTGTTGCTGCTCCGGAACAGCCGGAACGAGACGCCCTCGCCAGACTGGATGGTGAGTGCCTTGTGCTTGCCCGAGCCTGAGCCCTCATCCGGGTCCGAGGTCAGCGTCGGGCGCAGGCGGAGTTCGAGCGAGCCGGGGCGCGTTGCGAAGGGCGTGGCGTTGCTGCTGGTGCTGTTGCTGTCGGCCGTACCGAGACGCGTAGAGTGACCGTTGTACTCGTCCTCGTCTTCGTCCTCGGTCTCGTTTTCGTCGTCCTCCTCATCCCCGGTAGATTGCCTGATCATGAACGGCGAGTCATTCTTCCCACTACCACTGCCACCACCAGCAGTCGCCTTCCCGACGTCGGTGCCCGGGAAGATGTACTCAAACAGCTTCTTGCCGAGCTCACGCTCCAGCTGGATCTTGAGCGGGAACAGATTGACTTCGAAGTGGTCCATGACGGGAATGCCCGCGATGGCCTCGAGCATGTTCCAGTACACGCGGATGACGGGTTGCGTGTTCGTGTGCGTGACTCGGTCAGAAGCGCCACGATCCCGATCACGGTCGACATATGGAGCCACCATGGTCGGGTAAATGGCATCCGGGAGCAGATTCAGCCCAAGAATCTTGCCGACCTGCATGAGGTTGATATGTGAGCCGTCCGCATTGTCAATACGGTCATACTCGACGTCCTTGAGCTGCAGTTCAACCATAGGCTCATTATTGTCGCGCACGAGCTGCCACACGATCTCCTTGGCCATGATACTCCATTTCAGCAGCGCATTGCTACTCCCCGTCTCAAGCCGACGCTGCTGCGACGAGGTAATGGCAGTCATCATGAAGAACAGCTCGTCCTCACAAGCCGCCAAGTCACGCTCCAGCAGCAGCCGGTCATGCCAGCCTTGCTGATCGAGATGGCGCGCGTGAATGTGGAAGTGCGTCTTGATCTCCTCGAGCTGGCGCACGCGCTCCTGCAGACGGATGACCATCTCGGGCACGCCGCGCAGGTCGCTGAAGTCGGAGGCCAGCAGGATCTTCTCGAGGCGCTCGCTGCGCGTCTTCTCGAGCGGCTCGCTGTACATGAGCAGGTCTAGCACGATGACGTAGATGGCGTAGTACTGCGACGAGTTGCACAGCGCGTGTGCCCGTGGGAACTCGACCCAGAGGTTGTCTGTTCGGGTTTCCGAGGCGTTGTTCTTGTCCGTTTCCGTTGGGTCGGATTTCTTCCCAGGAGCAGCACCACTCCTCGTACCACCACCAGCAGCACCGGCAGCAGCAGCAGAAGCAGCACCATCGGGGCCATTAAACCCATCATCACCGCCCTCTTCTTCTTCCGCGCTCGCATTGACCTCATCATTATACTTGAGCCGCAGCGGGTTGAACTTGTCATACCGCAGCATAGCCGACGTCTTCTGGACCACACGTTTGAACCCAAACGGATCCGACTGGAAATCAAACATGACCTCCATAGGCACCCAGGGGGGCCACGACGAACCCGCAGGGGTCCCGTACGTGTTGCCCGAGTACATGGACACTAGCTGGGTCGAGAACCACTTCTGGTGGGTCACGAAGAACTGCGTGCTGTCCATGTTGACGAGGAACCGGCGCTGCACCAGGCCGCTGACGTCATCGAACAGCCGGCTCTTGTCCAGCACGTCGACCACTTTCAGCTCCATGCCCTTGGACGCTGTCAGCACCACGTGCTTCTTGTTCTTGTCGCTCTGCAGCTGGATCTGCGGCGCGATTAGTCGTACGTGGTAGCTGTTTTGCGTCGTGAACTCGTCTGCGATGCCGCTAGCCAGGTCGGCCATCGTGGGGTGTTGCTGGCTCTGTGTTTGTGTTTGTGTCTGCTGCTGTTGTTGTTGTTGACTTTGACCCTTCTCCTGACTCGACGACTCCGACCCCGCAAACTTGTTACTGTCCTGCAAAATCCGCCGAATCCGATCCTCAATATCCTTCGCAACGTCCTGATCGCTCTGGCCCGCAAAGTCCGGCGTGTGCCCTGTCGTCCCGGGCGTCGGCACATTGCTGCTGCTGTTATTCCTCCCACCGACCTTCGACTTGGCCTGCTCGTCGACCAAATCCAAAATAAACTTGACGGCCGGGCGCGAGAGGTAATATACAAACCCCCTGCGCTGGCCGACCTGGTGACTGTACCGCAGGATGATGTTCCGCAGCGTGTTGTTCCATTTCAGCTGCATGTTGTGCACCACGAACCGGTTCTTGAAGTCGCTCGCGAACTCGGCCGCTGCGGGCGTCGACATGGTCCCTTGCAGACTCCGCGTGCCTTCTCTAAACTCGGTCGGGCTATTCTTTTCTTCATCGCGAGAAGTGCTTTTGTCGTTTCCGCTGCCACTGCCGGGAGTCATCTCCGCGAGCATGCCTTGCAAAAACATTTTCTTCCCCGCGAGCACCCCCGAGTGCCGACTCAGCATCTCAAACTCCGCATCCAGCTCCCCGGCAGTTTCACCATCATCATTCACCACATCCGCATCCCCTCTTACCAACCGCAACTCCACATGGCCCAAATTCCGCTGATGCGTCTCAATCTGCTCATCCAACTGTTCCAGCCGCCTCCGAATCAACTGACACTGCACATTCCTCGGATCATCGTCCTGGCTCATGACACACACATGCGTCGGCGTGGGTTCCTGGCCAAAGGGACTCGTCCGGTCCGGGTCGCCCGCAATCGTGCCGTTGATGTCCGTCTGTCGGAAGTAGGTCACGCGTGGCGCAAACGCCAGCGGCAGGATCTTGGTGTCGGGGTTGGGCTCTTCGGTGGGCAGGATCCAGTCGAGTTCGACGAAGTCGTCCATGTCGATCCAGGTTAGGTCGTTGTCGGGGATTGTGAAGCGCGAGAGGTCTGGCGGGTCCTCGTCGTGATCGTGTTCTTCGTCGTCTCCGTCTTCTTGACCCTCTGGAAACAATCCCGAGGCGGCCATCGACGCCGACCCCCGAATGCTGGCTGACACTGCGCGCACATCGGCTGAGACTAGGTCTAATTGCCCGGCGTGGATCTTCATGCCTGTCGTGCGACTCTGCGTCTTGCGCCCGCGGTCGCGCGTGTTGAACTCCTCGCGCCTCTGGTGGAGGTCCAGCATGAAGCTGTCGAGGCGCACCTTGATGCCCGTCGCGGACACCGCGTTGCCCCCCGTGTTCGCCGAGTTCTCCGCTGCTGTTGCTGCTGATGGCGCGGCAGAGTACTCGGCGTCCTTGTGCTTGTAAATGTGGCTGACAAACAGCGGCGCCAGCAAGATATTGTATTTGATCGTGGCCAGGTGCCGGCCAAATTTCTTGCTGTTCTTCTCCCTGCCCGGCCATAGCGAGCCCTGTCGGATGGGCAGCGATAGTGGGCCCGAGAAGAGTGACCACCACGCAAAGAAGTGCGTAAAGAACCGCGGCGTGAGATGCACCGCGTTGTAACTGCGCGACGGCTCCAACGCCATCGTCGACGTCCCAAGCCCAGATTCAGCTCCGGAACCAGACCCAGACCACGCCCGATCCACCGGCGCGCGAATAGCGACCGAGAGATGAATGTGCTGGCTGCGGAACCCGCGAAAGGCATCATACGGCAAGCCATCCGGCCCGGGCTTCGCATGCGCCGGCGACTTGAGCATCACCTCGTAGTGCGGCTTGCACGCAAACGTCCGCGTGCCGTCCTCCCCGATCGCGCGTTCAAACACCAGCCCAGCCAGCCACTGCACCTTGCCCGACAGCTTCATGACCACCTTCTTGAACGTTGCTGCGCCGGACTTCTTCGACTCCGACCCAAACTGCATACTCGACCCGCTGCTCCGACTCCCAATACTCCCCACACCATCATCCTCGCCATGCTGACGACGTGCCTCGCGCACCTGGTGACTGTAATCAGGCACAGCCATGACATACTCGCCGCTGTCGACGGTCATGAACTCCTTGGGGTCATCGACAGTGTGGATATTCCAACGCACGTCGTTGCGGAAGCACATGAGGAACCCGGCACCGTTGCCCGTGACCTGGTAAGGATCCCGACTGCCCTTGAGCGCGAGGTGCACGTCGCCGTCGCCGCGCCAAGCCACGCGGATGCGCGAGTGGAAGTTGAGCCGGATCTTGTCCCAGAACCCGACCCGGTCCGACGGGTCCAGCTGCGGCTTCGTCATCGACTCGATCGCCATCATCATGTCCTGGATTGCTGGTTGATAGGATGGTCCCCAGGTGATACGCGTTGGGTTCGCCGTGTGGATGTCGATGCTCATGTCGGAGAACGTCTTGACTGGTCCGATCGTGCGTCGTACATCCACCGCGAAACCATTACTACCAGCCCCTTTCCCTTCTTCGCCAGACGACGGCGGCACGATCGGCACGCGGATCCTGCGCGTTGATTCCGGCCCCCGATACTCCTCGGCAATGACAAAATCCGTCGTCATCGCCAGCGCGGGCAACCGCACCGACTGGCCCGGCTTGATCGCGGGTACGTGCAGGAACGGCAAGGGGTAATCCCGCAGCGAGATCCTCGCCTCGCCCATGCTGACCTGCAGGCTCATCGGCACTAGCAAGGCATATTTCATATCGCGGGGCATGCCCTTGCCCACCTTGTGCAGAAAATCAGGCAGATCGCGCAGCGGGAACGACGGCTTGTCGACGACAATGTGCAGGTCATTAATCAGCGCGGCCATCAACGCCGGCCGCTGCGGCACCTCCAGCACTTTCTCGCTGTCCTCCAGGTCGTCGGGTATCTCGTTGACGCCCCAGAAATGCGAGCGCATATCCTGCGCCGCGCGCCGGGCTAGCTCGTACTGCTGGTCGATCCGCTGCTTCCAACTCTTGGCGTTGTGTAGGTTCAGTTTGTGTCTCGCCTCGGCAATCGACACGCGTGCCTGGCCGTTGAGCGAGCGGGCGCCCGCTTCCGGGTCGTATCGCGGTGTCCGGCCGCGCATGCGCCCGTCGCTCGCTGATCGCCGTCGACCATCACCGCCGCCAGCACTATGGCTGCGGGTTCCGGGTCGAGGGACACCACCTGTGGTCAGCAGCGGCGCATCATCGTCCTGCCGAGCCGCCGACCGGGCTCGTCTCTTGGACGACAACCCCCTTCGCGACTCCTGCTCGTGGATTTTCTTGACCTTGACGCGGAACGCCTCCTCGCGCGCTTGGCGCTGCATTGTTTCAACCATGCCCGCGCGGTAGATCACGCCCAGTTTCCACTCGAATGCGCCGTCCTCCAGCTCAAACAGCAAACTCTTCGCCCGCAGCGACACCTTGGGCACCTTCTTGGGCGGTTCGGGCCCTTTATCGAGGATGTACTCGTCCGTGCCCGTCTTGAACCGGTGGTGCAGCTGTAGCACCGACTTCAGGGTATTGACAAAATTGTCCGTGATCTTGTAGATGACCATCTCGTGGGGGACCGCCAAACGCACATTCTCCGCCACAATGTCGAACATGCGGTCCTCGCGCACCCCACCGTTGGTCAGCCGATGTCGCGACTCGCGGTGGTCGACGCGGACGTTCTTGAGGCTGACCACGCGCGCCCAGACTCGTCGCATCCGGGGAGCTTCGGCGAACAGGCGCACCAGCTTGGCCTGGACGAAGGGGGATGACCATCGGTGTTGTCCGGCTTCGAGGTTGTAGATGTGGAACATCACGGGGGGGTCCGACGGTAGGTCTGCTTTGATCTGTATGAGCGTGGCCTTGAAGTCTACCGCAACGAGCTCTGGCGCGTTTTTCCAGGCCTCCGCGTCCAGACTCAAGTCTCCCGAAATGCCCATCGTGGGCGGCGAAAGATGGCCCACTACCCGTCGTCCCTGAGGTGACATGGGCGGTGTCATCGGTGTGGTCGCAGCTGTGGCCGTGTGAGTAGTAGAGCCGTCCTTGCTTGTCCGCATAAATGCTTTTCGGAGACTCGAAACGGCAACCCCAACAGCGTAGTGACGCGAGAGCGAGTAATGGAGGAGGACCGTCCGGATGTGCGAGTGGATATGGAACACGGGGCCCTGGTGGTCGCTCAGTGTTGATAGTGCCACCTCAAACTTGGGGATGTTGACAAACGGCTCAAACTCCCACTTGTCGGCCGCTTCCACCATGAACACCTCGAACCCACGAGCGTGGAGAGCCACCCGTCGACCGTCCCCTTCGTGGTAATACTTCTTCCTCGGCGAGACGGGGATCGCCTTGAGAATGTCGTTTTCTGGCGACATGACGCCGCGGCTGCTCGCTCTGCGCCTAGACGGCCGCCTGTGCAAGCCATCCAGTCTCTGGGATCGGTAGTCGGCCGACCAGGAGTCCAGCTGGATCACGATGCCCCGCGAGTCCTCCGAGATGCCCTTGTCCACGCCGGCGACCTCGATGCTGCAGTCCGAGCAGTGCAGCTGGAAATGCAGTAGCCAAGCCGGCAAACCGCGCAGGAAATTGGAGTGTTTGGAGGTCTTCGAGACAGCGCGTTTGTCTGGTTCGACGTTAAGACGCAGCTGGCGGACGATCTGGCGCAGCCCGTCGCGGATCTCCTCTCGAACCATCTTCAGCGTGAATGTTTCAAGGTTCCCCGTGACCACCACGTGGACGTTGGGCGTGGCGTTGAGCTGCACCTTGAGATCGAACGACTCCGTCTCGAGAAGATCGAATCGGCTACCAGCAGAGGTCTGGTAGTACAGGTTATGTGTCTGAACTCGCATGGCAGCGGCCAGTGAATAATGAAGGTCCTCCACCGTCGAGTGGAACGACTCAATGTCTAACGATATAGACGATATGGATGATATGATCAAGTCAAACTCATCGGGCTCCGCCGTCTTTTGCACCGGCGGAAGTGAGATCCTCAACACAGGTTCGTGCATTGAGAATTTGTACGTGGCCTTGGGTAGTAGTCGGGAAATGAGCATGTGGCGTTGCTGTTGCGCAGGCTTTTGTGCCTTCGGCTTCCGCTGAAGCATCGCTATGAGGAGAGGGAGATGTCGGGGGTCAAGGTCGACCGAGGGCGAGGTCACGACTGAGTTGGCAAAGAGAATATTGGCATTCCTTTGCTCGGCGGTGCCCTGATCCGCCAGCTCGACCGTCTTGGATGGAAGCGTGGTTCTCGCTGTTGTCGTCGCCATCGGGATGTACATGATGCGCTCCGGCTTGCCGTGGCCGTCGTCGAGCCCCACAGAAATCGAGAGGGCGGCTGCTAGGGCCTCGTGCGCGATGTCCTTGGACGGGAAGTACATCCGGTGCGCGGCCGACTTGGGGTCGAGCCGGTGCAAGTCAATGCCGACCTCCTTCATGGACGCCGTGAGGATGATAGGCTGCCCAGCGGGCTTGATGGCCTCAATCTTCTTGGTGAGTCCAATGAAGCTGACGGCGAACTGGACTTCCCGGATCCCCTTGAGCACCGAGCTGACAAGCTCCTTGGAGTCGGAGACCGTCTGCATCAGCTCCTGGTTGGTGCTCCCGGGGACGTCCAGCTCCTGGATCACACGGTCGACTACCACATCAACGGGGTCCGCCTGCGCAAACGCCGCGTCGTCAGTCGACCGGATCCGCTTGTACTGGGCCAAGCTGTGGCGGACATCGTCGTAAGGGATGTGGACGCGCCCAAGCTTGAGCGCAATGGCCGCGTCGCGTAGCCCATCGAGCGCGTCGTACAAGTACCCGTGGATATTGAGCGTCGCACTGTCCAAAACCTCCGTCGACTCCCCACCTTCCGCCGTAAAGAGCACACTCCTCAGCGTCACGATCCACTCGGCCTGCTGATTCTCCCGTCGTTTCCGTGCCCCGCCCTGGAGGAAAAACCGGGCGCGATCGACCATCTTCCGCCGCGTGTCCACGGCCACGGTGAAGCTCCCCATCTGCACATTTCCAACCCCCGCGATGTTGACGGTCGAGTTGGTAGCCACCACGTCCACCATGCGGAGCCAATTCACCTTCCGATGCAGCCTCTTGATGCGCTCCTTGACCCTCGTCAACCGCTTCCATGTCTTGCTCCGCTCATCTGAATCATTCCCGCGGCGAACCAGCCGTGGTGTCCTTGGCCGCTGGGGGGTAATCGGCCGCGGCGCCTGGTCGGGCACATCGGAATCGGAGTCCACATCCTCGGGCGCAGCCTCCTTCGCCCTGGCGCGTTCCAGCTCTTTGATATTGACCGTGACCGCAAACTCGTCCACCACGATACTCAGCCACGTCGGCTGGGCAAACGTCGGACGGTGGACGTTGAGACCCAGCCCCCTGACTTCGAATCGGACGCCATCGCGGGCCGTATACGCGAGTCGACGCAGGGAGAAGTACCCGATGCGCTGGATGGAAACGCCGGTGACGATGCGGACGACGGCAAACACGACAAACGTCGAGAGGTATAGCAGGACGAGGATCCCAAAGATAAAGGTCGGATTAAGCAAGGCCATCTCGGCCGAACATGAATGATACGAAGCAGCGACGGGGCCGGCGCACCCATTGGTCGCAGAGGACAGGTGTCGCCGGTCGTAAAGGGAGAAGAACAGGGAGGACCAGGAACTATAATTTGATGATTTTGTACTCGACTCGACCGTGCGACCGGGCCGAGGGGGTGTTGGGGAGATCCAAACGCTGGGCCCGGTCTAAATTGCCTTCAACTCGCGGGGCATGCTGCGCGCGACCATTATCGTGTTCATTCGTTTTTGTTCGGTTTGTGCGTGTGTCCGTTCCCGTTTCCGTATGTCGTCTGCGCTCGTTCGCTCGTTCGCTGGCTCGTCCGTTGCTGCGGGTCAGATGCAGTCGATGATGCAACACCACGCGTGGTCTCGGGGGCTCGTGTGTGGATATGTGGCTATCTGTCTGTCTCGATAAGTGCTCGAAACAGAAGTGCGTGTCCAATGGCCTCGTGGGTCTGTGTGCGTTGCAGCTGTCGTCGTCCTCGTCGTCGGATATGTGTCAGCGCAAACGTCAAAAAAGGGACAAAAAAAGACCCGAGGCTCCGCAGATCGAGGAGGGCAAAAAATTGTTGTGATCTACGACAGCTCTGGGATCCAGCTCTGTCGATGGAACAAGAATGATGAGCAACAAGCAAATGAACCTGGAAGGGAGAGAATGCACCAAAGCTGCCAGGAGCCGCGCCAAGCAAATTGATGGACAACTGGATCCAATTCCAGCAATTCCAGCAGTTCCAGGGTGGGATGCCACTGATGGAGTTCTTTTGATAACCCCCACCAACCACTGCAGGGGGGTCCGACCCCACAACCTGCATCATTGCTTTTCCCTCGAGCAAACGCCCAAGCCTGAAGAGTTCTTTCATAAACAAGAGAAGCAACGTCACTCGTTTGATGGGGTCCAAAATTTAAAGCATCTCCTAGTTTCCCGGGTGCGACTTTGTAGTGGTAAGTTCTTCGAAGCCTGTCAGCGGTGGCCTCCTGGTCTCCGGAGTAAATTTCCCCGGATCTTGGAAGCCACTAGATCCGCATCTCGGGGTCTCGGTCTTTTCTCGAACCGGCTGCCCTCCGACGGGGCCCGGCAGCTGTGGCTGCATAACCTGACTGAGAGTCGAAGCACGCCTCGGGCTCGAACTGATCATTAGTTATTCGAGGAGTCCATCGCCAAAAGCAAGATCGTCAGGTACCAGGATCGCCGGACCGCGCCGAAAAAGCTTGTTTCAAGGAGGAAAGGGGAGACCGGGTATGAGCTTCAGGAGAACGACCTCGGGCAGGACCGTGTCCAACGAGTTGGTGGAGAGGATTGGGGCGTGCGAAGGTATGCTGCGTCGTGGAACTAATGCTTGAGCTGGAAAGGACAACCACAATCCAACATGGGTGATACCACTTGGGCAACCCAGAAAAAGGATCTATGGGAAAGGAAAGTCTTGACAGAACCATGAGCAGAAATTGGGGGGGGGAGTCAAGCTTATATACTCTCACAGAAAAGACGCTCAGACATGAAGCCGTTGTAAGGTTCTGGCTGCCGCTGGAATTCGTTGGAACTCCTACGGACATTAAACAGCACGTTGGAAGCTCATGCCAGAAGATTCCGATGCGGATTCCATCAAACCTTACGATTGAACGAATGCTAAACTACAGCGGCAGCAGCGATGCAGGTTGCGCTCAGTAAATAATTCACCGTAGTGCAAAAGCCGGGGAGAAAGAACAAAAAAGACCAACATCAGCAGGACCAGAAGAACAATAGAAAAGAAAAGGAAATCAATGGAAATCAAGGCACAAACCTGCAAAGTCTCTGCCCTACAGTACTAAACACTACTACAATGTACACAATACTGTATACCTAAGTAACTGTCCCTCGGTTACGCCCCTCGCAGCCCTCCGGATCGGGTCAAAACCAGCGATCGCAGGCAGCTACTGCAATGTTTCCTCCGCAACGGGCCGCAAACGTAACCCAACACAAGAAATGCCAAGAAAACGACAAGCTTGACCTGCATGCACCCCAGATCTCGAATTGGACGACAAGCCTTCAGCTCTACATAATATTGACTTTCCAGAGCTCAATTCCAGGCCGTTCAAGGTATGCGACAGCTAACGACAATGGCTTGCCATCTGGTGGGTTCCCATACCTTATTTATCCACCTCATCCCAGCTTTTTGAGGCTTGTTCGGTGAGGATTCCAAACAGCCACCCAGTTGGCCAGGCCGCTGTTATCAGCGGCCAGCAGCCTCAATTGTCATATGCGGCGTGAGATGGATGAGCAGAGCGTGTGTTGGTAGCAAGTCTGGGCCGAATTGGCCCCTGTGCCGCTTTCCTCTTTCGGACGTAATTGAGCGTGTAAGTGAGCAAAGGTGAGCTTCAGAGTGAGAGCCGCAACACTCAGCATGAAAACCGCGCGGCACAGGGGGGTTGAAGCGGCCCGGGTTACGAAACGAAACCTTGGAAAAAGGATCACTCGCGGGCCGTGGCCCAAGTGCGTGAACAAGGAAAGGCTGAGTGTGAGTTTCAACGTTTGTTGATCTCTCATTCTTATCCATTTGTTCATCTATCATCGATCAACTTAGCTCCTCGCCTGCGAGGACCCGACTGGAAATGGCCTGGACAGAGTCGACTTGACTAGGACTTATTTTTCTATTGTTATATTTTGTTGTCGCTTGTTCCTGTTTTGTGTCGCCTTTCTTGTCTTGTCCTCTCCTCCCATGACCGCGCATCTTGCGAAGTCTCGTTTCCTTTCCTTGTCTTCTTGGTCTTTGCCATTTTATAGGCGTTGACGCCGGCACGCTCACCCCCCAACAACAACAAACATGTTAGTCCGTTCCTCAGGAGTCCGGGGCTCTATCATCCCCATCATCATCCTCCTCCTCCTCTGCAGCTGGCTGCTCGTCCTCTACTCCCACCAGCACCACCTCCAATGGGACCTCCTCCCCTTCCTCTTCACCCCAGACCAAGAACCCCCCGTCGAAGTTGTGGTCGCCAGTACCCGTGCCGAGGACACCCTCTGGGTCCACCGCTTCCTCCCGCGCTGGGCCCGCAGCATCTACGTCGTCGACAACCCGCGCGCCCGCCTGACCGTACCCGAAAACAAAGGCCGCGAGGCCATGGTCTACCTGACCCACATCGTCAACAACTATGACACACTGGCGGAAACAACCGTCTTCGTCCACGCCTCCCGCTTTGCCTGGCACAACGACAACCGCGACTACGACCTCCTTCCGGCATTGCACCAGCTGCGGTTGGACTACGTCCAGGAGTCTGGGTATGTCAACCTGCGCTGTGTGCAGGTGCTCGGGTGTCCGGCTGAGATTCGTCCCCATATCGACGCGGCATCGGATTGGGCGCGGAGTATCGGTTCTGCGCCGATTGGGGACGGGAGTGGGAATTCTCGCGCGCTGACGACCAAGGAGATTTACAAGGCTGCGTTTGAGGAGCTGATGCCCGGGGTTGATGTGCCGCAGCAGGTGGGTGTGAGCTGCTGCTCGCAATTTGCGGTGTCACGGAAGGCGGTGCGGAGTCGGTCGCGGGAGGACTATGTGCGTTGGCGGGACTGGTTGTTGGAGACGTCGCTGCCGGACGATTTGAGTGGGCGGGTGTTTGAGTATATGTGGCATAGTGAGTCTCCCCCTTTTTTTCACCCCTGATCCTGCTTTTTTTGTCCTTTCCGCCCTTTTCTATGTTCATTGATTAACTAAACTGTCCTTTTTCAGTAATATTTGGCAAAGAAGCCGTGTACTGCCCCTCGGCAGCCGACTGCTACTGCAAGCTGTTCGGCGAGTGTGGTCTCAAGTGTCAGGAGATGCAGTGCGAGGGCCGTTATATCCTACCCAAGTACTCGAACTTGCCAGAAGGCTGGCCGCAATTCGGCTATGCGGGCGAGGACCGAAACTTTACCGGGCTTCTATGAAGGCCCGGTGGTCCGAATATCGTTGTGAGCCGCACTCAATTTAGAGCGGCTAACACCTGAACTATCTGTTATGTGCCCGGGCTTGTATTGCTGTGATAATAGTAAGTATATCGAGAGCTTTTACGTTGGGTCGGAGCTAACTGGGTATAGGAAAGAATGCATCAAAGCGTTCTTCTTTCAGATTCATGAATATGCGCACACATCATGTTAGTATATGTTCGACGATGGCGCTGTAAAAATACCTGTATCTATACCCGCGTTAGATCATTTAGACTGTTTAGAATGCACTGCAACGGCGTTGGTAGGGAGGGATGGGAATATTTACTTGGAATCCATACTTCTTGGGGCTATCTTACAACAAATGGTCCCATGCTCATCTTGCATATGCAAATAACTAAATCCCAATCTTCATCACGCCCCGTCCTGCTCCGAAGATGGCGTCTGATTCCTCTGAGCCTCAGCCTCGGCAGCAGCCTTCGCCTTTGCCTTCTTCTCCCTATCATCATCAAGAAGTTCTTTGATGCGGTCTTCAATGAGCGCAATCTCCACATCCACCTTGAGAAGTTTCTCCTCAAGAATCTTCTCATAATCTTCGTCAGATAACGGCTTGATAGGGTTCAACCATTGCAGAAGCGTTTCCTTTTGGGGCTCCTTCGCAAGCCGCTCCCGCCTCGCGGCCCTCCAGTTCAGCAGAGCTTGACCAACAGCTCCGAGGGACGAGAAACATATCATCCCTGGGATGACATTCCTCGGTCCTCCTACAGATATGTTAGTAGCCCGGACCTGGCGGTTGACTAATAACTCAGGTGTCGTCAAACTCACGAATCCAGCCGCTGCAAAACCCGGCAAATGCACCACCCATGGCGCTCGCTTTGACCTTGTCACGAGGAACGGGTTCTCCCGGCCCAAAGTACTGCAGCGCACTCAACCGGCCACCTAGAAGACGGTTAGGTCAGGTTGAACCAGCAGTGCATAGAGAGATGTGGGGTGCCGCTGGCTTACCGTAGAAAGTACTCCCCAGCACAAACCACTGTCCTGCTGAGAAGAGGGAGAAAAAGCCGACGGGGGCATTGCGTATGATGCCCGCTGTTGCGCCGACGAAAAGCCCGCATGTGCCTGCATATTGTTAGGTCATAGTAGGAAAACGACCCCTGGATTCTAGCGCAGGTCCGGGGAACTCTGGCACACATCCGGGGAACAGAACAGGGGAGCGTTACCAGTGGTTGCACCGATTTTCAGGGAGGGGACAACAATCTCGGTGAGGCTGAGCTGTTGAGAGGCCAACGTCAACGGCTTGGCTGTCTGTGTGGTCTCATCTTTGGGTGTTGCTGGCGGTCTCGGTGTCTGTGGAGGTTCATCTTTGTGAGTTGGCGGTGGAGTTGGTGACCGTTGGGTGGGCGGTGGCTGGGTTGGTGTTTGGACAGGTGTTTGGACAGGTGTTTGGTTGTCTTCGGTGCCACTCCCAGGGAATACTATGCGCTTCATGTTGGAAGTAAAATATAGATGTTCGGGTATCTAGGTTTTGAAGACGAGACTCTCCAAACCTGGTGTTGAAAACCCGATCTTCCGAATCTGGGTAATCTTCGGGTTGAGGTTCCGTTGATAACCCGCGAGGATAGAAGCGATAACAAGAACGATACCATGTGTTTCCATGCAGAATGCAGTCCGGCTCCGGAAAATGTCGGTAGAGCAATGTTGAGGTGTGTTTTGTGTAATTCACTCTAAGGTTATGAGGTTCAATGTTCAGTGCAAGCACAAGGTTCATAATTACAATTCATGGGGGGGTGTTCGACCTATCCTCAGTATGGAGCTAGTCCGCATGTGGTCTAGCGTCATCGAACCTTTCGCCCCAGTGAGCATCCCCACACCATTGCCAGTAGGAAAAAAAGTCAACCCTGATTCCCCAATCGAATTGACCTCACGTTTATATATTTTTCGCTTCCGCCCGCACCCAAAACTACGTTACTCGGACAAACCCATTTGGTTGAGAATTCCACATTTTCTCGACCACCACCCGCACATCGGTCTCCGCCGTCACTGCATCCGGAATCGAAGAGTTTTTTCTCTTCGCATTTCACAACCGATCCGATATTCACGCCAAAGGCCTGATTCCTTTGGCCGTCGACTTTCCCCCGCGCGCCTCGGTGGTACATCGCTGCGCGCACTTCTCAAAAACCGCAATTATGGGTAAGCAGTCCTGCCCCTCCTCCCCTCCTCCCGACGGCACGGGGCACAACAACGCCCTGCAAAATGACGCCGGCCAGTCGCTGACATCTACTGACCTATCCCACAGCTCCCAAGAAGAAGGAGACCCAGACGCTGTCGCTGGGTGAATTCTTGAACAACGACTGTAAGTTTTCATTTCCCCTCCCCCCCCTCCATGCCAAGGTTGCCTCGGGCTGCCGTCAATTCCCACGGCCCTATGTGTGCCTGTCTATGTGCGCTTCATTCTAACCTACCTTGACAATAGCTTTCGGTGGTGGTTCTTGGGCCGACGAGGTTGAGGATACCTATGGTAAGTCGTAATTGCTCCCTGTGCATCTCTATTTTCTCCCGTCGCTAACCACTATGAAGCCTCAGGTATGCATCGCGAACTCCCAATCGAGTGCTTCCGTCTGGTAGCTTCCGAGCCAGCCGGCACTGACATTCACTAGGTACTCAGCCGCTCCCCCCCTCTGAGCGCCGCTACCCCACGAGCTCCTACGGTGGTGGTGGAGGTAACGACCGTGGTACGTCATTGCATCTTCGAATCTTCTCGGCGTTAAACTTTCAACTGACAATGGCCTGATTCACAGGCTACCACTCCATCCGTGACAACCTTCCCCAGACGCTCCCCGACAAACCCCCCTTCACCGCCCATCTTGGCAACCTCTCCTACGATGCCACCGTTGAGACTGTCACCGAATTCTTCGAAGACTGCAATGTCCTCAACGTCCGGATCATCGAGGACCGCGAGCAACAACGCCCGAAGGGCTTTGCCTATGCCGAATTCAATGATGTCGAGGGTCTCAAGACTGCCCTGACTCGTGATGGACAAAATTTCCAAGGCCGCACCATCCGCGTGAAGGTTGCCGATCCCCGTGAGTAGACTGCCCCGCGATTTCGTGCCCAGGCCCTTTACCTAAGCACTTGTAGACTGACCGGCTTTGAAGCGAGGGGCGGCTTTGACAGGTCCGAGGGTCTCCGTGACCTCGACTGGGGTGCTCGCAGGGGCCCTCTGGCGGACCTTCCCGGCCGCGAGAACAACCGCCGTGGTCCCGATTTTGGCGAACGCCGCCGCGAGTTTCAAAACAACGATGACGGCCGTGTCCGAGATTTCGGCAATTGGGAGAGGCGTGGACCCCTCTCGCCTTTGGCTCAGCCCGAGCGCCCCGAGTCCCGTGAGGGTTCTCGCTCCCGCGGTATGGAGACTCGGTCCGAGCCATTCCGCGGCAACCGTAGAGCTTCCCCCGCCTGGGGCCCTGGCGAAGGCCAGGAGGGTTCTCGTGCCCCCCGCCGTGAATTCGTTGAACGCCCCGAGCGCCCGGAGCGTGCCCCCACCGCAGCTGAGAAGGATTTCAACTGGCGCAACAACATGCGCCCCGATGCGTCTGGCAAGTCTGCCGAGCAGTCCCGCGAAGGCAGCGAGGCCCCCCCATCCCCGGCTCCGTCGGCTGCCATCCCTGCGAGCCGCCCAAGGCTGAACCTGGCTAAGCGTACCGTCTCCGAGGCGCCCGACGCCGCTTCTGCACCGACCCCGTCTGACTCCAAGGCGAGCCCGTTCGGCGCTGCTCGCCCCATCGACACTGCTGCCCGCGAGCGCGCTGTGGAAGAGAGGCGTCTTCGAGACAAGAAGGAGGCCGAGGAGAAGGCCAAGGAAGAGAAGCTGGCTAAGGAGGCTGCTGCTAAGGAAGCTGCCGAGAAGGCTGCTGAGCAGGCTGCTGCTGAGGAGGCGGCCAAGGCCAGCGGCGAAGCGGCTGCGGCTACAGCTGCGGAGGAGACCCCAGCTGTTACTGAGGAGGCTGCTGAGACTCCTGCCGAGCAGAAGCTCCCCGTCCGGACGCGCGAGCCCCGTGAGCCTCGTGAGCCTCGTGAGCCTCGTGAGCCCCGCGAGCCCCGGGATGCCCCCAAGTCTCGGGCCACCGAGAGCGGCAACTGGAGGTCCGCTTCAGGCGACCAGCGAGGCCCTTCCCGCGGCGGCGGCGTCCCCAGCGGACCTCGTCGTACCTCTGGCCGTGGTCCTCGCGACAATAACACCGGACGTCCTCCTCGCGCCAACGGTGGTGCCTCTGCTGCCCAGCAGCCCCAGTCGCCCACCACGGAGCAAGCGCCGCCGACCCCGAAAGTCGACGAGGACGGCTGGACCACCGTTGCGGCTCCCACCAAAGGCCGCCGTGGCCAGGGCCGCCCGATGGCTGCTTGAGCATTCTCAAAGCCGCCTTTTCTAGCCCTTGCCGCCCAACAGGAAGAACGGAACGCTGCGCCAGCAGAATTTTAGTCACGAGTGGGCGGCTAGCACCGGAGCTTTGGGCTCGCGGTCTTGTTGACAGCGCCCATCTCGTTTCCCTCTTCTGCGTCGCCTCGATCCGATAACTCGTCCCGGCTCCTCACCGCCACCTTTTTGGCTTGGATAGCCCGGTACCAGCGCCCAGGTTGTTCGACTCCAAACAACTTCCCCGTCGTCCTCTCGAGGCTTGGTAAAACTTGCCTCATTTCACTTCCCCGGTCTGCATTATCATCCTCAACTCATCTTGGACTCCAATCTCAGCACATCAACCACCCCTTCTTGGGTTGTCGGCCGTTTGTCAGTGGAAACACATGGCACGAGTCCCACCCACGTGAATTTTTCAGCAATTCCAAAAGAGTACGCATTCCTCACGATTTTTTGACCATGATTTTTATGGCTTCATGCATGGAGATGCAGTTACGGATTTCTCGATTCAACATGAAAAGGGGGGTTGGCATCTTCCAATTTTTCCGGGAGATGGCGTGGAGATTGGGAGGGAAAAGGTTTCGGCCATCGCAGCAGACCTCGTCTGTTTTCTGTGACTAGGTGAACTGAGGTCATTTTTTTCCAGAGTTGACAGAGATGAATGCAATTTTCGATCAGGTCATTATGGGTGGGCGGAGGGCACAAAAAAAGGGGCCGATCGACAAAACTCTCGGACGGCTTTTCACCCGGAGAATCCTGACGGCTTTCTCTTCCTTTCCTTCTTTCTTCTCTCTTCTTCCCTTTTGCTTTTATTTTATCTTTTTTTCCTTTGTCATATCAAAACAATCTTGCCTGCTGACCGGCTGCTCAGCTTTTCCTCACCACTCCAAACCCAGTGGCATGCGTGCATGATGACAGAAATGATGCGCTGTGAGTGAGTTACGCGTTTTATTAGACGACAACGAGATGCTTCACGAGCTGGGGTCAGGAAGGGACAGGAGTTGGCAGCTCCGTTCGGGTTCCTGGGCAAAACAGCACTTTTCTTTTTTGCGCAGTGTGTAACTTTTTTTTCTCTCTTCTGGGGGTTCTTTCTTCTTCTTCTTCTTCTTTTAGACGAGGGATATCAAAAGGAATAAGATGTATTTCAAGAACAGAGGATGCTGTGACATGCTAGCCGTGCTGTACTCTACTCGCGTTGTGCTTCGTAAACCCGGTGTTTCCCATTTGTGACAGTAATTTACAAGTAACTGCAAATCCACAAACACATGTTCCCACAAGAAACAACGTTACAACTAACACCATTTCCTACTCTAAATCTACCCAACTTTGACACCGCCCTTCCCTCTCTCTACCTCTTCAACGTCTTCTGCTTCTGCGCATCAGTCGCGACATTCCTCCCCTCCACCAACAACCCCTTCCGCCGCCTCACCCCGTCCATATACCGCTTTGCCACATTCTCCTTATCCCCAAACTCCCCCAGATCCTCCAAATCGTCCTCAGTAAACGGCACCCAGAAGGGGTCCTCGTCCAGGACCTCAAACCCGGCGAAGCGGAGCTGTGGTTGGGCGGCGCCGGAGGTGCGCTTGCGTAGGTCGTCGGCGAAACCGAAGGACTCGGCGACGGGGATTAGGGCCGTGATGGTGAAGAAGGGCGTGCCTTCGTTCATGGCTTCGGATTGGACGCGGCCCCGGCGGCGGGTGAGGACGTCGTAGACGCGGCCGAGGACTTCGGCTACGGGGGTTTTAGTAGGATGTTTCATTGATGAGGAAGTACAATGGGAGCAAGGGAGGGGAAAGAAACGTACTCGAAGCCTGAATCTCACACGAATACATCGCCAGCATCAGCCGCGGCGACCAGTCCAGTAGGGCCTTGTGAATCGACTGCTGAACCGTCTTGATCACCTCGCCCGTGAGCCGGCCAAGGTTGTCACGCGCCGATACTGTCTCCTCGTCACCACCACCACTGCTACCCTCGGCTGACGGAGCAGAAGACACCACAGACACGTCTTCGATGAATACCGCGATCCCCTGCACCGGCTCGTTGCACAGCGGGCCTTGGTGAGTGGCGAGCTGGAAGGCGTAGGTGATCTTGTCGGAGAAGTGGTTCGAGTTGAGGGATTCGTTGGCGGATGGGCGGGTTGTTGCGATGTTGTTATCGGGATGGTTAGAGCTGGAGTTAGAAAAGGCCTTGGGAAGGAACTGCCCTTTGGTCGCGTCGATGAGCAGGTTGGGCCCGGTTCGTCGTGGTCCAAAGGAGACAATACGGTCGACAATACCCTTCCAGGAGTCGAGACGGTCCTTTTCGCTGTCGAGTTGAGCTTGGAGCTGCTTAGAGAGCTCTTCAGGTGAAAGAGTTTTGCTTGCTGTGGGAAGCCCTTCCTCGTCTTCCACGTCCTCGTCCTCTTCCTCGTTAGTCTCGCCGTTCTCCACGGGGGTCTCTACCCCAGATGATGGACTGCCTTCGCTCTTCCCTTCTTCCCCGCCTTTACGGTCCGAATACAACCTCTTGATACCGCCAGCGTTACGAGACAAAAAGTCGGTTACATCCCGCGGCAAAGGCCGCACCCGTACGGTAATGTTAACCTGCTTCGAACTCGTCACGCCAACCACCACGCCACGGCCCAGCTCCTTGTTCACCGGCGGCCGCATCTCCTCCGCACGAGCAATGGTCTCCCGGTACGGCACGATGGGCGCACCACGCTGGATCTCGCAGCCCGCAAACCGCTCGCGCAAATCTGTCAGACAACGTTCCAGGTGCAACTCACCAGCCGTCAAGAGAACGTGCTCGCCGGTAGCAAACTGTTCGTACTCAGCACACGGATCGCTGTGGACGAGAAGGTGAAGACCCTTGATCATCTTGTCCAGATCCGCCGGGTTGACGGGCTCCAAGGCCACCCGCACGATCGGACGGCCTTGGAGGTTGGCGATACCCGCCAGGTTGATCGCCCCCTCAACTTGGCTGGATAACGTCCCGGACTTGAGAATCCCGCTGTCTTCGAGCCCGCGGACCCCAAACACCACGCCGGCAGGCACCGAGTCAAGGGCTTCCAGACTCCGGCCCATCATCATGTAAAGACCCGTCACTGTCACCTTTTTGGGGGGTGGGTCGGCAAGGGGATGGGCAGGTGAGAACTTAGGCGGGAGAACGTAAATCTCGTCACCAACGGATAATGTACCCGAGTAAATGCGCGCAAAGCCGATGAGATGCTCCGCTTCGATCTCCCTTTCATGTTCCGCCGGCACGTCCTGATCAATCGCTGCCCGAGAGAACGCAGATTCAAGGGCGTCCATATCGTTTGCCCCCTCAGACATCTGCCCCTGAGCGCGCGCTGCTTCGGCACGCTTCTTCCGGGCCAGCTCTCGCGCCTCTTCGCCGCTCATCGGTCCGCGGCGTTTGTTTTCCGGCAGCTCGCTCTCCTTAACTGATACCATCTTGCTGACGTAGGCAAGAACGGGATCTGATGGGCCCTTTTTGAAAGATACCACGGCATCCTTGACCCTGGCGTCGATATGGCTGGCTCCGGGAACCTCTTCGAGTAAAATTGGGAACCGCTCGGCCTGCGCGGTGCTTGGTGATGGGAGGGACTCGACGACAGAAACTAGGAGAGCGACGGATACGGGGAGCCAGGAGGCGAAGACCGTCGTAAGGAGTAGTTTCGGGTCGCGTGATCGGAGGACGTGTGGTGGGATGGTAACGTTGAGGAACTTGGTGATCTTCTCGAGAAGAGCACTGTCACCCTTCCCATCACCGTCGCCGACGGTGGCTTGGTAGACACTCCAGATTTGGTCCAGGACCAGCTGGACAAAAAGCGGTTTTAATGGGCGCCCTTTCAAGTGCTTCGGACCGAGCACCTTTTTGGTCTTGGGATCCAAGTAAAAGTTCCCCCATAGCACCTTTTCCAACAGGCTGCGCTTAATCCCCAGCTTTTTCTCGTACAACCCCGCGAACTGTCTCACAGTAAACGCCCACCCGTCAATAGCGCTGCCGAAAATGACGTTGTTCTTTTCTGGCGCAAAGTAGATTTCTTCATCGTCCTTCTCTTCGAACTGGACCTCCCCAGAATCCGTAATCTGGTCCGCAATCTTGGTTTCCTTGGCCGCAGACGCAGCGACCCGCGCTTCTATCCGTTCTCGCCAGTTAAGGTCCTCCTCCATGCGCTCGCCCTGGAAGAAGCTGCCTAGCACGGCGTTGACCTGTTCCAGCAGCTTGCTGAGATGAATGTATGCCTCGCCCGGCGTCATCTTCAGCTCCGTGATCAGACGGTCGATTTTGTTGATCACGAGCAGCGGTTTGAGCTTCTCCGTCCATGTCTGTCGCAAGACGGTAACGGTCTGGCTACAAACTCCCTCCACAGCGTCGACTAAGACTACCGCGCCGTCGCATAACCGGGACGCCGTAGATACCTCGCTGCTGAAATCGATGTGTCCGGGTGAATCTATAAGATTAATGAGGTACTCTTTTTGCTCAGGGCTAGCGTCCGGGGCTGGTCTCCGTAGCATGGAGAAGTAAAGAGATATGGCTGATGACTCCATGGTAATGCCTCTGAGTTGTTCGTCTGGCCGTGAGTCTAAGTACCGGATCTTGCCGGCTAATTTTGGTGAGATGATGCCGTTTGTGGCGAGGAGGGCATCGGTAAGAGAGGTTTTCCCATGGTCCTAACACATCTCGTGAGTTGCTCGACGTTTTCACTAGCTGGCTACGGCATGGTGTACTTACCACATGGGCCATGATGCAGATCTATAAACCATCGTTAGCGTAAACTCGAACATTGTGTTTCTCACCTTCTTGTTGCTCTCTATCATCCCGTGTTGTTTTTTTCCGTTTTTTTTTTTCTTTTTTCGAAGGAAAAAAAAACTAAACAAAAAACCTACATTTCGCACATCATCAGCGTTTTGCTGGAGCTTAGCCAGCTTCTCTGGGCTAACGACCGGCATTTTGCTAAATTGTCTTTAGGTAACTTAAAATAGGTATCTCGCCGGTTGCAGGAGTTTGAGGACGCCCTCGCGGGTTGATGTTATATATCTCGCTAAGGAGACCAGAGGCGAACAGCACTGTGATGGCGGGGCAATCAACGGCCTGACTAACACAAGGAGCTTTCCGCCAAGGAACCTTAGGGAAGTGGGATGTTTTGGCGGGGCAGTCGAGTACTTACAGCCGTTATAACGATATAAAGAGGGGCTTCTGATAACGGGCCAATCATCCTTCGCGGTTGTGGTGTAGCTCATCGCATGGAGGCGTCTGATTATCACTCAGTTAGAATGATTAATCTTTAATCATGAATGTTTTTTAAGTGTTGCCGCATTTGCCGTATTTCTCAACAGTAGCTTACATCCCATACTACTTCACTGAGGTAGTGGTATCTGAAGTCGACCGCTGGATTTTGATATGCAATAGTCGGGTTGTATCGCAGAACGCGGTTATCCGCCCACACCAAACCCTAAACCGGTGCATCAACATCGAAAATTCACCGCCTGGCCCGAGCCCCTCTACCACAAAATTTAGCCCCACCGAGTAAAGCATTTCTGGGTCTCTGCGACGTTCGATCTCGACCAACCTCACCGGCGACAACCACAACTCAACTAACCCACCGAATCGCTGCGTTCCCCCACCGGCCCGAGCGATCGCCCCAAAATGAGTTACCAGACCGGCCTGGCGCCCGCCCGTGCGCTGGACGACGACAGCGATGTCGAGGAGGAGGCTCTCGTTGCCGACTACAAGGAGCAGGTTCAGTATTCCGAGGGCGGCTTGGAGGAGCTCGACCAGGCCACGCTCGCCCAGCAGGCCGATGACCTCCAATCCCGCCTGGTCCAGGCGGCCCAGCCTCTCGACTTCCAGGCGACGCTCGAGACCAAGTTCCAGAGCTACGACAACTACTGCGGGTTGTTCCACTACATCCTCAACTCGGAGGGTCCTGTCGACCTTGAGCCACCATCGGTTAGTCTTGGCCCGGTTCCATGTCTTCGGTCATGTTTGAACATATTATCACCTTTGGGCGGTTGTTGACACGAAACATAGTACTACTGGGCGTGGGATGTGATCGACGAGTTCATCTACCAATTCAACACATTCTGCTCGTACCGGGCCCGCATTGCCAGGCAAGCCAACAACGAGGAGGAGGCCCAGGTCCTCCGCGATAACCCGAACACATGGGGCTGCTACAGTGTGCTCAACGTGCTGTACTCTCTGATTCAGAAGTCTCAGATCACCGAGCAGCTCACCGCAATGAGGCGGAACGAGGATCCTGCGGCCGTGGCCGGCCCCTACGGCTCGAAGAACCTGTACCGCATGTTGGGGTACTTCTCCATCATCGGTCTCCTCCGCATCCACTGCCTCCTCGGCGACTTCAGCCTCGCCCTCAAGACGCTCGACGACATTGAGCTTAACAAGAAGGCCATGTTCGCCCGCGTCATGGCCGCCCACTTCACCACGTACTACTACGTCGGGTTCTCGTACATGATGATGCGCCGCTACGCCGACGCCATCCGCATGTTCAGCCACATCCTGGTCTACGTCTCGCGCACCAAGAACTTCCAGAAGAACACGCAGTACGATTCCATCACCAAGAAGAACGACCAGATGCTCGCCTTGATCGCTATCTGCGTTGCCTTCCACCCCACCCGCCTGGACGACACCATCCACACTGCTCTGCGCGAGAAGTACGGCGACCAACTCCTCAAGCTGCAGCGCGGCGGGCCCGACTCACTCCCCGTCTTCGAGGAGCTCTTCCGCATCGCCTGCCCCAAGTTCATCTCCCCCGTCCCGCCTGACTTTGACCGCCCGGAGGTCAACGTCGACCCGATCGAGCACCACCTGTCGGTCTTCATGGAGGAGGTCAAGACTAACATGTGGAGCCCCACCGTCAAGTCGTACCTGCGCCTCTACACAACCATGGATCTCAAGAAACTCGCCGGGTTCCTGGATGTCCAGCCCGAGGAGCTCCGCTCCTGGCTGTTGGTCAACAAGCAGCGGACTAAGCAGCTGCGCTGGACCGATGCCGGCTTGTTGGAGGGCGAGCTTTCCAACACCAGCGACCTCGACTACGCTCTCCAAGGGGTGAGTAAACTTCTTTGTTTAACCCGTAATAATACCATCCGCGGTACTAACATCCACATTTTAGGACCTCATCCACATCTCAGAAGCCAAGATGGGTCGCAAGCTGGTCGACTGGTACCTGCGTAACCTGTCCCGCACCTACGCATAGTTGCGTCGAAACGGGTAGTACATCACGCAGAATGGGGCAGAACGTCAAGGTAGCGCAGCGCGGAATGCAGGGGAAGGAAATCAACAAGCGGGTGGAAAACAAGAACCCTGTTTCCCCGCCTGTTTTAGATTCTCCCTCGAGAAACGAGAAAAGAAGAAGGGAAAAACGCCACGATGTAATCTTTTTAAGGGGTGGAAGGGGGTCGCTTCACAGCGTATGGTCAAGGCAAAGTGGTCTGGGAAGGAAGGGCGGGGCTCCGCAGGTTCTCAGCGAGCGGGCATTGCATCTTAAGGGCGTCCGGGCGGACTCTATCGACGGGGATTTTTAGTGGCAATGATGTTCATGAAGATGGCAATAGTGGTGGTCAACGGGTTAGCCGATGAACGGGAAGTGAGTGGGAAGGGAATCTTAGGGAAACTAAGGAAATGGGAAAACGGACAGTGTCCAAATTTGTTCGACGGAATGACGGTCCTAACTAACAACGTCTTTTCTCTCTGTCTCTGTATATTCCACAAGGGGAATGGTAATAATCCCGAAGAAACCCGAAACAACCTTCAAGCAGAGGGGCCACGCACCCCATGTCCTGTAACAATGCGGACGGGTGCAGTTGAAGGATCGGAGCCGCGAAAGGTAGACATGGGTAGGGTGGTTGCCGGAGGCCCGAGTTCCCTGATTTAGAGGGATGGACCGTTCCTAAGTTGCAAATCAAGCAAAGACCTCAAAGGCCTCAATGAAGTGAAGCGGCCTTAGCTTCAAACATCATCTACTTATGCGCCGTCACCACCTACCCCTTTTGTCATCGGCAGGGAAGGAAGAAAACCTCTCCAGGTTCCTGCTCCATAGATCCCACACCCTCTCTCCCTGTTTTCACCGATTTAGTGTATGCCCCCCCAGGAATACGCCACCGGTTTAGAACCCGTTTACAACCCAGGGTCTTCAAGATCCTCTTCCCCTCCCGTCCATCCCGGGACGATCGCCCGCTCACGTGCGGTACTTCCCTGTTGTAACGGTACCAAGATCGGGACTTAGGTACATACCTACCTACTAGGGGGATACGGCACACGATCTCTTCCCCACTATCGTGAACGCAATCATGACTCACCTCGTTCTAGGTGGATGGATACGTGGAAGTGAGAGCTCCGGTGGAGGGGGAGTTTCGGACCCTTCAAAATGAAATGGGGAAAAGGGACTTGCCGGTGGTGCTACGGCGTCTAGTGGTTGTATCATAAGCGGTAAATGCACTCTCATGCAGGATGTGTTCTCGTCCATAGAAAATGTACGGCGAATGGTCCATCTTCAATGCGTGCCCTGTTTCTCCGTGGCGAAGGAGATGCGTGAGATTCGAGGGAGCGGTGGTAGTGGGGGGGGATATCCCCTTCGGTCTCACGCTCTCCAGCTTCCGAGGGGGTAAAGTTGCCCGAGGCATCTGCCGTGGCCGCCGATACACTGGAATGATGATGCGGTCCTGGCACCATCTACCCATCCGTGTGCACTTGCGTCGCCTTGCCGATCTGGAACGGGAAGCCCAGTTGCGGGGAGTCAGCCAATTGCCGCCGGAGATCAGACATCAAGGTGTAATGGGATAGTTGCAGGGGCTCTTCGACGAACGAGAAATGAGGCCAAAAATGGCAAAGACGGCAGGGAAATTTTGCGGGATGAGGGACCTGGTGAAGATCGTGGGAAGACAAGGGGAGAGGCAGGGGGTTATCGACGATACAAAATGCGAATCTGGCCTCGGATCAGGTCCCATCGCTCAGGGACCGGAGATCTAGGGCGGGGGTGTCGAAGGCCGAGCTGGGAAGGAGAGAAGGACCCGGTGTAGCACACCCGCGGGAACGTGGGCCATGATTGCGGATTATCGATTGCGGGTTTTCTGTGTGGTGATTTTTTGGTGTCAATCCGGGGACGGGGCTGATTCGTGCCCCGCAGTTTCGTTGACGTCGTACTGGAGATAAGGCAAGAGGGTTGCAGGCGGGAGAAAGACTCTCATCCTGCGGATGTTGTTTTATATTGGAGAGTCTCACCGGATGTGAATTGGCCACGTTGGTCGATGAGCCACTTAACTACCTTTTGTGGGGTGTGATATTTCATATGTTCGGCGCACATGTCGAGCTGGTCGTGTTCACCTGCAGGACTACCCATGTCAAGTAGTTAGTTGCTATATTGGTGAACATCCTACATTGAACCGGGGCGGTGAATGCAGCTGTCCGTTGAAATTTCTGCACTGCTGGAAATCTTTTTTTTGGGTATGTTGGTTGACCTGGTAGAAGTCGGCATGCCAATGGCTTGGCCTCTGGGCACCTCGTGCTTCGGTCCGGAATGGTTCTGGCCGAAGCCAGGGAGGCCTCCGACTTGAAACCGGCCAATAATTTCTAAAGAAAATGAGGGCGAAGACCAAATTCGTCACGGTCCCAGCCGCTCGGTGCTTGGCGGAGGGTGTTAACGGGTGATGAAGGCTGGTTGGATGCTTTTTTGTCGTTGGTGAATGCGGGGGTCGGCAGCATGGGACCGGCCGATCAAGTCAACCTGTCAGCATGTGTTCTGGCGGGCGGTGGGGAAAGGATCCCTGGGTTGTGGTGAGCCCGGCGATGCATGGTCTGATGCGGACTTATGCGAAGGGGTACAGAAACCCTGATGAATAAGAGGAACGGCAAGGTGGTTGCTTCGATAGAATACGCGGTGTCTTACAGACGTAGCTGTACCGTGCAAAATGCCGGCGGCCCAGGAGTCCTGAACCCCCGATAGTGCGAAGGAGAAGGAGGGGCTGGGCTAACGTTAACCTGGAGAGATCGCCTGGTTCGAGATCTTCGCCATCCTGCCGTCCAACCCCACGTTGTTCGTGGGTGGTTTGACTTGAGAATCAGTTTACAGAGTTACTCCGTAGTACAAGGTCGAAAAGTGGCTCTAGGTTGTCGCAGATTTGCCTGTTCCACAATAAATGGTCGCGGATCGCTGCAACCCGCCATGTTCTTTCCTTGCTTGGCAACTCGTGGACCTCCCGTAGCTCCGGGGGTAGTTACGACGGAGCTACGCCCGAGGGCCGCTGGTTCCTAGCCCTCGATTCACTTTCATACACTCTTTTATCGGCTCGTGGATCCTTCAATCGTATTATTTGAGACAATGCCGTCTTACCCACCATGTTGACCGCCTCGCAGGAGCTGCTTCTCTCCGACACTTTGTCGCTCGCGATGGGGTAACCTCTTTTCGCGTTGTCAAGGTGACCCCGCCAACAAGGGAGCTTGGCTTGCTTGGCCGGTTGGTGGGGCCGGCCGCTATGGAAGCCAAACCCTGTTCTTACCAAGCAGCGCGGCGTCGAGGCGAGCCGCCGCAGTATCCGGGAACCTCGACACCTAACGCGGGCCGTGTTGGGTTATAACTTACGGATGCCGTCTGATGCTGTGTTCAGGAGGCGACGTCAGAAGCTACATAGTAGAATGTGTGCTATGTACGCTGGTCGCACAGCTCGGTGGCTCCCCGGGGCGGTGGTCTGTGGTTAGTGGATGCCAAGGCGGTGCTGCTTTGAAGCTCCGTGTCTCACCGGACAGCAAAGCCCGAAGTGGCTGGCCAGAACGGACATTGAACGACCCAGATCTGGAACGGTGTGATGTGGGTGTTCTTTCAATAATTAACCTGCCATCGTTGGCCTCGGCCTCAGATATCACGATCGGCTCCTCGGATCGTTCATAGCGAGCATGGCGAACTATTGGTACGGTTTGACGTGTGCGGTGATCGTCGTGGGTGACTTAGTTCGCTGCCCAACGTCAGAAACACTAGTGTCAAATATTTGGGGAACTAGGAGGAGAAGAAAGATACTCAGCATGCGCAAGGTACCGGGGATGAATTAGTTGAGGCACCTTCCATGCGAGAGAACGTCCAGCCGCTTCTAAGAGAATGGAGTACGAAGTACCACGAACGGGACGGTAGGTGAGGCGGGAGGGATCCGGGGGGTTCAGGATGCGTCCCTGCGGCGTCATGGCCTAAATTGGCGGCTCATCCATTGCCGCAGCCGTGCTGCCGTTGGGCCTTTCTCGCGTCCAGTTGCAGGGTGTTGCAGGGGGTGAGCGTTGCATCCGCCCGCCGCCAAGATGGACGGCGAAAAAATATGCGAAGAGTGACACCCTGGAAGCTCGAGCCGCGATATCTGAGCGCATGACAGGTGCCTCAGGTGGCAGCCAAGCTTCACCTAGCTTCTTTATATTCCCCGGCTCCCGACCCATCTGGTCTTGTCCTTGTTGTTTTGCGAACTTGTGTTTTGTCTGACCTCTTGGCTTGTCACTCGTCCTCCGGATTATTAGCAAATTTTGAACGGCGAATCAACAAAAGGTGACAGAAGAAAAAAATAAAGCAAGAGAAAACGTGGATTATTTCGGCATTCCCGTCTCTCATTTCGGCCCCACAGGGAGCTCCTTCCAGCAACACATACCTCCTACCTAGTTCAACGCACTGCAGCATTTCATCGAACTCCCACTCAGGCTTTCTGGCCACGCAAGCAAACAGTGCATCATCAGCCTGCGCTAGGTCTTCGTTTGACTCAGCCCGGCAAAGTATTTCTGTACCTCTTCAAATCACCAGAACTTACTGTTCTGCCGAGTCCTACACACCCGCCGACAACCTGCGCGCCCGATAATAATAACCCCCCCCACCATCCGGCACTCATTTGCGAACCAACAACCCTTACTTTCCCGGTCCCCGACTCCCCTTGTCGAAAAGAGACCCCTACTGTGGAAAACCCGAACCCGCCCCTGCAGCAGTCGTTTTCATCACCGCGCACCGGTGCCTCTGGCGCCAGCTCCTCGCACGCTTCAAGGACGTGCGAGCTCCATGCAAGTTGTCGCAGGATAGCCTCTGCTGGCCTCATCCGTGAGGCCGTACGAGCACTGGCATAGTCTCGGCAACAACACGACCAAACTCTACACAACACCCCGCGCCCTGCGATGGCCAAGGTCTTCGAGCTCGTGGATCGAGTAACTCCATCCCGCTCAGACTCCGCCAAAAGCCTCGACTCAGACGTTTCGCCGGGCACGAAAGCTCATGCAGAAGTTGCTGAGTACTTCCTAAACAAGACCGGTCCCAATAACGACGGCCGGCGAAATGGCGGAGGGACGCGACCGTTTGCCTCGGTGTCAACCGATGCCAGTACTACTACGCTGACTTCCATCTCGGAAGAGGGCCGTGCCGACTTTTCGCGACAAACTTCCCACGACGGCAGCCGTGACTCTGGTGGTGGTCGAAAGTCCTCGACCGCGTCTGTTACCTTCCAGCCGCCAAGCCATCCCTCGCTGCCCCAGGGTAACCCCCGCAAAACAGACCAACGCCGCCTGCGAGCGTCGTCTCCTTCCCCTGTGAGGTAAGTGTTGAGAGTTTTGCTTCTTTACCTAGTTTCCCCGTCGTTGTTGGCCCCTTTTCGTGATATCACAGCCAGCGCGGTGTGATTCAACGCTCTTTCTCAGTGGACTGGGAGCTGAAGCCCTCGGCCCCGTCCACTGCGGGAAACGCGCCGACGGGGACACTTCCATCGCCGACATTTCTTTCCTTTCGTTGCCTGGGCCGCGCACAAAGTTTTGCCCGATGCCCAACGACTTGCTTGGCTAGTGCCTAGCAAACGCCGGCCACGAATTGTCGAGAGGAGAAAGCCAAGAGCCCCGCCTTGACCGAGAACGGACGCCCACGTACGTCGTCTCGGCTTCCCTCAAAAGGAGAAAGTTGTCAGTCGTTGCCCCCGAATGGTGTAAAAGAGCATGCAACGTCTCCCCGGCTTCCCCGCACCCGGTAGGCCCACATTCGGAAGAAGCTCCCAGCCCTATCTGCCGGCCAGAAGGGTCGAATGGAGGTCGAGAGCGGGACAACAAGTGGGACGGGAAGAGAACGAAGCAGTGTGCCACGCCTGTGGCCATGCATCGCAGCCGCCGACGCACGAGTTTTCGGGATGCTCACGCGAGTCGACTCCAAAGTCCATGCGCCGTTGTGCAGGCCGTACGCCGTGGGGGAGGCCAACCGAGGCAACTCGCCGACGATGGGAAAGCCAGAGGGAAAAAAAAATCAGAATGGCAACACCGGCCCCGCAACCCCCACCAATCCGGCTTGTTCTGGCCGGAACGATGTCATTCTCTCCCACCCAATTCCGTTAGCTAAGCCCCTGCGGCTTGTTGAAGGGTCCCCCCGATGCCCACATCTGCGTACCTTCCACTCGCTTGGACCCGTGGCTGTGCTGAGAGGGCGAGATCGCCATGACCCCGATGCCATGTGCGCAGACATCATCACATTTTGCCCCGCGTCATCGCTCTCCTGCTTGGCCTGCCAACTTGAGGTCCCTTCCCCGAAATCAACAAAAGCACGTTCCTCGCGGAATCTTTTGGGCAAGGCACAAACTTTGCGCGAAGTCATATTCGCATGACTTTATTTTCCTGATTTTTCATTTTCCAAAAACATCGCAACGCTGCTATCTCCGTCTGCGGTCCTGAAAGACTCAGAATTTTCCGCTTGGCGCAACAATGGCGACGCTAACCGTGAATCCACCCTCGCCTCACAGGTTCGAACAACATGTCGGATTTGACAATCTACCGGTCGGAGAAGCGACCAAGAACAATCCTTCGTCGTTTACCCTTCAAGCGAGGCACCAGGGCTACCACCCTTCGAGAAGGTCCCGGACGTTCATGATCGGCGTCGACGAGCACAATTACTCCCAATATGCGCTGGTCTGGCTTCTGAACAACATGGTGGACGATGGTGACGAGGTTATTTGCGTGAGGGTCTTGGAGAGCCCAGTCCGGCCAGATAAGAACTACCAAGACGATGCAAGGAAGCTTCTGGAAACCATCAAGTCCAAGAACGAATTGAACAAGGCGATCAGCGTGATCCTGGAGTACTCGGTTGGGAAGCTCCACGACACGTTCCAGCAATTGGTATGTCGCTCAACGACCGCGAACCGAACTTGAGAATGAAAGTTGGCTAACCGTTGACGATCCAGCTCGGGATTTACAATCCCTCCATGCTCATCGTCGGCACCAAGGGACGGACTCTGGGAGGGTTCCAGGGACTCATGAACGCGCGAAATTCGTTTTCCAAGTACTGTCTCCAGTACAGCCCCATCCCGGTGGTCGTGGTTCGGCCGGACGACAAGCGACTCAAGAAAAAGGAGAAGCGCTCGCAGGATCCCGGACGACAGAGCTACGCCGCCATGCTCGCATACAACTCGGGTCGCCACGAAGCCGACAGCGAGGCCAGCAGCGTTTATGAATTCGAGAAAGGGATATCGGCCGACGAAGAAGCCCACCGCGTCGCCGCTGCGATTGGACTGCCCGCGAGATTTGACCCGACCATCAAGCCATACCAACCCCGCGATAGTTCGCGGCGGAGGTCGTCGCCGTCTGGGCATTCAACCGGACGAACCACGTCCCTGTCTCCGCCTCCGATGCCGCTTGCCGCCGAAAGCGGGGAGGACGAGAGCGGTGATGAGGAGGACGAGTTCGAGGTTGAGGCTGTGTCCAACGGGAAGTTCGATGACGAGGATCGGGAGCAAACCGGGCTCGAAGAGAAAAAGCAGCGCCTTCACGCTATGGAAGTGGGTGAAGCGGCAGCGCTTCTCAAGTCAGGGAAGGCGGATTCGCTAGAGGACGAGGAAGAGGAGGACGATTCGCGGGAGAGGGGAACACAAGGGACACAAGAATCACAAGAGTCACAGGCGTCACAGGGTGCCGGGGCAGCAGAGGGGGCAAAGGGAGAGCCGTCTAGGTCGTAGGAGGATCTTGGGCTCGGTATTCTGGCTGCTCGGGAGTGAAGAAGCAGTTATCGCATTTTGAGTTTTGCCTGGTTTCCTGATTTCTGAAGTGGGGCGTTATTCACGGCGTTATAGGGGTGCAAGGAAGGAGGAGCACCAGATGCGATTTCGATCCCTCTAACGGCCAGAGCGCACCACATTTGCCGGTATTCTGGGAACGGCGCGATTTGTTCACTGCGGAAGAGGAGTTTAAGGCGGTCAGCTGGACACCAGCTCAGAACGGGGAGTAAACGGAACGGGACATTCATTGTGTATTTATACATGGGATGGGTGGTACTTTGCAGCGATGATTTTGTAAATTATACATGATACACCTCAGCCAAAAATTCACCCCTCCGGCATTTCCTTGTGCAGCAGGTGATATGGTCCGAGTCTAAAGTTGTTTCTGGCGGCTAAGGTGTGATGTGATTCCCAAGACTGCTGCTACTACCCCATGTATGCAGGCTGCTCGGATAACCGCTCGGGTAACCGATAAGGAAGGCCTTGGTCTGAAGTGATACATGGATTAATTCGACCACAGTCTCTGTCCTAGGATAATTACAGTCGCATCCGGATCTTACTCTACGATTAAACCATAGGGCGGCCGTTAGTTCCCACATGAAGCATCTCCAAGAAATTGATAGGCAGATCTGCTTAATTACCTCCTACCTTACCGAGCAGGTATGAAAAAAACCACCGGTGCAGTGCAGGTCAACCGGGAAAGAGATGCAGGATAGGACAGAATACACGAACGGTGGTCCACACAGAACCAGGCACCACCCTTCTGAGCTCAAGGGGCCCCTGTTAAAGTGCAGGGAGAATACAGTGGCCCAAGCTCGTATCCGGGGATTCTCCCCCCCTCTCCAGCCCGGTCCGATGCCGTCACTGCACCCTCACTGCAGTAAGGCCGTGGAAAGTTCGCCCGCAGCGGCACTTCCAGAGGCTTGTGGGCCTGCAGCTCCGTCTTCCGAGAAACAAAACGGGACTCGCTCGCGAACACCTCCCTCCACCAAAAAAGGGCTTGCCAGAACTCCAACTCGGTCCATCACATTCGCTATTAAACTCAGCCACACGCGTTACTTCCGGCCATGACCGGGGATTCCATTTTGAGAACTACACGTACCGTTTTTTAATGCCCATCGCATAATCATTCTACCCCACATGGAATAATCGCTCGCTTTTTGGGTCGTGTTTCGTTCGCGATCTTCGCAAACATTGGCCACGCCGTTCCTACAAGCCACCTCTTCGCCACTCGTATTACGCAAGGAATCGCCTTTTTTGACGACGCTACCTGTTTTTTCTCGGTTTATGAGCTGTGACGGATGTTGAACGAACTGTTACGACGATTGGAACAAGATCGATAACGCGACCGAGAGAAAATTAAACGAACCAAGTAACAGAGAAGGCGAAACAACGCACATGAAAACGGCTACAACACACATATACGCGCGAACATACACGCACGCACCCGCCCACGCCCACGCCCACACACCATGTTCATACACCCCGACGCCGACGATGCGTCGTCCTGCGGGCCATCCACGGCCTGCTCCCCAGACGCGTCCACCCTTCTCTCAACCACTCTCGCCCTCACACCAGTTCTCGCAACCTTTGCGCTCGCCTCCTCCCTCGCCCTAACCCGGCTCTTCCCTTACCTCTCCCGTCTCCAGCAGCAACAGCAACAATACCAGCAATCGCTCTCCCCTTCCTCTGCGAAACACGCCGCCAGCTTTGGCGTCGACAGCGGAGGGATCCCTCTAGATGACGGCCAGGAACACTTCCTGCCGACCTCGGCGCCCCCTTCGTTGCGCCAAGCCCATGCTGAGCAGGCCGCTCGCTCGCCACGACGGCGTCTTGCCGCGGTGGCATTTGCGACGACGCTTGGGCTGGCGGCTGTGCTTGCGGAGTTGATTTTGGCGGAGATTTTGGAGTTGCAGGGTGCTGTATTGGGCGCGCGGGCACGCGCTGTGGGGCTGCGGGTGACGGTGCCGACGTTGATGGGGATGCTGGTCGGGGTTGTGCCGTTTCTCGCGGCGCAGAGTGTGCTGGCGTCGTGGGGGTGGCGGTTTGGAAGGGATGCGAGGGGACGGTTGGCTTCGCGGGCTGCGTGGGGGATGTTGGGAGCGGTGTTTTTGGGGTGGTTGGGTGTGTTTTGGTTGATAGGGCGCGTGGTGACGGGGAAGATCGCCGGGGGAGGAGGTGCAGGCGAAGAGTTGTGGAAGTCTGTTGGGATGGCGAGGGCTGAGGGGTCCGGAGGCGGTCCTACGGGGTGGTTTGACGCGACGGCGATGACGCTTGGGAGGGGGAAGGTGGGTGGTTTTGGGGCGAAGGGATTTGGAGCGAGCGGGGAAGGGGGTTTGTCGAGGGCGTGCTTGGAGAGGGTGGGCGTGATCGGCATCTCGCTGATGGCGCTACTTTCAGGGTTTGCGAGTATTTCTAGTCCGTGGCATACTTTTGTTGATGACCGGATGTACCGCAAACGGCCGATCACAGACGCAGACATTGCGCGGAAGCAAGCTGGTCTGGACGCCACGAGCGAGCTGTTGATGACGAAGCGGCACCGGTTACGATCTCTACAACGAAAAGCGCAGGTGGTGTCTGAGGGAGTTGGGGGCGGTACAGCACACGGCATGCCAGCGCCCACAACAGGAAACGGGCTCATGGGCAAGGTCATCGGCTCCCTCAAGACCATGACCGGCGGTGGCGAAGCCGGCGAGCTGCGCGCTCTTCAATCCGAAATCTCGGCCCTTGAAGCCATGGAATCCAACCTCGCAGGTACCCTCTCGACGCTCAAATCCCGCCAAGCAGCCCACGCCCTCGATGGCACCCCCGTCGGCCGCTTACTCGCCATCCCGCGCTACATTTTCGCCACATACTGCGTCTACCGCATCCTAGCGACCTCTCTCACCACCCTCCACCGCATGTACTCTCCCTCGACCTCGTTCTCCTCCTCCGACCCGATCAACCGCTTCCTCGGTCTGCTCGCGAAACACTGGGACCCCAAACTCGACCAGATCGCCTGGGCGCGACAAATCTCTTTCCTCCTATCCGGTGTCATCCTCGCGGCCAGCGCGGGCTCGGTCCTCCAGACCTTCCGGATCTTCGCCAAGTGGGCGCCCGGGTTATTCCACCAAGCCCAGGCCAACCTGGCGCTGCTGGTCGGTCAGGTCACCGCGACGTATGTGATCAGCGCGGCGCTGCTGATGCGGAGTAACTTGCCGCGGGACGTGGGACGGACCGTGGGGGATGCGCTGGAGAGTGCGCTGGAACCTGGGTTTGTGGATCGTTGGTTTGAGGGGTGGTTTTTGTTGGCGAGTGTTGGGACGGCGGCGGGGATTTGGGTTGGGAGGAAGGTTAGTGGTGTTGGGAGTGGTGGGTATGGAGAGGACTGGGATGAGTTTGCGGGCGAGGAGATGGGACAGAAGAGGTCATGATATGTGATGCAGGCCGATGCTTGTGTTGGTTGGTGTTTTATTCTTGATCTTGCAAGCCAGTCTTGCGAGATGGAGTTGGGGCTTTGGGTTTTCTGGTGTGAAGGCCTTTTTGTACATAGCTTCTTTTCTTTGTCTTGGGGGTCATTTAGCGAGTCTATAATGTGAGATGTACATATAAATTATGATAACCATGAAGTCTCATCCATCCAGTCCACCGTCACTCATTCGCTGCTCATGACTTCTCAATTCTTTAGCCGGGAAGCCGGCGACCGTATTTCCAAAAGAGTCACTTTTCTACAAGCTAATCATCCCCTCCTGTATTTCTTGCTTCCTGCATCCCCGTTTCGGCTTTTGTGGTGTTGATCCTTCAAAGTAAACAAAACGCCTGGCTATCAAAACCGCTGACGCTGCCCACCAAGTGGGTTGGTGGGGTTGCTGCAAGCATCCCGCTGTGGGTCCCTGCTCACATCCCCAACCAATCAGCTGCTCACCAGGGGTTCATCCGGGGCACCTCTCAAACGCAAGCCCCGTTTCGTTTCGAACCACAACCGGCTTCTCCTGTCCAACCCTTTCTCCTGCTCCTGATTCTTTTTGTGAGTGCAAACTAGGCGACTGGGCGAGCAAGCAAGCACCGCAAGGCAACATGCAAACACACGATGGCCTCCCAAATCGCCCAAGGCTACCTGCCCGACTTTCCGCGCACCACCCACTTGTTTCGTGTCCTGCCTGACTGGGCGAGGTTGAAACGGACGGATATGCAAGGGCGGGGACTTGCACGTGTCAAGGAGGACTGTGGTGTCGAATCGTTTAGGCTTCCATTGGGGAGGAAGAACTTGCCACGATGCGAATGACTTTGGTGGCTCAAAAGGAGGGTAGTATTTGTCGAGTGCTCGGGTGCAGTGCTCCAGAAACGTCGGACGTCCAAAGGTTGGAGTTTTGAGAAGGGTTCCAATCCTTTTTGGTAGATGGTCTAGCCCTTGCTTCCCCTCAGAGCGCTTGCCACGGATATCTTGACGATAGCTGCTCCTTCCCCCCAAACTTCCTTTTTTTCCGAGGGATTCTTACGGGGCTCTCCTCGGTTTCTCCTTCCTTCTTCTTTTGTTTGCTATTGTTGTCTGTGAAAAAAAGAAGATTTTGAAGCCGTGCTTCCTCAACTTGCCGTGCGTGCCGACTGTGAGCGCAATTGGTCGTTTTCCAGTTCAACCACCACACCACTCACACAGCTATCTCGCGTTGCACCCGCCACGATTCGCCACTGACCAACCTCTCCGAGCTGACCTACCCTTGGTTGCCTGAACATATTTCCCCTCTTTGCACGACCGAGGGGTTGTAATAATACAGACAAGGCTGGCCTTTTCGACCCTCTCAGTTTTTTTTTCGCCAAAAACGACGTCTTTTTCGATACAACTCCAAGGTTCAAACCACGGCATAATTCAAGGCCCGTTGAGGTCACCCTAAATCTCCCGCCACGTCTAGACCCTCTTCGATCAGCATACCCAAGCCCTTGGACCAGGCGTATTTCAGCCGCATTGACTACCCTAGCGTTCGCGTGGAAAGCGACCTTGGTTACCCGACCGATCGGATCGTCCACGACTATAGGTGTCTGACACAGATCGCGTTTCGGGTAGTCACACGACGACGGCATCGGTCTCCACCTGCGCAACGAGGACGCGTTACGAGAGGGAGAGAGATAGGGGGTGACTCGTGGTTCGACCATCTGTTCATCCGAAAGCGTGTGTAGAGGTGTACCGTCAACCTCCAACTCCTTCGGCTGCTACCTACAACTGCCACACCTCTTCTCTTCCTTAAACGCCAGCCTGTGAGGTGTGACGTCAGTTCATGATGGCCTTTCACGACGAGGGGCTGTTCACAAGATGGATTTGGGTCATCCTCATGATGGCCTCAACAACCTCGGCCATCGCGCTCTCCACGTTCGAACAGATATCCGCCTCCACCATCTCACTCGGCTGCATCCTCGCCTACAACTCCGATATTCCCGGCTGCACGGTAAACGACTTTGGGAGAGGGGGTGCCTGCTCAGCGACGTGTGTGCGGGGGATTGAAAGGGTGGAGAGATCTCTCGAAGGGGTCTGCGACGAGGCCACTGTGTCGGAGCTCTCTATTTTGGGGCAGGCGCTGGCGGGCAATTTGGTGGCGGTGCTCTGCCCAGGTAACTCATCTCCAACAGCAGACCCAAGCACGAGCCCAACAGAAGAACCTACCTCCACCAAAAGTACTGTCACCACATCGCCGCTCTTCCCAGGTGTCCCGCCACCGCTCACATTTACTACAGTTAGCCCAACCTCGACGACCACCACGAGACGACCGTCCTCGACGAGTGAAGGTGACGAATTAAAAACGTCTACGTCGTTTTCTACCTCCAGCTCGAGGAGAGCTTCGTCTACGACGACCGTCAAGACACCACGTCCAACCTTTATTCAGTCATCGTCGTCTTCGACGAGCTCATCAACATCCACCTCGACCGGTCCATCGGATCCCCCCGAGGAGACTAAAGGAGGTGGAAGATCAGGGGGCGGGAGCCCTTTTGATACGGTGACCAGCGGTGCAAAGCAGCGTATAGGACATCTGGCTGTGTCGGTGGCTATCTCATTAGGGTTGGGTTTGTTGCTTTTTCAATGACCAAGGAATGTGTATTTTGGTTGTAAGGAGTATTTAAAGGGAGTTATTGGTGGGACATGGGACTGCGGTATTGGATTGGCTTGGACGGACCGCTGATTTTGGCTTTTACGGTGGGTGGCAAGTCTAATTGGAGGTTCACTTCCTAAGTTCTCTGGCAAGAGACGGGCTTTTTTGTCAGGTTATAAATGGCGAGGCGTTGATGGTATTCGACGAGGTCAGGTCGTGGTACTGCCACTGTTTTGACTTAAAACAGATCACAATCTTGAGTTGGGAACGTGACGGCCTATCGAGGGCCAGGTCCCGTCACTTTTAAAGGGTTCAGCTTTATAGTGACCCAGAAATAAAACAATGTCAAATACCATGTCTTCAGCGAAGTCGGAAGGTTCACAGCAACGGGTGTAAACCATTATCCTAAATTCCTACACGGTCTTGCGGTGTCTCATAAAACCCATCAACACCAAATAATACCCGTTTGTCGATGAGACTAGCGAATCCATGAATCATTAGGATTCTTCTTCATGATGTTATATAGTATTATCGTTTGCCAGGATATCTCTGTATCTCGACAGGTGGTCCCAGTCAGCCATATGACAACCACACTGCCGGTGCTCTCAGGGTGGGAAATATAAAAAAACAAAAAAAGAAAAACACAAAAAGCTCACTGCCCACTTCCTCCGGTGAGGTTGTAGACAGCTACGAAAACCCAGAAGGGTTTTGCTGTACTGCCCCGTCCGTGAGTCGAACTCACGGAGCGGAGAAAGCAGGCACCACCGAGTAATGCCCGCGCGCCCCCAAATGCACCATCCGCGGTCCGGGCAGGCATTTGCCGGATGGAGGGGCCGTTGGGAATTGGTTGCGGAAGGGTGGGTTATAAGGGGCTGTCTGGGGAGGAGGGACGGAAGGTGCGTCAATAGTGTTTTTTAGGTACTGAAACATCCCGCTGGACCTTGCGGCGCAACATGCTGCTTATAGGACCATAAGGCGTCTCAACCCGGCCAACAACCTCAAATCTAAACTTGGAATACAACCTAACGCCAGCAGGTGACGACAAGACATTGCCATACCGGCCGTGACGATCGATGTCTTCGCAGATGTGGTGCATAAGTGCCGAACCGAGACCGAGGCGTTGGTAATCTGGGCGGATGGATAAGAGCGTTATTCCTGCGGGAGTGTGTCAGTATGTGTACGTATGTTTCTGTTAGCCTCGGGAGTTTTGCACGAAGGGTTGAGACGACTAGGGTGATTATATGGGGAGGATTACGGAGGGTAGATAACATACGGCACACATCCTCAAGACGCCCAACAACCCTCTCCCGCTCGTTCCGCAAAGCTGCCGACACCTCCAGCCATGCTGGTACGTCCAGTGCCTCAGGGACCCAGCCGTCATCCTCAGACCTCGATTTGGACCTCGATTTGGAGGTTGTTACCCTTGCCTTCAGTTCGTCGTTCCCGCCGACCTTGACAACATCGGCCATAATCTCAGGTTCAATATCGGTATCCCGACATCGTTCCGCCGTCCACCCGGCTAACCCAACCACACATGATCCGTCACCGCCACCGTCACCATCACCATCACCATCACCATCACCATCACCATCACCGTCGCCGCCATGCCGACATATTCTTATCTTCCGAAGATACGCCTGTCCACTACCTCCTCTTCCGCGTACAACAGCATCTCTAATCCCCTCCGCATACCACTGTACAGTCTCAGAATTCTTCCGTTGCGCTTCCAAATCGGTACCTAGATGAGTGGGAGCACGGGAAAGGGGAAACATCACACGGAAGAGAGGACCAGTTTCAGAGGCGGGGACGTCGCGGTCTGTGCGAGGTAGTGTGCGTCTTCTAATGAGACCGGTTCGATGGTGAATTGTGTGCGATTTCCAGCGACGATTGGGGAGGGGGAGTTGAGGGAGGTGTGGCCATGGCTGTTTTTGGGAGATTTGTGTTAAGGTGATGGATGTGTGGTCGTTGAGTTGGGATGAGTGTGGTGTTGGTGGAGGACGGCAAACACATTTCAGACCCGCAGTGCTGTTAAGTACACTCAATCTGTGATTGTCGCTGCACCCGAGTTATAGAGACTTTCAATGGGAAAGAAACAACAAGCTTTGAATTATGTAGAAACCATCGAAGAGCGAAAGCGTTAAAGTGCTCATATGGAGTATCGCGCGGTGCTTTCTAGCCAAAGCCAAAGGTAGAATAAATCGAGTACGAGAAGAAAAAAGAAAAGAAAGCCCAGAAAGGAGTGAACCCCAGGATACACCACATATCAACACTTTCCACGACGTTTCGAACATCGTCACGATCCCACCTTAGGCTGTAGAGGCCCAGAGATCCCGCATTTGAATCACACCAGGAATACTCGCCAACAACCCAACCGTCATATCACTCACAAGCCCCTTCTCGCTGCCCCAATGCACCGTCAGCGGCGCCCACGCAAGCTGGCGTGCCGTCTTCTTCGTCCACTCAGTCTTTTCCGCCGCCGACTTTGTCGCAAAGCCGCTGTGGCTGCTGCTGTCGAACCGCTCGGCGAAGAGCCGGCCGATCTCGATGCCGACATAGGCAGCCCAGAAGCGGGCGCTCCACTTGTACGCTTGGCCCTGCTGTGCCGGCGTCCACGAAAGGATGCCGCGGCCGGAGAGGTAGGCGCCGTTCTCGAGGGACTGGAAGGTGATGCACAGAGCGAGGCGGAGGTACTCGACGGCCGTCTCGAGCTTAGTAGGCCCGACCGACCCGTTTGTCGTTGCCTTCTCATTCGCGTTGGCCGGTTTGGAGGAAAACGTCTGCCGCACCAACTTCCGCGCCCAAAAGTACATCCCCAACAGCGCCCACAACCGCAAGATCATCCGCGCCTCACTCAACAGCCCCGACAACGCCCCCAATTTCTTCGACAGCGCCAGCGCGCGGGCCGCCGTGCCCGCCGCACCCGCACCTACGCCCGCAGCCGCCGCCTTGGGAGACGCCGCCGCCGACGCAAACAACACCGTGGTGCCCCGCGGCAGGGTGCTCACCAGGGCAATCCACTCCCGCGCCGACCGCTGCAGGGCCGACCGCGACAGCGCAGCCAGCGCGGCTGAGCCGAACTTGGAGGTGTAGCAGAGGAACAGCATGACGGTGTCGATGCCCGCCGGCGTGGACAGGCATTTCTCGAGGCGGGTTAGGAAGGAGTCGGCGTTGGAGGGGAGGGCGGCCAGGAGCGCGCCGAGGGGCAGGGGCTTGCGCTTGGGTGCGTTCGCGGGCGCCGCGGAGGAGGGGATGGGGTCGCCTGAGGGGAGGTCGGCGATTGGGGCCGGGGCCGTCACGGAGGTGTCGGGGGCGGATGCGTCGGCCATTGTGGTGGTGTTTTCGTGTTCTTCTGTGTCGTTGTTTTAGTCGGGTTTTGAGGTCGTCGGGAATCGGCGGCGTCCAAGTGTCGTCGTCTAGGTTTGAGATCCGGTGGTAAAGATGTTGATTGGAGATGAATGCACAGGCGGGTACTGGCGGAAAGTCCAAAGATCTTGAACAAGATGCGGCGGAAACGTTGAGCCGGCTCGTACGTCGCGCAGGGGGATTGGTGGAATCGCAGCGGGGGAAAGAAGCCCCTGTTTTGTCTCGACGAGCTATGTAAGCTTGGCTCTCCGAGGTGCTGCTGTGTTGTCGTGCTCTCTGTGGCTGACCCAATTCACCAGCTGTGGTTTCTGGACCTGAAACTCGGAGAAACGAAAACACCAACGGAATCAGGAAAAGTTGTTGCTGGAAGTAAAAAAGGTGTCGTTCGCACTTGCAATGCGTAAATCTTGAAGGCGAGCGGAGCCTTCCCCAGGAGACGCCAGATGCCGAGTGGGGTTGCTGGGTTACAGGGGTCCAGGATCCACCTTCGTGCCTCGGTTCGCGGGGCGGCAAGGCGCAGCCGTCGCGGCCGGGAGTGGAGTCCCACATGTTGTGCCTGGTGATCTTCAACATTGCGAGGAAGGAACTCGAAAGGAAAGATATGGGGAGAAATGATATATTTATCAAGGGAATAAAAAAAGAGATGCGAGGAAATATGATGAGAAATAGTTCGGGCGCGGGCCTCGCTTGTTTAGGGAGCAATTGGTCATCAAGGTCAGGCGACAATTTTGTGTGGCTGCTTCATGTTTTCAGAAATCAGGGGCTTTTCTCAGGGGTCTTCGGTAATAACATTCGTTACCCACAAGCGACAAGGACATGAACAACGGTGACTGCTCGAAATTTAATGATATATATGCGTTGCTAGTACTATTTAGGGGGTATATCCAGGTGCATTCGTACAGTTCCGTTTTGAGGGAAATGGGGGCCCACGGACAACATGACTGCGTCCTATGTTTGTGTGCATAGTAGTCTGAATACGACGAGGCTATTAGAAAACTAGCCAAGGCACCGACTGGAAAGGAAGATATCCAAGCTAACCGTGGTGATTACAAGGCCGCCCGTTTAATCTTTACAGCTCCAGTACAGTGTATCGACCGTCTTACTTAAACCATTCCACATAGACCAAGTCAAATTCACCGCCTCGCCCTAGGCACAGGCACAACCACAACCCCCTGCCTCCCCGCCGAGCCCGCGCTATCCCACACGCTCTGGCTCACGCGCGCCGGGATCTTGCGCCCGCGCAGACGCTGGTCAATCAGCCACAAGCCGACGACAAATTCGTCCTTAGCCAGCGCCCCGCGTCCGCCACGGTCGACCAGATCCCAGACCTCGGCCAACTCGTCGGCCGGGAGGCGGCTGCGCGCCCAGATATCGCGGGCGACGATGTTGAGGACTAGGTCCGCTGCTGCTTCTGCTGCTTCCCTTGCGTCTTCAGCGGCGGACTGACTGACTTGAACCCCCCAGCCTTCGCCCAGAAACATGCCCCGGTTACTCGCCCACACAGCCTCATACCGTCTACGCTCTCGTATGGTAATCTCTTCACGCCAGCGCCTCCGCGACCCTTCATGGTGCGCATGTTTCTTGTTCCCACTGCCCAGGAGCACCTTACTTCGCCGGCGATGATGATGCTGCTGTTTTCGGCGCGCATCCTCGTCGTCGGATAGCGAAGTGGAGTGGGGGCTGCGCAGCGTGTGGAGCATGCCCGTTTTTTGTTGGGACTGCGGCGTCCGGCTGCCGCCGTTTGTGCCGCCCGTAAGCTGAGAGCGGATGCTGTCCGCGGTGTGGTGGGGCTGGAGAGGGCTTCGGCCGGAGCGGCGGGGGGCGGGTACGGGAGGTGGTTGAGAGGGTGTTGCTGGGGTGAGGCGGGCTGAGGCGAGGTTGCTGGCCACCATGGCGTCGGTGAGGGTTTGAAGGTTGAGGTTGGGCGTGAGTTCGGCCGGTGCGGGGGTCGTGATCATGGATCGGGAGGAAGGGCTGCGGGCTGGCGGGGCCGGCCGTTGTGGTGTCCTGTTAATTTGCCTTGGTGGCGGTGATGGGGCCCGTGATGGGATGGAAGAGGCTGATACAAACGTCTCGTTGGAGGATGTTGAGCTGTGGGATGCCTGTCTAGTTTTCGGGTTCCCGGCCAAGCTGAAAGGGGCACCTTCTTGACTCCCATTCTGCTCAGCAGTTATGGGTGGTACAGCAGGCCCAACCGGTTTGATAACCTTGACTACCCTTGATGGGGGCGGGGTCGGACCGGGACGTGATATCTTTACAGACTCTGGTCGAGGGGAGATAGGACGCTGGGTATTCTCAACACCAGCGGGTGTCCGTGGTGGATGCTTTTCCGTATCGACCTGCTGCTCTAGCTTCGGCTTTGGCTTCGGCTTCGGTTTTGGCTTTGGTGCCTGCTCGACCGCCTTCTTCTGCAGCTCCTGCGGTGCCACACTCACCCCCGATTGCACATCCGAGTCCGGAGATCTCCTGCGCGACGGTGCCCTCTTCTTAACAGGATCAACCTCGTCGTCGTGCCTCTTCTGCTCAAACAGCGATACCAAAGACGTCGTCGGCAGGATCGAGGCCGTGTCAAGGACTTCCGCCTCAGACTGCTTCTTCTTCAGCCCCAGCCCCACAGAACTCGCCGCGACGCTCGCAGCGTCCACACTCTGTCCCCTGCTCTGGATAGCCACTCCACTGCTCAGATCCAGTTGCGGTATCTGACCCCTCGCGGGCGAGCCAGACCGGCTCGCGGCTAAGGTAGCGGCGATCATCGAGGGCGATGTCAACGGGGTTTGTCTCCCGCCATCCGTACCTGACCTACCAGCTGGAGGGGTGAGCAGCGTATCATTTATCCGGCCAGCGCTCGCAGGATGCAGCTCCTTCGGCCTCTGTGCAACCTGACCATTCTGAAAATAACCACCACCATCTCCAGCGGCCAACCCATTCTCCTGATCATACCCACCAGAACCACCAGCAGCATAACTACCGCCCGTTGAGTGCTGAGCCACGCTTCCCACACGCCCAGGCGTCCCCGTGCCCTTCAACGATCGCGATGAAACCACATGATCCCTGGCAGCCTGGGTAGCCGCCATCAACGCGCCATTCCCCTTCCCCAGCCCGCTCTTCGACCCTGTATTCGTTATCCCTAACCCTGGCCTAGGCCCCAAAACCGGAGAAGAGGTCGCACTCTCCCTCAACGGTGACGGGCCACGCGATACAACATTCCCGCCTCCGCCGCCTCCTCCTCCTCTAGCCCCGGGTATCCCTGTCGCAGCCGCAGCCGCAGCCGCAGCCGCATCCACCGCGGCCTGCTTTTGCTTGTTAAACGCGAGTGTAGCGCCCTGGAGAGCGGCGGATACCGCTGGGCTGGGGGACGCGGTAGATGGGGTTTGGTGGATGGAGGCTCGCGGTTTGGGAGAGGGTGATGGTGGTTGCGCGCGGTTGTGATGCGAAGTGCTCTTCGTGGGTGATGGTGGACGCTGCATGGAGGGACTTTGGATGCTATGAGGCCGGGTCGGTCGGACGGAAGGACGGTGGGACGGTGGGGAGATGCGTCTGTCGAGGTGTTGTTGTAGGTGTCTAGGGACCGGCGCGGTTTAGGAGGGTTGTGAGGTATATCGGTGAGGTAGGTATCGGGATTCGAGTTGGGATGTCCGAGAAGGGGCTGGGAACAAGCTCCGAAGTTATCAAGGAAGTGTAAATCGAAGGAAGAACAATGCGGTGAGGAAAAGACTCGAAGGGTCAATGAAAGACCGGGGGATGATCTATGCCGGCATGGTGTAGAAGTAGAGGGAAGGTTGGAATGCCAAACGAAGAAAAAAAGAATCTCCTTTGTTTGAGGTTTGACGTGATGCGAGGCCGCCGGGGTTGCGGATGCATGCCATTTTTTGAATGAACTCGGCCTCGCGTAAAATGGCGTTCCCACGCGTTGGAAGCTCTCCTACTTGTCCGTCAGGGTCCCACCAATACAGGGGTTGCCAGGTCAAACAGCGCTGCGGGCCGTCGGATCACCTGCAGGGTCCCCTGTTTGCAAGGCGACAACCCTGACAGCTGAGCTCAAGTGCTGAACTCAGGTCGCAGCTTCCAAGACAGACGCATTCACATACAAACAGAAGTGGTGTTGGTACCAAAGATATATTTTCCAGGAGATGGAAAGGTTGATGGCAATGATATCGACTGGGGAAGAAAAAGAGGGTCAGGAATTTGTATATTCAAGTTGAAATTCATCAATCAACAGATAAACTTTAAAGAAGCATCGTCGAAAAAAAGGGGCAGTCAAAAAAGTAAGAAACACCAAAATAGCAAAAGCTTACCACCCAGGCCTACTGTTATACCCGGCCAGTAGAGGTAAATCTGATGGTTACGGAAAGTCACAGAGCCTTAAGTATGTCAGCCGGGGACTTTTGCTTCGCGTTCGGTTCGAACCCATGCCCTCTTCCCTCGGTCGTGCAATGAGGGCGGGTGCCTGCTAACTTTTCGACGCTCAAGACTTAACCCCGGTAGGGAATTAAATGATGCGACGCCTGAGCCAAACTCACCACCGGGTGTGGTCGGTTTGTAGCCCCATTGGCAGGCGGGTTGGAAACTGGGTCGTTGGACCTAATATATATAGTGCTGGAGGGAGGGAAGGAAGGAGGTGGATTTTGGGGGGACGATTGTGGCCTGAGGTACTGCTGTGCTGGTCGTCGGCAACATTGGATGGAAGTTGTTGACGACGGCCAGTTGGCACCCTATGGAGGGGTACTTCTCTAATTGGACTCCTCTCTCGGTAACAGAGCTCCTGAGACAGAGAGGTTAGCTACTGTGGTGTTGACGATGGAAAGCGGAATGCCTTCTACGACGTGTTAACTCAAGAGGACGGTAGATTTAAGGAACGGGAGCAACGTACCTAGGCGTGACATTTTCCCTCGTGGGTCCGATCTATTGCCCAGCAGTTCTTAGTGACTGTCAGTGTTAAGACTGATGTTACGGGAGTGAGCTTAACTGACCGCTATGTAATATCCTTAATACAGGGACCGGGGACCGTGGTTCGAACCTTCCAATCAAACCAGGAGTTGCGCATATAAAACGGACTGTCACAACCGCGACAATTGAACGACTTAGCCTGGATCTCCAGTTACGTGGGCACGAGAACTTGAGGGTGAAACTTTCCGGTAACTTTCTACCCGACTTCAACATGATTGTGTAACATGTGTTCCAGCTCTCGTACAAAACAGTCGGGTGTCGAACCCTAGGTAGAATTTGGTAAAGGGGAAACGAGAAAGGAAGCAAAATGATATCGTCATCTCTGGAGCAATCTCGAATTACGGGTGTAAATTAAGAGTTCAATGGGCTGCCCGGGCTTCATCCTGGTCCAACGTTGAGGCATGTGGGTTAGATAGGTAGGTAACTTCAACTTGATGAACCGAATCGTTAGGAAACGATAGTATGTAGTCTGTCAAAGGGAGATTGGACCATGGAATGCACCTAAGTTTAGTTCTGGCATGTATGTGGAGAGACATGTGCCATAGCTTTTTGTAGCGTTCTCAATTTTCATCGTTCCACCGAACATTTACTAGACTTATTCACCAGATCACGCTCACAGAAACGGTCAGGTCCACTCATACCATGGCTTACAAACAAACATCACGAGAACGGGCTAATAAATCAGTCAACAAGCGAACTCATATAAACTCAAATCAACCCGGTATAAAACGCCAAAACCATTGCACATGCCCCTCGCCTCCTCCACTCAGTTCCATCTCCCCACATCTCCCCTCTCACTCCCGCCTCATGCCCTCTCAACTACCCACGGGCAACACCCACTCCCCCAAACTAGATACACAAGAAGATACATGCGGGTTGTACGGGAAGAAATCTCACCATCCACCTCAAACGTAGCAGAGTCGACACATAAAAAAGAGCAGCAAAGAAAAGCCCCTCCCGAAGGGAGCACTGGCTATTTTTTGATCGCCCGCGCCAGCCAGCCAGCCGGTTGGCCGTACAGGAAAACGAAACGGGAAAGAGGGTAAGAAAACAATCCGCGATTAGGAAAGAAAAGAAAAAAAAACCGTAGAAAAGAAACAGCGTCAGAGTAAAATTGCGTGGTACGCCACAGAACATAGGAGGGAGATGGTCCCCCATGGTCCCCATGCGAAGCGATGAGGTACCATGGTGGAGAATATTGAGGTCCACACTGATGTAATGAAGAGCGTAGCAAAGCCAATGCCTCACTTCGCCTCGATCCTCCCAAGAACTCCCCCTTTGTCCCTGGTCCCAGCCTACCAATGCACCGTTAAACCAATGCTGGAGACGACCCTCGCCCAAGCAAACATAAAGGAATCGCGCAAGGCTAGATCAACGCAATATGACTACTGCTGCTTCCTGGATAAAGATCAGGATTAGAGCAAGACATGTTCGTCGTTAAGTTGGCGCCGTAAACTCATCAAGCCATCATTCAGAAAAGCACAACCCCTCTCTCCTAAGTGGATTGGTTGGTGAAGAAAACCTAGTCTGGGGAGAGAGGAGTGTGTAGCTGAGGATTAATTAGTATCCGTCCTCGTCCGTCCACTCGCTCCCCGACACGATCCGGTTTCCTTCGTGTTCCATCAACATCGGCTTCGCGTTTGCAGGCGGCATACCGCGATGGTGTTTGAGTTGACTTTGCGGCCGCACGATGTTGTTTCCGTTGAGCCCGTTGGTACTCCGAGCAGCGCGTAGTTTGGCAAAGTAGTCTTCGGAGAGGTCCTCCTCAGGCTCCGAGACGTCGTCATACGTCTCCCAGTTTTCTGAGCCGGTGATTACCGTCCCGTTACTAGAGCTGCTGGACGAGGCGTGTGAAATCTGCCGTACGGCGGGTGGTGCTTGAGGATAGGATGCTTGTTGCATGGACCGTGACGCAAAGTAGTCCCGTGACGCGGGTCGGCTGGGTTCTTGATACGAGTAGCGTTCTTCGTAGACGTCCTCAGGCTCGACATTCCGGATAACGCTCGAGCTGAGACCGGCCGACCGATAGTTGTTTGTTGGTGTCTCAAGCTCGGGTGCTGGTAGGAGCTCTCGCATCTTCGGTGGGGGTGCTCTTAATACCGGGTTTACTTGACGGGTTGTGCTCTCTGCAGCTCTCGACTGAGGGCGCTCAGGGGAATTGCCCCCATGCTTGAGATTGGAAAGGGGCATCCGCGCAGGGGGGCGAGTCGGGCTACCTTTGCCGCTAGCTGGGAACCCTCTGAGCGTACCTCCCTGTGATGGTTGTGTTGCAGCTGCCTTGTTCGGGTTCGTACCCGTCGGTGTCTTCGCAGAGCTCCTCGGTGGCCCCCTAATGCTGCCACCCACACTCTTGGCGCGGCTTAGGCCAGGGTTATTGTTCGACGGGGTGGGAGTCGGACCGGGTGTCCTGGACCGAGGACCGGGCCCCGGTTTAGAGTCCTCCGTCTCGAGAGTGTCAAGATAGCGCTCTCCCTGAACCAGAAAAGGGCGGCCGTACTCGTCCTCCCAGGTTTCTAACGCCTTCCGCAACTCAGCCGCCACCTTGGGAAGCTCCTTAGCGATGCGCTTCCTCATCTTCTCCTCGCGGAGCAGCTTGCCGGGGTCGCGTCTCTCGCCCTTTTGGCCGCGCATCATCAGTCGCGAGGCATCCTGGCTTGAAGCAGCCAGCTCATTGCGCTCGCTGACAAGAGACTTGTGTCTGTCGAGAAGAGCAAGAGTAGGGGCGCGCTGTTCCTTCAGTAGCTCCAGGCGGGAAATCTCGCGCTCGTGAGCCTCAAGGAGGGCGTCGCTGTACACGTCTGAGAAAGCCGGCGTGAATTCAAGCATCTCATCCTCCGAGAGATACAGCGCATCCCAGAGTTCCTGTAGTTTGAAACGCGCATCCTCGACAAACAAGTGCAGGTTCTGTCGCTTGAGTTCGTTGAGTTTTGTCAACTCGTCCTCGAACTCGTTGATCTGGCGGATGCCGCAGCCACGGTTGGCATTGAGGAAGCCCTTGCGCTCGGCTTCTTCAATTCCCAACTTGTCCCAAAGGGTCTCGACGGCGGCTTTCAGGTCTCGTAGGCGCTTTTCGCGTCCCTTCTTCTCATCTACCAATTTATCTCTCTTGGTCCGCAGACGGCTGAGATCCTCCTCGTGAAGGCCAAGCTGTTCAGGAGCGTCGCGATAATACTTGACAATCGCGCCGTCGGTCTGCGCCTGGGGCGTGCCGAGTTCGGCCCAGAGCTGAATAATGTTCTCGGCGAGTGTCTTGACTGTTGCCACGCGGCGGGTGTACTCCTCATACACGCGCGTAAACTCGGCATCCAGTTTATCCACATACGCCGGTGATAGATCGAAACTGGGCGGAATAGACTCATTTGGTCCCGTTGGCGGCAGGTCCAGCTCGACGAACGTTGGCTCGAGGTGGAGAGAATAAGACTCGAGAGCTTGCACCAGTTCTACAGCAGCCGGTTAGCCATCCATGTTGTCTATCCCTTGCGATTCGTAACAAACGTGGAATGCGTACTCTTAACCTGTTCAAATCGCTCCCGGTGGAGGCGGCTGACTTGAATGTGCTTCTCCTTGAGCACTTGGAGACACCTCGTAAGCGGGTAGGTGACCTTGAGATCGGCGTCGTTACTACGGCGCGGTCGTCCATCGTCGAGCGAAGCCTCCATCTGCTTGATAGTCGTGATCATCTTTTGCGCCTCCTCGACCATTCCTTTCTTCTCCGCCGTCACCTGGCGGACTTGGTTATTGAGTGCATCGGATAGTGCCGCGAAAAGCTGCAGCGCAAGCAATTGTTAGTGATACATTTCGCCTTGGCGATAGTGAAGTACCCCTTTCTTCCCCCTTACCTCCTCTTCGCGGGCGTCGCGGTCGTGGTTCGGCACTCCAATCTCGTCGAACAGGCCGTGCAGCTGGCCAATTATTGTATTGACCTGCTGCGCGAGGTAGCTTGTATCCATGGTGTCGCGGCGGCGGCGGCACGGTCCGTCGATCGCGTGCGTGGAACAATGTCTATCCTTCCGTAACGTTCTGAATTGGTCTTTGCGGCGGTGCAAGTCAGGGGCGCGTGGGGGGATCCACTGTTGAACCTCAAACTGCGGTGTGTTGAGTCGGGTTGAATGTGTGATGAGTTGTCAGTCGAGGAAGGGATTGGTCGTAGTGGGGTGTATCATGGGACCCCAATGACGTGCAGCGAAGGTCTGCAGCTAAAAAGTTGTTGTGTTTTTCAGAATCCCTCTTTTTTCCGCACGGGCGAAACGACGGGGGTCAGCGCATTGCCGAGGAGTCGGACAAAACGGCGCAGTGTTGGAAAATGGACGATACGCGACCAAAAATGCAGCGAGGGGACTGACGCAGCGACGGCAGCGGTCACGATAGTTTTGAGCAGGGAAAATGAGCGAGAGGGAGTGTGTCGAAATCCTAGTGAAATTGTTGGAATTGCGGGATCGCTGTTGACTTTGTGTCTCCAGGAGCGACCGTGGAAGTTGCACCAAATCCTGGCCGGCGCCTACTTCCCGTCGCCCGGGCAACGGCCGCTTGTTCCTGCGCTGGATCGAGAAAAGGTGGGGCTCCACTTAAACCAGCCCCACCCCGCGCCTGGCTGCTTGCGATCGCAGCAGCGCGCAACCCCGCATGCTGCTGCTGTTTCATCCCTTGCAGCTTGCGCTTTTCGAGTCGTTGTCAGATTCCTTGCTCTTTATAGGCCGTAAAAAATTACAAACACCATTTCCAAGCAGCAATCCATCCTCCTTTGTTCTTGTATCTCCTTGATTTCACCGTCCGCTGTCTGTCATGTGCGCACAACGTGGGGATGACGACAGAATCAAGTGTAAGACATTCGAATTTCCCCTCCATGCTCGTCAGCCCTGCTCGGCGCGCTCAGCCATTCGGCCCACTCTGCAATGCGACGCCAACCTTCCAAAGGAGGAAGACAGGATCCCACCTCTCGCTTTTGACTGGTCATTCGCTCGGCCGCCGACCGAGAGGCTGGCCCGGGCAACGTCCGGCATCAGAGCAACAACCCGAGAGGTTGTCAAAGGTTGTCTGGGCACCCGGCTGCGGACGGCCAAAGTTGTCGCTTTCGGCTGCGCTTGGCGTTCAGCGCTTCCTCGCAACGCCGACCCGGCCAATTCAGATCGCAGCGAGGATTACACTAGTTAAATCCCCTTGCGCAAAGATCGATCCTGAACGAAACGGCTTTCACGGCAGTCTTCCAGATGGATATGGACGGTTCGGAGATGCCACATCCCGGTATCTTTTCTTTATGTACCTAGCGACGCCATCCCTGCATTGTTGCGCACCCAAGGCAAGTTCAGATAGACAAGGCTTGTTGCGCCCGAAGGCCTGGGATGAGCAGTTGTCCTGTACCACTGACTTTTAAAAGCTGGGATGATGGGGGCTGGCTAAATGTTTGACACAGATGTGCCGGGTGTCGCCCAGAGCGACGCTTTCTTGGGTTGCACCTGCGCGCGGCATCAATCCAACCGCACGGACGTAGCTGGTCTGGGGAAAGAGAGATCCGGTTTTCCTGGGCGACGAAGTCGTCGTTGAAAGAAGACTACCTAATCTCTGTGTTTTTATCACTTCAAACACTAATGTTTGTCTACACCGAGTTTTCCGTCGTACCCCCTTTGGTTGAATTGGGCTCGGATTACAGGGTCATGAAAACAGTGTAAACAGTAAGACTTTGCCTAACTCTTTTCGCGTGCTAATTGGTCTCGCAGAAGGATGGGGAGAACTAGTCCATGCCAACTACATTCTTGTCATAGCTAGCAGTTGATGGGAACCACAACAATCCCCATCGCGCCTAGGACTGCTCAGTTTCTTCTATATCATCTTGAGGTGGCACTGAATCCAATATGGACCTCGCAGAATATCAGAGTAACCTCCCTGTCACAGGGGTCTCAATGCCGCGTCGTCTGTGCGGCACCACAGCGCTGGCCTTTGGTTCAAGGTCAGGTACAATCAAGACAGGCGGGATGTTCCCAGGAGTCGTTCTTGCTCAACAACTGCCGCCCAAACACGTTGCTACCCGTCCCTCCCGAGCATAATAGTTCTTACCGGTTCGAGGCATCTCTCTCACTGTCTCACCCAGTTTTTAAACGCTGGTTGACTGGTTCGGACTGTTGCGCTGCATCACAGACCTCATCTTGTGCGAGTTGAGAATTTCGGCTAGTAACATGCTTTACCTTGCCAACATCTCAGACAAGGCGGGCCTTCGCAAACTAACTCGGCCGTCCATGCTACCATGTTTTATTCCGTATCTCAACTGACTAAATCCAAACCCTTGCTCCCGTTCCCCAGACTTTTTCTTTCCGTATGGATCATCACTAGCAGCGATTGTCTTCAATGCATGCGGCGTAGCATTTGTCCGGACCGGTACGGCCGAATGGGACAACTCGTGGCTTGTTTGATCGTCGAACGCCACGATGACCTTCTCGCAGTATCATCCGATGTTGACGTTTCCCTGTTGATGATCTGGAAGTTTGCTAGAACATTACGCCATCTTCTTCGCGCAAATACTCACACGCCACTGAGATACTCGCGAGCCGAACTTATTCGACCACAGTAGTGGCCTACAGGATCTACTCGCAAAAGGAAATGTCCAGACCACACTGCACTTTACCCGCGTTGGACGTGTGACAGTTCCACATGAATGTCTTTCATAGAGCGCAGATGTTGACGCGAATACATGATCGCACACACACAGAGGTAAATACTAAATAGCTGCTATCGCGCTAACCGTCACGACTACCACTAAAACACTCGACAAATGCCCCGAGATGGTCCCTTTCGAAAGCAGGCAGCTTCTCTCCAGCTCATTTGTAATTCCCACCTGCCTCGCCAGGCCGTGTGGCAAAGGTATATCCAAACAGCAGTGTCCCGTCCTATTGTCATGGGACCCGAAACTCACGGCTGTAGCTGATGGCGTTCGCCGCACAATGCCGGTAGACATCCGGCCGTCACCCGACTCACCTGCCGCCCTCCCGAGGTCTGCTCCGGGAGACGACTTGACACACAAGACGGATTTACCCGGTAGGCTCCCGCCTTCCCTCTCTCCCTTCTGGATGTGACTCGCGCCGAGCCAAGGGAGGAAGACGAGACGAGACGGCCTTACAGATCGACTATGCAGCGTCTATCCCGACGGGATCAAAGTCTTGCCTCTCCAACCAAACGCGTTGGACGCCATCGCATGACAGAAACCACATGAAGCAGGTAAAGAGGTAAGCGCAGGACTTGTGACGACGTTACCGGGAACTTATCACCATGGTCTCTCCCTCCTACTTGCCACCCGGGAATATGCTGTCTTATGTCTCAAGGGATCTTCTGAGCCGATTATTTGTTATATCTTCTTGAATATGCCGTGCTGCTCATGGTATTGCCCTCTATCTCTCATTTTATCGAATGCCCTTCGTTTGCAATCTTTGTTACGCCTTTGCGGTTCCCCCAGATGACTGCTTAGACATACCACAAACACCACATACACTACGGTGCCTTATATTGTGATGAGATAAATAACACCCTCGCTGCATTGCGTCATGTACGCCTCTTCGTCTTCACCCTCAACGGCTATGGGGACGCCCCCGCCTCCCGGCCAGGTCTTTGCGTTTTTTGTCAACTTCTTCTTTCCCGCGCTAGCACTCGTCATCGTCTGCATTCGCGTGGCCGGCCGGTTAGTGGCGAGGCAGTTCGCCGCGGATGACTGGCTTGTATGTGTCGCCATGTTCATGTCGGTGGCGGAGACTGTCATTAGCTTTTTTTGTGAGTTACCTCCAGCCCATCGCATCGAATTTCCCATGTGTCGAGATGGATGGCTGACAATCGCACTAGTTATCAAGACCAACTTCATCGGCATCCCAGCGGAAAAGATTCCACCCCATGACCCAACGGAGGGTCTGATATGGTCTTACGCCGTCCAGATTCTGTACAACCCCATCCTCGCCTTGGTCAAGTCGTCGGTCTTGATTTTCCTCTCTCGGATCTTCGGTCAGAAGGACTGGGTCCGGCGGTTCTTGCTATGGCTCAATGTCGTCAACATCTCCCAGATGGTCGGTGTGTTCTTTGCTATCATTCTGCAATGCACGCCAGTTGCGTTCAACTGGGACCTTACCATTCCGGGTGGCCATTGTGTTGATCGTCGGGTGTTATATCTGCTCACCGCGGCGTTCAACATCCTGACGGATATCTTGATCATGGGGTTACCGGTGTGGATCTTTTGGGGGCTCCGGATACCGAAGCGCACCAAGATCGCGCTGTTGGTTATATTTGCCCTTGGTCTCTTGTATGTGAACATCCTATCAACCCTCCACGCCCATCCTGACGTCTCACAGGGTGACTATTACATCGATTGTCCGCATGATCCTGCTAGTTCAGGGGCTCTTCAGCATTCCCATATTTCCCAACTCCTCCAACAACGTTGGGTTCGTCATCTCAGCCGTCGAAACAAACCTCGCGCTCATCACCGCCTCGGCGCCAGCTCTCCGTCCCATCTTCCGTTCACGCGAACGCGGCGGTTGGTTCGCTCGTAGCGTCATGGCTACTAACCGAAATAACACCACCACCACTCGTGACCCGGAGATGGGCCAGAAGTCCATCGGCTGGGACCGTGAAGCGATGTCCATCGTCAATAGCGGTGTCGGTGCAAGTAAATTTGGTCGGGGCGGCAGCCGGGGCGGACGGAAAGGGAGAAGCGGCCGTTTTCACATGGGACGGGGCGGGAACCGGAGCCCGCTGCGTGGCAGCAAGATCAAACCCACGATCGTGCGTATCCGTTCCACAACGAACGGCGGCGACCGTGCCGGGCTGGCTGAACTGCGGAGTTCACCACGGTCAAGCGAGGAACAGACCATGACTAGCAACGGCATCATGCGTGTGAGTGATATCCAGCGCGAGATTGATGGCATCGTGAAAGACATTGCCGTGGCCGGCACAGGGCGGTACACTGGTGGTGGAAAATCACCATCACCGCCGGTGCCATCGACACCGATCCTAGCGGGACTTCCCCCGCCCCCATCAATACAGCACATTACCGCTGCCACAACAGCGGCCCGCGCCAATATCCCCCGTACACCACCTTCACAACCACCGCGAACATCCCCACGCACACCACCACCGCCACGAACACCGCGCGGGACCTTCCAGCCCCCCCGGACGCCACGAACACCACGCACACCGCGGTCACCACCACGAGGAGCCACAGCAACAACAACTACAACAACAACCCCAATGGCACCGATGGTCCGTTCCAGACCATCCATGGAAACCATCACCGTCGGCGCAACCATGATCACGCCACTTCCCCCTCGGCCAAGTACCGACGGCGGGGACGCTGTCCGACCCTCACGCACTCCCTCCCAATCCCAATCCCAATCTCAACCTCGCACCCGGTCAAGATCCGGATCACAGTCACAACAATCCCGCCCCGCACTGCTAGCCGAACGGTATTACAGCGCGAGTATCTACCCCGAGCAAGGGATGATGGACTCGGATGGGGATGATGATGGTGACGACGTGTCCGGGTATTACAGAAATACTGCCAGGAGGGGAGGAGGGGAGGGTGAGAAAGAAGGAGAGGAGGATGTATATGGGAGTGATGACAGGGTGTCGCGGTATTTGGACCGGCGGTTTGGGGTCGTTACGCCGCGGAGTGGGAGGACTCCGACCGTTAGGGGGTGGGAGGGGAGTGGGAGGCCGTTTTAGGTATGCTTTTTTGGGCCTTTCTTTTGTTGATTTTAAGAGATGGTGTTTACTTTCTAACCCCCTTTTTTTCTTGGTGTGTTTAACGGCCGGCGCAACTTCACGGAATACCCGAGTCTGTCATTTCTGGAGACCTGTTTTGTTTTATGTTCACGAAAAAGGGGTTGTATATAGCTTGGTGGCGCAATATTCGATAAAGCTGCGATACATATGTAAATTGTACGATGACTGATTCCTTGAGAACATCTTGATCGTGGTAGTTCGTATAAACTCCAGGGTTAGGGTTTACTTTGGGTCTCATATCCCTCAAACAAGACAATACTGCGAAGTTAGGCTTCACTCCTTGGCCCTGTAATGCTGTGAACGTTCTTGGTTTCTACCGCCTTACGCTTGGTTCTGGCCGACGGAAATCCAGCTGTACAAAGACAAAGATTTGGAATCCCCACGGAGCCGAAGCAAATCCGTGAGATCACTGGACGATGAAACACCCAACCCGCCGCCGGCTCGGGATCAGGCTCAGGCGATCATTGGTTGTTATGCGTACTCTTTGATAACGTAGGATGCGGTGGATAATGTAGCAACGGACATACAATGTAGACAAGTCACTTAACTGTTTGCGAAAAGGGGGGGATAGACCCATTTACCCCGACCACAATTTCAAGGTTTCCGGCCGGCCCCGGAGGTCCCCTATACGTACTGTGTACTGGGCAAGTCCATCATTCCGGATATGGTCTGTGGAAGAGTGTTTTTGCTTCACCTTTTCTCATTTTGCATGTGTGTGTGTCTTGGTGTTGTGTTTTTTGTGCGTCTGTGGGAAAGGGTTGGGAGTCCGTACTCAGCTCGACCACGCACGAACGGGCGAGCCAGCTGGCAACATGATCACTCCGAGTGTAAAAGACGAAAAGGGGGGAAACCCAATCCTCACAGGACCAAGAAAAAAAAGGACAGAAGGTAGAAATGCCCAAAAGCCCTCACCAGTTTCATACGCCCAAATGCGGAAGGAACCAATGAGAGAAAATTTCTCGAAGGTTTTGCAGACGTTGTTGTTTCAGGGTCCTCCCCTGCCGTTGACGACCCAGTTACGCCTGCCAATCTCGGGAAGGTGGAGAGGGCTTCCCGTCAATCGGACGGGGCGCCAAGAGGGGATTTCGACAGTCGGTTATTTTTTCTTTAGCCTTCTTTCACTTGTTCACTTGTGGGCTTTTGTCTACTTCGTATTACTCCGTCCACATACGATTCTACGAATAGGGTGGGCGGGAAGCGGCGGGGTTGGCTTGGGTTTGGGTTTGATCTTGCGCGGTTTTTGACAAACGGTGGGACGTGGGTTTCCGATTCATCTAAGGATACGAATATTGCCGGGTGTTTATCTTGGTTAGGTATCTTGAGTCACTTGAGTCGGGTGTTGAGAGAACACCGGGTTAGAACCGCGGCAAGACGGAGGAGGAACTTCATGAGCCCAAGATCAGATAACTAACTCGCAACCACCGATTCTTCCTTCTCACGATAACGATGGCATCTCTCGATTTCCCAGGATGCCTTGAGCGCCGTGGACCCCCGCGCGCCGAGCAGGCCGTGAGGAGATTTCCTTCAACGAAATGCAATGGAACATGGACAGAACATTTCCTCTGTGGAACTTTGGCGGTTGTATCATTACCCGCGATTCCCCATCCCGCGATTCCCGCCTGCCGTTCCCGTTTGCCCATTTTTGCAGCCCAACCCATTGAACCCAACGACAAGACTCGGCACCTTGTCAATTGGGTTCGGATTCGGCGCTTTCTCTTCCCAACATATTTCCGGTTCATTCGGGATCTCCCTACCTTTGCCAAGGGCGGAAGAATGGTGGGTTTACACATATAACGACTTGGGCGAGTCATCAGCGCCCACACCACACAGCCTCTGGTCCCGTGAGCGGGCCTTGGCCAATGGAAGCCCAATGGGGTTCGTTGACGTCGACGCTAATCACTTTCGGCCTTGCTTGGCTCGAGCTTGGTTACTCTTTTTGATAACACAGTACGAATGTAGTGTAGGTTGTGTAGGTTCATTTGGAAAGTGAATTAACGTTACCCCCAACCTTCTCTTGCTTCCCCGCAATCTTCCTTCTTAATCTGGTCACCACTGTCGCCAGGGCCGTGTGCGGGCGCGCCCCGGACGCCCGGATTGCACGGTCGGACAACAGCCAGTCTCGGCCGGGCGAATGCGGTCGCCCCTGATTATCTGTTGTCCTGTGAGCCTGTCTTCCCGCTGCTTATCTGCCTGTGTCGGCGAAGTACCCCGATCGGATGGTTGGCCTTTCACTCGAGGAACACGATGAATTTTCTTGAACATAGAGATCGAGGCTTGGGAGGACGGTCGTAAGGCTGTAGTTTCAAATGTACGAAAGGCTCCCCTTCACAAAACCAAAATGTCGAAAACGACAAGAACGGGCATGGCCGTGGTGACCACCTTGGCACACCCTTTGGGGCCGATGCACGATGACATGTGGTTGGCAGCCCGTTTTGTTCTGCTGCTCGGGGCACACCGTCAATCCTTATCATGAGCCCACTCTTCCTTAGGCCCTAGTTTGCCTGCGCGCGTGCCTTGAATAGGGCGATGTGCTAGATAGATAATACTCGGGTTCTCTCTCTTCTTCTCTTGTTCTTTCCTTTTCCTTCCCCGGATTCGATGTTCATCAAACTCTCGTCCTCTCATCGACGACCTGCGGGCTGGCCTGTCAAGCGTCAACTCAACAACAGTGGGGATTTCAGGCGGTCACCCACCACAGCAATCCCCCAACGGCTCCACCTGCCTGCGTTACGCCCGGCGCGCTCTACCGCACAGTGACGAGACAGTGCTGCGTGGCTGAACCGTGAACCACGGCCTCGGAGAAACCAAGATCTGGGAATCTGTTCCCACATCGAGATCCGCATTCGAGGTCACGATTTCGACTTCCTCCCCGACAAATACACAACCACCACAAAAAATCGCGCCGTTACCTCGATTCAAAACGTATCGCACGGCATCCTCAAACTTTGGGACAGGTTGCGCACATCCCATCCATCTCGCGACGTGGAAGACAAGCTTCCGCTCGCTGCAGGCGTTTTCTCAGGGTCCATTTGCTCATGGCTTGCCGAGGTGGGCCCGTTGCTGCGAACTTGGAAGGTTTTACGTACACGAAAACGGCCCTGGGGCCACGCGAGGCGTTACCGGCACGTTACTGCGACCCAACTCCCACCTGAACAGTGTGACTGGCTGCCCTGCTGGGCCTGGCGCACTCTGGCTCGCTTTGCCGCGTTCCCGATCGAAGACACAGAAGGGTCCCTGAGAAGGTTCGAGGGGTGGGCAAAAAAGAGACCCCGGCCATTCCGGGTGGGAATGACCCGCTCTGCACTGCAGTTGCGTGCGCGCCCGGCCGATCTGCACGCTACCCTTGTGCTTGGTTCGCGTCTGTGGACAAGATGATGTCGGCTCGATCCTATCTCGTTTCCTCCCGACGCACCCAGGGTTCCTCACAGGTCCAGCCACGTCGCCCGGTGTCCGGCCTTCCTCTCTCGCATTCTCCGACAATTTCATCGCCTGTGCGTCCGCCTTCCCCTTCGACATTCTTAAAAAGACATGAAGACGATTTCTTCGCCTATCATCTCAACACTCCTACCACCTCCACGACGACCACCACCTCGACTACCACCCCGAGTAGTACCACAAGCTCCGCCGCCATGTCAGCAGTAGTATTACAACGGCCGAGGGACCTAGCCCCGAATCCCTCAGAACCTGAGATGACACCTGCACGACCAACAACCCCTTCGAACCCCGTTCAAATTCCGCCACGCCCGAAATCTCGAGGGACCGGTCATGCACAAAAGCCGCACCGCACCACTCACCATGGCGGCCGTAAGAGTCACTCGCACCCGCGTTCTAAGGATGCGCACTCGCGCGATGCTATCCGGCCCTCGGTGGCCGCCCTGCTCGCCGTCACAAGCATCCCACCGCCCAAGGCATCGCGTAGTCGCCGGCAGAGCAAGAACGGAAAGCGAATGACTGTCGAGTCCTTTATTGAGCAGACGCAGGAGTCCGAAAAGGACTTCAGTTTGAAACTAAGCAGGAGCCCGCTCGACATCCTGCTCATGTCCCCCGAGGACCTCGAGGCCGATGACGAGGCCTCCATCTGCGACAGCATTCCAGAGTCGGTCGTCTCGACGCGGACCATTTCCCTAGAGTCCATGCCCTCGCTCAGCAACTCCTTCACGACAGAGAATACGCTCGCCTCCCTCGAATCCCCACAGACACCGCATCGGAAACGGACGCTTCAACCGATGCGCCGGTCCTTGGAACCAGTATTATCTCCACCCGGCGAAGCCGAGAACCACCCGCTATCGTCGCCTGAAAGCGAGGAGGACGAGCTCAACTTTGGCGTGTTTGGGGACAAGGAGGAGGATGTTGCCACAAAGACGTCACGGCTGCCCTTCAGCCCGCTGCGGTCGGCGTTCAAATCGAATCTAACCGCATCACTGCGGGCATTGCGGCAAGCCGCACGCTCCTTTTCTAACCTAAATTTCTCCTCGATCCCCCCGGAGGATTTTCTCACCCGTTCGATCTTGACTATAGACCCGCAAGTTCCTTACACCGACGAGCGTAGACCGCCGCCGCTTGAGGAAGAACCTACCGCTGCGTTGCGACGGTACCTAAACCCGACGACGACGGCCCGACTCGAGAAGCCGCCGGCTCCGATCGTAGCCTCACCCGCCCTACGGACCTTTACCGCCTCCATCCAAATGCAGACCTACAAAATCCAGCGCGCGCGCAGTGGCACGTCTACCCCCGGCCGTCCCCCATACCCTTCCATCGGCCCATCCTCCTCGTCGACAGCATCATCCCAAATATCATCCCAACCCGAACAACCGAAGCCTGCGGCCGAACACCCCCTGCCGGGGCCCCGCCAGCGCGAGATGCGGGAGAACCCGGATTTTATCCGCATCGCCGTCATGGAGATGGCCATGCGCAAGAACGGCAAGCTCGACGACCAGCGGCCTGGACGGGCACGTTGGGCGCTGCCACCGAGGAAGACCAGTGCGGTACCGTACGAGATTGGGGCAGATGGTGTACCGGCGCGGTGGGTGGCTGTTTCGGCCGCGGAGTAACACACAGCGTCCTACAACTTCATTTTACGACGGCGACGCCTGCCCTGGATTTTTATTACCCTTTGCGGATCCCGACGGCGATCCCTTTGCGAAACCCTTTCCCCCGAACCTTTTGCGCGGAGTATTCGGATGCAGCGGGTGTTTATCGCGAGTCCCTTTTTTGCTACAAATGAGAAGCCAGCAACTCCCACCACCAGGCATGCCAACGGACCCTCGTCATACGCCAACAAATCCGCCGGCCTTTGGGCTTGGCGCTTGGCGCTTGGCGCACACGACAACACGCGCTGCGGCGTCCAAATCGGGAAGGACGTGGAGAACCCTGGAACGAAGCCAAGCCATTCACCGGCCTTTTCTCTTCCAGCGATAGCGTTTGTTTTGACTCGGATCGAATTCGGGATTCCGCCCCGGCTGGTCGGCTGGTAGCGTTTGACTCACGGAACGGTTCGATTTTTTTTTTTCGGCCTGCCTTCGCGCATCCGGGAAATGCGGAAGAGGACATGATGACGGGATGCACAGCACCGCCCGAGCGATCCGGTCAATCCAGTAAAACAGACTCAGCCCGCGGTCTCTGTTTTCGGCTTGCACAATCAGCACGACCCAACCCAACCCGACTGACCCCCCGTGCGGGATGATGGGGGATGGAGGATACACCGCGTGGGGCTCCTCATTCTGCGGCTAGAAAATCCAAGATGGGCAAGCGAAATTCATTAAACTCGACAAACCGACCCGACCCGCCCGATCAGCCGACGGACCTACTACTTTTCGATACATCCGTGATGGGTGACGTGGTTCCCGTCCGAGTGCGGTTCACTGCAGCAAAGATCGGATTTTTTTTCCCCTCTCTTGCCTATCTTGCTGCATTTAAATATGCATGCGGGATGGGTGGGGGAAGATGGGGATTGGGCTTGGGATTTGCATTGGACCCTGAGCGGCCTTCGTTGGGAAGGAAACCCCCCGCCCCCGCATTCCGCACCAGGACAGCGCATTTCATTCAGCACGCAAAAAGAAAAAGAGCACAGCGAGAAAACGCCGAAGTCAAGTGAACCACGCTAATGGCGGTACGAAAGAAAAAGGGGTTTTATTTTGGGCGGGAGAGAGAGGGGTTAAATCGACTTTTAGCCCCCACGCCCGGTACGATATGTAGTCGGGTTTTCGATTTGAGAGGTTTGGTCGGCCTGATCAAGCATGGAGGGCATGATCAATTAGGGAGGAGAAGGAGGCCACCGGGTGCTGCCCAAGCGGAATGCGTTACTATTGCCTCACTTGATGCTTTTTTTTTTCTCCCGGTTTTCAACATATTTTGTCCCCTAGCGCATTTCAGGACTGGGGCCTACAACGGAATGCATGTGGACAGCGCTGCATTGGTGCATTTTGGTGCATGGTGCATAGGTGCATTCTTTGGGCATTGAGGGGGGCTTGTTTTTCAATCGTTTTCTTTTTTTGGTCTTTTTTTCCCGCTCTGGTTGACTTTTCCTTGAGGGTGGATGGACGGCAGCATTGCAGCATTTTGGAGCATGGAGCATGGAGCACTGGAGCATGGAAACCTCGGGCATTATTCAACCTGCTGCAGCATTGATATGGGATTGACCAAAACGGGTTTTTAAGGCAGCGGTTGGCCCAAAAACAATGGCCTGTTATTCGGGGACTGCGCTTACTTTTTGCGTTACTCGAGTTAAGAACGCGTTCCGGCAAGCGGACATCATTATCATTACTTGCTTAGGTACCTATCAATGGTCGTCGACAGAGTTGTTAAACATCTTCCTTATCTCCCTATCCGCCCCTAAGATTAATTATGCTATCGTTGTCGCTGTTTGTCGTCATTGCTCGCTAGAAAGTAAGATGTTTTACCGCATAGTGTCACTCGCTTCTGTATGAGACCGCAACACAAAATGGAAGATGTAACTATCCCATTATGCCCAGGCATTGAGGTTTTCCTAGTGAACGGTATGACTATGGGGCCCGGATTGCCATGGTAGCAATCGTGAAGGCCTTGACAAGGTTAATCTCTCATCAGTCGTGTTTTAATGCGGAGGGAAACCAGTGTCCAGATTTGAGCTGTCCTCAACTCGGCTGATACGTATTCCAAACACCAGGCAGGGTCTAGCTATGAACAGATGTACAGTACCTACCTAGCCATGCAGGCCGGAACGGGCCGGGCTTCACGAGATCGCGGGGAAAGAGGACGGTGACACTTCGACACAACATAAGGAGCAAGGAACGACGCATGTACTGTAGAGTACTACTGGGTACGGTACGCACTTCGGTTTTCGCTAGCGAGGTTTTAAGGAAGAGGTAAGTAATTATCGGTGGGATTGTAGTACACAATGTTATGACTGGTTACCGGCGAGTAGATGGGGATATATCACCGTGTTACATGGGGCTGTCGCGAGGTGTGGTGACATTTGCTGGGGCATGGCGTGCGGATGGCGGAATGTGTGCACGAAGTGTTGTTCTCATGTGTGTGTAAATACTGGCTGACAGCCTGTTATTAGGACGGACTGGCTGCCGTGAGGAGCCATTGAAATCGTGTCTACCTAAATACAGGAAGGTGTTGTTACATGGGCACCCCAATACCCAAGAAAGAGGTGCACAGCACCGCAGAAAAGAAACATGTACTGTACAAAAAAGATCTTTTCAGATGTTCGCACATCTTGATGTCAACTCATCACACAAAAAGATTTACCATGCTCACTTCCCCTCCATTCCTTCAGCGCCTCGGACAAATCTTGTCCAAAAGTGTCTCGATCTTGGGGTTGTGCTTTCGAAACGAGGGCCTAAGACTCGTCCTGTGCTCCGAGGTCAACTTCCCCTTAGTGATGGAGAGCTCACGGTAACGAAGAGCACCGCTGAGGCCGCCGGCGCCGATGCCGCCAAGAACCATGGTAAGAATGGCAACAGGCAGCATCTCGGCATCTCCAACGACAGGGTAGATGGTAGGACCGCCGTTACCGATCCCCTCGACGGCAATCAGAATGCGCGCCATCCCAACGCCAATACGGCCGAGGCTCCCAAGGGCGGCGTCGACAAAGGGGATCAGGAACAGTATGCCCTCGACGATCTGGAGGACGAGTTCCTTGGTTCTTCGCAGTTTCTCGTCTTGGCCGATTCTCTTGACCTCTTTCATCGACGCGACGGCGTCCTGAGGAGGAACACGGGCATGGCGAGGACTTCGACGGTATCAGCCAGACTGCCCTCAAACATGTCAAGACCGAGCATCATGTACATGTCGTCGTACTCGTCCCAGATGGTGTCAAATGTCTTGCGCGCCTCGTCCATGACGGCCTTGGGGTTCGGCATCTTAAAGTCCGATTTGCCGATGGGGAAGCCCCAGTGCACCTTGTTGTAGTCGTAGCACATGCCCGTGCCGCCAGAGTTTAGCTAGCAGTGAAACTGCCACGTATACTTGTCGAACTGGACCCGTTCCATATCGATGCCCTCCTTAGAGAGTGTCTTGTTGAGGCCGTCGCGGTCGCGGATCTCCCTGAAGGTGTATGACTGCATATATCCATTGGGCGGATCTTTGCAGTCGTACTTGCTGGCGTCCTCGCGGTTGCCGATTTCACCCTCGGTGTAGTAGCAATTGAAGAAGCCGGCAAGAGGTTGCGTGTCGTCCAAAATCATGCCGCGGAGACGCTCGCTCAACGTGTCGTGCATGAAGTCGCGGTAAAAGTCGAAGACGTCGTCGTAGCCGGACGCGGCCTCATCGTAGCCACTCATGGCCTCGGTAAGCATGACCTGCAGAGCCCTGATGGCGTTCATCTGGTTAATCTCGGCCTAAAGGCTGTATCTATACGTGTTGGTGCAGTAGCCCAGTGTGGCAGGAGACTGGTTTCTTCCCCCCAGGCACAGGCACTACCCGTCGTAGCATTCGGGCTTCGCCATCTTGAAGCTACGGCCGTAGCTGCTGATGCCGACAAAGACCTTGTACGAGGGCACGCCCGCCTTGGTCATCATTGACAGCGCATTCTCCGTCTGGGTCTTGTTGATGTGCGAGCGCAAGAATTGCCTAGTTCGCAATCCTTCCTGTGTTCGTTCAACATAATTATTAGCTCAGAGCGGATTGGGCAGGAGTCACAAAATATCAGCTAAAGGGATGAGGAATCTACTCGCGCCGCATACTTGTTACTGACATCCCATGGCCATGCAGATTGTATGTCATGTATACAACGTAGCCCACGACCTTGGCGATATCACCAATCGGGAAGTGGCGGAGGTGCCAGTACGACGCCGGCGCGGTGAACGAGGCCGTGGCACCAGACATAAGACCTTGCTTCACCAGCTTCAGAAACTCCAGGTAGTTTTCACCATCCTCGGCAGCCCACGGATCCGAGCCCCCGATGTCATCGACACCGGGATATTCCCAGTCGAAGTCAACACCATCCAGATTGTGCTTCTTCACGAAATCAACGACGTTGGCCGCAAAGGTGAGGCGATTCTCCAGCTGGACAGCGCGGCGAATGATGTGGCTGGCGGGATGTTCATTGGAACAGGCCCAGCCTCCGTAAGAAATGACCTCTTTGAGCTTGGTGTTTGCCTTGACGAACTTCTCAAACTGCTCCTCAGCGTCCTGGACGCTGATGGTGAAGTCCTCGTTGATCCAGCCAAATTCGAAGTGAATGATGGTGTTCAGGTCGGTAACCTCGTCGACATCCATGTTTACTGCGAAGAACGGTGAGGCGCACCATTGTCAGTGACTGGGCTGAACTTGGGGAAGTTGATTTAAAAGGGGAGGACATATTCAAGTAAAGCATAATCACTCACAGCATGGGCGGCTGTCGTTCCAGGCCTCAAAGTACGTGATGCGCTCAAACTTGGCCGGGGCTTTGTCGTTGTTGACAATGTCTATGCCACAGTTGGAAATGCAACCGTACGTACTCTTCGCGGCTGTGCCGGGAGCCCCATAGACTGTGGTGTCGACACAGAATTCCTTGGTCGTCCCACACTGACCCCAGGTATTGCAGCACGCGTTGAGCGGGCATGGGTTGAGGGCGGCCAGGTTGATGTTCTTGTCGGAAGGACGGACGGTGCCGGGTTTCTGGGGACCACAAATCGCGTTATCGACGGCCGCGGGCATGGGCGGGTCACCGTCGCTGACGCAGATGATCATGTCCTAATTTATCTCCTTGCACTCGGTGAAGCCCCAGGTCTTCTTCTGCTTAGGGTCCATGTTCGGCATAGTGCCCAACGAACAGCAGACATAGTCTCCAGGCCTCATGGACTTGCGGATCTTGCCGCTGCCGCCGTTGTAGTTGTAAAAGCCATTGACCGAGATCTTAGGGTTGCACTTCTACTAGGCCATGGACCAGCAGCCGCCCCCGGACCCGACGCGCGCAACCTTGCAGTTCGTGCGTGCCTCGAGCGCGGCGCCGACGTCACGGCCGCCGAGACGGTACAGGTGGCTTGCCGGGTTGGGCGACGTGTCGGGGTGCATATTCGGTCTCGCGATTCTGTCCTAGCTGCGTTTGCGGGCGGCCAGGGTAGTTGAGTTACCGCGGTTGGTGGCGCTGGCGTATAACACAGCGTCTGCGCCCATAGCCATGGTGATAGCTGGGATGATCTTAAGCTTTGCATCCTGCCACACCTCAGAAGTGCCGGTGTCCGCCAGGCACTTAGCGTTGGTCCATTGGGCAATGGCGTCCCGTAGTGCGTCGACGGAGCCGATTGTGTCGTAAGTGACGCCGAAGGTGTGCGCAGCCGACCGCCCTCTGTGCCATAAATCTGAGCACTCCTCTGGCGACGGGGGCTACCTTTCCTGAAAGCAGCCTCGGCGAAACGCTCAATGAGGGGTGCCGCGGACGACTTGCGTATCCCGGAACTCACGTAAAGCCCGACGGCTGTGTCGCCTGATTTGGCAAGAATCGACGTGGTGTCACAGGTCGGGTCCTCAAGGAGCATCTTGCGGGCGTGGAGCAGTGCAGTGCGGATGTCAGAAGCGTCGGTCATGACTGCATCTTGCCGCTGCCAGCCAACCTCGACGTCGGCCACCACATCTCGCAGCCTTACCGTTGGGAGACAGACAGGTCCGTACTTGTTCTCTGTGGGCAGTCATCACACACACTAACAACAGCGGGCCAATTGAGAGTGGCCCAACTCGTCCATGTGGATATCCTGGACTCTTGTGAGCGGCTATAATTTGCGATAACAGTGAGGAAGGAACAAGACGAATTGCACCTCTTGATCTTCACGGAAGGCTATTTAAAGGTGATGCAGTTGGTTTAAGGTTGCACGACCCACCTCACGCCCTGGCGCGGCGGAGCCGCGGGTAATTGCCCACTCGCATAAGTAGCCTAGGTCTTGGCGCCAAGAATACCGGTGTTTACAGCCGTGTAAGTCGGCCCCGACGCTGGAGGGCGACGGGGAGGCTCTGCAGGTACGCGATGCATCCTGTCTTCCGAAGGAGATTGGCCGGGTGCCGTATGGGCCTGCCCAATTGGTCACATGTTATGGTCGAATGCCCGACAGAAGTGTAATGCAGCAGAAGTGATGTCAAGGCGATCGATTGGGAAAGGCAAGTGTAGCCGTACAGCTTGCCCGGCGGCCGCACAAAACTTCCCAGGAACCACACTCGGGTTGGCGGCCTTGGCGGCCCAGCTTCTTTCCCCTGAGGCTCCGCAGGCAACGGAGCCGTCGATGCTGCTAGGTGGGAAACCTACCAGTCAGTGCTCATACTGTGGTGATTGGCCGGGGGGTGGGCGGCTCCAGGCGCAACACTTTCTTCTGAGAACGGAGTACCGCCTCATCTCGACCTTTCCTCGGCATGTAGGAACGTGCGGCCGCTCTCTGTTGCAATAATTATCAAACTTGCAACCTCGTCCTCCGTCCGTCACCCGCCAACTGAGGGCAGGTAGTAACCGAGGTCCTCTGTTTTGGTCGCCGAGAAGCGAACACTGCCGCGCACTGTGAGGTATGCATGGAGACAAATTGACCATTGGTTAGGTGGCTGCCGAGGAACCTCCCTACCCTCCCCCTGATTTATCTCTAGATCACAAGAGGTGGTTTAAGCGTCCAACGCGCCGTTTGGTATGACTACGGCGGGCTCGTGACACGCAACCAAATACTTAGTTCTCATTGGGTCACCCTTGAACATATTCTGTGCCTTCTTGCTTCCTTCTCAACATAACTAACATCTGCGAATTACCAACAAGGCCATCAACTTGGCCGCTGTCTACACTTCGCTGTTTGGTACACAGCCTACGACGATCAATTAGCTCTGTCGCCCACTATGCAACACGCAATGTCAAGCCTCGGTCTCGAGAAACCCAACACCACCACCGCCACTCCCACCTTCCTCACCCTCCCCAACGAGATTCTGATCAAAATCAGTCGGAACCTCTGCATCCACTGCCGCCTTCTCCGCATCGGCGAAGTCCCCCACGAAGAAGCGGTCACTGCGGTGGTTCAAGATCAAACCGCACTCGCCAGCCTCAGCGCGTCCTCTAGACAACTACGAGCCGTCGCCCAGCCGATTCTCTTCCACTTCTTTCACTCGCTCGACCGTAGCTACGTCGATACTCGCTACCGCCTCTGCCGTTTTGTCTGTGCCCTCTCCTGTCGCCATGACCTGACCGTGTCCGTCCGGAGCTTGGTTCTCTGGACGCCGGACCACATGACCCCCGAACCGAGCCCACGGGCGGAAGAGTTGGCGTCCGCGGCGCTCCAGGAAGAGGAGCACATTCGCCAGAATACCAGGGCAGAACTCGGGTCCTGGTGGGAGAGTCACCGGGCCAGTACAGTCGACCAACTGCAAGAGCTTGCGATAGCGCTTGCACCGGGGGTTACATACGTACTATTATACCGTAAGTTTGCATACCGGTTGCCAGACCCCGGGACGTGGAGCGCCTGGACCTATCCGTTGGAGGGCCTCCGGCACCTTGTACTGGTCGGGTGGCGGACGGGGTGGCCGTCTGAGTCGCATGGGAACTCCTATCATATACAGGAGGTCCAGGCATTTCTACGGTGTGCGAGGAACTTCGAGAGTCTGGTTGCGGCGGACTGTGGCGGCGATAGGCTCGACATCTCGTCCGACTGGGTGGTCGGCCGCGGTAGGCTGAAGGCAATGCCGTGGGATGTGGAGTTGCCCCGACTGAAGAAGCTCTCGATCAGTAGCGATAACATTGGGCCTGAGGAGGTTGAGGCGATCATCCATAATACCACGGTATTTGAGGATTTGGAATTGTTTCATGGCGGCCTGGACTTTGGACGGCCTGTGCTTGATCTGGAAATGCACCTGGGGACTGTAAAGGGGACACTGAAGAGATTGTGTTATTCGGCTTTTCCGCTCACGGCCAACTTGGAGTTGGAGGACATCTATCCATGGATTATAGGCCGCCAGGATGAAAATTCTGACGACTCTTTTGACCCTGATTGGCATCAGCTCGAGGGGTTTCAGGCTGGGTTTTCACTGAAGGATTTCTCTGTCCTTGAGACACTAGAACTGGAGCAGCTCTTATTATATGGGCCGGTGGATGAGGAGCTCGAAGATGCGGAGAGCGATCGTACCTATGAGGCGGTGACGACGGACGAGTTTCTGCCAAAGTTCCCACCCTCACTAGTACGTCTTCGTATCGGTTGTATCTTCTACTGGCCGATCGTGGCTCGGGATATGCTGGCCATAGCCCAACAGCATCGTGCCCGTTTTCCGGAGCTCAAGTCTGTTACGCTTGAGGTCCGTGAAGTACCGCCGAGGGAGGACTTCGACCGTCTAGTTGAGGCATTCCGTGGGGCGGGGATTGCATTGTCGATCTGCTCAGTCGCCCGGGATTTCTTTTCGAGGGGGTTACTTCCAACCAGACCCGGGTTTCGGGTCCACCTTCCCGAGCCGGTGTCTTATAGTTGAGTGGTGTAATACCGGAGTCGAGTGTCTCTTCGTATGTATGTTGGCGGAATTTACCTACAAACCTACACCCCGAATACCAATTGTGATGTAACTGCCCTTTCAATTCTCTCTTTCGGAGCATTGAGCACTGCTCGGTATCTCAAGGATTGGTAAGTACCTAATACGACCTCTGTAACTCAGGAGGGTCGTCCAATTCTTGCTCTTCCCGGCCTTTTGCGTCCGCTTCGGCGTGCTCAACTGCTAACCGGGCAGCCAGTACGTCTCAATGGGCCGTGTAGTGTCCGTCTCTTGATGCGGCAGCGTCGGATTTGTAATAAGGAAACCTGATTGGCCAGCGAAGCACCGACGTGTGTGGTTTTATCGTTCACGCTTCCCTGCCAACATTTCCCCAAGTCTAGCTGAAGATTCTCAACAACGCAGCCAGACTTAGTGAGCTAACGCCATTGAACAGTTTTATGGCCTCACTGATGAATTGGGCGGGAGGCCTCCTGCGCCGAGCGCCGCAAGCGCCTTTGCGATTTCCGACCACGGGTTTCGAGGTTATCCCCGTCACACAGCGGCTGGAGGAAGAGATGTTCGACGAGTTCAGGGCTGGCGATTTCTACCCTGTCAATATCGGGGATATTTTTACCTCCCATAAGTACCAGGTCGTTGGTAAGTTGGGATTTGGTTCAACCTCGACCGTCTGGCTGGCCCGGAATCTTCAGTCTGTTTTTCACCCCTTTTTGAACAAGACAGTTGCAGCGTGGATATCGCTAACATACACGGTAGGGACCGCGACTATGTCACTTTGAAGATCTTCGCACGGGGTACCACTACCTGAGAACTGCTCTCGATACGTTCCCCATTGAACGGTCCGGCGGTGAGCATCAATGTCTTGTTCAGAAACCTATGTGGGACAGCTGGAAGGACCTGCTCCGGCGAAATCCCTCTGGGCGCTTTTCCGACGTCCTGCTCAAAGGCGGCCTCCAGCATCTCCTCCGTGCTCTGGACTACTTGCATACCCAGTGCAAGTTGGTCATACGGGTAAGTCATCAAACCCCGTTTCCACCGCTTTAGCTCTAACATGGAACGGCAGACATCAAGGCCGACAATATCTTGCACGCCATCGCCGACCCGGAAATCCTCGCAAACTTCGTCAAGGAAGAAATGGAAGCCCCCTCACCGCGCAAAGTAGTCAACGGTGCCCCGGTCTACCTATCTAGGCGTCTTGGCCTCCCCAATGAATGGGGCAAAATCATTCTTAGCGACTTTGGATGCGTGGTGGACGGAGATATCAAGCGCAACCACAACGCCCAACCGGACGTCTACCGGTCCCCCGAGATCATGCTCCAGGCCCCATGGAGCTACCCGGCCGACATCTGGAATGTCGGCGCCATGACATGGGACGTATTCCAGTGCCGCCATCTGTTCTACGGTCAAGACCCGAGTGGCAGGGGCTATATGACCCGCGCACATCTCGCTGAGATTATTGGGTTGCTGGGGCCGCCACCAGCAGATTTAATTAAGCGTGGGGTTCGCAGCAAGGAGTTTTTCTCGGAGGATGGTAAGTATTCGTTGTCTCGGGGCCGGTCCACGGTCCACCGGCCTGTACGAAGTACTGAGAACTGGTTCGAACTTTGACTGACAAACTTTCAAGGTCAATGGATAGCCGACGTTCCGATTCTCAAAGGAAGCAGTTTAGGGAAGGCCGAACATTACCTCAAAGGGAGGAATAAGGCCATGTTTCTCAAGTTTGTGCGGGGGATGTTGGCATGGCGGCCCGAAGACCGCAAGACGGCCGCCGAGCTGCTCTAGGATCCATGGCTGAACCAGTGGGAGATTTCGGATTGATGGAATCCTGGCGAAAATTAAAACGGTCAGGCGTAAAGTGGGTTGGATATTGTTGGAATGGAAATAGTCTGCTGACAGGTTGATGGCTGGGTGGGTGTGGGTCGCACCTGCACACTCCTCGGTCTTCGATGCTTATCAAACAATCCTCACTACATAGTAAGATGATCGTGTCCAAGTCCAACAATGGTAAGGTTGAGGATTTCAATGTGAATTTCACAGTTTGAGCTCTTCTGTGCCTTCTCTTTCATCCGCAGCCCCTTGACCATACCTAAAGTAAAGTACTTTACACTACTTGGCAGGTCCGCTACGTCAGCCCCTTCGATCGCCGCGATGTCGTCACGCACGAGAGATCGGGAAAATCCCAGCAAATCGAGTCGGGTCAGGAGCAGAATGAAAGACACGGCCAACCATGATAAGCATCGGCTTGGCTTCAAATATGAGGATTATTAACATTAAACGATAGGTATCTACCTTCTCTCGTTTTTTTCTGTTTTTCTCCCATAGCCTCGGGCGATTGAGATTTCATGCAGCCTACATTCCGACCATTCACCATTTCACTGCTTGCGATCCGCCCTACCACCTCATCCGCCACCGCCGCTGCAAAATCCTTCTTGAGAATGCCGTCCCATGGCGCAAAGCGAAAGGCGCAAACGGGAAGAAGCGCTACCGGCGGCAGTGTCATCAAGAAGCCTAGGGCAGCCCAGTCCACTTCCCCCACCAGGCAGGTCCCCTCCGCCGTGGCATCGCTCGCGTCGGGCCCAGGGTCAGATCCGCTCCGGCAACCGCACCCCTTCCACGAAGAGGCGGAGCGGCACGGCATCGTCCTACGAGAATTTTACCCGCCGGAGATGAGCAATGCCCGGGCGCGCACATACCAGGCGGGCGAGATCCCGCGTCCGATCGAGCAGCTGGACGCGGCCCTGCAAGACACCTTGCGGGAGCGGGAGAATGTGCAGGTGAAGGATGCTGTGGTGCACTGGTTCAAGACGGACCTGCGGACGGCCGACAACCACGCGCTGTCCTGCGCGAGCCAGAAGGCGAGGGAGGCTGGTGTGACCTTGATCACCATGTACCTTGTCAGTCCGCAGGACTTGGAGGCGCATGTGGTGGCACCCGTCCGTGTCGACTTTGTCTTGAGGTCGCTGAGGATTCTGAGGGATGACCTGGCCAAGCTGGACATCCCACTCTACGTGGAGACGGTGGAGGAGAGGAGGCAGATTCCCGCCAGGATTGCCGAGCTGATGGAGTCGTGGGGCGCCAGCCACTTGTACGCTAACATGGAGTACGAGGTGGACGAGCTCAGGAGGGAGGCGAAGCTGGTCAGGATGCTCGCCGAGAAGGGCATGTGCATGGAGATCATACACGATACCTGCGTTGTGCCACCGGGTCAGCTCCGGACCGGTGCCGGTAAGCAGTATGCGGTGTACACGCCCTGGTTCCGGTCGTGGATGGCACACCTTCGAAAGGAGCCCGGGCTTCTGGAGCTTGGTGAACCGCCGGTCAGGAATCCTGAGTCGGCGAGAAGGACTTTCGGACACGTGTTCGACTCCGAAATTCCAGTGGCTGTGAGTAACAAGACGCTGGCCGACGAGGACGCTGTCCGACTCCGCGCGCTATGGCCAGCCGGGGAACATGAGGCCAAGAAGCGCCTCGATGCGTTCTGCAAGCAGCGGATAGGCCACTACGACAGGAAACGAAATTTTCCGGCGGAAGCAGCGACATCGTCGCTCTCGGTCCATCTCGCAAGCGGAACGCTGAGTGCCAGAACCGCAGTGCGTACCGCCAGGGACCGAAGTGCGGGAGGCGAGGGCACCCAGACATGGATCAGCGAGGTGGCGTGGAGGGACTTTTACAAGCATGTGCTCGTGAACTGGCCGTACATATGGTGCGTATCTACTTTTGCCTCACAGTCCATCGAGCCCCCTGTCCTGACCGAACTATTTAGCATGAACAAGCCCTTCAAGCCGGAGTACTCCAACATCACATGGTCGTACGATGAAGCCCACTTCGCAGCATGGTGCGAAGGCCGCACCGGGTATCCCATCGTCGACGCGGCGATGCGCCAGCTACAGGATATGGGCTGGATGCACAACCGGTGCCGCATGATCGTCGCCTCCTTCCTCAGCAAGGATCTACTCATTGACTGGCGCATGGGCGAGCGTTTCTTCATGGAGCATCTGATTGACGGCGACTTCGCGTCCAACAACGGCGGCTGGGGGTTCTCGGCCTCGGTCGGCGTCGATCCGCAGCCCTACTTCCGCATCTTCAACCCCAGGCTTCAGAGCGAGAAATTTGATAAGGACGGCGATTACATCCGGAAGTGGGTGCCAGAGCTGCGCGGTATCAAGAGCAGTGCCATCCACGAGCCGTATGCGAGAGGTGCCGGTGCTCTGGCTAAGAAGAATGGGTATCCCGAACCAGTCGTCGACCATAGCGCTGCTAGGGAAAGAGCCTTGACCGCGTACAAGGAGGGCATTGAAAGCGGTTTGTAGGATGGCCACACGACTAATTTGTTTACTAAAGGGGCTTGGCAGACATTCTGTATTATCTCCGCTGTCCGTTTTCTTCTGTAGCCGCCCATTAAAGCAGTTCGCGAGAAAATGCACCTATGGCCGGCCTTCTTCCTCCTCCTCTAATCAGCTCTAGTCCCAGGCAAGACGTCTCTTCCATTACTATAAGTGCAAGTGGCGGTGGGGCTTTCTGGTCTCAAATCCCATCTGATCATACCACCCACCATGCCGTCATAACATTCAGGTCCGATGCAAAAATGACGAAAACTTCATCAGACCCGACATCACCTTGAACTGAGTTTAATGAGTTTTATTCATGTCCATTAGCCCTTCAACTCTCCTCATACCTCGAATATACTTTACTCATTTATCATCGCGGCAACTTCACGATTTCCCCGCGGGCTCTACTCTGGCATATCGTCAGTAACAACTTTTTTGCCTTACTTGAATACATCCACAGAGAAACTACACAACATGAACGCCATTGAAGATGCTGGAACTTTAGTCTGTGGTTTCGAACACCTGATGCGCAGTGATGTCGCCTTAGTCGGCGGCAAAAATTCCTCCCTTGGTGAGATGATCAGTGCCCTTGGAGCCGAGGCAATCCCCGTGCCACCTGGTTTTGCAACGACTTCAGCCGCGTATTGGCAGTATATCGACGCAAATGGGATCCGGGAGAAGATAACTACTCTAGTCACGGAATGGCAGTCGGGCAGAGCGAGTCTTGCGGAGACCGGCCACGCGGTGCGACGTCTGTTCCTACACGGTACCTGGCCCGAGAATGCAGCAACCGCAATTAGGACCGCCTATCAACAGCTCTCCGCAAAAGCGGGAATCGAGAACCTCAGTGTTGCGGTCCGCTCCAGTGCAACAGCCGAGGACCTGCCCGATGCAAGTTTCGCCGGTCAGCTGGAGTCGTATCTGAACATCGCGGGCGAAGAGGCAGTGTTGGATGCCTGCCGCCGTTGCTATGCCTCGCTCTTCACCGACCGAGCGATCAGCTATCGCCAGACCAAAGGATTCGATCACATGAGCATTGCGCTCTCGGCTGGAGTGCAGCGTATGGTCCGGTCCGATACCGGTGGCTCCGGCGTCATGTTTTCTATCGACACCGAAAGTGGCTTCGATAAGATTGTGCTCATCAACGCGGCGTGGGGGCTCGGGGAGAATATCGTACAAGGAACTGTCAACCCCGATGAATACCAAATCTTCAAGCCGCTTCTGGGCCACACCAACCTGAACCCGGTCATCGAGAAGAAGCGCGGCGACAAGGCCATGAAGATGATCTACGGCCGTGACAAAACGATACGAACGCGCAACGTGCCCACCTCTAAAGCAGAGAGAGCCATGTTTGTGCTCAACGATAACGAGATCCTCCAGCTCGGGCGTTGGGCATGCGCGATTGAAAAGCATTACGAATGCCCGATGGACATGGAATGGGCCAAGGACGGCATTACGGGAGAGTTGTTTATCGTTCAAGCCCGACCTGAAACCGTTCACTCTCGTCGTGACTCGGCCATCTTCAAGACCTACGACATCGGCAAGAAGGGCCGTGTTCTAGCCACCGGCGTTTCGGTCGGTAATGCGGCTGTCCACGGCCGCGTTTGCCTGATTGAAGCCGCCAAGGACATCGACAAGTTTATCGACGGCTCGGTCTTGGTGACTGGCGCCACCGACCCGGATTGGGTGCCTATCATGAAGCGGGCCACAGCCATAGTCACCGACCATGGCGGCCGTACATCTCACGCCGCGATCGTCAGCCGCGAATTGGGCCTGCCGGCGGTCGTAGGTACAACTCATGCCACCTACGTGCTGCACACGGGCCAGGATGTCACTGTCTCTTGTGCCGAGAGCGACATCGGCTTCGTCTACGAGGGTATCTCCGACATCACCACCAAGACCGTGGACCTGACCGGGCTGCCTGCAACCCAGACGAATATCATGCTCAATCTTGCTAATCCGGCGGCGGCCTATCGCTGGTGGCGACTTCCAGCCGACGGGATCGGCCTTGCCCGCATGGAATTCGTCGTCACCAACGCGATTCGGGTTCACCCCATGGCGCTTGTCCACTTTGACCGGCTGAAGGACGCAAAGGCCAAGGAGGAGATCGCCCAACTCACGGCCGGATACGACCACAAGCCAGACTATTTCGTTGACAAGCTCTCGCATGGTTTCGCGGCCCTCTGCGCCACTTTCTACCCCAAGCCGGCCATCATCCGCATGAGCGACTTCAAGACAAACGAGTACGCCGGCCTCATTGGCGGGGCTGAGTTCGAGCCCAAGGAGGAGAATCCAATGCTTGGTTTTCGCGGTGCGTCACGGTACTACTCGCCACATTACAAGGAGGGCTTCGCGCTCGAGTGCCGCGCTATCAAGCAGCTGCGCGAAGTGATGGGCTTTACCAATGCCATCGTGATGATACCTTTCTGCCGGACGGTCGGCGAGGCAACAAAGGTGTTGGAAGTGATGGCCGAAAACGGCCTTAGGCGTGGCGAGAACGGCCTTCAAGTATACGTCATGTGCGAGATCCCGTCCAACGTTATTCTGGCCGCCGAGTTCACCGAGCACTTCGACGGCTTCTCCATCGGCTCTAACGACCTGACGCAGCTGACTCTTGGCGTCGACCGCGACTCTGGCGAGCTTGCTGACTTGTTTAACGAGCAGGACGAAGCGGTCAAGTGGATGATTGCCCGGGTTATCTCGGCCGCCCGTAAGGCAGGCCGCAAAATTGGCATCTGTGGACAAGCGCCAAGTGACCATCCGGAATTCGCGAGGTTCCTGGTCGAGGCTGGTATCAATTCCATCTCTGTCAGCCCCGACAGCTTTCTCGCGGTGAAACAGCACGTGGTTGATAGTGAGCGGTCATAAATTTCCATCTCCCTGTGCGTATCTACGTGTCTTGGGACTCGGCCCAACGTTGTACTTGTCATTACATAACGTAGTATTACTCAAAAGTGTGTTTCTCTCGTCCTTTTCATTCATTGCTCCTCAAACCCCAGCTGCCAAGTGCAATTCCAATCCCCGCTTAGTTAACTAGTGATCCTTTTGGATCCGCTCAACAACGTCCCTCAGCCTCTTCGCCGACTGTGTGATATCTGCTTGCTCATGGCTATCTAGCGGTACCCCAATCACTCTGATGATTCCTTTTCTTCCGAGGATCACAGGTAAACTGAAACAGCAACCGAACTCTGGCTGGAAATGGCTGATGGGCTCAACATCCCCCCTGTCGAGGAGGATGGAAGAACAGATGCTAGACACGACGGAGCTGATCCCAAAAGGTGTCGCCCCTTTAGCGCGTATAATGCTCTCCGATCTATTTTTGCACTCATCCGCAAGGTCGGCATGCTGGAGCGTGTCGGGCGGGAGGGACTTGTTGATAGGCATGCCGTTGATGGTTGCGGCTGACCATACAACGACCTGCGAATCACCATGCACGCCCACCACAGGCACTTGTATCGAACTGGCCGCCACCTAAACTTTGATCAGCCGGGTTTGGAGGAGGAGGAGGATATAGGAATTCTTTGTCAACGCACGCCAGTTTTGTCCGCCAACAGGCCACGGAGTCGCACCGAATCCAGAAAAGTACCTGAGCCGAGGACTTGAGATTTCGGAAGCCCAGAGATTTCTTGAGCGATCGACGTGAGCAAATCGACAGGATTTGACACGACGAGTACGATTGCGTCGGATCTGAACGGCCTCATTGCCCCGACTACGCTCCGCATGATCGAAACGTTCCGGTGCATGTGTTGGATATTGGTTTCACCTGAATCACCCCATTTGAGCTCACGTTCCTCATAAAGAAAAAAACAAAAAACAGCTTTAAGCGTTTCCCTCGTCTGGTCACGTACCGATAGACCACCTCGACCCCGCGGTGATGACTACAATGTCGCATTGGCCCGCCTCATGATGCGTAGCTGCTCGCACGCGAGTGCCACCGTTGACGCTGTAAGCCACATCGGAGAGATCACGAACCTGCCCGTCTCTCAAGTCCACTTTAACATCAACCAACAGCAGCTCGCTCGCGACGGAACCAAGGATGAGGGCATAGGCAGCAGCGCCACCAACTTGGCCGACCCCGACAATTGCGATCTGAGAAAACTGTTTCGTGTTTCCCGGCGACATTCTCAATCAATCCTCATTTGATTATCACCATACTCCCAAAGGAGATACAGGTGACGATGGTTCCTTTTATCATCGATTCCTGATGTTGGGGGAAAACATCAGCCGATTTCACCATCACCAGCAAGTATCTGGGGACGTGATGCCGTAAATGATGCACTCATTACGTATTGTAGACGTAGGCTTCCGGAAATCGTTAATCATGTAGGTAATTACCAGGCAGTCCCGACCCGATTCTGTCTCGCCCCCCGGGAAGTATCGGACCGGGCAAGTTCAAGGCCGGGCAGCAGGGCATGAAGATCGGGTCTGGCTGGGCGTTTCCCTAGAGGCATGGATTCCAATTCACATCCATGGCCGGATTTGTTTTAATTAACGTTAATCTGGTCAGGTTCTTCTACCTTTTTGCCTTGTAAAGATATCATAATTAATTCGTGTGTGCGTAAAACGGAGCTTGCTCGATCACCCACCCGAAAGGCGAAGAGAACCCGGGTCTTCCAGGACACAGAATTTGAGCATTCACGCAGAGAAATCAATGAATTGGTAAAGCTGTCCAATGCAAATGAAGGAGCGTAGCAAGGAAAATAAGCGAATGGATAGGCAGGAGGCTGATCAAGCTGTAGTCTCGGAAAGCTACCTCCTTTTCAAGGTTTGATAAAACATATACAGACGGGGTAAGTAGCCAATGTCAGAGTAGTACTGTCGTGTATTAGGACTGCTCACTATTCTGGATAATTACTTGATACAGACTTCACGTACACCTCAGTCCTACCCTTCCCACACAGTCCGACGGCATATCGTATGCTGATAATTACTTCCTCTTCCCATGCATCTTGTGAGCCCCCGGGGCTGTCTTCACGGCCACCGTATAATTTTCTCCCGTATAAGCCACGGCATGTACGAGAACCTCATCGCCAAACGGCCACTCGCCGTCCGATTCCACATCATCACGATCGTCATATTGCTCAAATTTCTCTCGATCCGCTTGTAAGGCGACTTTGGCAGCGGTCTGAGCAGCGTCCCGGCGCACATAACAGCCCAGGATCTCAGTAGTCTGAGAGGCGCCGCTCTTGTCCAGATTGTAGTCGGTCCTGTTCTGTAGGACATAGTGCAAGTGGTCGTGGCCATCTGGCAGACGCAGCGTATCATCTGAGCCTGCGGGGAGTGACTCCGTGTTGGGTTTGGTGTCTAAACCGACAAGGAATTCCTGTCCCGCGGGCGCCTTGCCGTATACCAACACGCCGTCGCCATGTTCCCAGGCCTCTGACGGAGTGTCGGCGCGCGTAGCATACTCGGAAAAATCGTCTGGTTCGTAGCCAAGGTGCGACAACGCCGAGAGGGCGAATGCTTTGGCAGCTGGGAGAGTGGTGTGGGTACCGAGCACGTAGACATCCCTCGTCGAACCCGAAGTATCGTGGTGGAAGTCTACTACCGTCAACGTCGTGTGGAAAACTTCTTCCGGAGTGGATGGATTGCGATTGTCAGTCATGCTGATTCAAGGTGTTGGTCATTTCCCAGTTAGCATGAGGGCAAAAATGATAGGGAAAGTCGAGGTGCAGCCTCAAGGCGGCATTTGATTTCGATTTGTACGAGAAAATCCCAAGCAATAGCTGTGTAAAAGAGGACGACGCAATAATCTGGGATCGAGACTTCCTTTACGTCATGTTTGCATCGCGTTTGCCAGCTCTCGTCTGATAATTTCGATTTGTCATTGCTCTAGGTCTGTCTGCCCTTGTCACCATCGCCTAGTCGCCACTTGTGACGCCCCGGAACGCACCACCTATTTGATACAATTGCTGTGGTCTCCATGAACCGTGGAGGTCCCTTTCAGTGGGTGAAGACCAATTGTAAGGCTGGAAGGTTTGCAGGGCATCGCGGTGACTCAATCGACAACACTCGGCCGGTTGTCTCGCAAAGAAGAGAAGATATAATCTTACGAAGTTGAATGTTGATGATCCCAGGTTCCGCCAGAAACAACATTTGCCTTGATTTCTGGCAGCAAATCTAGACCTGGACAAAAAGAAATAATACCCCATCGATTTGTCCCAAAATCAAAATCAAATCAAAATCACGTCCCTAGGGAATCAGAATAACTGAATCAGAGTCTGATATGCTGACTTTTACATACAGCAAGGGGCCAACGGAAATGGGTTACACAATAACGTCGACCTTGAAGGAATGCTCAAATCAGCGCTTGATGCATGGGACAGCTCAATTTCGGGCCAGTCCTTTTCAACTTTCTGTTTTGGATATCAACGCCCCAAATATACACAAGACTAAGATCAAAAACTTGAACACGCCCACCGCTGGGCTCCCTTCAGCCCCCTCAATTACTCATCATCCTCTTCCTCCTCCTCCGCCTCAGCACCCCCCTTCCCCCCTTTCCCCCTCGCAGCCATCCATTCCACAGCCTTCGCCGAGACCCGCTCCCGACTCTTCGCATCCCCCTTCACTTCTTCCCACTTCGCCCACCGCCGGAACCACGCCTTGGCCTGCCGCGGCTTCAACCCCTTCACTTTGCTCCCGCGCTCAAACAGGTCCCGGACCACCGCGACGTCTGTTTCTTGTTGCGAACCCACCACAGCAGACGTTTCGAGATCAAGCAGCTGATTCCACAAATCAAATTTCTTCGGGAACATGCCGAGCACGTTCTCGAACAGCGTGCGACCCTGTTCGCGGTCGCCGTGCGGGGAGCGGAACTCGAGAGAGGCGAATTTGGGGATGAGACTGAGGTGGATCTGGGCCGGCGTGGCGTTGCCGATGGCTGTGTTGGCTGGGTTGCCGAGAATTTGCATGGCGCGTTTGGCGAGCGCGCGCGCGCGCTCGGGTTGGCCGGCCGTCGCGTGTAGGAAGTGCGCGTAGTTGGTCCAGACGTGCGGCGAGCGGGCGCCGTACTTTTTGAGGATTTTGGTTTCGAAGAGATCTTCGGCTTCCTAGGAGGGGGTTAGTTGTGTGTCGAGGTTGAAGGCAAAAAAAAAAAAAAAACACAAGAGGGGAAACAAAAGGGGGAAAGGAGAGAGGAACATACCTTGTGCTTGCCGGATTGGATGTAGATGCTGGCAAGGCGCTCGTGGATCTCCTGATCGTCATTGTAGGTGCAGGCGCGCTGGAAAACATCTGCGACGGTCTCGTCGGTGCCGTAGGCGACCTCCAAGTTGAGGTAGGCGATCCAGACGTTTAACTTTTCCGTCTCCTCCTTGATGTTGATCGTCTTGATCGCGCGCTCGGCCACCCGTCGCGCGCTGGCGAGGTCGTTGACCTGCATCTGCGACGCCATGTAGGCGATCCAGAGCTCGGACGAGTCGGACTGGCCTAGCAGCAGACGCTCGTAGTCGCTGGACGTCTGGGGGCCGTTGATGTCGAGTTCGGCCGTCTTGTCGATGATGCCCTGCGGCTCGCGCCGCTTCTTGGTTTTCTTGACCGGCTCTTCTGTGGCGTCGGCCGTGGCCACGTCGTCCTCATCCATCGCGTTGGCTGTCCAGTCGAAGCCGCCGGCATCAAGACCGGCCAGGTCTTCCCCTGACGCTTCGTCCATCTCGACGTCGCTTCCATCTACCTCATCATCATCATCATCCTCATCTTCATCATCAGAGCCGCCAATGAGAATCGCACCACCAGCGTCGCCCATCTCTTCATCCTCGCTTCCTCCCTCATCCTCTTCACTCTCGAGAGCCGCCCCTTCATCCTCACCCTCGCTGTCTACATCCATGCCATCCTCCTCGCCGTCCTTAAAGTACGAAGGTTTCAACCCAAGGTTGATCCGCTTCTTCTCCAAGTCAACCTTGAGCACCAGCGCTTTGACGCGGTCCCCCTCGTTGTACAGCGTCCTGGCGTCCTTGACGGCTCGGTCCGCCATCTCACTGCGATGGCACAGACCAGAGAGGTTCAGCGAGCCCGAAATGTCGATAAAAGCGCCAAAGTCCTCGACCTTGCGCACTTTACCGGTGACCGTCTGGCCCTCGCGAAGGTCGGCGATCGTGGTGAGCGGGACGTAGTCCTTCTCGATCACTGACGGCTTCAGGTCCAGCTCGATGCGGCCCTCGGATACGGAGATGACACGGCCCTTGACGAGCTGGTCGACTTGGTAGTGATCCTTCCAGTCCTTCAGATACGCGTCCGACAGGTTCTTGATCTTCACCAGCGCGACAACATCGCCACCGAGCGTGACGAAGAGCCCCTTGTCCGAGACGTTGCGGACGAATCCGCGGATGAGGTCGCCCACGGCGAGTTTTGTGCTCTTCGTGACCTCCTTGTCCTTGACGGGTAGCGACGAGTTGAGCACCCTCGACGGTCGCATGGAGAGCCGCAGCCGCTTGTTGCTCTTGTCGACCTCGACAACGGCCACCCGCACGATCTCGCTCCGCGAGTGCGACAGGGGGTTCGCCTCGTCGAAGTCGTCGGCCAAGTCTGCCAGGTGCACAGGTCCAGCGACCAGTTCGCTCAGCTTGACAATAACTTGGCGATCGTTGACCTTGGTGACCTTGGCGGGGAGGACCAAGCCTTGTTGGATCTTGTCCCAGGAGAGCTGGTTTGTCTCGCCAGGCTTCCGCGCCGACAGGTCGACCCGCTGCTTCTCCTGATCGACGGCGAGGACGCGCACCTGGAGCGCAGACCCCACGGGAAAGCTCTTTTCGAGGTTCGCTAGCTTGGCGAGATCGTCGGACGCCTCCATGGCGTTGATCCGACCACGAACGTTGGGCGATAGGTTTACCCATAGGAAGTTGGAGGCCACATTGTTGACGAAAGCGACATGGGTCGAGCCCACCTCAATTTGATTGAGCGATAGCGGGTCTGGGAGGGTGTCCGCTTGGAGATCGCTAGGCCGTGTCGAGAGCTCGAGGACCGAGTGACTGGACCGGTGGGTGATGGGGAGGAAGCGGTGGTTGCGAGCATCGTGAACACCGAGAACACGGACATCAATCACATCGTTGGGCTTGAACCGTTTCAGTGGCCGCTTCGGGTCCGGGATGTCTTCCCAATTATCGAATACCTGCGAGACATCAACCCGCCCCTGGATGTTGTCCGCAATCTGAACGTTGACCTGGGTCTCCTTAGCCGACTTGACTCTTGCCTTGGTTAGCTTCCCGATCGCAAGGTCCGCGATCGAAGTAATCGAATCATCCAGCGAGTTGACAGCCGCCTCGGTTGGCTTGGATGCCTTCTGCGTCTCCTCATCCGCGACGGAGGGGATTGCAACGACTAGCCGGCCAAGGTCCCTGTCGACGGAAGTAATCTTGACCGTGAGCGACTGGGTCTTGTGCATCCCAAAGCCAGGCGTGTCCTGCACACCGCGGGGCAGCCTGGATTTGGGAAGAAGAGCGGTAAGCTTCCCTGCGAATTGGACAAAGACGGCCGTGGCAGTGATGTTCCGGACGAAGCCGGCGACGGTGTCGCCCGCCCGGCCATTGTCGGCTGTCGCGAGGAGTTTGTTTTCCTTGCTGGCCTGAACAAGGCTCGGCTTGTGTGAGAGCGTAATTGAGCGCCGGGCCTCGTTCTTTTCAAGAACCACCAACTCCGAGAGCGTTTGGTTGACATGGATCTTCTTGAGGGCTGACTGCGTTTTGCTCACAGACTTATCCGTCAGGTGGCCTACGGGGAGAATAGCCTTGAGTGAGCCATCGACCAGCTCAACAAAGATATCGTCATCAGTTTTTTGCGTGACTTTGGCCGACACGAGGTCGCCGATTTGGAGCTTCTTGAGAGCGAGCTGCTTTTCCAAACCGAAGGCAGACGGATCCTTGCAAGACACAATAAGCCTGCGAGCCTCCGGGTCGAAGCTAAGGATGTAGATGCTGACGGTTTGGCCGGCGCGGAAGTGCTCTTTGGGATCGCTAATGTAGGCCTCGCTCATCTCGGAAACAGGGAGGAAGCCGCGCAGCCGGCCGTAGAACTGAACAATGGCACCATGCTGCAGGACGTTGACAATCGTACCGGGAGCCTGCAGGCCAACCGCCAGCTCCTCATATGTCTTGATCGGAGGCGACTCGGAGTTAACCAACGTCTTCTTCAGCGTCAAGCGGAGCTGGTGGTTGGCCGGGTTTGTCGAGAGGACGCGGGCCTTCACCTTCATGCCTTCCCTGAACTTCTTCTCCGGGTGTTGCAAGTGGACGTCAGAAAGGTGCATTTCGGGAACGAGACCCGAGATTCCGTCGGCGATGTTGACGATGAGGCCACCAAGACCGTCCTGGTTGATGACAAGCTTCTCAACCACACCAGGGACCACCGCGCCCACCGGGATGTCCTCAATCCGTAGGAATGGCTGCTCCAAGACCTTGTTTTCGAAGGAGAGGAGGAACATGCCATCAAAGTTGTTGTATCCAATCACCCGCCCGGGATGGACTGTGCCGACCTTGTATGGCCCGCTGTTTTCGAACAAACTGTCGACCTTGCCGTCCCTCACCCGAGAGATGTGGACGAACCCGGGAACCCCCTGGACGCCTACGTCCACGTAGAGGCCAATCCCCGGCTCGACCCTTTCGACCGTGCACTTTTCTACGATCGTCGAGTGGGCGAGAACTTTGGTCGGTAAGGTGTCGTCGTTGCTCGTCGTTTTCGGCTTCAGCGACAGGATATGGGGTAGCACGGAAATACCCAACTTGGGTAGCTTTGCGTTGGGGAACGTGCAGATAATCCTCGCCTTAATATGCGACCCCACCTTGTACTGGTCCGCGATGTCGACGCCATCAGGCCCTGCGCCTGAGTGGACGAGATCGGCCGTCACATCTAAGTGGCCCATCACCTTCCCGAGAACACCGTACTGAGACACTTCAGATATCAGAACGTCGGCCGCGGTGCCGGGGAGGAACGAGTCGATCGTCGTGGCCTTGAAAGGATTGCTTTTGACGCTACCGAGACGGTCGGAGAGCGTTGAGAGCTGCGCGACCTTGCCGCCCGCCGCTTTGCCCGTGACAATGCAGAGCAGAACCGACCCTGGTTGGAGGCTCTCTTCAGGAATGATCTTGTCGAGCTGCTTGCGCGGAAGGAACCCCTTCATGCTGGATTCGTTTATGCTGATGTCCATGACAAAACCGTGGTCTTCGACGCTAGCCACTGAGGCCATCACGGTGCTGTTTTCCACCACATCCTGTTCCGACATGCCCGAGTTGGCATGCGCGGGCTCGAGAGACAAGCCAATGTGCCGTTTTGATTTGCCTTGTGTCGACTCGTCTAGCGTTGAGCTTACATAGGCGCGCACATACTGGCCGATGTGGAATAGGCTCTTCGGATCGACGTCGTCGGGTCCATCGCCTTCAGACCCTCCCTCTTCATCATCGCTTTTCTCGGCGCTGTCCTGCAATCGTTGTGTCAGGGGCTCGGAGATGGCGGTAATGGGCACATGGCCAACGAGGTTGTTCGGAAGCGCAACGGCGATATCGAGCGCGTTGATGGCGCAGACGGTGCCGAGGACGAGGGATCCCTTGACCAGACGCTATAAAAATGAATGGGATTAGTAACCACCACCACCTTTGTTCCCAATGGCAATATCCTACCTTGAAATTCAGACTCTCCACCTTGACAGCGTCTTCGTCTTTCGCAGATTTCGTCGCATCCTCATCTGCACGCGACTTGCGCTTCTTCCTCCTGGAGGTTTTATCCCCACCCTTTTTCCCCTCTGACTGTTCCTCAAACAAGACATCTTTCTTCGCCTGGATGGAGATCTGCTTCTGTTCAAGCGGCGTGAGAACACTCCCACCACCTCGGGGGAACAGAGGTTCCTCCTCTTTCAACACCGAGACCACAGGTACTGGCACCGGTTTTGCCGGCGATTTGGGCTCTCTCCCGCCCTTCTTCGCATCATCCTTGCTCGCCGACTCGCTCGCTCTCGCCCGCTTCGACGGTCGCGACTCGGACGCCGGACGGGCTGATTTCGCAGCCGCAGAGCCGTTAGGGCCTTCCTTGCGCTTCACAGCGGCCATAGTGATGACGGGGCAGCTAGTGTTGCCGCAATTGGGGCCGTGGGCGTCAAGGGTTCTGCGATATGTTGTCGGCGCAAAGAATTGTCGTGAAACCAGGCTTCGAGGAAATGGCCATGCAACAAAATGCTACGGGCTAGCGAGAAGCTGCCCACCACAAAAATTTCTGGCGGGTCCCCGTCCGGCAGTAAGTGATAACGATAAGGCGGCTTGGCGGGCGGTGAAAGAACTGGGTGGGGTTTCTTGGGCGAGGGATTCAGATCGGAAAGCGCCCCAAAAGCGTTGAGCGAAGAGGCCGAGAAGCCACGGGCCACGTTCGGTCCAGGCCGGCTTGGGGGGCTCCACTGCTGCAGTTCAGGGGTGCGACCGCTGAACGGAGCGCTGATCACATGGCCCATGTCCAAACCGTCAGTGGATGCATTGGGGATAGTCAGACTCAAGACATGCAACGTTCACCGTTGAGACGCGTCCAGCCGACCTGTGGCAGAAGTATCGCTCTTTGTCTTCTCACTGTAATTTGTTGTGCCTGCGAATTTCCTCATATTGATCTTGTTATATTTGACGATTTTGTCGCGAAGCGCGGGTTACAGACCGATCATAGCCCAGCCCTCAACTTAGAGAAGCGGTCCTTATCGCTGGCTTGTGAGCGGATGACGTACAGAAGCCGATGAGCTTGCGCCAACTGGAGCGGCGGACCCCGACGACACCCGACTCGCGCAAGGCGCTCGGCAGGCAACAATAACAACAACGACCACGACTGAAAGCCCGCGCATTGGCCGCGATCCGAATCTCATTCATCACAGTCGCTACCGAGCCCCCATATTCTGCCGCGCATGTTTCGCTCCCTCGGATCCCGCAAGCGGGTCAAGCCGAACCCTACGGCTGACCCGACCACTCCCACGACTCCAACGACGGCTACGCCGACGACGGAGACAACAAATCCATCGTCAACCACGCTGCCGGAGTCCACTCCCAAAGCAGCGACGCCGAACGCCGCTCCTGTCGACCCTGCCGCTTCCGACGATAAGACCAGCAAGCCGCAGACCGCGAAATCGGGCAAAAATGGCGAAGCAACAGCGCCCACGGGCCCGGGTTCAAAGCAGGCACGTACATCGATCCTTCCCGCGTGGCTTCCCGGTATTTATTGCGCAGTGAACTTGAATTACTGACTGGAACGCATTTAGCTCGGCAAGCCTCGGAGCTGGTACGGATCGTGGCCCCGAGTACCAAAGTCCGCACCCTCGACCCAAGTAGCGCGAGAAACAATTCTAGCCAGCACATCGGCAGCCACGGGGACTGCAGATTTCAGTCGATTTGAACAAACCAAGCCCTATGATACCAGGAGTATTGGTGGTGGATCAGTGTTGGAGTCCAGCTTGCCGAAAACACACACAGATTTATCGACGCCTCGAGAACCGCGAGCGCAACAACCCCAGGAGCCGCCTATGGCGCCCGTATCTAAGAGTGTGGCAAAGCCTCCGGGAGCCTCGAATCCCGATAATGATACAGAAATGACAGATGCAGGGCAGCCCGAAGATTCTTCGCAACCGCCCCCAGAGCAACCTGCAACAACAACAACGGCAGCGGAACAGGCGCCAACCGCGGAACCAACACCTCAGCGGCCTGCGTCCGGGTGGTTTGGTGGGTGGCTGGGAGGGTCTACGCCTGCTGGGCCCCCACCGGCAAAACCAACCGATACTCCCACGGCTCAATCAAGTTCTCGGGAAGCAGACGTACCACCACCCGCGCAAGCTGAGGCTCCTGAGGTTGAGGTGTCCGAGGTGGACAAAGAAGCACCCCAACCAACGCCGGAAATGACCGAGGTTTTCACGCCACTGGAGGCTCAGGATAAGGCGGCTGGCGGATATGGAGCCTATGGTAGTGCGTGGTTGTGGTCTTGGTCGGGCAGATCGACAGCCACCTCTGCTGATTCCCAACCTAAGGCACAACCTTCCGCTGCGGGCCCGGAGGCTGCTCCTTCAGCGGCCAAGGAACCTGAGGACGTTGTCATGGAGGATGCCCCGGCAGCAGAAGCGGCTCCGGAGTCCCCAGCGCCCGCTCCAAAGGCTGGTTCTACCTGGGCATTTTGGTCTCGCGATTCGGGGTCTGCTCCAACTAAGCAGCCGGCTGAGCAGAAGCCAGAGCAGGGCCACATTGCCGTGATGGGAGAAAGCTCTGAAACCCACCCGCAAAAAGCGAATCAGATGGAGTTCAAGAGTTCGCCCGTGAAAGAACCTCCGCTTAAGTCTGGCAAGAAAGAGGAGCTGGTGAAGGGCGCAGCCACTCCCTCCCGAGAGGCACCCTCGAAGAGTAACAAACGAGCGCGCCCCAAGTCGATGGAGGGTGATGACAAGGCTCCTGAACGTCCAAGTACCCCGAAGGTTGGTACTACCACCAAGACATCCGCCCCCAAAACCCCGGTTTCAGCGACCAAGGTCGTACCACTAAACCTCGTATTGCCTTCCTTCGACGGGACGTACAAACTCAAGGAGAATCCATCGATTCTCAAACAAATCACCCAGTTGCTCCTTAGGACGCAGCAACCGGCCGGAGATCACGTCTATCTCACAAAGGAGACCCCCAAAATCAAAAGGGCCATTGCCATCGGCGTCCATGGACTCTTCCCGGCGAACTACCTCCGTCCCATGATCGGCCAGCCAACGGGGACATCCATCAAGTTTGCCAACCACACGGCCGACGCCATCCGGCGATGGGCCGACAGTCATGGCTGCTCGGACTGCGAGATCGAGAAAGTGGCGCTTGAAGGCGAGGGTAGGATTGGCGAGCGGGTGGAAAATTTGTGGAAACTGCTACTGAACTGGATCGACACTATCCGGAAGGCGGATTTGATTATCATCGGGTGTCACTCGCAGGGAGTGCCGGTCAGCATTATGCTGTTGGCCAAGCTTATTGAGCTGGGGGTGGTCGCGTCCGCTAGAGTGGGTGTGTGCGCTATGGGTGAGTGACTTTTGATGGTATAATCATTCAGCTTGATCATGAACTGACATTGTGTATGTAGCTGGCGTTTCCCTAGGGCCGTTCCCCGACTACAGGTCTAGCATGGGCATTCTCATGGGCTCGGCAGCCGAGCTCTGGGAGTTTGCTGACCCCTACAGCGAGGTATCGAAACGTCTCGAGGCGTCAGTTAAGGTGGCTCTGAAGTATGGAGCCCGGATCACGTACATTGGGAGCATTGACGACCAGCTGGTACCGCTGGAGGTTCGTTCAGTTCCCCGTTTATTCTCGATATTGTACCACAATTACTGACTGAGATACACTTGCAGTCCGCCATCTACGCACCCGCTCATCACCCCTACATCTACCGCGCCGTCTTCATCGACGGGCGCATCCACGCTCCAGATTTGTTCGTTTCCCCCCTTTCCTTCTCTCCCCAATACCCTTTCTGTACATACTAATGCGTCTCAACCAACAACAGCATCGCCCACCTAGTCGGCTTTGCGCTCAAGCTTCGCAACCTAGGCGTATCCGACCACGGACTGATCCGTGAGCTATCCACACCGCTCGCGGGCAGCCTCTACTCGGGCGAGGGCCACTCCAGGTTGTACGACGACGGGCAGGTGTACGATCTCTCTGTCACCCACGCACTGGAAACTACGGACACCAAAGGGGCTTGCGAAGTCGGGATGCATTACCGGCGGGATATATTTGGCGGTGCAGACAACAGCAGTAACAATAACAATGGTACCAGCACGAACGGCACGGGGATGGGTAACAACAACAACAATGCTGCTGCTGCTACGAGCCTCTCAAACCCGAACCCGTATCACCTGCCGTGGATCATGCGCGGGATGCTGGAGGAGGACTTTGTCAAGACGGAACTGTCTGCCGAGACAGCTGAACTAGTCCGTCAGTTTGACGATTGGAAACCGGTGACTAAGGCGCTCAAGGATGTCAAGTATCGGTTGGAGGCGGTTAGGTCGAAGTTGTGACGGGTTGATTACACTTGAGGTGTTGATGCATGGGTTTGGTTTAGACCGGCCCCGGCGAGCGGCCAGGAAGAAATGGGTTATATTTTGGGTGTTGTGAATTCAGGCTGCACTTTTGGGGGGTGGGCAAGCATGGGGTTCGGCGTTTTGGTATGGGCTCATGGAAGGTCGTGATAGATGATATGGATGGTTTGGACTGGACGGATTGAGAAGGGTTTGTCTTTATGCGGGTTGTTCTCTGCGATTGGGACAGCGATAGATGGCCGCATCGATACGGAGACTGCCAGATAGTACAGGGGAAATATACACATTTACAGGTAGCTTATGCAATGTAGTACAGGCTACGCCGGTAATTACACGGACAATTGCGCAGCTTTGATGTGGGTATTTGGGCATAGCGTTGTGGCATGATGGGGAAGACTGCGCGGTTGTGAAAGGCCTGTCTGTCTATACATACATCCACTCTCACAGTTGAACTAGTAGTTACACTTTGCCATGCGTTCTATCCCAAATCGTACATCATCATTCCTCGTCCACTACATGATCCTCTCTATGTTGCAAAACGCCCACCCACTGACACAACACCCTATTGCTTCCCTAATTCCCACTGGGACACAATATCCTGAATCTGCTCCCACGACACCTGCGAAGTCTTGACCCCATGCGCCATCGCTTCATGCAGCACCACCGTCGGCGCCCCACTTCCAGCCCCAGGGTTGTTCACCAACCCGCCCACCACCATCCTCGCGACACGGCGCAAGTCGGCAATGGTGAGCTCGTTAATGCGGCGCGTCATCTCCTTGACCGGGATCTTGCGGCCGTGCACCTGAATCTGGCGGCCGAGGTCTTCGAGCTCGACCATGCGGCTCTCGAGGTTCATTAAAAGACTGCTGCGCAGCTGGTTCTTAGCGCGCGCAACCTCCACAGCGTTGAGGGCTCCGTAGCCCGTCGTACTGGTGAGAGCTTGCAGCTCGCGGCACATGACCTGAAGCATGGGCGCCGTACGTCCTGGGTAACACGATGCGGCGATGCCGAAGAGGCCCGAGTCGGTGTAGGAGTGGTTGAAGGCCACGCAGGATTCGACCCAGCCGTGCTGGTTGAGCACGTTGGTATACAGCCGCGAGTACATTCCCTTGCCTGGCCCGCCGGCTGAGAAGGACCCGCCGCCGCCGAGGAGGATTTGTAGAGTAGCTAGGGCGTAAATATCACCGGACGATATGGGCAGGCCCTCGAAGGCGAGTTGAATGTGGGTAAAGGTCGGGATGTTGGGGTTGAGTGGAGGCGATTGTGGTGGAAGGGAGAGGAAGCCGCCGGTGTAGTGAGCGGGGCGTGTCAAATCTTCGGCTGAGATGGGAATGATCGGTCCGGAGGAACGAGAGCTAGCCGAGTTGGCGAAGCTCTTGAGGAACGGAATTTTAGATAGAATGCCGGATGGTGCTGGTGGTGATGATTCGGATGTTGCTGAGGAGGAGGAATCGCTGGAAACGCTCGAAGCATCGGTGGATTCGGAGCTCGCGGAGTCGAGCGAGGTTTCTGACCCCGTCCTCGTGAGAGCCGGCTGCGGTGCCTTCATATCTCCAAAGTGTTTCTCGGCCAGCTTGACAGCTTCTTCGTGGGGCACACCGGCAAATGCCACGACCATGCGCTCCGGTCGGTAGAAAGCGTCCCGGTAAGCCTGGATAACCTCCTTATTGATCTCACCCAATCGGTTCTGTGGACACAACAGGGGGTGCCCGAGTGTGTTGTCTTTGAAAGCGGCGGTATGTATTAACTCAGGGAGGATGAGTTCTGGCTTGGACCATATTTCACCCACTTCGTACTCGGCCGTCTCGAGCTGCTGCTCAATCTCTTGCTCGCTAAGCTCGGGGTTGCGGATCGTGTCGGCCAGTAGTCCGACAGTCGTAGGGATGGCCGAGTTGAAGGTAGCAGCCTGATACATCATCGACTCCCGGGATGAGGCGCATTGGATGTTCCCGCCCAGCTTCTCAACACTTTCGAGCATCTCATCGGCGGTCCGCGAGAGAGTCGACTTGTATGCTAACCGGTCCATGATGTGGCTCGCACCACGTACCGAATCGTTCTCATACCGCGATCCGGCATCGATGTAGACGCCAACTCCGGAGAAGGCATCGGGGAGATCTTCCGAGGCCACGCGGATGCCATTAGATAGCGTGGTGATCTTGTCGCGCTCTGTCGGCTCCTATCATTGCCATCGGTAAAGTTAGCGCACAAGTTTCTTTCTGCGGGGCGCGCAACCGAATTCCCCAGCCGCGCCGCAATCCCATCCTAACAGCCCACTTGAGACGCCTTCCCCTTTTCTCTCTTTCTCCCTCCTTCGCTGCCTCTCTCCCCCTCACTCACCTTAGCGGGGGCCTTGATCCGGATCCCTGGGCTGACAGACGTCGCAAATGTCCTCGCCTGCACAGGCGGGCATCCAGCCCTAAAAGTGCTGGTCCATGGCTGACGGGTTCGGGACAGCAGCCGTGTTGACCGGCAGGATCGGAGCATAGCTGCGGTTGGGTCCGGCAGTCCGTTTGAGGCGGGTGCTAGGTGTCGTCGCAGAATTTCTTGGGGTCCGTCACTCTCCAGCAGGGAATCACAAATCCACAACCAGCACCACCATGCTGCAGTCGCCGTTGTTATCGATAAGACATTTGCGGGACAATAGCTTAGCTAAGCATTCAAGGTTCTCAGCCCCACCTGCCATTTCTCTTGTCATACCCGAGATGGTGTCGACGGCACGGCTGAACATTCGGGGCACGGGGACCAATTCACGAATCTCCCTGACCCGTACCAACATCATTAGCTCCGGCGCACATGCACGGAAAAGATAAGACGGAGAGAAAAGCCAGGAACGAGGGTTACGATTGGGCACAACTTTGCGGCTGCGTCGTCAGAGGTAAATAAGTAAACCCAGCTTATGGAACGGGTTGGACCACCACAAATCAAGCCCTTTGTGCCTCCATCTCAGCATTGCCATCAATCAATAGCGCTCGACGAAGGGCGGTCCCCACGGCCGCGACCAGGGGTCAGTGGCCTCGCGCGAGGCCCAAAGAGGTGATGCGGGGGGTTGTTTTCGCGGGCCAACTGCACTGCGCCAATAGACCCCCTGTCCTTGAACAACATGCAGTCGCTGCGTGCCATTTTGTGCGGAAAGAATGGAATCACCGTTGCCGCAAGACGCGAGTGGGCGGAAGTGGAAGTGGAAGAAGGGCGAGAGGCTGGGCAGTGGATTATCGTGTCTTGGTATCTCGGGAGGTCCTAGGTTACCTTGGAATCGATGGAAAGGCTCCTTCCAGTCAGCGCATTGAGCACTTGTGATTCTGGCGGCGGCACAGCAAGAGGTCCAGCGCCCAGTGCCACCGGGCTCGCCGTCCGGGACTAAAAATTTATTGCTCTCCTAAGAACCTCAAGTTGAGCTCGTGTCGTGCTGATCTGATCTCGTGCATGACTGCCACTCGACTTAGAGCGACGATCTCTGGGCATCTCCAAATTACAACCTGACTAGTACACTGCGCGCAGGCGAGGACTGAGTAACTAGCTCGGGCGAATTACTCACAAAACGGAAGGCCTACCTGAATTTGCATTTTCAACAGCGAAGGCAAGAGCACCTCTTTTCCTAGGAAAACACCGCGGCCGACTACAAATCAGCCCACTTCCCTCTGGCCACTGCCTAGGCCAACAGCAGCGTAACGGGCCATTTTGATCTACCCTTCCGGCCTCCCGTTACGTGCCCGGCGTTTGTGTTGAAGGTTGGGGGCCTCCTAACCCAGGTCATCGGGCTCTTCAGTGGAATAGGCCCCGCATGCCTCGCAACTTCGAACCTTACCTCCAGCCGGACTTCCAGATTCCCGTCCTTATAGCACGTTCCGCTTCGAACTTTTTTCTCCGGTAAGGTTCCCTCCCGAAAGCCGGGTTGCGCTGCGGTTGGATCGTCCGGCCCAACTTTAGGTTCAAATCGCTTGGCATATTTAATCCCAGGCAGAGCCACCTATTCTCAAGCCCAATTCCCACCCACTAATCTAGCAATTAATTAGGGGAAGTTAGTGGGCTTAGGCGAAACATTCTCAGCACCTTTTCCACCCATTTCCTCCTCTAAGTTCCTCGAAGATACCACCACAACGCAGCGCCTCCCTTCCGAGCATCCAAGCAGCTCGTCATTTACAATCGCCACCACCCGTGCTGCCGCCGGGCGAATCAGGAAGCCCGCGACCCGTCTCACTCCGAGCCTGCGGATTTCCATCGTCAACAACCCGACCGCGGTCGACAGGTGACGTGACTGCACCTGGTTCTTCGGTCTCGGGGACGCTTTTATCTTTTCGCCCCCTCCCCCCTTGCCGCCCGGTGCCCCGTCAATGTTTAGTCAACCAGCAACCTCGCCCACGTCCACGGGGCCTGGAAACCTGGTAGTCTCCCCCGTGACAGCAACCCCCGCCGCTTCAGCCCAGCCGTCGAGGAGCAGCCGGCTGCGAGGCTTGGCCTCCCTGCGAAATTATACGCAAACCCACATCCTGTCCCGCGAAACAAGTTCCCACAGCTCGCACTCGCACTCACCCGCTCCCGCGCCCGCCTCATCGGCCCCATCACCTTCTGCCGCGATCGCATCCACCAATCCGTGGTTCAGTGCACTCCGCAGCGATTCCGCCCCCACGCCAGAGGCCACCGGCACGACGAGCAACAGCAGCGGGAACACAACGACCATTACCAGCAGCACCAACAATCCCTCCTCGTCGGCCCGCCCAAACCGTTTCTCGCAGCTTGTGCCGACACTATCCCACCCCACTCCCAACAATAACAACAAGGACGGCAACGCATCCCGATCTGCCAAGGCGATATCTACCCCTCACCAGCCCACGGCCGACGATAACATGACGAGAGCTCGATCGGCCACGGCCGGCGATGCCCTCACCCACGGAGCGGCCGGCAGCGGCGGTCTCGATGCGCTACCCTCCATTCGCTTCAGCACATTTTTCGACCCTCGCGCAACGAGACCATCGCTAAAATTCTCACCGATTTCGCGCACACTCCCGTCTGGCAAGGAGATCATTCGTGTAGGCCGGTATTCCGAGAGGGACAACCAGCCCAATGCACCCTCCAACGCTCCCTCGGCAGCGCCCGTGGGCTTCAAGAGCAAGGTGGTCAGTCGGCGACACTGCGAGTTCTGGTACGAAGATGGAAAATGGTACATCAAGGACGTCAAGAGCAGCTCGGGCACCTTTCTCAACCATATTCGCCTGAGCCCCCCAGGGACGGAGTCCAAACCCTATCCGATCAACGACGGCGATATCGTACAGCTGGGCATCGATTTTAAGGGCGGCGAGGAGATGATATTCCGTTGCGTCAAGATGAGGTTGGAACTGAACCGCGGCTGGCAGAACAAGCTGAACACTTTCAAGTAAGCATACCTCGCCCACATAGCATAGGCCATCGGGGCCTTAAGAGAAAGCGCTAACCCGACCCCCTGTAGCATGGCCACCCATAAGCGGCTGAGAAACATGACTGCTGGTACCCCCAGCACAGCAGGGGCATATTCTCAAGACTGCTCCATCTGCCTCAACAGCATAGCAGTAAGCAGCTTTCCCTGCCCCCCTTACCAGTTGAACGAGTTGCTAATACCCATGGACAGCCGTGCCAGTGCCTCTTTGTGGCCCCCTGCTCCCATACATGGCACTACAAGTGCATTCGTTCTCTCCTCGCCTCACCATCCTACCCCATTTTTATCTGTCCCAACTGTCGCGCGGCGACGGACCTAGAAGCGGAAGTGGAGGACCCGGAAGAGTGGGAACAGCTTGACTCGGACGAGGGTGTGGCCGCCCAAGAAGGTGCGCTTCTGCAGGCCCCAAACATCGAGTCCAACAACACGAACGGACCCGTCCCGGCCCCGCCACGCCGATCGAGAGAATCAGTCCGGAGCGCCCGGCTTCACGCTGCGCAGCAACAGCAACAACAGCACTTCCAAAGACCCCCTTCCAACGAAGTCCCCGAAGTAACCATGATTCTCGATTCGTCCCCGTCACGACAAGAGTCGCCCCCGCCCCAATTCGACGGCGTCACTACCCTTGCTGACCCCTCGGCCTTATCCCATGCTCTGTCGAACCCGATGCCGATTCCTTCCCCCGGCCAACGCAGCAATAATGGCGGTATTCTCGGCAGCGGTGGTAGCAGCGCCCCGGAAGGGCACCGCAGCACGAACCGGACGCCGTCACCGACGGGCGGTGCCCCCGCGACTAACGGACACGAAGGCCCCATTACACCCCGCAACGATGCCGGCCCTTGGGTATTCGACGGTAGCGGCGTGCGGCTAAGCCAAGAGAGCTCGCGACCAGCGGCGGCCGCGCTGAGTGGAGCGGGAAGTGGAGCCGCGCCATCGCGGCCCGGGAGTATCGAAGCGGCGGTGCAGGCTGCTGGGGGGCTGAGGGCTTTAGAAGACGAGGTCTTGTAGTGCTTGCAGCGGTTAAGTAACGCCTTAGCAGAGGGGCGGCGGGGATCTGAACCAGGACCGGGTACCCGACCGGATCGTAACGAATCTGGGGAGGGGAACGACCCAAGAGACGGGGAACCGAATATTTGAGTCGAGTTGAGCTTAGAATTCAGAGCCACTACAGTGGTACCAAACCATCTCATCTCAAGACAAGGAATGGGACTAGCAGTGTCCGAGATATGGAAACGTAGGAAATCAAATGGTGTGATTAAGGGGGCAGGCAGGCAGGGAGGAATCTGTGATCTTAGGGGTTCTGCCATTTCTTGCTTTTTACCTTCCTCTTGCGGTTCATTAGCGGGTTGGTCATTGCGATGCGTTCTGTGGGATTGGGGTTGGAGAGGAAGGAGGATGGATGGGTGGGAGGGACAGTTTTGTTGATTATTATCATGGTCATCATCAGTTTTCATTGCACGGCTTTAGGTTTACGTATTGAGGTTTATTGTTCTTTGCTCCGTTTTGAGACAAGACGATACGAGAAGAAGAGAACCAGTCAGACAGTCGAAGTGCGTGTTTGTTTTCAGCGGGTGTTGGTAACATGGTTTTTGGTCGTGTTTTGTTTCACATGATGATGACTTGGCTTCCTTCCGCGCTGTGATGGGGGGCTGGTGGTGATAAATTGTTATGATTGTTTTTGCTTTCTCTTCTTACCGGGACATTCGTCCCTTGGTGTTAGAAAAATCTAAATCCTGGTTCCTCTAATGCTGTTTTCCTCCGTTCCTTCGCTCATGGGTGGTGAAGACGTGGCTAAGATTATGATATTATGACCGTCATGACAAACGATCATTATGAAATGTGGGAAAGCACTCCTTTAAACCCCAGCCTCGTACAGAGAGAATGTAGGTGTGTCAATGAGTTGTATGAGCAGTAGAATAACCCCAGAATATTATACTTGGACGGTCATCTGCAGTATATGCACCACGCGACCACAACCCACCTACCTCTCTCCTCTACTCTCACTGCCGATATTACTTCCCATCTCGAACAACACCCCACCGCCCCCTATACCTCCATCCCTTACCAACCCCTACTTCTTCCCAAAAACAGCCGCACCCACCCGTTCAATCTCCCGCCCTTCCTGCGTAGTCCGTCCCGCAGCCTCCAGCAATTTCGCCCAAGCATCTGCGTCCCGCGCCTTGACGGCCTCCTCGGCTGCCTTCACACGTAGTCCACACTTCTCATACATGGTGATTGACTGTCCCGCAGGCAGACCGGTGCATTTGCTGATGAACGTCGCGGCCAGACGGGGGTTGCCGGCTTGGAGGGTTTGGTTGTAGAAGGGCTGTTTTAGGGAAAAGGGGGGGGGGGGGGGGGGTAGTGGTTGGTCTTTGTATTTTGTTTCGTGAGGAGGGCGGTAGAGAGGGATGGGGCAGAATGCTTTGAAGTTGTGGATGAAGTGACGTACCTCCCAGCCGATGGGGCTTCTGCGTTGGCGAGATATTTCCTCGATTTCGTTCCAGTCGCGTTTGGCGACGAGGGCTTGGAGGCTAGATTAACCATGTGTTAGCTGCCTTTTTGCATATTTTGCTTGCTGCCCACTCGTGCGGTGTGGACATACCGAATCCACCACGCCACTTTCTCCGGTACCTTGAATTCATTCTGGATCTTCTTCGCTCGGCCGTGGTACCCGAGGCGGATGAGCTTGAACATCGTCTGGTTTACTGAGAGACCGGTAAATTTATCGGTGAGATCTCGGTCAAATGCCTCTTGCATCCGCAGGAGCGTTGTGGCTTCTTTTAGGGTGGTCAGCTCGGATGCGTGCTCTCTGGTGTTGTCCCCCAGTAGTTTTGCGGCCAGCGCGAGCTTGTCACTGGCTGTGCGGCTCTCGGGTTGCCGCATGGCTTCGCGGATAAACACGGCCGCGCCATCAAGACGCCGGTCGTCTTGGTAGTATAAATCCTTCAGTAGCGTGGTGTCCTCGCGGCCGTCGCCGTCTCCTTGGCGAGCGGATGATTCCACGAGGGCCGTAGCGGCTGGCCGACTGCTGATGGCGCGGAAAAAGCCAGCCAGCGGCAGCTTACGCCGGAGTTGGTGTAGGACAAAGTAGATAAGATCCGTATCGCCGCTTTCGATGGCTTTGTCCAACGCCAATTCGTCCTCCTCCATGCTCAATAGTAAAGGAACCTGCCGCCCGGCCCGTGGCTCGTGGTTGAGAAGCTCGGTGGTCAAGCGCCCCCTTCCTTCGTCATATGCCGCGCGGGCAATCACCTCAAAGGAGATCCCAGGCTTGCCAGACAACTTCTCTACGATCTTCCTGCAGACCGTGTCGTCGTCGTCAGCGCCGAGGCGGACCTTGGCTGAGGCCCAGTGAACATAGATTTTGTCCGTCGGTAACCGAAGGTAGCCCGCGATACGGAGTGCTAGCAAATATTCGTGACGATTTAGTAAACGGGAGATGAGGCCGGATGGTGACAGGCGTTGGTATTGCTCGTATGATAACGGCAGGCCGATCTCAAAAAAGCGGACGGCATTTAACACTCTGAGAGTCTCGCACATATCTACAAAGTCGTCGCTGTTGTAGACATCCAGCACCGACTTTCCGAAGGAGGCAGCCTTAAGCAGCTGTTTTTGCCAGTGGACGCTAAACTCCTGACCGGCAGCATTGACGCAGGCATCAACTGCCTCGACTAGGTGTGGCCGGATCAGTTGGATATTGGCGTCGGCTTTGGGAGATTGCAACTCGAGTTGCTCGACCGCGTCTAGGAGGATGGCTGCGCGCGAGTCTGTTCCGAGGCGGAATATCTCCTCGGTGACATCAGGCACCTTTTGAAGAAAGTCGCATGTATCGTTTGCTAGAATTCTGACTCCATCGTAATCTGATAAACAGTAAGAATAAGGCTCGCCTCGGGGTTTGTCAGCCTACAACGTACCTGGAATGATGTGTACCCGCCCGCTGTCGTAAAAGAACGTAGCTAGCGAGCCACTTGGCCCCACGAGATGGATTTCGTCTTCCCAGGCAATAACCACGGCATCGTTGCCGCACCACTCAAAGTACTTGGGCGGAATTTTGGATCCCGAGTGGTGCTCGCTGAGCCGGTTCTGAAAATCGCTGGTAACGACATGGGCTGTGCCGGTTGCCGTGTAGAGAGCCGAAAACCTTCCGTTCGGCGAGACGGCGATGTGGGCAAAGGGTCCGATATCCAAAAAGCGGTCTTCGCACTCTGTCGCGTCCGACACATAGATTGTCTGGCCAATGCTCAGGAGCACCTCTACCGACCGCGAAAGGGTATAAGCGGGCGGGATGATGTTCCAAGCATGGACCTGGCCCTCTGGTGGCGGTGCCAACAGCTTGGGACGGGGCTCGTCGTATGAGGAGACTGACACTAAAGAGTTGTTGTTCAGGAGGGCGACAAGCCCGTTACCGTAAAATCGACACGATTTGACCCCGGCCTCGTCGGCAGCATTGCCTAGCGAAAACTGGTTAAACTCGCCATGAAGGTCGTAGTAGCACCTGACGGAACCCTCAGCCGTGACAACGAGGAGCTTCTCGTCTTCAGACCACCCTAGGCCCTTGATGGGGCCTTGGTCCCAGTTAATGCGGCGGATCAGTTTGCCAGCGCAGCTGTAGACGTCGATGCTGGGCTTGGACGAGCGCGTGGGTTGGTAGGCGATCAGCTTGTCGTCGTCTCGGTAGAGGGCTACTGATGTATTAGGCCCATCGATACATGATAGAGTTACATAAATTTGAATGAAAACCGCCTACTTACCAATGGCGCCGCCATAGGGAGCACCGGCGACCAAGTAGTTGTCCAAGTCCAGATCCTGGTCAAATACCTGCGTGTAGAGTTGTGTTTTGCGATAGAAGCGCTCACCGAGCTGTTCCCAGCCTGCGGTGGGATGAACGATGTCCATGGTATGTCATGTTCCCATTCTTGGCTGAGTTTGGATTCGTCACTCGGCACCAGGCGGGAAGTTAGGCTAGTGAGAGACGTGGTGTTGTGATGAGTGTGAACCCAAATTGGGTGAGCCTGCACGAATAGTGAGGGAGCTTGGAGCTTCTGACCCCTGTCAGCAGGTGCCACAGTGGGCCGACCACATGCCAGCCCCCCAACATCAAAGCACTAACCCTAACCCCGGTAACTGGGCACGGAAACCCGAGCTCAGGCTGTTGCATCATCAAAGCCGATGTCAAACGCTGGTTCACAACATTGACCAGGCGTTGTTCTCTGTTGTTCTTTCTTCCCACACTTTTTAAAGCTCAAATTGCTAGTGTCAATCAACGCAAGAAACTAATAGGACCAACGTTAACACCATGGCGGACTGGCGACAAGAGTTTGTCACCGGTATTCGGGACGCCGAGAAACAATTCCCCTACGACCGAGAGCTTGTGGCCGCATGTTAGTCCACCCGCCCCGCCGTCGGAAAAGTTCACTCAATTCAAGGACGCGGAGGCATTATTTGCCAGTGAGATCTAATTATTTTCTAGACTCTCAACTCGTCGACCGTGTATCCGTCCTCGAAGCTGAAAAAGCAAGCGCCCAAGCGCAACAACAACCATCCGGTACCTCGACTCCCAACCCCGCATCAGCCGCCAAATCCTCGCCAGCTCCAGCCTCACCCGCCCCTCAGGCTCCAGGGGCACCACCCACCGACGATGGACCCCTCGTAGCCCGGCTCCGCCTCGAGCTCGCCGAAGCCCTCCGCGCCAAGGGTCAATCCCAACAGCGCCTCCAAACCGCCGAAGACGAGCTCGCCCGGCTACGCAGCAAAGCGACGGCCGACACCAAGACCCTGCGCGACCTCACAGCCGAGCGCCGTACACTCGTCGTAAAGCTACGCGACCGCGACGAGGAGCTGCGTGTCAAGAATAGGCTCGTGGCCGACGTGCAGGACGAGTTAGCAGTGCTCAACATGCAGCTGGACATGGTGGAGAAGCGGCGGGCTGAGAAGGAGGCCGAGAACAAGCAGCTGGTTGAGCGATTCATGAAGCGCGTCGGACAAGAGGCCGAGGCCATGAATCTAGCCAACGACCCGTTGTTCAGCAAGAAGCGGTGAGAAAAAGGCGGTGGTCTATGCGAGTTTTGATTGCCTTTCTCGGTTGAAATACCCGGCCTGTTGAGGCCAGAGCTGTTTGATGTTGAACAAGGTATGTACATGTGCCTACAAGGTATCCGGTCTATCCGCTCATCATTGCTGGGCTCTCCCGGCGCTTCCATATGTCCTCCCCAAGCCGTTTCCTGAATCACACACGCGCGGGTATCACCGTGGAGCGATACTAGGTATCAAACATATCCCAAACACCTTTCAAGCACTAATGCCAGCCCAACCGTCCTGACCCCCCACCCCCCCCTTGTAAATCTCACCGCAAAGTCTCTAAAGGCGTCGCTAAACTTCTCCAGACCAGCGCCGACTACCTCCTTGTCGAAATGCAAAACGTCCCGGAAGCCCCGGTCCAGCTGACATACCCCTCTGGATACCGGTGATGTTCAACCTCCAAGATCGAAGACGCCACATCATTCTCCGAGTTTCCGCTTCCATGGACAAACGTCTTAAGCGATATGATTTTGCAACCAATCTTTAAGTCCAAAAACATGTTGACGAGGTTGTCGTTCAGCTCTGATGTAAAGGCCTGGTTGTTAACCAGGATGACGTCGGCACGTTTGAGCGCTGCCATCGTACGCTCGCTCTTCCGGAAGTCACCCCGTTCAAGGTACACCTTGCCAGGCGCAATACCCCACAATCGACAACGAGCGGTAAACTCCTTCTTTTGGGCCTCCGCCAAGTTGCACGCATTCTCCATCATCTCGCAGCCCCAACTCTCGCACCCGCGCTCCAGCGCCGCCTGCAGCGTCACGTTACCGACGCCTGAGCCGAGATCGACGAAAACCTTGTCAGAACTGAGCTTGGTGCGATCAAAGATGTCCGACACGAACGGGTGGAGCAGCTCGCCGTAGACATTGTCGCTGCCGTTCTCGTACTTGGCCAAAAGCTCGACCTTGGGCGCCACGGTGCGATCATACACCTGGTCAAGGATAAATTCGACCAGCTCTCTCGGCACACCCCGCATGGCGTCGATATTTCTAGCGATTATCCCTTTCTTCTGAAGGGTCAGCAGCTGCTCGTTGTAGTCGGCTAGAGCCGCCTTGAACCCAGCACCGTCGTTGGTGTTCTTGCTCTTCTCCAGTCGACGGTATATGCCATTGTTATGGTCGGTAAACGGCTTCGCTTCGGCGCTGGTGAGGTATACGGACGCCATCAGTCGGACCACCTTCATGATGTCCTGGGCGCCGTCGATCTTATCTTTACCCCACACAAGCTCGTAACTGCGCTTTGTTAGCATTCCGCCGCGCCTGCATGAACGACCAACCATCATGAAAAAGAGTGCTCTTACCGCTCCATGTGCTTCGACCCGGGATACCGCAATCGAACCCCGACCTCGTCCCGCGCCAGCTTCATCACCGGCTGACACCGATCCTCAAGCGACGCCACATCCACTGCGTGGACGATGCGCGGTTTCTCCTCCTCGCCCTCCCCTGCCCATAACTTGGGATGTCTCACCCTCCGGTCCGGGTCCTCCGTATGCGCCCGCTTGGTTCGCTTGCTCGGGTCTAACCGGTCGCGCCAGTCATCGTCATCGTCCGACCCGGGCTCGGAGTCGCTCAACACCGGAACGGGGCTAGCGGTCGCGGGGGATCGACTGTTTGCGGGCGCGCGTCGTTTACGGCCCGGGTTCAGGAGACCGGAAGAGCCGGCTGGTGATGATGATGATGCGGGGGATAACCGGGAGTAGGTATCAGAGGGGGACCGGCGGTTGCCATTGCTGTTTTGGGGCACCTGGAGGCGCTTGGCGGCGAGCGTTAACGAAGGAGTAGGCGACCCGCGCGGCGTGCCGTGGGCGCTACCGTGTCCGTTAGATCTGTGGGCGGTAGCGATCTTCCTTTCGGGTGTCGGCGCAACGGCTTGCTTGACCTTGCGGACTTCCGTCTTGACTTTGAATTTCGATTTTTGGTTGAATATGCTCATCTTGGCGGTTCCGCGCTGCGGCCGCGGGCTCGGATAAGGGTAACCGTCGGGTAGGGGTCTCGGATGACGCGCAGACAATGCTGCGGGTCTGGTGCTCGGTCGGTGGGTAGAGAATAAAGAAATACAATCGAATAATCCGCCTGCCGATGCAATGCAATGTGCTGTGAATCCAGAATGCGAAATGCGAAATGCGAAATGCGAAATGCAATGCAACTGGCAACGCGTGCTGCACGTGGGGGAATGTGGGCGGGCGGGTCCTCGTTACCGGTCGGCCGGGGGGAGGTTGCGCGCCCGGAAAGGAATGCCAGAGAAAATAGAAAAATGGAAGAACTAAAACGCTATTCGCTTAACGATAAGTTCGCCTCGATGTCATCGAGTATCGAAGGTGTTATCTCAAAATGAGGGGAGGGAAAAAAAGAATGAATGGCAAAGCTGCGGGGTTTGAGACACAAAGGGAAGAAGGGATAGGAGGTTGCGAAGACCCTGAAGACAGGTGAAGCGTGACTAGGAAGCGGGCGCGTCCGCCTCGGCCGCCCGCCCGCCTGCAAAGCGAGCAGCAGCGCAAGGCTGCCTGCATTTGGGGAAAACCGCAGACCCACATGTTACGACGACAATTCTTGCTGCCAGCTGCTAGTATGATGTGCCGGCTGTAGAGAGGTGCCAAATATCATGTGACCTGGTGCCTCAAATTGCGTTTCACTGGTAACAGTGGGTTGAGGATTCCGACCACGCTTGTCTCCTCAACACAACGAGGGGAGGAGGGGTCTGTTTGAGTCAAGCCCATATATTTTCCTCTCAAAATTACATTCATCCGTACCTACCAGTTGATTTTTTACTTTCTTGAACTTCTTAGCCGATTCTAATACCCATTCTTGACGGTTCACCTGTTCTTACCTCTTTGCCCGTGTCACCGTGTCTGCCGGGAACCCCTCCAATGGTGTCCACAAACACTCCCAGTCTGTGGAGAAAGCACGTCCAAGGCCGATAGAGAACGCGAGAAGAATCGGACTTTTTGGAACGGCGGGATTTCTCTTATAGGAGTAACTTGAAGTTTAAGGCATGGTTTCCATGCTGGATAAAGTCAGTATCCGGTCTCCCGGTCCATGTCCCGGGTCTATTTCGCGCCCACCTTTCGAATATCGGGGATTGTCCCTTCTCACCCCTCTTGGCCTTATATTTATTTTCTTGATGTGTTCTTTCCTCCTCTATTGCTCAGCCGAAAGACAGCCCGCCTACTTGTTAGGTTACACAAAGCTCAGTCTCAGCCAGCTATGTGCTTCATATCAGCTCAGCTCGCCAAGTACGTGGGAATGCAACCTCTCCATGTACCGTCACGCCGGGTTTGTCGCAGGACTGAAGCATGTCGAGGAGGCAGCCAAGGGTGAAGGGTTAGGGTTTTGTGGGCTGTTCAAAAATTGGGCCAAAGATATTGTGGAACCGCGATCGAGATCCACCCCTTGTCGAGTCCACATCCTGACGTCACCTCACATCGTAGATCGTCCCAGCTCTTTTAATTCAGCTGCCGATGCACAAGCATTTTGCGATGGTTGGATGAACAACCGATGGAGAAGGCGCCTGGCATGCGCTTCAAGGTTTTCGAAGTGGGTCAATTGATACCAGCTTGGCTTGCTTGGGCTCGACATGCATTCGCGTGACAAGAACCTCGATCTCAGGGCTCCCAGGGACAGAGCCATGTTTACATGGCAGTCGCGCTCTGGACCGTGCGTGTCCCGTGGTAGCGGGAGCGCAATACATCTCCCGGATCTAACTTGCCTTGACCAGCCCAGGTATAACAACAGTCAAAGAGATGTTATTTTACCATCCACGTGCCGAGCAGGGCCGGTTGTGTTGACACAAGTTGGGTCAAATCACATCATGGCGAACGCACAGGTCGGCACCACCGCCGGATGCAGCGAGCCGTTCCAGGGCGGAGGGCGATCTCCCCAACCTCAGCCACAATGACAAGCATGTACACCTGAAGAATTCGACCGGCCAAGTGCTAGCCCGGCCGTCCTACCTGCTTGTGGCATAGTTGTGCTTTAGGAAAGGAAAGTGCAGACCAGGTCTGGGCCAATCGATAAAATTACTAGGTTGTTCTGTCCTCTGTTATGACGCAGTAGACCACTCCACAAACGGTGATACGCACTGTCACGTCACCACGGCCCTCTTTTCGCTTCCGTGAAGCTGGTTCCTTGACTATTTATCACCAACACTCAGTCGCCAGGTATAAGAAACGCCGGTCTAACCCCTTACCCTGGGCGTGTCCCTTCCCTCCTAGCTTTTGTCCAAACCACTTGCAAAAATTTGATACCCCCGACACTTCTTTTTGTACTCCATTTGATACCCTCGTCCCTACTGTAATAAACGTACTCAACCCCGTCACCACATCTAGGCCCCTGATTTAGGCCCACATTAACCGCTCTAATAAACAAACAACCTCTCGAACAATCGCCAACCCCAAAAAAACATTTGAGCGAACACGGCCTCCAAAATGGCTCCCACCGTCAACAGGCCCACGGATATCAAACAGAAGGAGGCGGATGTCAACCGCAAGCTGCAAATCTATGGCATCATCAGCGCTTTTAAGTCGGGCAAGGTCCCTTCGGTATGAATTTCTTTTCACCCAACAAGATGAGGGCGGACAAGGAGTGGGAACGGCTAACACAGGCGCAGAATGACCAAATCGACATTGCATTGAATAGCTTTCTCGAGTCCAAGGCTATCTCTTCCCCGTCTGCGAAGCTCTCGCCGGAAGGACAGACTCTCGTCGCGCACACCCGGGAGGTGGTTACGCAGGCCAAGCATCTTCTGCTCTCCAAGAATGACGGCAACCTGCTCCAGGACTTCATCTGGCAGACGCAGCAGTTCGACGCCAAGTCCGTATCGACTCCCGGAGCGCCTGTCAACAAGGAGCAGGCACAACAACATGGGAAGCAGGCTCTCGAGGGTCTGCGCACCCTCGGCACTTTGATCATCACCAACGGCCAGTTCCGGAAGTTGCTCAAGGATGCCACGATCCTTCTTCGGGACATGGCTGGCGATGCCGCCACGAATGCTGCTACTCGCGTCCGCCCTAGTGAGGACCAGCTTGCTCAGCTCGACCACGCTGCGGAAGACAACACCTGGCACGATGCTCCCAACATCACCAAGGACAGCCTGAAGGGCAAGTTCCAAAACTACTACAAGGGCAACCCTAAGGAGGATGTCAAGGCCGCCGCCGCCGAGGGCGCGTCGGCAGCTCAGCCAACTGGCTCGACAGCTGCCGCTCCTGCTGCCGGCCAACAGGGAGGTGCTAACACCATCGAGGGTGCTGCGGCGGCCACGAACGCGTTGCAGAGCAATGTCAACGAGAACATCGACGCTGAGACGAAGGAGAAGGCCCGTTCGAAGCGTGAGGAATATCGGGAGCGTACCAAGAACTACTTTTCCCGCAAGGTTCCTCAGGAGCGCCGTGATCAGACGGTCTGGCGCCTCAAGGTATGTAAACCCCGATTTGATGCTTGATTCCAAACCTAGGTGCTAATTCCGGAGGCGCAGAAAATGGTACTCGAGTGCCAGCAACACCCTGATTATTACCAGGCCATTCAAACACTCCTAGACTTAGCCGAGGAGTACGGCGGCCATGCTAACCAGATTGCCCGTGGTGGCTCCGGCACCGTTAAGGACGCCCGCTCGAGCCTGGTTCAGGCTGAGATCGACCTCAAGACGCTGATCGAGCGCTTTGCCAACGGCACGTCGTCCGATGACCTGTGGGACTCGATTAACACCATCTACAAGGATGCGGACCGCGACCCGCAGCTGCGAAACTGGTTTAAGTCTTTGGACCAGTATGTCCGTCGTTGTTTGCAGGAGCAGGGCTATATCCTGGACGACGATTCCAACGTGCAGTGGAACAAGCTTTACGACGAAGGCAACTACCTGCTGCGCCAAAAGTACCGCGGTCACACCAACCGCATCGTGGACGAGATCAAGTTCCTGGCCGACCAATTCGACCAGGACCCGCAAAACAAGGCCTTTGCCGCCTCGTTGACCAAACTCTTCAACGATCTGGGCAACGACGAGAACGGCAAGGCAGCCTTCAAACCTCACCTCGTCAAGGATCTCACGGACGTGATCCTGCCGGCCATTTTTGAAAACGTTGCCTACATCCCGCTTCCCCGCATCGAGTATTCTGACCCCCAGTTCGACGCCATCATCGAAAACCTCGTCCTGGAGAGCGATAACTTCATGCCCAACGTACTGGAGATTGCCAGCGAGAACTTCCTGCGCTTTGGCCGAAAGAAGGTGGCCAGCCACAACAAGCACTCGGTCGATGTCAAGGTCGGTGGGATCCAGATGGATCTCCGCGATGTTAGCTACCACATCAAGCGCAAGCAAGGCTTCCCGTCTATCACGGACACCGGCGTGGCCAACTTGTTGCTGGCTGGTGATGGCTTTACCTTCCGGATGAAGCTGTCGTCTGCCGACAAGAGCGACAAACAGACGTTCTTCAAGGTCGACAAGGTGGATGTGTCGGTCAAGAACCTCAATGTCAAGGTGGTCAAGTCGAGCCACAAGTTGCTCTTTGCCCTGTTTAAGCCGCTGTTGCTCAAGGTTTTGCGCCCTGGTTTGCAAAAGGCGTTGGAGAAGGCGATCAAGGAACAGGCTATCAAGTGGGACGCCCTGCTCTACGAGATCAAGCAGGAGGCCGACCGGGCGCTGGAGGAGGCCCGCGAATCCCCGGAGCGCACGCCCAACATCTATAACCGTTACGCCACGGCCGCGCAGAAGAAGGTGCTGCAGGGCAAGAAGAAGGCGGAGGACGTTGTCGCCGACAAGAAGGTGAACTATGCCATCACCAAGGAGGACAGCATTTTCCCCGACGTGCACCTGCCTGGTGGCATCAGCTCCAAGGCTACGGAGTACCGCGACCTCGCCCGCAAGGGCGACAAGTGGGAGAGCCCCGTGTTCTCCCTCGGCTCGGCTGCCAAGAGCAAGGACATCCCCGCTGCCCCCAAGATTGTGCGCAAGCCACACCAGGCTACGTCGGCGAGCAGCAGCAACTTGCAAGACGCGAGCGGTGCTGTTAATGGAGTGGCCACTAGCGGTGTAGCTGCCCTCAACGGTAACCCCGTGAACGGGGCCGGCCTTAACGGGAACGGTCTCCACACCCAGGATGTGAACGGCGGCTTCAAGGCGCACACCCCCGCCTTTGACCCTACAGTCCCGACCACCTACTAGGGAAAGGACGAGGCGGCGCTGTATTTTACGGTTATCAAGAGTGATGGCACTCTTGAGACTCGGGGGGTGGGGGAAGATACCGACGATGAACGACAAAGAAGGAAAGGAGAAAAGGATGAGTTTTAACGTTATACCCCCACATGTTGATGTGACCAGTAATGGAGTAGAATTATCCTCGGCTGGGGTCGGTTGAGCCTGGGAACTGAGACTGAGTTTTCTTTCGTTGTTTTCATTTTGTATTGTTTTTTCTAGGAGGGTAATGTTATGAAGGGCGTGGTCATCAATATCAACCCTGGAGAAATGTGAATAGTTTCTTTGAGTGTCAAAAATGCATTAAACTAAATGAAGACATTGAATTTTAGTTATGAGTTGAGATTCTTGCGCGATTACTAGCTGGTTTGAAGCACTGGACAATATCATGTTGTGGGTTATGTGCTGAGTGGTGGAGTATAGCGGTGTTTAAACATGGGGCCGTGTAAGTCGGACGGAAAATGGGAGTGAATGAAGCATTTCAGGTCGAAACCTGAGGATCTTGAGCCAGAGACATATTTGGAGACAATTCGCTGGGCTTATTCAAACCAAAGCATTCTTTAACTTTGCCAGCATTTTCATACCTTCTCACGGCTTTTCTCCCTGTTGCGTTTTCTTTTACATTGGTTTCCGTTTTAGGGGTTGGTTTTTGTCTTCCTTTGTGCCCCATATAGTAAGGGTTAGGGTTCTGTATGGCCTGCTGCCTGGAGTTCATGCAGGCAACAACCCCCCTTGTAAGTTACTTTTCCGTCAACACACGGACATTCGCCTGCAGCTTGCAACTTGCATCATAGAAAACATGTCCCCGGACTCGATTTTCAGCTCAAATCATTTAGATTGACACTTTTCTTCTGGTGACTTTTGACACTCGGCATATTAGAAACATTGGGAGGTTTGCCTTTAAGACCATCGCCATTCATTGACTTGAGAAAGGTGTCAGTACATACATATACAGCCGTCACAATGAGCCGGAGCAAGCGCGAAAAGTCGCCTGATGTCGATGCCATTGAGGAGGATGAGAACCAGTACGGCAATGGCCCGCTCAGCCTCGAGGAGCTCGACGAGCAGTAAGTGATCACCAACATCACCAGTTGCAATATTCACTTCTGTCCTACTGCCCTAATAATTATACAATTGACTAAACCAAACTCCAGCTTCCCCCACCGTCCACACAACCACTCCCGCACCCCCCCCTTCTCCCAACTCTTTACCTCCCTCTTCAACCCCCTAATGGACTGCAAACCCACCACCGGATCCACCGCCACTAGCGCTGCCCACCGCGCCCGACGACCCGGCGCCCACTCCTCCACCACCACCACCGGTGTAGGCGCTACCAGCAGCAAACTCTCCTACCACGAGCAACGTCGCCACATCATCGAGCGGTTCATGGCACGATGGCGGGCGGAGACGGGTTCCGATTTCTACCCGGCCATGCGTCTGATCCTGCCGGACAAGGATCGGGATCGCGGGGTGTATGGGCTGAAGGAGAGTGCGATTGGGAAGTTGTTGGTGAAGGTTATGAAGATTGATCGGAATTCGGAGGATGGGTATGCATTGATGCATTGGAAGCTGCCTGGGGGGAGGGGGTATGGAGGGGGAAGTGGAGGGGGAGGAGGTAGTGGTGGTGGTCATGGTGGGTATGGGGGTAAGTTTGGGGGAGGCGGAGGTGGGGGGATGAAGACGGCGGGTGATTTTGCGGGGAGGTGTTTTGAGATTGTTGGGAAGCGTCAGATGAGGAGTGATCCGGGGGAGTTTACGGTGGCGGATGTGAATGTGATGCTGGACCGGCTGGCGAGTGCGAGTGGTGAAGCGGAGCAGCTGCCGATTTTTGAGGAGTTTTACCAGGGGATGAACGCCGAGGAGTTGATGTGGTTGGTGAGGGTGATCTTGAAAGACATGAAAGTGGGCGCTACGGAGAGGACGTTTCTGGGGCTGTGGCACCCGGACGCCGAGGCGTTGTTCAGCGTCTCGTCGAGCTTGAGGAGGGTCTGCTGGGAGTTGTATGATCCTGAGTTCCGGCTCGAGCAGCAGGAGACCGGGGTCACGCTCATGTCCTGTTTCCAACCACAGCTGGCGCAGTTCCAGATGACGACGACATTTGCGAAGCTGGTCGCGAATCTCGGTGTCTCGGAGGAAAATTCGGAGTTTTGGATCGAGGAGAAACTGGATGGGGAGCGCATGCAGATGCATATGCAGCAGGACGACTCGGTTCCGGGGGGTTATCGGTTCGCCTTTTGGTCTCGCAAGGCCAAGGAGTACACCTACCTGTATGGGAATGGGCTCGAAGATAACAACTCGGCCCTCACCCGGCATCTCAAGAACGCTTTCGACAGCGGTGTCCGCAACTTGATCCTCGACGGCGAGATGATCACCTGGGACCCCGAGGTGGACAAAATTGTCCCCTTTGGTACGCTCAAGACGGCTGCACTTGACCAGCAAAAGAACCCCTTCCACTCTGGCCCACGCCCGCTTTACCGGGTCTTCGACATCGTGCTCCTCAACGACAAGTCGCTCACTGAGTACACCCTCGCCGACCGGCATCGGGCACTGGAGCGGGCCGTTCGTGGTGAGCCCCGGCGTCTCGAGATTCACCCACACATCTCGGCCACCTCCGCCGAGGAGATTGAGCCGCAGCTGCGCTCCGTCGTGGCCGAGGCATCTGAGGGTCTCGTGCTCAAGAACCCGCGGTCGCGCTACCAGCTCAACAGCCGCAACAACGACTGGATCAAGGTCAAGCCCGAGTACATGTCTGAATTTGGCGAGTCACTTGACCTGGTCGTCATCGGCGGCTACTGGGGGTCCGGCCACCGCGGCGGGACGCTCTCAACTTTCCTATGCGGCCTGCGCCTCAGCGAGAATCTGGCAACAGCCGGCTCGGCATCCAGTCGTGAGAAGTGTCTGAGCTTTTGCAAAGTTGGTGGCGGGTTTCGCGTTGAGGACTATCGCGAAATGCGCCATCACACCGAGGGCAAGTGGCACGAGTGGGACGCCGCGAAGCCGCCCAGTGAATACATCGAGCTAGGCGGTGGCGAGCGGCTGCAGTACGAACGGCCGGACGTCTGGATCCGCCCTAGCGAGTCGGTCGTTATCTCGGTCAAGGCAGCTCAGTTCGCGCCCTCGGATCAGTTCGCAGCCGGTTGGACGCTGCGGTTCCCTCGGTTCCGTCGGATGCGCCTCGACAAACCATGGGATGCAAGCATGGATGTGGATGAGATGGAGGCGCTTCAGACGCGGGTTCGGCGCGAGGAACACGAACGCCGCGCGATGGAGATGGAGAACCGCAAGCGGCGGCCGGCGAAACGGCAGAAAAAGGAGCTGATCATCGCTGGAGCTGCAGGTCCGGCTACCACGGCTACTGGTGACAGTGATGAGGCGACGGCCAAGTTCGCCGCTGGGGCGAACAGGACGAGAAACGCCCCAAGACCCGCGGCATCTCTCTTCCATGGACTTGACTTTTGTGTCTTATCCGAGGCTCTCAAACCGAAAAGAATGACCAAACCCAACTTAGAAAAACTCATCAAAGACCACGGCGGCAAGATCCACCAAACCGCAGACAAAAACTCCGGCATGATCCTCCTCGCCGACAAGAACGTTGTCAAAGTCGCCAGCCTGAAAAAGGCTGGCGGCGCTGACATCATCCGACCCAAATGGGTATTCGACTGTCTCGCGCAGGGAGACTTGTTGAATCCAAGCGAAACAACAGGGGGCAAAGATGAGAAAGAAAAAGAAGGCTATCTCCTCCCCTTCGAATCCACCCACATCCTCCACGCCACCGAGGCTCTCACCACCATCGCCGAGACCAACACCGACCAATACGGTGATAGTTACGCGCGGGATGTTGGCGCTGAGGAACTGCGCGATATCCTCGCTGCTATGGACACCCCCACGCCTCCGTCATCTCCCGGTCTAACTGGCGGCCGGCGGTTCGATGCTGGACGATTCCTCGACCAGCTGGAAGAGCACGGCTATGGGGGAGGTCATGGGGGAGGATTGGAAGGGTTGAAGAATTTCTTGTTCCGGCGATGTCGTGTGTTCTTTGCCGTCGGCAGCGGTGAGGGTGATACTGAGGGAGAGCGACTCTCAGGGAATGCGCTCAAACTAGCGAACTACGTACGTTTTGGCAACGGAGAAGTGGTGGATAACCTCAAAAGCGAAGGTGTGACGCATGTGGTTGTTACAACAACACCTACCACGAGTGGGAGTGAAGAGGCGGGAAGGACTGAAAAGGAGGTGGCCGCGGAGGTGAGGAAGAAGATTAGCTTGTTGAAGACGGCCGTGCCGAGGATCGTGTCAGCTGGCTGGGTGGAGGAGTGCTGGAAGGAGAAGACGCTTTTGGATGAGGAACGGTATGCGCCTCTTTGAGTGCGGGTTATGTGAACGAATGGTGGCGTGGATCGGTGCGATGGGATAATATACCTGGAGTTGGATGGTGTGTTGCTCTTGTACTTTAGACTTTGTGAGAATGGACTAAGCGCATATGGGAAAGGGGATAGGTATTCATAGCTCTCACTCTCCCAACGTTTAGAGGAATTTATGGTGATGTATGTATTCAACTCACGACATTATTACACTCCAACCCGCACCCGGTCACAACAACCACCCTCTTATTTCCCAATAGTCAAAAACAGCCTATCTCCCACATCTCCCAGCCCAGGCTTCAGCATCCCCCGATCCGTCAACTCCTCATCCACACCCGCCAACCAAATCTCCACGCCCTCCGACCACTCGCCCGCCGCGGCACGCACACCCGGCGCAGCGCCCACCAAAGACAGCACAATGATCCGGCGAGCGCCCCACTCACGCAGTGTCGCGATGGCTGCCGCGCAGGTACCGCCCGTGGCAATGACTGGGTCGACGATGATGGCGAGCTCGGAGGGGCCGGCCGAGCCACCGGTGGAGGAGGCGTGGTTGGGTAGGTTGTTGTAGTATTCGACCGGGAGGAGGGACACGGGCTCGCGGAAGAGGCCGAGGTGGTGGACGGGAACGGGGGCTGGGAGGAGGGTTTGTACGGCTGTGGGTGGTGGAGGGTATCGTGTCAGTGGGTGTTGTCCCTTGTAATGGTTGGGGTGTGAATGGAAAGGGTGGCTAGTCAGATGTGCGTACCTTCGACCATGCCGAGGCCGGAGCGAAGAATGGGGACGATGGAGATGGTAGCGGGCGTGATTTGGTGGGATTGGAAGTCGAAACCGAGGGGAGTTTTGTCCTGTTTACAGAGGAGAGGAGTTAGGCGTGGGTCCTTTCGTCAGGCTTATCGCACTATTGATCACGGGCAAGGAGTATTCAGGGGTGGGAAGACGAGGGATCCGACGAACCGTTGGCCCAGGAGCACTGCTCAGACCCTTGGCGAACGCCTCGCTGGCCACCAGAAGGGCGATCTCGTGTATCAACGCCTTGACATCTTTTGGTGGTGTGCTTTGGGAGCGCAACTGGCTGAGCTTCGCGAGCACACACGGGTGCTGCGAGACGTGGACGTTGGAGGGGAGTTCGGAGGCCGGCATGGTGGGTGGTGGTTGGTATTTCAGGAGTCGAGGATAACAGAAACAGAATCAGGAAGAGAATTGGAGAAAAATCGGCCTAATAGTGAGAGTATATCAGGTCGCGGGCGTCAGGTGAGGTTGGAGTGGTCTAGAGTGCCGTCAAGATCCGACGGAAGAGCCCGAAAGGTACCTTGCCAGCTAGGATGCAGTGGAGTCCAATCCCGGCACTATTCCATGCCTTGATCTGACGGGCTACCTACTGATACACATGGCAGTTATCTTGTTGGAAGCTCACCCAAGGTCCTGGATAGGGCACAATTGCTGCTCTTACTAGATTACTTTTACTTAAAAAGGCACATGGATATGCTAGGACATACCGTTCTTGTTGATGATATGAGAGGTGACATCAACCATTGCTCCAGGTCTCGTGCAATATCAACATCCCTACCAGGAGCTTCGTCGTAGCTCGGACAGGTCACGCGGGAGCTCAGTCGCCCGATTCGGCAGGGTTAGACACGTCGTAGGCGGACTCCGAGACAGCAAACGGAGCTCGGCCTAACGAATTAAAAAGCGGTTACCAAATTCGTTTGTCTTCAGTTCCATTGGAATGAGCCTTCAATCAATTAGACAAGAGAGGAAAGAAAGCCCTTTGAGTCCCTGTATTTTCATCTCTCTGAACCCCGCTAAGGCAGGCGCCGCTCTTGAAGCCCGGGCCGAGATGTCCCAGGTGACGGTGAGCGGGCGGGGTGCGCGGGGCATCTGGGCCGGTCTTATCTGATAAGGTCGGCCGAACAAGCATTCGGCAGAGCCGGGGTCTGGGGACGAGACCCACAGTAAGAAGTAGGTTTCGCACTATCATACACGTACTGTGGTTCAACTTTCGATTCACCCCATTCTAGAACTGAACCAAATTTAAACTCCGGCCACCAACAAACGAAAACAAATACGCGGATTCAAGATCAGTGTTGGATAATCGGAAATTGGCCTAGAAACATGAAGGGCTCCCGCATTTACGTGGATTGAAGGGCTGCGCGTTTCGAGGGCCTGCAACTCCCAATCGGGCGGACGCGGTTGTTCCAACATTGACGGCGTTGTATCGCGTCACGACCTGGGATCCTACCCCATGGAAAAATCTCACGATCCCCCAGAAACAGTCTCGCCTGAGACACAGCATAGGCGACATGATCCAGAAAGGCTACGGGATTACGACCCTCCTGGCTCTTACCGACATGCCGACGATACTCAATCGCCACTTGATCGACCAACCGCCCCGAGTGAGGTAGCGCTTCCACCTGGGCATGGGCATAAATCTGAACGGCATATATCACGTTCTAGACGAGCTTCAACAGCTTCTCGTCCTGATTACGATGTGCCGGACACATATGCTAGCCTTGGGGAGGTAGCAGATCCCGCACCCGTCCAGAACCCCTACGAGGAAACTATCCACCGCCATCGAAGCCTCGAGCAAACCCGGAGTCAGGAGCAGGAATTTTCCAGAGAACAAGCACGCCAGCGCCGAGAGCCACTTAGCAAGGACCGGAAATCAGAACTAGAGGAGTCGAGACCCTCCCGGGATAATGTCTCGCGCCTCCTCACCCAGTTCTACACGGTTTCCTACCTTGTCTTATTCTCCATCCTCGGCACCCTCGCTCGCCTGGGATTACAAGCACTCACCAACTACCCCGGCACGCCGGTCATATTCCCCTCCGTATGGCCCAACTTCGCTGGCAGTTTGGTCATGGGCTTCCTCGCGGAAGACCGCATGCTCTTCCGCGAGACCCAACCATCAAGCCCAGTCTCCGATGAAGAAGAAACGGCCTCGGCCGTTAAACGCGCCCATGCCGCGCACAAAAAAACCATACCCCTCTACATCGGGCTCGCGACCGGCTTTTGTGGCTCACTAACCTCCTTCTCTGCCTTCATCCGCGATACCTTTCTGGCCTTGTCCAACGACCTGTCCCCGTCTCAACCACGCAACGGCGGCCACACCTTCTTAGCGTTACTCGCCGTCCCACTGACAACACTCGCCCTCTCCTTAGCGGGCCTCTTTGCCGGCGCTCACCTGGCCATTGCCCTCGCCCCAGCCATCGCCTCGCTCTCCCGTCTAGGTCTCAGCCGTGCCCTTCTCGACCGCATCACTGCGGTACTCGCGTGGGGATGCTGGCTCGGCGCTGTATTACTATCCGCCCTGCCCCCAGCGGGTCACGCTGACTGGCGTGGTAAGGTCACTTTTGCGCTGGTGTTTGCGCCGCTTGGCTGCCTAGCACGCTTCTTCCTCAGCTTGCAGCTCAATGGTCGCATCCCTTCGTTCCCGCTCGGAACGTTTACCGTCAACATGGCAGGCACAGCCGTGTTAGCCATGTCCTGGGCGCTCGCACACTCCAACGTGGCTGCGTCCGTGGTGGTGGGGTGTCAAGTGCTGACGGGCGTGCAGGATGGCTTTTGCGGGTGCTTGACGACTGTGTCGACGTGGGTGGCCGAGTTGGCTGCTTTGAGGCGGAGACATGCATATATGTATGGGGGCGCTAGCGTGCTAGGTGGGCTGGCCGTGGCCGTGGCCGTAATGGGAGGGTTACGATGGAGTGGAGGGTATGAAGGGGGGGCTTGTAAAGTGTAAGCCTATGTGAACCTATCTGTAATTATTAAGAATATTCGGCGTATCGAACGCTAGACTATGACTTTGAAGACATAAGTGTATGGGAAGACCTCCCACGGTAAGGCGAGGGGCGGAGCGACCGAACTGCCCCTGCGAACTAGGTAGTGTAGCACGTGTGCAGCTGAAGATAAGGGACGCCCCAAATACCAGGGGTTTGCCCCAACGTCAAGTATCTAGGCGGCACGGGTGGCGGTATTTGCTAACAGCTCGGTAGTTTTATTTCTGTTTGCCAACGTAGGTAGCTCGGCTTCCGTTTCGTGGAATCTTTTCGTTTGCGTAGTGTCACAACCGGCAGCGTTGGCGATAAGAAAACCAACGCGGAGAGGAGAACAACGTATAAAATGGAACCCACCGTTTGTTTGCTTCAAAGGCGACCTAATCCATCCCATAAGCTTTGTGAAACACGACGCTCGGATGAGGCAAACCCGCCCTGAAATTTACCACCCGGGGTTTCCCCGCCACCTGCACTCTTTCGGCGTTTGCCCAACGCGCCCCTCCATAGAGGGGCATGACTCACCCCACCTTCCCCAATAATCATCTTCCCACAGCGGGACTCTGGGCGATCTCCACTGAGCCTGAAAGAAAGTTCGACACACAGCAGAAGCAGAACAGGAGTCACAAGACAGGACCCTCCAATTTAATCTTGATTTTCTTGAGCGAGACCCCCAAGACAGGCCGGAGTGAGAGAGCGAGAGTAGAGAGCCAGAGTCGGAGTAGCAACGCCCACACACACTCACAACAAGCACAGGCAGGATGGCCGCAACCACTGAAACTCCAATTCTGCCCCAGCCGGGGAAGGAGAATATCATCATCACGAGCGCCCTGCCGTATGTCAACAACGTCCCACACTTGGGTAACCTCATCGGCAGTGTTTTGGTAAATTTCATCCTTTCCTTCGCCCTCTCTTCGTTCTCATTTTCCTTCTCAGTTTTGTTCAATCCCCCCACTTTCCCTCCCTCTCATCTGAACCTCATGAAACAGCGTTGATCTTTTTACTTTTTTGTCTCTTTTTTTCTGCCCTCTCATAAGACAAAAGAAAGTAGCCACTAACCGACTTCACAGTCTGCCGATGTCTTCGGCCGGTACTGCCGGGCGCGTGGCATCCCGACCATCTACGTGTGCGGGTCGGACCAGTACGGCACGGCGACAGAGACCAAGGCTCTGTCGGAGGGAGTGACGCCCGAGGAGCTGTGCGCCAAGTACCACGCAATCCACAAGGACATCTACGACTGGTTCCGCCTTCAGTTCGACATCTTTGGCCGCACCCCGACGGACGAGCACACCGCCATCGTCCAGGACATTTTCATCCGTCTGTGGAATAACGGCTACATCGAGCAGCGCGAGACGACGCAGGCGTACTGCCCGACCCACGACTCGTTCTTGGCCGACCGTTATGTTGAAGGGGAGTGCAGTCTGTGCCATGATAAGGGTGCCCGTGGCGATCAGGTTTGTTTGAGCCCGGAGTTTCTCCCATTGTCTCCGTACTCATCATCGCTAACTCGACTTGATACCTAGTGTGATGCCTGTGGCAGCCTTCTGGACCCCCTCGAGCCGGATAGGGACGCCTCGGGCGAACAGGAGAGCAAGGCGACTGGCTGGCTGATCAACCCGCGCTGCAAACTCGACGGGACCGCCCCCGAACGACGCCAAACAAAGCATCTCTACCTTCGTCTTGACGCTCTTCAGGGTGAGGTCGATGAGTGGCTGAAGACTGTCGAGAAAGGATGGAGTGCCAACTGTGTGGCCATCACCCGCTCGTGGTTGGATCAGGGCTTGAAGCCCCGTGGTATTACAAGAGACCTCAAATGGGGTGTGCCAAGTAGGTTTGGCCCTGTCTATCATGGGACACACCCAGTTTACTGATCCGAAATGTGCAGTCCCAACTGGCCTTAAGGGTCTCTCTGATGAAGATTACGCCAAGAAGGTGTTTTACGTCTGGTTCGACGCTTGCAGTATGTTTCTGCTGTTTCCCTTGACGTGCCGAGAACCGTTACTGACATGAGCAGTTGGGTATCCCTCCATCACGAGGACATATACCGACCCTGGTAACCTTGCTGGTACAAATTGGGAGAAGTGGTGGAAGAACCCTGACGATGTTTCCTTGTACCAATTCATGGGCAAGGACAATGTTCCGTAAGTCGTTCCGGTCGTACCCTTGCGGGTATTTGTTTTTCCCAAGAAAAAGAAAGAAATTAACACAGGGCGTAGCTTCCACACCATTATCTTCCCTGCGTCCCAGATCGGGACAAAGGAGAACTGGACCAAGATTAAGACCGTCTCTACGTGCGAGTACCTCAACTACGAGGGCGGCAAGTTTAGCAAATCCAAGGGTGTCGGCGTTTTCGGCACGAATGCGCGTGATACCGGTGTCGATGCTGACATCTGGCGGTACTACCTCGTTTCGAGGCGGCCGGAGACGAGTGACTCGGAGTTCAAGTGGGAGTAAGTCAACATACGCTTCCTGTGGGTTAACTGCACCAATACTGACCCTTTAGGGAATTTGTTGATGCCAACAACAACGACCTGCTCAAGAACCTGGGCAACTTGTGCCAGCGCATTATCAAGTTCAACCAGGCTAAGTTGGATGGTGTCGTGCCTGAGTATGACCTTTCAAAGTTCCCCGCCCTCCAGAAACACAAGGAAGATGTGGACAAGCTCCTTCAAGAATACAATGCTACTCTCAAGGCTGTGAAGCTGAGGGGTGGTTTGTCTCTCGTCATGAGGTATGTACTCGCATTAAACTTGTTCTCGTGTTGAAACAGCACTTCTGACAACAAACACAGCATCTCCGCGCTTGGAAACAAGTTGCTCCAAGATAACGGACTCAGCAACCAGCTGATCGCCGAGGAGCCTGAGCGTTGCCGTGCCGTCATCGGCCTCGCCCTCAACCACATTTACCTCGTCGCCAACATCCTCTCGCCCTACATGCCCGAAAAGTCCCAATCCATCCTCCGCCAACTAGGCATCAAGCCCGCCCCTGGCCAGGACCAAATCACCGCCGTCATCCCCGACACCTGGACCGCCGATGCCCTCAAGCCGGGTCACACCATCGGTGAGCCGGAGCTGCTGTTTAGCAACATCCCCGCGGCCAAGATCGAAGAGTGGCGCGACGCATTCGGCGGTGAGGAGCTGCGCAGACAAAAGGAGGCCGAGGCTGAGAAGGCTGCGGCTAAGAAGGCGGCGCGGGAGAAGGAGAAGGAGAAGAAGAAGGCTAAGAAGGCTGCGCAGGCGGCTGCTGAGGCTGACGGTTCGGCGAAGCCGGTGGAGGCTGCGAAGGGCCCGACGACGACGCTGCCGATTCGCTCGGCGGGGAAGACGCTGGCTGTTGAACCTCCCGCGAAGGAATGAGGGGATGAGTCGGGGACGGGGCTCAGGAGGGTCTCTGTGTTGAGATATCTGTGTGTACGGGGCAGAGATGCAGTGGCAGAGGTTTCTTTAGATTAGACCAGGTAGCGTGCTGTCTGATTATTAGCCTGTTGACCACGTACTCTTGCTTTCCCGTGTGATTTGGATAAAATGTGTGCCATGACCACCCAGTAAAAATATTGTTCTAATTATGAGGTGAATAGCTAGTCGGTTGTGAGAAATTATCAGCCAAAACAGCACGTCATCTCATCATCTCACTCATCCCAAGTTTATCCTTAACAGCACATGTGATATGACGAAGAAAAAGACGAGGGAAAATGCCAGAATTTCGGGGCAGAATATAAGGCTAGTTTAAAGCCGACGTTTTACCGTAAGCGATTCGTTCATCCCACAAGTTTTGCGTTGTAACTTTGGACCGCTTCGTAACTCGATTCTCAACACCATCCCAAGTCCTGAGTCAGGGGTCAGCCATTAACGTTACTCCAACCCTAAAATAACAACAACGCAGACAACACAATTCCCACAATAACAAACCCCCCAACCCACGAACTCGAACCGCCGAGACAACCCACACTAACGTTAAATGGCATCGAACATTGACTAGCAGCAAATACCCAAGTTACCATCATGTCACCAACCTTCGCAACCCCCCTCCCCCAATCCCCCCGCTCCCCCATCCTCGAATGGTCCTTCCCGCGCCCCTTCCACCAACTCACCCTAACCGGCCGATCCCGCGCAGCCTGGCACACTTCCTTCGTGATCCCCCAACTCAACCTGTTGCTCGACGCCGGGCTGATCGTCAACAACCAGCGGCCCAAACAGATCTTTTTGACGCACGGGCATAGCGATCATACGCTGTTGGCGCCAGCGTTTGTGAAGAAGAGTGATCCGCCGGATGTGTTTTGCCCGGCTGAGATGGCGGGGGCATTGGATCGGTTTGTGGAGGCCAAGACGATGTTGAGTGAGGGGGGTGGGGTTTGGCCGCCGCCGGTGGATGGGTCGCCGTATTTGAGGAAGTATTTGGGTGATGGGAGTGGGAATGGGAGTGGGAATGGAAATAGGAAGGGTGGGGGGAGTGGTGAGGGTAAGGAGGATGGGAGTGAGAGGCCAAGGAAGGAGGATTCAGGGGAAGTAGGGCAGCGGGAAACATTAATAGCGGGCACGAGGGGAAATGGAGATCAGGAGGAAGACGAAGACGAATATGGAGATGGAGATGGACCACCACCCACAAGCAATGACCCGACAGATCCTCGTCACCCCCTTCTTCGTACACATCACACTCACCCCTTACGGCCCGGCGACACCGTGGTGCTTCCACGCCTGCCGGCCTCACACCCTTACACAGCCACGGCATTCGCCTGTGATCACACAGTCCCTTGTCTCGGCTACCTTTTCTGTGCGGTTACCAACAAGCTGAAGCCGGAATACCAGGGGCTATCCGGGCCAGAACTACGCGCACTTAAGCAGAAGTCACGGGAATCAGGCGAAGGCGAACTACGACTTTCAACACCCGTGCCCACACCTGTCTTCGCCTTTCTGGGCGACACGACAGCATCAACCCTCGCGTCAGACCCGGTATGGCTCGCGGAGGGTGTCAAGGTGGTCATTACGGAGTGCAGTTTCCTGTACGCGGAGGAACACAGAGAGCAGGCGGAACGCACACGCCACACGCTCTGGGCTGACCTGGAGCCCGTCATCCGGCGCTGGCCGAAGACCATCTTCGTCCTCACCCACTTCAGTCTACGGTATTCTGATAAGGATATCAGGGCCTTCTTTCGCTCGAGGGATGTCCCAGACAATGTGGTGGTGTGGATTGACGGGGTCGGGGATGAGGAGAAGGACAACAGTCCTGGTGCTACAGAGAAGGAGAAGGGTCTGGAGGTAAAGGGGAGAAAGAAAGAAAGTAAGAATACCAAAGAGGGCAAGAAAGGGGGCGAGCGTGGTCAGGGCAAGTGATCGTGGTCAGGGGGGATGGGCCAGGGCGAAAGACTGGAAACAAGAATGGGATAGAAAATCTGATAGCGTGTTGCTATTCGAAAAGTGAAGACAGGGGGCGCTCTACGCTGCCGTGTCAAACAGCTCTCGAAGCTGTTCTTCGTACTCCCACTGCTGTCGGACCTTTTCCGCAATGAACTGCTCGGCACCGCGATCCCAATACGGGACAACAACCTGATTGAACTGGTCAAGCGCAGAGTCATCGAGGTTTGTGAACCGTGGCTGAATATGGAACATGAAGATAGCGTAGAGCGCGCTCGGGCAGTCCAGGGCCTGCATGTACCAGAACGTACCGCTCTCCCAGCTCTTTCGAAGAATATTGGTGCGGTCCTTGGACCCACTATACAAAGCCTTCTCCTGGGCCGAAAACATGGCAGTAAACTCGGAATGGCGCCTCGCGTAGCTTTCCTGCTCCTCGCCGAGAAGCTCCTCAACGCCACGCGCAGAGTCCACGATCCTGGGACTCGACAGCCAATATGGCGGGTTGAAAGCCATTTCGGGCGGCCGCGAGCACGCCCACTCGAGATCGATCAGCCGGGTGATGCGCCAGTCGTCGTCCACAAAGATGTTGCTTTGGTGGAGGTCGGTCAGGGTCATGACGAAGGGTCCTTCCCGTGCCTTGCGATCGGTGAATAGAGGTTGTAGCGTGCGCATCGTTGTTAAAGCGGCCAACTGGTCGACGCCATCGCTCACGCTGTGTATCGAATTGGGTTGGTACCGCATGCGGTAGTTGTGATAAGCGAGTATGTCGGAATAATACCCGTCTGCGGAACCGTATGTCCGGTTCCGAGGGACGTCGGTGGGGATGTTTTGGTTCTCGAATTGGTGAAGACGAACAGTGAGCGGACGGTTGATGAGGGTGATCATACCCCTATTGTCAATAGTCCAGGACCCTATTCGTGGTTGGGGGATTTTTGCAATAGAGAGCATGATGCGGGAAAGATCCTTGAATAGACCGGCTCTTCGGATAGGGTCGTCGTGGTGTTCCTGCCACGTCTCGGAGAGCGCCCTTCCTTCCGCCACATGCTCGATGACGAGGTATGCCACCTCTTTGAGGTGTTTACGGCGGTGGGAAAAGTAGTGTGGCAGGTTCTCGCCAAACAGCCACGCCATAAATCTTTGGAACAGCCATCTTACACGGTTATAAAACCGCTCGTGGGTTACGGCAGTGAACTATAATAGGATTAGTGATAAACCGTTCAGTGTCATAGAGAAATTGCGTAGTAGAAAAGTTTTATCCGTACCGATCGTGAGCCAGGAAAGCCAAACCCGTAAAGTCGCGGGATTGGAACATCCGGGCAATTTTGCTGCAGCCAGAGGTACGTGGCGGCCTCGCACCGCACCTTCTCGTCCGCATTGCCAAAAAAATGCTCGTCACCGGTCTTGTAAGGGAGGGCAAAACGGATGATGGCCTTCTCTGGAAGACCGGGCTGTGATGGCTTGATATGGATGGGAATGCAGACATTAAAGCTGCCGTGAACCCACTCCTTGATTTGGCCTAACCGGAACGAAGTGAGGGGGAGGTTGAGATGCCGCGACACGAGCTTCGAGATGTGGGCCCGACGCCGGTAGAGGTAGACGTAAAAGATGGCTCTTCTCTCCGGATATTGCAGTTTCTGTATCACATTTTCGTCGTCTCGGAGCGCATCTTCGAGTGTGATGGTGCCCTGGAGGAGCGGCAGCGATTTTTCCATTGGGAATACGGGATGAAGGTTGAATGCGAGTTTGTGAAAGAAAAGGCCCCAGCCGCGGCCCTAGCCCGCAGCGTCTGAATCCCGGGTTGTGGAGTTCATCAACGATCGCGGTTTCCCAATGATAGTGCTGTATTGATTACGCTAGCAGTATACGGTAACTTACATTAAATACATGTTACGCTCTGCGCTTCGGATTCTAAATAATTCGACCACTGGTCATTGTTTACCAAAAGTGTTCCACTGTTTAAAGGGGTCCAATCTGCCGTGGCAATCGACGATTGTCTTTTCTCATAAAAAGATTACGTGCTTTTATTCTGTCTGTTTAAGGTCGAAACAATCATTATATTATACTAAGGTTAGGTTGGATTGAGCTAGTTACTAATTACCTACATAGCTTCCGAGTATGGCAACATATTGAAATTCTTGATCCATGACTTCCGTTTCACGGTGATATAGACATTATCATAACCTCCCTAGACCGTGGGCCGTACCCATACCAGTTTTGCAATTCAGTCCCAAGTACCTTAATCAGGCTGTCCCCTACCTGTCCACATATGGTGGCGGTGCGGACTGCTCTGCTTCATACTGCTTCATCGTCTTTACCTCTCTTTCCTCCGTGACCAACTCCCGTCCTACTTCCTGCACCATTTCTTGGTTGATAGTGTCGAGGACATTTTCTAACCTCTCACAGACACCTGCCACCCTCTTGTGTACCTCGATATCAGAAGATCGTAACGTTAAATAACGTCTGAGTGTAGCGTGCTGCATCTGCTCTAGTCGAGCAGCACTGCGGTGTACAGATCCCCATGGCGATAGCGGGTGGCTACGAACAGATGAGTGCGGGCTTTTTCAAACCCTTCGAGGAGACCGTTGAGGTGGACTAACGCCAAACTGACACTGACTGGAATCTCAACTGCGAGCTTGTTGTATTCAGGGGCTTCGGACAGATCCCTGGATGCGGCTTCGTGCTGCGAGACGGGAGGGAGCACGCGCTCGGTCTGAACTGACGAAGGATAAATTCCCATGGCGGTGTGAAAAAAAGTATTCTCGGCGGCTTCACATTTGCAGTTCTGCCTGGAAAGTGTGGCGTAGGAAGGTTAGCGATTCTGTGTTTCTTCCTTGTTTGGTTTCCCTTTAAATGCGTACCTTCTGCCGTGACCTCGGCGACCTCCCTAGGATGTTCGTTGGCTCGAAAGTTCAGGGCAGCTAAGCACTCAAAAGTCAGAACCAACTGCATTAGGTTTTCTTGAAACATCAAAGTAAGGCTTTTATAATTATCTGAAGCAATCTTGAACCAGAACCCCCATACCTTTCGAACCACGCTCAACGCCATATGATGAGCAGCCCCGGCTTAAAATCAAAGGACAATGACCAGTCGCTTGACTGAAACCTCTATAAGACCCTCCGAAAGTTTCAGGACCCGAACCCAATTAAGAATTATGAACCAATTGATGCACGCTCAATAACGACACATAAATGATGACGACGGTGGCCGGTTAAAGCAACCGGCCAACCGTCTAACCGTCCAACCCAAGCCCAAAGGCCAAACCTGAGAAACCCAAGAGCAATCGGCTTTGCGGACCGAAGTCCAACCCCTGGAAGAATCCTAACAAACAAAACACCCAGTCTGTCGACAAGGACTGTAATTAAGCTCAGGCCACGTCGGGCATTTTATGTTTCTTATGGGGGCTGGTTGCGTCTCCTGCTTCCCGCGGCTTTGCATCGTCCGTGATCTGGTGGAGAGCCTTCTGCACAGTCTCGCAGGATTTCAAAACCTCTCCGTAATCCTCTTTGAACGTGCGTAGGAACTCGTCGTGGTTGATAATCCAAATTTTCTGGAGCATGGCGAGCTTGATCGGATTCAAGATCTTGGAGTAGAACCCCTCGGCTAAAAATTGAAGGGAGTCTTGGGCGGATTCTGTTTTGGCAAAATTTAACATGATAAGTTACTGCTAGTCTTGAAATGTTTGTTGGTGTTGCGCGGCTATCGCGTTTACCATACGGGACGACGGTTAACTCACCTAGCTCCCCATTCATCCGCCAGCCGGATGAGACCCTCGCCTTCCAAACAGCATGGTATTGGAGGGGGAAAGACAGCCTTGTTTCGATGTCGAAGATCGCATCTTGCAGTGCGTTGTAAAGCTCGAGGACGGGGGGCGGGAGTACGAGACGTCTCCTGAAGGCCCGAAACACGAAGGGCTTTTTGCTTAGTTCCGTGTCGACCAGCATGTGACAAACCAGATCGTAACCATGAATGAGGCGCCGCACCGCATCGAATATACCGTCGGGCTTGGGCCATTCAGGGGGGTAGTGAATGGAGTTGGCCAGGCGGGTCTCTCCGTCGTTTCGGGAGATTGAGCTACTCGCGGTGTTTTGCCTGGGAAGGGATCCTTGACGCTTGGCGCGGGTAGTTGATAGTAAAGACGTAAATGTTTTGGCTTTTTTAATCCCATTCCCAGGGGCCGGAGGGGCCATCATGGCAGCTTCGATGCAACTTGGGAGCAAGCTAGAACAGCAAGGGCCAAGAAATCACGAGTTGGCGGCGGTTGGGTGTGCGGTGCTTGTTGAGCGAGCCGAACGAGAAATTGACTGTATTTGAAAGGGAAAAAGGTGGAGGGCCAGGTTTGAGGGCTATCCGGATTGGCTCACGCCCACGTTACACAACACGGCTTAGAAGGCTTGCAGATCATCTCTTCGTTATAAGGTTGCCACGTTGGCTTTCTTGGTCTTAGTTTATTTTGGTCATTTGGTGGCCACGAGCCTGAGGAGTCGAGGAGTCGAGTAATGAATGCCACGAGGATCCCGCCTCACGACCGCGACTCGAGAGCTATCACTAGGCTCACTGCGTTGCACCATTGTATTTGCCCTGGCTGCTCCACAGCCGTGCTGGAGTGTCTGGCAAGCATCTCCGGGAATTGCGGTGGGAACCAAGGTCATTCGTTCAATGCCAGGGGAGTGGGGGGGCAGCGAAAAGCTGAAGTCTGCCTAAGGTAACTTGGCCTCGGAGGCGTGGGCCGGCCTCCGTCTCACAGGTTGTGCGAAACAAAAGGTGGAATTTGTTACACAGATCGGGAAGTCCGGGAGAACAGCGGGGCGTTTTTGCCATTAATCATTTGGATGATGAGTGACAGATGCCACCACTAGCCCTCGAGATAAGGATAGAGAAAGAGGGGGAGGGAAAGGGAGAGGGAGAGAATGGGGGGCAGCGAGCCAAGGGTAATAACTCGAACCGCAGCGGGGCTGGGGACAAAAACATAGCGGATTGGCGGTGCCACTGCGCTCAGCTGATGCAATGCACCGAGTTCGTGTGATAATGCACATATGATGTATCCGTAGATGTCGTGAAACCACCGGTTGCCGGCCCGAGGCGAAGGTGCTCCCCCATTCTGCCATTTACTTGCACAGCAGGTTGAGCTCACAGCAATACCCCATGCTACGCCCAATCAGAGTTGTCAACAAACCACCGTCTTTACCGCTTTCGCTTTTCATGACTGTGGAAGGTGGACGCTAACATGGAAGTCATCGCCGGCTGCTGTGCAGGTGCCGCCCAGCCTGCTTTCCTGATCGCACCGAGGCCGTGGGGAAGGAACTTTGGGGTCGAACACTTGAAGCAAGCCTGGTGAGGCTCTGCGCTTCAAATCCCTTTACCCCCCTTTTTCTTTCGAGGTGTCTGTCTCCTTGGGTAACCCTAGCCGCTGCCCATATCCTAGCCGCTGTCCATACCTCCAGCAGCCTTAAATTCCCTTTCCTCATAGTTCTAACTATTCAATCCGGTTCCGAACACATCGCTCCATCATTACATGGCCACATCGCCCCAGCCATGGCGCAAAAGGGCTCATCCACCCAGCCAATCCCCCTAGATCCCCTTCAGCAAGGCGGTGGCAGTAGCTCCTCCACTCATTTAACGCGCCCCAACACTCCTGGAGACAGTGGCGAAGGTCCCTCTGCGCAAAACAGGCCCCCCGTGACCCATGTAAGCCCCGAGGGCGTCTCTTTGAGTTTGACCAGAGTCACCAGACCAAGCTCTCTCAACCTCCCTCCCATCTCTACCACTGGAGACAACAACAGCACAGGCAACGCCTCTTCGGTCCCAAGGACCACCTTTCCTCATGCCACCCCAAATGGAGAGCCCGACTCTTCCGTCCAGTCAACTCCTTTGAGCCCTGGAACCGCGCGTTCGAATGAAAAGGGCAGCGTGGGCGACGGCATTTTCATCTACACAACTTCTCCCATTAGTGCTCAACCAAGCGCTCCCAGCATCCCTTCCAGCCCCCTTACGGACAACAGCAACAACGGTGGTAACGACCGCCTACCACCCCAAAGAGATTCCGAAAAAGCCCATCTCAGTCAACCCCCCAGTGGCAAACGGCAAAGACTTTCCATTAATCCGACCCCCCCGGAGACCCCTAGCGGGCTGAAACCCGTGGCGGCAGACGCACCCCATGGCAGGGTAAACAGCGTGTCGGCCTCCATCCGGCCCGATGTGCCGTATGAAAAACGCCTGTTCACCTACACTGTCCAGTCATGCGACAAAGAGCCTGGATTCAAGATCTTCGGCAATCTTCAAATGCTGAACATTTTTCGCCTGCAGAACGAGTTGGAAATACTTAAGCAGAAGTTCTACAGGGAACAGCAGGCCAGAAGCGACGATACCAAGGAGCTGACCGTCCTGCTTCATAACTATGGTGGGTCGTCTTAACTCTTGACTCTGACATTTTGTCCTTTCCACCGTCTATTAGTTACGACTTCCCGGCCCGCTTTCGTTGTTCCATCAAAACTCGTTCGTTCACTGACATCCTTTGATTAGCGAATGCGATCCGCGACTACGAGGACCTTCAAAAACTGGCGCCCATCACCGGGTCACAAGTCGAAGACACAAAGTTCAGCTTGGCTCAAGCCTTCAAATCGGAGTATTCCACCCTCATCCAGGAAGGAGAGGGTGGCTTCCGGCGGTTTCCCGACCCGACGCTGCTTTCGACTGACCCCCTACGCAACTTCCTGAAACGGCACCTTCACCGGCGGTTCACGTACACGCCGGGCGACAAATACAAACACGCTCGCGAGTATTACGCTGGGGATCCGCCCGAAGACGTATCTCCAGGCGTGGACCGCCTGGCCCGTTTCCTAGTCGCCATTCTTGGTGTTGGCATGCTAGTTACCCCTATGTTTATTATGAGACTTCCTGATGTGTCGCTGCTTAAGAGCCTTGTGACTGTTTCGGTGGCGGAGCTAATATTTGCGGGCGGGTTGTCAATGATATTCCGGGCGACAAACACCGAGACCCTGGTTGCTACCGCGACGTACGCTGCGGTTTTGATGGTTTTTGTGGGTGTGACGAATTGATGAGATAATCTATCAAGGGGTAGGGGGAGCAAGTCGTGAGCCAGACAGGAAGAAAGTTGTCGAGAATTAATTATAAGGGCACATGGGGTCAGCCGATGGAAGGCACTACGTAATCAAACTGTAACTACCTATCTTTGTAACCGCCACTGCCGGATTAGCACTGCCTAGGTGAGATCATTCAATATTTTAAATGAATCTCCAGTTTTACGGAAACGGGAGTAGGCATCCTCGCTCTGGCTAATAAAAGCAGCAGACTAACAAGACATAAGTCGGGTCCCCGCTGCACGGTCACCCCCTGGAAGTGGTCAACTTTTTTACCTACCTAAGGTTCTATCTCAACCTGTATAAAAAGGCGCCCATACCACCCAAACCTTCGTAAAAATGCACCAAATCCTACCAAACCGTTCAACCGTTCAAGATGCCTTATTCGGAGCAAGATTTGCATGACGCGCTCGCCAAAGTGCGCGAAAATCGCGCCTCTTTACGCGCCGCCTCGATCGAATTCGGCATCCCATAAGTCAAACCACCCCCCTTGCGGCCACCCCACCTTGCGGCCGCTTGGCAGACCCGCACCACCAAACCTGCCCACCACCTTCAACACCACATATTACAACCACTTCAACCTACTACAGTACAAGAACCCTCCAAATCGCCACTTTGAGACCCGCTCTCTTCGCCTATGGTATTCTCGATGCGCCCCGCTTCGATCTGGGCCTCGCGGATCTGACCAATCGTAACGAACTTGGTATTCGGGTCCGGTTTGACCTTCTTCCTTTTCGTTGGCTGGAGAACCTCTATTTGGGCCAATGCAGCCTCGAGTCGTTGCTCCAAATGTGCCAATTTGACATCCTTATCATCTGAAGCCTTTATAAGGCCGCGTGCCTTTCGCCTACGGGCCCGAACCGGCTTACTACTGTTTATGATGTATTCCAGGTGGCTCTGTTGTTGTGATTTCTTATATGGAGTAGCGAAATCGCCTGCCGTTGAAGGTCGCGAGGTTAGAGGAGGTTCTTAGGCATCAAGAGGCTGAACCAGGCTAACTAGGCTGTCAATGTTGGCGGCCGGGTTCGAGTTTTCGAGTAGTAACCGGCTGTTCAGGGGCTTGTTGATATTGAGTGGCCATAACCCAGAGGCCCTCCACCCAGCATTGATATTACGGGGTATTAGAACCTCCTTTTGAGCCTCTGTGATGTATTTGATCATCTATTGTTTGCCTTGTACAGTTGAATCGGTTGCGAAGGCCATTTGGTTGAACCGTTTACGGTAGGCGTGTTTGAGAGGGCTGAGGACCGATAAATCGAGAGGCTGGAGCACGTAGGAGGTATGGGCGGGTAAAAACACTACCCGGATGTTGTTTTCGTAGCAAATCCACATGAAGTCATCAGAGGTATGGCTATTATAGCTGTCCATTATTAACAATCTAGGTTAGGAGGGGTCTTATAGTTTAGTATAAATATCCTTTTTAGCCATTCGATAGCCACCACCCTGTTGATCCAGCCTTTCTCGGTTGCTGTAAATAACCAAGACTCCTGTTCTTCGAGGCTAATAGGGAACCATTGTTGTTGAACGCTCTGGCCTCGAAAAATCACGGCTGGAGGGAGTACTACCCCGGTTGCCGAGATACATTCGAGAAAGGAGGTCCAAGCCCGTGATCCAGGCGCCTTACGTTGTAAAGCACGCGTTTGAGAGCTTCCAACGACCAAGCCGTTGATACCCTGGCCCTCCATTAGGCCAAATTCGTCGAAGTTATACCGGTTGGCTGGTAGGATCTCCTTGATCCTAGGGGCCTCGAGTAAAGGCCACCATTCGCGGATTATTGGGCCTGTAGCACCATTGATACGGACTGTATCGATCTTGCGGGCTTTCTGGGTCTTAATACCAGGGTTTCGCTGAAGAAAACGGGCCATCCAACTGGCTCCAACTGTTGTACGAGGTGCGCCTTGGGCCTGGAGAATACGGCTAGCGAAGAGCCTGATTTGCGCGTGTGTTGGTGGAAAACCAAGGCTGACTTGGTCTAAAATCCAGGTTGCGAGGTGTTTTTCTTGCATTGGGCTAAGGATCTGAAGCGACTGGGCGCCGATTGAACGAGCTTGGGAGCCTTTTAAACGACGTTGAAGTGTTGACCTTGGGATACCGAATTCGAGGGCGACTTTGCGCAAGGATGCCTCGCCGGAGCGGTATTTTGCGATCGCATCGTGTAAATCCTGTTCGACGTAACCCATCATGCATTAGCGAGGTAACATGCAAAAGATGGAGTGATTTGGGCAAAGATTGATGTAGTTATGGTGGGTTGAGGTTGTAGTGGTTGAGGAAGCGGTGTGGCTGATGGGCCGGCCGCAAGGTGGGGTGGCCGCAAGGGGGGTGGTTTGACTTATACTACCTTACGAAGACGATACCATGGTTGCGATTCGCGCCGCGAGGCGCACGAACGCGCCCAGATCCTATCCCGCG